CATCACGGTCCGGTTTCTTTTTCCTACTGTCGCAGGTGTCCTGTGCCCTCGAAATCTAGTCCGGAGCCGAGTCGTGGTCCTTGCTTAGAGCCGACCCCGTCCTCCTTCGAGTCAGTCAGTCCCTTCGACGAGGCAGGTTTTCCTCATTGGAGTGCAGTGGCTGCTGTTTGCCACGCTCGGGTTTTGCTTTGCGGCTTGTTGACTCGCCGAACCGCCCTCGAACCTCCTCATCCCTCGTGCTCGACTGCTCCTCGTTTTGATCTGGCATCAGTGAACGTGTCTCGTGTCAGAAGATACGCCCCGTTACTACTCTCGACGAGCAATTACTATATACTTCGCTGCTGTACGGTACACACACGGTGCATCGCTCCCTTCGTTTTGGCCTACGTTCTCTAGGCCCGCGTTCAAGGTACGTTGGCAACCGGTTGTCCCTTCCCCGGCAATTCCTTCCATTCCCCTCCCTAGAATCGGGCATTCCCCGGGAGACATGCAGAACCATCCCCTCCAAAACATCCTCCCAACGCCCTTGCCAGCACTCTGGTAGAAAGCAGACCCTCAACGTCCCATGTCCGTACCAGCCTTAGCAGCGCCGCATGATTGACGACGAACACAGATATTGATTGCATTACAGCCACACACATCATCGTATCTCGACTAGCTCGATTATCTTCTTTGTCTATACAACTGATCGTCTTCGTGAAAGCTCTCTTACCCTTTGTCGTTGAACTCAAGTCACAGAATAGCGCGAGAATGTTCATTGCGTCTTCTCTCGCATAAGCCTTGGTCTCTGACCTTTGCGTCCGACTGGACCTATCAATTGGAAGGCTATCACAGTCAAATCGAATTCCTCACAGGAAGAAGATATGCAGGAACCAATGAAGCGACATATTGCGCCATTGAACATCGACAAAGGAAATCTCAACTTTCACACCGACCAATACTGTCTTTTTCAACACCATCTTGAGATGAGCCCTCCATTGACACCCTACGGTGCCAAAGACGACAGCATGGAGCACACCGAAGCGCCGAGGGCCGTCTTCCACAATTACCTCCGTGCATTCTATCCTTACCACCCATCCGGAAATGTTTCCCCGTCGACTGTCACCCTACCTCTGGATCAGGGCGACATCGTCCTGGTGCATTCCGTCCACACCAATGGCTGGGCCGACGGCACTCTGTTAGATACTGGGGCTCGGGGCTGGCTACCCACCAACTACTGCGAAGCTTACGACCAACAACCGATGCGTCCACTCCTGAAGGCGTTGACCGACTTTTGGGATATTATCAGAGGCGGCTGCGGATCCCCGTTGAATGATGCTGGCAATCAGGATCTTGTGCGAGGCTTGATTGCTGGCGTGCGCTATCTACTGGTAGGTGTCGAGTTTTCAAGCCAGTGGTCGAGCAGGAGAGCTGACATTGCCCCAGCAAAAATCCGAATGCCTCACCCGCGATTGCATTCTGGTGACTAGCCACGACGGTCTGCGCAGGAACCGCAAGGCGTTGCTGGCTGATCTCTCGTCTCTAGTCCGGACCACCAAGAAATTTCAGGATGTGGGCAGCAGCAGTGCCACGCAGGATGAGATGGATTACATGGTGGACGAAATGCTCCTGAAGGCCTTCCGCATTGTGACGCGAGGCGTTCGTTTTCTCGACGTGTGGAACGAGGAAGTTGGTCTGAGCAGGACGATCGCCGAACTAGAGCAGCAAGCAGCGCACCATCCCGGCCCACTTGCGTCGGCTGCTGAGACAGGCCCCATATCGGAAGCTGCCGCCTCCGAGGCCGACACGGAACGCAACGAGTCTAGACTCATGAACCGCAGCCGATTGGACATGAGTCGAGCATCCACTCGCGTCGACGACTCGCCACAGACCCGTCCGATGTCCGTGACCACCAAGCGAATCTCCATCTCCCACCGCGTCTCGACTTCGGGACCGGCCGCCACTGCCCGAAACCCCAACCTCGCCTCCGAGCGACTGAATGCTGCCTACGACGCATTCCTGGGGGTTCTGGGGTCCTTCATCGGGCTGCACCTGCAATCGCGCTCGTCAACGGAATTGGTGGTGACCACGGAACAAGCGGTGCGCTCCTGCCGCGCACTGCTGACCGTGGTCGAGGCCACCTGTGAGCATGACCCGCAAGGCAGTGGGCTCCTCGAGGGAGCTAGAGACACTATGTATGAGCGACTATCGGAGTTGGTCTATGCGGCCCGGGACGCCTTCCGACCGGCCCATTCTCCAGATGACGAGCTTGTGTTCTTGCCCGATGAAGGAAAGCGCCTGGTGGATGCCGCCACCGACTGCGTGCGCGCCGCCGGAAGCTGCCTGGCCAAAGCGCGGCTCATGCTGGAGGAGTGCGGTGATTTCGAGCTTGACGCAATGCCCCAGGAATTGGCCCCTGCGGCCAGCGCGGTAACTGACGTGAACAAAACCCCGCAACCCCAAAGGACCAGCAGCTTGCCTGGCTACCAGAGTCGACCCCAAGAGTCGTCCATGCGCTTGCCCCCCCCTCCTCTCCAGATTCCCAACTCCATCAACAACCGATACTCCCCTCCCACCCCTGGTCTGACGGACGACACGACTCCCTCCTCCTTCCAATCGCGTGGTGGAGCCAGCACGCCCGCCACCGATATGTCATCCTTCCCCTCTACCAATCTCCTCTCTTCCAGCCTCGATAAGCTCTCCTTTTCCTCCCATGATACCCAACCCATTGAAATTCCCCACCGAAACAGCGAGCCAAAGTCTGACGTGAGTGAGTCCTTTGGCCGCGGTGTGACGAGCAATGGAAGCAGCTTCACATTCACCAGCCGTCTCCGCGACTCCGAGATGAGTGGTGTGTCTCAAACATCCACCCGGGCCACCTCCCCGGACATTGGCAATCACTACCAGGTCCCCTCCCTCAAGGGAAGCATCAGTCACTCGACCTTGGCCGAGGAAAATGAAGAAACAGAAGCCGACATCTTGGAGAAGACCTACGCGCACGAGTTGATCTTCAAAGATGGCCAGGTCATGGGCGGCAGCTTGCGCGCACTGGTCGAAAAGCTGACTGCTCACCAATCCACCCCGGACGCTATGTTCGTGTCGACATTCTACCTCACCTTCCGTCTGTTTGCTTCCCCGCTGGAGTTCGCCGAGACCCTGGTGGATCGATTCAACTATATCGGGGACACTCCTCACACCGCAGGCCCTGTTCGTCTTCGCGTCTACAATGTGTTCAAAGGCTGGCTCGAATCCCACTGGCGCCATGACTGCGACAACTCTGCGCTCGAGTATATCGTGCAATTCGCCAACACGACGCTCATGGGTACCCTTCCGTCGGCAGGAAAGCGACTGGCTGAGCTTGCCGAAAAGGTGTCGAGGGTTCATGGCCCCGTCGTGCCCCGTTTGGTCTCTTCCATGGGAAAGACCAACACTGCAACTGCACAATATGTGCACCCAGACACTCCTCTGCCACCACCCATCCTCGGCAAGAAGGAAGTCAACCTTCTTAAGCAGTGGAAGAATGGCGAAGGCACCATTTCCATCCTGGATTTTGATCCGATGGAACTGGCCCGTCAGTTCACCATTAAGGAATCGCGAATCTTCTGCGCTATTCTGCCCGAAGAGCTCCTGGCGACGGAATGGATGAAGAAGTCGGGGTCATTGGCCGTGAACGTCAGGGCCATGGCCACTTTGTCCACGGACCTGACCCATCTGGTGGCTGATTCGATTCTCCAGCTGGAAGAGCCCAAGAAGCGTGCAGCTATCATCAAGCACTGGGTCAAGATTGCAAACAAGTGCCTGGAGCTCAGCAACTACGACTCACTGATGGCCATCATCTGCTCCTTGAACTCGTCCATGATCTCCCGCTTGAAGCGGACCTGGGAAGTGGTGTCGCAGAAAACCAAGACAACCCTCGAGTTCCTTCGGGGCATTGTGGATGTCTCACGCAACTACGCCGTCCTCCGGCAGCGGCTCCAGAACCGCGTCCCTCCTTGCCTGCCGTTTGTCGGGACGTATCTCACGGATCTTACGTTCGTGGACCACGGCAACCAGCCGCTCCGCAACTTGCCCACGGATGAGGGTGAGATGGCAGTCATCAACTTCGACAAGCACATGAAGACGGCTAAGATCATCAGCGAGCTGCAACGGTTCCAGATCCCGTACCGGCTGACGGAGGTGCCGGAACTGCAGGCGTGGATGCAGAACGAGCTGGTCCGTGTGCGATCGAGCGGCGAGAAGAGCCTGCAGACGTTCTATCGCCGGTCGCTGGTCCTGGAGCCCCGAGAAGCGCCCCAGGCACGCAACGTGCAGCCCGAGTCCAGCTCCTCGTCGATCTTGGAGAATGCCAAGGACAAGTTCGACTTCCTTGCCTGGACGCATCCTTCCAAGGCCAAGTCGGTCGCGACAAACGGTTGAACACTTCCGATCGCTCACTTTCACGGCAGCCCCTTAACGATTTACGACAGTCACTTCTATTCATGTTTCACGGACTTCACCCGATACCATTTTTATTCCATCCTCTTTTCTTCTCATGTTTCACACATTTCAGCTGTGTATACCTTTGTCTCTTCTTGGCTCTCATTGTTACATCCCTTAATTTCTATTACTCTGGGCGGCACTCGTGATCTTTATCCCTAGCAACGGTTTTGTTCCATTCGGGGTTTCAGGGAAACAAAAAGGAATGTGTGTACATGCATGCACCGGGGTGGCGGGGAAAACCAAAAGGGGTAAAACATATATATGGGTTTTATACAGGTCGGAAAGGGCCTCGCGGCTCGGGCTGGATGAGATGCATTGATGACTGATGGCATGAGTGCGTCTCTGCGTTTCACATTCTTTTCTTCTTTCTGTCACGAGGCCTGTGTTTCTACCTCACTTTCACTTTCATTCTTATCATCATCGTGTTATTGGTTGCTCTTCTGGATGGATGGGAGCATCACTGGGTGTGGGTTCAGTTTAGTTTAGCTTGGCTTGGTTAGGGATTCGGACTTGGATGGATGGATTGGATGGCACGGACTTGGATGGATATTTGGCTGGAGCCTGTACTATTTCTGTATATACCACATTGCAACATACGAGTCGTCTCTGACTAATGGATCACTCTGATCTTGATTGGATCTTGTCATATCTTTGCCTATCGTAAGCATGTAGCATGGTATACCTAACGCTTAGCATCTCATGGGCTGGATCTACTTCAAGGTAACTTGTGCATAACAAGCATGTACACATATCCTAATCAGCCTTCCCATCCTGCCAACGTTTGTACGCATCTACAAACCCCAGCCCCTCATACTCATCTCCATCCTCATCGGACGGAGTCTGATCCAACGCCGCACCCAGATCCAAAATAGGTACCATGGATGGGCGACCATGCGCGCACTGAAAGGGAAAGACGCAATCGGCGAGCCGTCGGACCAGACTCTGGCATTCGTCTCGATCCAGAACATCATTGAACATAATGGCGGTGCGACACGCACGAGAATTGAGTAGGTCGATGATCCCGCGAGGACAGCCGTCGAGGCGGTCTACCCAACTGCCTTTATCTAGATTTGTGTCTGCTCGGTCGCTCAACCCGGTTGGAAGGCCTGGTCGGCCGCGTCCGTTCTCTTCTTCGCGTCGCCAGATCTCTCCGCGGATGAGGTCCGTAACCAACTGGGGCTCGGCGCGGCAGCGCTCGGCGATAAGTGTGGGCAGAGTAGACACAAAAATGAAGATGTTGGCGTCTTTGGGTCCTTGTTCCAAGGTGTAGTCTACACCCCAAAACCTGAAAAATTCCCTATACCGTCCAAAAAGAGACGCCTCCGTGGCGGGTATCTCAAAAATGATGGGGTCCAATGGCATGGTCTGGATGCGACCGGGGCTATCGCTAGAAGCGAACAACTCTGCCAAAAGTCCCTCGACCCGACATCGCTCGTCGGCTGCGTGCTGGTCGATCAAGATGAGACTTGATGCCGGATCACCAAGGGAAGTACTGGATGAAGTTCGCATCTTGGTCAGGATGAATTTCTGATCCACCTGGGCGATGACTTCTGCGGTTTTCAGGTCCTGTTTGCGTAACTTGCCTCGAAACTTCGACACTCCGATGCTGTCCAGGCCGCATAGGTCACCCCGATGATCATGCGAACTAGATCCCGGGCGAATTGCCTCGTTACCAGCACTGGCTTCCATAGCATTGATAGGCTTCTCGGGGCGACCAAAAACCGGGTTTATCCAATTGTCCAAAAGAGTTTCAATCCATTTGTTCTCGGTCCTACGCAGAGGTGCGGACTTTGGTCGCTTGATGCCGTCGAGAGCCCGGTTTGGCGCTGCTCGGGAGCCAGCTGACCGGGGCCGCAGCGTCCAAGCCATTTCCACCGAAGGCCCGACGAGTATGGACTGACCAGTCCTTGAATTGATCAAGTGGCTTCTTCCCATGTAGGGATCGACCCAAGGCACCATGGTATCGACCTCTGGCACTTCTTGAGTACCAGTCGGTATTCCCTTATCCGTGCCTGGTTCCTGCTGTCCAGAGGGACCGGGCTCGATGGTAGAGCCCTCATCGCCACCATGTTCAGAAGGGAGCGCAGGCTCCTGGTCTGGACGGTCTTCAGCCAGCGCGGAAGACCTTTTTTCTGAACGGCGTGTCGAGTTGGATTCGAGGCCACGCAAAGGGAGACGCGTCCCTGCCGTGTCCCTCTTTGCACTTTTGATCCTGGTCCAGTCACCAAAATGGTGACTGATATTGGGCGGTCTTCGGAAAGAGGGAAGTTTGTGTTGATGGCGCAGAGCTTCTTCCGTGCAGGAAGCTGCGCTCTCCGGAGAGAGCGGCCTTTTAGCCCCCAGATTGCGCGGACTTGTAGTCGCCGATGGTATTCTGGGTGTGCCTCTCTTCCTTTTTCCAGCTCGAGGGCGCAAACCACGCTGCCTTAGGAACTCGTTGATCGTTGTTGAAAGCACATCTATGATGCGCTGAAGAGACTTTTCTGACTCAGGAAGGTCCTGCCCTTCACCGTCAATAGTCCACACATCACGGGTGTTTATACGTATATAGAACATAGGCCATTTGTTAACTGTTTTGGACATAGTTTTACTATGCATGCTTTGGCCAGCACCATCACCGGTTACAGCTCGGGCCGGAGAACCTCTGACAGTTCCAAAATCCGACAAAGCAAAAAGGCGGTTGACTTCAGTATAGATCAGGTTGGCGTTGTTCCTTGCGAATACCGGATCTGATCCTAGAGAGACAAACTGGACCTTCTTCGTGGGGCTAGGCGTTAGGGATACGGCTGCATGAATGGAAAAGTCAGCGACGCTGGCCGATACAATATCCCAGACGCTAGTACTCTGGGCCTCGATCAGTCCCGACTGAGCTAGGATGGAGCGAATGCGTGAGAGATCAAGTTCCCCGTCGCGTAGTTGCACACGGGTTTGAGGATAAATTGCGAGTCTTTTCACTCTATGAGGGTCGGAAACCACCAATTTCGCCATTTGGTCATTTGCAACCATAAATGACACGAGAAGGTGCCTGAGTTCCTCCCACTGCCGTTCCAATTCATCTGGTCTCTGGAGAGACAAAGCTCGGCTTTTGACACGCACAGGCATGTTCCCAAACAGGTCATTGACTGTGACACTGGTGCCATGGGCGCTGAACCTTAGCTCCTGGTATCCCGGAGCGGGCATCAACCGGGCAACGGGTGTCGAGTGGTGAAAAGTGAGGGTATTTGTGCTCGGATGGCGAACGTGATGCGAAGTAATTGTCAACAGAGAGAGGGCAGAGAGTGAGGCCAGAAACAGCCCCCTGCGACCATGTACGTCCTGACTTGAATGGTATTTGGAAGTATCTGCACGTTGATGAGCAGATGGGACTATTCAGTGACGGTCCAACATACGGTGCGCCTTTCCCAGTCCCCCATCGGGTACGAACTCGGCTGGTGGGATCCCATTCCCATCATCCTCGACTATACAGCCCCCACGAAGGAAGTCAACCGTAATGTAGATGATGCGAGCATCTGCATCCAAGGCATTCTTAACTAGTTCCACAATGACCCCGTTCAAGTGTGTGATGGCCGTGGAGGATTTGAGCTTTGCCACTACATCGGGGGGCAGAGGTTGGATTCGGGAGTCATTAGAAGACATGGCAAAGAAGGCGGTAGTTTGATCGGGCGTCTTCTAAAGGAACGCACCTCATATTGCCATGTGGTGCCGCTCCAGATTGATAGAGTTTGTTTTTTTGACATGCAAGCTCGTCAGAAAGCACGGGGCAGCCATCTGGAAGGTTGGGTGCACAGAGAGCAGGCGGAGAGAAGGCTCAAATTAATGAGAAAACCGAATATGCTGCTGCCATGTTGACGGTTGACAATGACAGGAAGAGGGAGAAGCCAAGCAGGGGAAGCCGCGGCGATGATGTCGCGGGTCACGTGGCGATAACCCGACAGCGATAACGACAGCCAAGAGGAGCGATAACAGTAGACATACGGAGTACTCCGTAGTGTATCTGTTTTCTGGTCATCATAGAGATACCGACCAGAGAGGGCCTTGTGCAGTTGCTCGAGCGCTTCTGACTACACTACAGTCAACCAGCGGAAGACTATTCACTACTGCAGTTGACATAGAAACCGTCCGGATTGACAGCGCATGCGCACGCGCACGAACCACGCCCCGGTAGGACTGAACTAACCTGCCATGGCTTGTCTATCACTCCATCTCCTTCACCCCGCCGTTGGCGCCCGGGTTATCGTTACGGAATACTACAACGTCTGTGCCCGAGGGAGATCCAACAAACCAAAACCCCTGGAAGTGAACCGTGCTTCAAGGTTGTTCCGGCCCTGGTCCAAGTCGAGTGCACGGAGTAGATGGTAATCGCAGGGGGCTGCCAATAGGGTGCTGCTCACGAGAAGAAAAAAGCATTGAACACGAGGGCATAGCGCGGGATGACATGCACCGGACTCAGTAGCGTCCGTCGGCGTGTCATGGATGGCTCAAGCCGATGGACTTAATTCGCCGGGCGCATCCCTGTCCTGGGGATCGAATCAGCGGCTAGCGAGATACGCGCCATGCATCGTTGCAGTGGAAGCCGGGATTGGGGCCAGATCGGCGCAGATTCGTCAGGCTGGCACGATCCAGGGCCACTGGCCGGGTCGAGAGGCGGGCGTGGAGGCCCGGGAGGAAAGTGAAGCAAGAGGCAGGCAGTACGGGGAAGGTTGGGGGGGAAGGCGGGGGGAAGCAGCCGGCCAGAGAGAAAGAAAGAATGATACTAGTTACTAGATAGTAATGACATGAAAGGGAACGCTTTGGGCCGACGGGCATCACGTGGCGGTGCTGAGGAACTCCTGGCTGGCCCGCCGCCTTCACCTCCGCTGCTTCTCCCCTTCTCCCGCCTCCGGCTCCTTCTCTCCGCGCTTCTTTTCTTCCTACGATCCCTACGATTTCGTTTGACACCCAACTGCTTGTCCTCCACGCCGCCCGATCTCCCTCTCGCTCCCTTCCGCTACCCCTCCACTCTTGACTCCCCCGTTCAGACATCCTCCCTGCGACTCTTATCTGATCGATCACCGGTCTATCACTTGATCCCCGGAGCTTACATCGCTGAAGGTTTCGGTAGTCTCGCGAACGGATCCCCCTGACTTCTGCTGGCTATCTTGCCGGGATATTGTTGGAAGCCTAGAATGGCCACGGCTGAAGTGCCCGCCAGGGCGCATGGTGCGTTGATCCAACCCCTACACCCTTGTTCGACCCCGTCCACTTTACTCATACGCATTGTCTAGATCGCAATGGACGTCGCCACCCCTTCTCCGGCTGGATGAAGCGACTCGCGAGTCTCAAGCATTCCACCGATTCGAATGCCAACCGTTGGTCCAACAAGCGTCATGCCATGCCCAAACACAAAAGCCGGAGTTCGAAGAATAACCCCTACCCACTGTCCGGCACTACCCACATCGTCGGGGACTACAATAGCGACTTTCACACTTCGGATGCGAGTGGCGATTCTGGCCGGAGATCCTGTTCTCAGAGTGAACCCTCCCTCGCATACTCCGGGTATGAGCAGCAGATTCCGGCCACCAGTGCCAAGTCAACCGCGCCCACCATTTCGACCAACGGCGACACGGCCATATCCGATGCGGCATATTCTAAAGCGGGAACTATGGCCACGGCCGGCGGCGGCATCAGTTCGCAGGGGGGAGGCGAGGGGAGCACCTTTTCATCGCCGGCGCCGTCGGTGCGATCTCTGACCACCACCCTGACCACCGTGCAGTCGGCAGCGCCCTCCGGACAAATCTACAATCCGCAGAACCAGCACCACGGCCTGACCCATACGAATTCTCTGCACAACCCGGCGACTCAACAAGTGCAGTTTTCCCACCAATTTCCCTCGTCGCCAGCGACAGCGGTGCCGCCCCACCTTGCCCCTCATGGCCATTCGGTCACCTATAGCACGGCGACCGCCAACAATATCCTGACCGATAACGCCTCGATCCTGACCCTCGCCTCATCCTCCAAGCGACGCCGGAGAAACTCGCTGGACACCAATGCCTCGGTTCGCGCCCTGGCGCCGTCCTCGGTGTTCGGTGGTAGCCGGGAGAGTTTGCCCCTGAGCGTGCTGAGCGGCAATGTCGGAGAGCCATCAACCTCATCTTCATTCAACCCACCGGGCGTTCTCAACCGACCCAGCTTGGTGGGCCTTGCCAGTGTGGAGCGCGCCAGCGTCTATTCGGCGTCTGGCACCGCGCCCTTGTCAGGGAGCGGTGAACGCGGCAGCTTCCACAAAGGTGCCACAACAGGAGACGGCGCCAGTATCATCAGCGCGGCCCAATCGCACAGTCGCCATGACAGTAATGCGGCCAGTATCACTGGAGCGGGTATCAACAGTCCGTGGTCCGGACCCGCGAATAGCCAGCCAATACCCACTACGGGGCGGATCAGTCGTCGCAGCTCAGCATGGGGCGAGATCAATGGTGAGGAGAGCGACGAAGAAAAACTGACCGAGAGGAAAGAGGATGAATCCGAAACCAAAGTCGTGGTGACGGACGAGACGAGAGAGTTGTCTGGTGAGTAGGGAGGGAATCGGGTATCAATCCCCACTCATGGGCTGAAGCCGATGTTTCTCTTCCCCCCACCCACCACAATGAAGACTTTTCTCCTGCCACGAAGTTACGCAAGATAAGATATTCCATGACAGATTGAGAGACCCTGTTTTGCTTTGCTGCTCTGTTTTTAAGTAATGACTAATGCACGGGAGGGTAATCCAGACCCTCTACATACCCCATCTACCTTGCTATGCGGCGCTAAGTGGAGTTTGGCTTTTGTTTTTTGCTTTGTTTTTCACTCCCCTGGCTATTGTTCAGTTTCACATGTGTGCTTTGTTTTCCTCCTTCATCTGTTTTGATGGATCAGCGCGGGTGAAACGGGACACGGCAACGGAAAGGGATTCATTTGGGCGGCCGGTTTATCTGATATCCCTATGCATGGATGCTATCATTGTCTTTATTCTGTCTCAGGTCTGTTTCACTCCTACATTTCATACCCGTTTGTATTTGTTATCTCAATTTGTGTCTCAGATCATGCACACATCATCTTACAGAGTACCATACCTTTCTTCCAATGCAGTACAATTCCATTCTTCTCGATGAACGGATACATACGGAGTACACCCCGTGTCTTTTTGCTCATTGATAATAAAACTGAGCCGCTAGACGACAGTGATACATCCAAAGAATATTAATTATGCATACACCCCCTCCTACTGAATTCCATCAAATCCGGTAGTTTACAACTACCAATATCATGATCAACACTCCATAGTAGTACGACATACGTACCAAACCCTACCCAGAGTATTCCATAACAAATTATGACGGAGTACAAAAGACAGTCAACACTCATCATCCATTAGAATACGGGGAAATTCCTACACTTACTTCGGAGGATACGATACGGTATTATTAACGGATCAGCATCTATATTGGAATCGTTTTCTTCTCTCTGTGAGACTAATGGTTACGTGTGGAGAGTAAGTAATTTCGAGATATTGTGTGTGTTTTTCGGTTCATAGATTGGCTGAGCATAACTCGCTACGTGGTAGTAGTCCTTGGTTGGGTTGTTTTCCTGGTTAGTTGTTATGTTATGATATGATAGGGAGGAGTGTGATCGCTCTACATTACATTTTGTGCGTGAATAGGCTGATTTATATTCGGTCTACGGAGGGAGTAATTGGAAGTGGGATATATGGTCATTCATTATCATGATACTTTTTGATGACCGGGACTGCGCGCGAGCGAGTAACAGTCCGCTGGGTTTGATTTGTACTTCAAGACATAAACATCACTCGTGCTACCGACGATTCGATCCCTAGTAGGTATCCTTCCCTTGCACCGTGACGCCATCCCCTCATGTACACCATTAGAGATAAATAAGAGATAAGAAATAAGAAAAAAAAAAGATGGGAGAATCACTGAGTTTGCATAAACATCATCTACAAAGCTCAAATCGACAAGCACGAAGACAAGAAGACGAGAACTTGGGCATTAGATCGTGCCCACGCCGATCTTGGACTCGGAACTACTCCGTTCAGTGTCCTTCTGCTGCTGGGAGGCCAGGAACTTCTTGAACATGGCGGCGATGTCGTTCTCCGACTTCTTGGCCTCCTCGGAGGTTTGGCCGTTCTTCTCAGTGATGAGGTTCTTGAGCCATTGGTTCTCCAGCTCGAGAGCGGTGACGCGGGCCTCCAGCGCAGTGTTCTTGTCCGTGGTCTCCTTGACGGTCTTCTCGAGGGCTTGCTCGCGCATCTTCTTCTTCACGCGGAACCGGGCGCTGGCGGCAGTGTTACGGCGACGCTTGTCCTCTTCAGCAGCAATGCGCGCAGCCTCCTCTACGCTCATGGCAGCCGTCTTCTGAGTGTTCTTGCGCTTGGGTGCTGACGCGGAAACAGCCGCAGTGGGGGCTGGGGCCGGGGTGGCAGCCGCGGACGGCGACGATGCCGCGGACGATTGCGGGGAGGGCTGAGAGACCGGTTGGCTAGGAGCGGTATTGATGTTGAGACCATTGGGCAGGGATGGGACAGCAGAGAACTGGGTGTTTTGCACGGGCAGGGGTTGCGTATTGATAGAGTTCATGGTGGATGAAATGTCGTTGACATTGCCGAACCCTTCTAGAGCAGGTTAGTCCAGGGTCTATTAAAGGCCTGCAATGATGATAAGGGATCGACATGGGGGTTGGGCCTCAAGCTGGGCGGATGGGGGGGTGAAGCACTGCATCAAAGGCATCGACCCGAGCCCAGATCTTCGACCTGTGCCACGAAGCAGTGTCTGTATGCAACCTCCCACCATGCACGAGTCACGTGGGATGGCGCCATCGCGAGAGCAACTGGCGTCATCCACGCCACGGCAAGGTTACTGCACGTTCTGCGATCGCGCACAGACGAAAAGGGTCCCATGCAGGAAGCGAACCAATGAGAGAACGTGCAGATGAGGTGCGCGGCGGAAGGAGCACTTGGTGTCTCAGGGATAGTATAGTAGTATAACATCCCCCGCTAGTACAAGGCTCCAGAGGGCAGAGAATTCGCACAGTGAAAGGGAAAGAGGAAATTGGCGCCGCCGGAGGGCTGGCTCAAGGTAGGGAAAACGCAACAACCAAGGATGAAGACCAGAGCGATGGCGGATCCAAGCAGCAGCTCCCATAGAATGGTGTAGCCGTTGCCTGCTGTTGCCGCAACCACCCAGCTTGATTCCGAGGGTTCCAACTGCTGGGCTCAAGAAAACGGCATGAACTCACCTCCCAGGAGATTCAAAAAGTCCATATCCGAGTTGATACCGTGCGCGGTTTCCTTCTTGACCGAGTTGTTCTCCATCGCATCAAAGGTAGGCAGGTTGAGATCGCCGAGTTGGTCGAAATCGAAGAACTCGGTGTTGGTGAAGAGCGACAGTTCGGCATCGAAATTGTACGAGTCCTGCTGCTGTTGCTGAATAGCCTGATCGTACGGCGAAGGGATGGCATTGAGATCGTCTAAGTATTGAGAGAAGTTGGGGGCCCGACGGCCGTTGAATTCGGACATGATGTAGTATTGAGGCTGCGGAGGCCTCTATTCTCGTGAAAACTGGCGATGGAACTGGGGGATTCTCAGATGACGTTCCGTAGTCTTCCGTCTGGGGATCCCTCTTCGTTCGGGCACTTCGTCGTGATGTGTCGACCAAGTATTCAAGCCCGTTCAGAGGCGACCCTCTAGGTTTGTCGTATGTGTCGGACCAATCGATGGGGGCGCAAGCGTGAAAGGCGACGGGTTGTCGGGGTCGAAGGCGAGGCAGGAGAAGAAGAAAGGGCGTGAGAGAGTTGAGGGGAAGTTGGTCAAGTCGATTGTGGGACGCGCGGGTGGCCGGAGACGAGAAAAGAGTGGGAATTTGCGGCGGGGCGGGGCGTGGAGGAGGAGGAAGAAGAGGGAAAGAAAGGGTTTGGATTATTAAGTTATCGGCCCATCCGCGACAATGGCGCTGGGGTGAATAATACCGGTGACTAACTAACCTCCTACGGCAGTTCTAGCCTACGCCTGGGCCGGGTTTGGTCGCACTCCTGCATCATCTTGCGACCATTGAACCGTTATCCTTTTTCTTTTCCAGATCTTATCTTGATCATAGTTTCTATCCGATATATTCCCCCTCGAGGTACGTTCCATCGAACAGTTCTGGATACAGTACCTGCGCTGGTTGACCGGGCGGCTCCCGTTGCCACCGCACAACGCTTTTCCGCCTCATGACATCGAAGCCGAGTCATCCTCTCTTGCCGGCCGAAGTCGGGCACGCGGAATCACACTTGAGACTCTGCCCTGGCCGGTGGGATTTAGGGGCAGAAACCGGGTGAACCTAGAGACGAATCTGGCTACATTCATGAAGTCACATTGAGCAGCCCCCTCGCACTTAGTCTGGTACGCCATACTTGCCTGGTACGGCGCCTGCGATCGCCGCTCTGGTTGGCTCGAGCTGACCTCTTGGCGATTCGTAGTATGGTTCAGCCTCGGATTTCGCGCGGTTGGCGAACAATAATCTGCTTACGGAGGATAACCCGCTCCTCTATTCATCACCGCACCAGGCTAGAAGGAGCAAAGTGCAGTGCTCATGGAAAGAAAGAGTAAAAACATCCGCCAACTCAACCGCCAGGATGAATCCCACCGGCATTCGTCATATGGTACGGAGTGCGATGAGCCTATTGACTGTCCACCTTGCAGGAGGATGAATGTTTATGCATTGCATGATCAAACGTGTAGCCAGTCATCATGCCATGGTCGGGTCTGCAATGCATTTTGAACATTAAGAGGTACTATGGCAGAAGAGTACCTACTGTGTAGTGAGTACTCCGTACTCCGTACTCCATTCTGTACTCCGTTGCGACGACGGCGAACTCCGGCCTCGTTGCGGGAGTCCAAGCGCTGCCGGCCGGGCTAAGATAACCCCGACGCCTATCGCCACGTGACGGTTATTGATGCCCCAGGAACCACACGCAAAGCCGCTTTCGCGCCGCATCCAAGCACTGGCAGCTCAAGTGGAACCACCATCACATCCACCACTACCCATCCCCAACCAATCTGGCGAGATAATGCTCGACGGCCTGCCTGCTAGGCCTATCCTCATTGAGAAGTAATGGCCCGTCCAAAATCCATCCGCGCGCCCACCACCGCCAGTCTTCCCAGCAATCTCCGCATCCCCTCCTCCACGCCGTCCTTGGTCAAATCCTTTGGCAAGCTCACCCGACAAGCACTGCTGGATCTCGCGTTCCAATGGCTGGATGATCGCAGCATACAGGCCTTTCCGCCATATCTCCAGGAGAATGAAGACCAGAAAGAGGAGGAGGACGAGGAACTAAGTCCCTACCCGGCAGAGCGCACCGTCAACGACGTCCGGAACGCATACCAGGAACTGCAGCTGCGAAAAGGCGGCAAACGCGAAGTCATTGATCGCATCCTCGAAGGCGACTGGAGACATGGCATCACGCTGCGCCAACTGGCCATGGTCGATCTGCGCTACATCGACGACCACTCCTCCAGCCTGCGATGGACCGCCCTGGAGCTTGCTCGCATTGGCAACCAACCACCACCAGACGCCGACCTGTCCGCATGTGTCCCGCGCGTCCACGCCTCGACCTTTCTGAACAGCCTTCAGCAACAGATCGCGCCGCTCGTAAAAGCACACTACTACCTCTCCCGCTCGACCTCCCTCCCTCTCACATTCCTCCGCATCTTCGTCACCAACTCCCCCTACGAACACCCGCGCCAGGCCGCCGAACTCCTGACCGATGCATCGCGGGTCATCTACGTCGCTTTCCCAGACAGCTGCCCCTACCTATACACATCCATCGCCTCCAGCCCCGGCTCGAAAGCCAGCGCATCTACATCCCCTCACGCCGTCGCAACCGACCCGCGAAGTCTACAACGCCTCGTCCGCGATGCCCTCCCCAAGGCCCTCTCCCTCCCGCATCAACGCTACAACCTCAAAGCCACCTCCCTCACAGCCAAAAGCCTCCAAGCCCTCCTCTCCCTCCGCGGCCCCGGCCGCTCCAACCACTCCAACGGCGCATTCAGCATCTTCGCCGACGCGGCCCTCGAAGGCAGCCCACTGGACCCCCGTCCCTCCGACACCGTCACCCCAGAAGAACACATGAACCATCCCTCCCACCACAAAGAAAACCAACCCACCGACTCCGAAACCTCCAAAGCCCCCAAGCGTCCTCTCACCAACACCACCACCACCGACCCACACACTGCCAAAAAGCGCACCCTCACCGTCCAATCCCGCTTCGGTACCTCCGGCTCTTTATCCTCCGCCCCTCTCGACCGTCTCGACATCCGACTCCTCGATTCCCCACACACCTCCACCACATCCACTACATCCACATCAGAACCCACAACCAACACACCCACCCTCTCCCTCACCTTCACCGGCACAGACATCATCAGCGGATTCCGCAAACTCGCCGACCTAGGCATCGTCGATGCAAAGAAGATGCCCTCGTGGATGACAGGCGAAGAAGCAGTCAGCGTGGCTGTCATTCGTGGGGGGAATCGCGTCGTCAAAGGTACTGGATGATCATGAATATGGTTGCTTCCGAAACTTGATTCTGCATAGGGACACTATGTGTCTCGCATACATGGGCTAGGGATATATATTACTAGTATCTTATTTGAATGGGTTGGCTGGTTGGTTGGTTGGCCTCCTCTACGGGATAAGGGAGAAGAGGGTAGGGGAGGGATGTTCGTTGCGCACGCACGCCCGTGGAGCGCGGGAATCGAGCGGGCGGGCGAGTGGGCGAGTGAACTCGCCCGATGATTGATGGTATATACTAACCAACTAGCCTGTGGGCGTTCCTGGGAAGGTGAGTATAACTCGACTGCAAATGACCTGATCTGTTTGGATAAGGATCGACAAATAGTATCTAGATGAGATCTGAGTTGGAAGTGCGTTGAGGCTAGAAGGTAGTTGATAGACATCTAGCTGCCATCTCATCATACTTGGTACTTGCATTCATTCGCATCTTTCTCTTGTGTCAAGTGGGATTAATGTATGGAGTGCTGCGCAGTGGAAGTAGAATAGCAAAGTAATAATATGTCCGAAAGCCGACGTTACAATTTCCTTAAGGAGATACCCGCCCACGCATGAGTTTCATCCGTTAACGCCAGAACACCTTTGCAAGTTCTTCACCGTGCCAGACGGAAGCTAAAGATAGTCCAATACCCGTCGGGACGCATTTCAATAATAAGATCGCCTTACATCCCCCCGTAGCGCCACGAATTCCTACCTCTTCGCGAGCCATAAGGATACGATTGTCGGTGCACCCAGAAAGAGTGATAGGTTGAATAGTCTAAACAACAGTCAGCATCCGCCTGAGTACAGGCGGAGAATGTATAGAAAGGGAAATCACAGAGTTGATTCCATACCGCGCACCCCGGAGAGGCCGACTTGGTCGGCCACGTTGACATATCCATCTGAAGAGATGGTACCTTGTTTCACCAGTTTGTCGAGGTTCATGTTAGATGTATCCGCTTGCCAGGGAGAACGGCTGCAGTGTATGTGTTAGCTATGCTTCGTGTAGCCATTTGGAATGACGTACCAGTAAACGCATCGGACTCCCTGTGCTTGCTGGGTGGCGGCCCATTTCTGGAAACAGGTCTGGTGGATATTGTTCCCGCATGCTGCGCGACACCAGACTATCTCTTCCTTGTCGGGTTCGAACTCCATGAAGCAAATGGGGCAGTCTCCTTCGATCGGCTTCCTATTGCCATCCTTATTCTCCTCGACTTCAGGCTCACGGCTAATTGGAGAGCCCTGGTATATATCCCGAAGCTCCTACAGGGCTGTCATCATCGCAGCCCATTTGATGAATATGATCAACTTACCGACGACAAGAATGCCAATTGATATTGAAGATGCTGAGGAGCTCTCAGGGCCTTCACTAAAACTTCATAGACCATAATCGTCAGCATCTCAGCCATGGTAATGATACCCAGAAAAATATGATTGGCTCGGATAAGTGTCAAAGTACTGGGTTGACGTACCGTAGCAAATATGCTTGCATTGGTTCCCTTTTTGAGCATCCGGACAGCTGCAGGTGGGCACCTTCCCAATGGTCGTCTTGTAAATATTACCAGTCGTCCCGACAATGTCGAAACACACTTCAGGAGCATCATCGACGTCGGTGACAGTATGTCCAACAACAAACATCCTGCGGGCGGAAAACAACACATTAGCTTCCTGTCAGGCCGGGATCTTGGCGCAGACCTACCGCTGGGTTAGTGCACGCGCCGCCCTCTCCAGATACGTCCTAGGAGGATGAGCGCGAAATCTTCTGGCGCGACGTTCAGGGGCTGGCTCGTCAGTTGATGTTGACGCTTGCGCTTGCGCTCTCGCTCTCTTCCTTGGCGGGCTGGGGGTATCGCCGGTCAAGTCAACAACTTCAATAGAATTTGATGTTGGGACCTTTGGAGCCGACCGACGAGGCTTCTTCGTTGACGCGCTTGAAGTGACCGTCTGCTCATCTGCGGTTCGCTTTCTCTTTGACGATGCGAGGGTGCTTGCGACAGTTCTTGGGCGGGAAACTCGAGTGCGCGTCGGTGTAGAGGGGCTAACATGTTGCTGCCGAGAGGGGGTAGGTCGTGCCGCGCCCATCGTGGATCCAGAACCTAGAACTTCTCAATCTCAGGAGTTGGACAGAGGAGAACAGCTGAGGTATGGCTGATCGGTCCAGACATGGGCGTGGTGGCGGCGTCTGTACTTCGCAGTCAATGGCCGCTAGTAACCGATAAGCAAAGATATCCGATTATGACATAATCAGGCCAGACCCTAACGGTGATGGTAGGGTGTAGCAGGAACCAACAACTTGCGACTCTCCGATGGAACCCAGCCATCAGCCGGTTTCTAGGGTGTCACTGTGTTGCGTACTTCATACTCCGTAGTCTCCGTGGGGCGCAGATTGGAGCTGTCAACATTCAATCCTGGGCGATGCGGAGGTTTGCCGCGTTTGCCCGATTTGGCTTGTTTGCCTGTCACTAGTGCCGCGCTGATAACGACCGAATGACGCCGCTCCAGCTCTGGTTCAACACAGATCCCATCCCTCATGGCACGCCCGCGCGCTCTATCGGGCGCTGATGCCCCTAAAGAGCCACATGCAGTCTCTCTCAAAGGTACGCCCCGCCGGGGAACTTGTCTGATGCGGGACCTTGGCTGATTTTGTCCAGTATTGCGGTAAGCAACGAACCCCATCCGACCTCCACTCGTCCTGACCGTGTAAGGCTATCGCGGCCTTCATTATCCTACCAATACCCTCTGCCAACATCGGATACGAAGATCTCGGGCAAAGCATCGCTAAGCTATCCGGCCGACAATGTCGACGACCAGTACATTCTCACTCCCAATGTACGGAGACCATCCGGGTTTCGCTGTGTTTGCACTGACCGTCCCACAAGTTAACACTACCCCCGGCTTTCGGGTCGGCGTATGTCGGTGAGACCTTCGCATGCACCTTGAGCGCAAACAATGAGTTACCCGATGAGGAGACCTCGCGCGTTGTCACGTCGGTTCGGATCGTGGCAGAGATGCAAACGCCATCGCAGGTAGCGGCCTTGGACTTGGAACCGGCCGAAGACACGGCTTCGCGGGATGGAATACAAAAGGGACATTCTCTACAGAAAATCGTGCGGTTCGATCTCAAGGAGGAAGGCAATCACATCCTGGCGGTTAGTGTCAGCTACACGGAGACGCTGATTGGGTCGGACGCGCAAGCGGCCAGCGGGCGCGTGAGGACCTTTCGCAAGCTCTATCAATTTGTTGCACAGCCCTGCCTCAGTGTTCGAACCAAATCCTCCGAATTGGCGCCGTTGGAAGTTGAGAACAAGTCCCTGGGGCCTTATGGGAAAACCCGGCTGCTCCGGTTTGCGCTCGAGGCCCAATTGGAGAATGTGGGTGATGGTCCGGTCGTGGTCAAGGTACGTTGGGATATTTATAGCAGTGGCGCAATCCCCTGAACGAAGTGCTAAATTTGACAGCAAACGAGGCTCAACCCGAAACCTCCGTTCAAGGCCGTCTCCCTGAACTGGGATCTGGAGGGTCCGGATCAAACAGATCCGCAGCCACCGACTTTACACCCGCGGGATGTCCTGCAGGTCGCATTTCTCGTCGAGCAAGAAGAAGGGCAGCAGGACGGGCTGGAGACCCTGCAGAAGGACATGAAGCGTGACGGGCGAGCGGTGCTGGGCCAGCTGTCGATCGAGTGGAGAGGGGCGATGGGCGACAAAGGATTCTTGACGACGGGCAATCTGTTAACGCGACGACGGGCATGAACTGTGTACCTGAGCTGCAGCCGTTCCTTGCCCCTGTGTAACAACACACCATTCCAGACACTGCAGCCAACGTCGCCAGCGCCGATCCCGAGCGACTGTCTGCAGCGTCGAAAGGTACTCACGACTCACCGGTGATTTCTTGGACCAATCAGGGACACCACGACAGCGTCGCCCACAGGCTGGATGGGACGGGAGCCAAGGCGATGTTGCACGGATGCAAACCTTCCAGGGCAGCCAATCCCTAGCTTCGAGTTGCTGGTTACGCAGGATAACGGGACAAAGAACATCATACGTTCGGTTTGTGTAAGAGCGTAGGGTACAAAGGTACCGTCATACCATGGCGGGGATTAACGCCGACAGCAGTAAGATTAGTCAATCTAATGATAGAATCATGGGGAAGAGTACTCCGTACTTAGAAACCGTTAGGTCACTTATTATGGACCATAACTACGGAGTAGTCTCCATGCCATGTGCTATTTGTGCAACACACAAACACAATCCGTAGTCGATCTCATCACCTTTGGGTTTACATCCGTCCATGGTAACATCGAAGAAACAAGAATAGCCACTACGGAGTACTCACTAGCATTATTTTGGGCTGAGGCCGGGCGGACGGGAGTCTAGGTCTCAACCTAAATTTACCTTCCCTACTCAGCTGGGCTGGGCTGGGCTGGGCTGGCCGAACTGCCGAGGTGTCGTTCTGCCCCATTGATTGGCTCTCCCCTTTCTTAGACCGCGGCAGTAGGCCCGGGAGGGATCATGAAACGGTGTTACTCACACTATAGGTTACTTACTTTACGGAGTAGCAGCGGTCGGTATGGTCTAGCCTTCAGTCACTACTGCCACTTACTACTTACTACCTAGATAGATAGTAGGCTAGTAGGGTATAGGGTAGTGGGTAGTAGATTATCGTGACCTTACATGCCAATCCCAACCCGACAATGGCATTCATTCATCACTTTGGAGGCCTGGGCACTAGTTATTATTATTAGTATGATTGACTCAGTTGGAGATTGTATCCGGGAAGGTAAGGTAATTAATTAGATATCTTGTTGGATTATTAATACGAGATTAGAGACATGATTTATAATAGTTACTATGCATCTGGTTCTTAAGTCATGAGGATTCTTTCATGGTAGTAGGTAGTAAGTAGAAGGGAAGGGAGACGATAGTTACAGTACGGAGTTCAGTGCAGTACACACCTGCCCACTGACTCAAGTCACTCACCACCATCACCACCAGGTTGCCAACATACTCATTCACACTCATACCCCTTTCTTTTCATATACATACGAGGGTCCTACACACGGGATACTACTCTATATCTTATATCAGGATAAATTAGGTACTCCAAATTGGAAATAGTTTAGTTACCGCCCTGCCAACGGCACGTTTCCACCTAGTCATCTCAGTCACTTCGGTCAGTCCACTTGGTCTTGACTCTTGCGGGACTTAACGTAGCCAGTCATCAGTAATCAGTATCTACCACCACCTACAACCTACAACTAATAACTAACCACCTACCTACCTATTCCCATTTCCCAAATATCCATATCCCATCCACAACCCTACCTACGAACCCAACCCCAAATCCCGATGCTAGAATCCAACTTAGCTAGCCTAAGATACTAGGTATCTACGCAAGTAAGACGCTTGGCGAACCCACCCACCTACATACATCAGTACATAGTACATAAAGCAAATGCAATCATCATGCTGGCAATCATGTCCGGGGAAGTAGGGTTCATGTAAGGAACCATTATTGGAAAGTTTTTTCGTTCCTTGTTTTTTTTTTTCCTTTTCCTTGCCCTTTCTATTTGCCTCTTATTCTTTAGGGGTATTTAGTTCGTTGCTTTGCTTTCGCTAAGCAAAAGGGAATATGATGAAAATATGCTCGAGTTCTGCAGTCGTAGCGTAGCCACCTGATTTTTTTAAAGGAATTAACTAGTTCAGTAGTGGAAAGAAGTAGGAAGGAAGGATTGAATTACATACACATATTTTAGTGTTTGGTGGCGGCCTGAGGTGGTCTGGTATGTTCTTTTTACTTTTCACTTTTCCTTGATTGTACTCCGGACGGAGGAGTAGCCCTGTCGGCACTACTGGGTAGGCACTAGACTAGCGCTGTGGATGAAAACTGGTGAAACGGATCATCTATCTATGCCTTTGTCTTATCGATTCTCTGACCGTGTGGGTTTACTCCTTTGGGTATGGTGGGAGACATTCCATGTGTCGACAATATAAGGATGCTGTTCATCGCAATCACTTTTGATTAGCATTCATCAGTTTGCCTTCTCAAAATTAATCTCTGGCCCTGTCCGGGGTGTCGACCGGTCAAGCGTAAATTCTGGCACCGGATTATCGTCATGGCTTCGGCTCCACATGGATCCTCAGTCCAACCCCGGGCCATTTCACGGAGTCTTGGTGACTGGGTCGCTGTGGGAGGATGAGGATTGGCGCTCTTCGAATCCCCATCCAGAACTCTCTCCTTTGTCGGAGGTAAATGCATCCAGAATCATGTCGAAGATTCCGTATCCACCTAATCAGTTGGCTATTTATTCAAGAGGGTCTGGTATGCTCTTCAGTCCTTTGCAATTTATCCAGGTGAAAAGCACTCAGGAGGACCTCGGTCACAATCGCATCCTTTTCCCCTTTTCAGGAACCAGCATCCAGTTCCAGCTCTAACATTTTCGGTTCCATGGGTTCCAAGGCTGCGATGCTGGTCATCCAATCATGCTTGGTCGCGACCATCTCCGAACACTGGTTGGCATCTACCTCCCTATTCAGGTACTCCGATGTGTTCCTTCGCCCCCGGGCAGTCTGGCACTGGCGGAAGGTTGGCTGTGCGCGTGGGTGGATTTAGCATCCGATTCACCACACGGTCGAGCTTCCCGGTCGGACACACGCAACGGCGATAACGATCGATGTGTCCGAGGAATGTATAATCAGAATAATAATACCTGCCTCGAAATCCCGCACGCTGGAGTGACCGGATCCGCTGGGCTTGATCCTCGCAACCCAAAAGTTCACCCTTCAGGGTTGTACGATAAGCGCAGACGTAATGGTCTGTGTATCCACGGTTATCCCGAACAGTAGTTCTCTTGCATCGATCCCACGACGGCCATTCAGGAGCAAAGAGTCGCCGTGAGCCAAGCCATTTGTGCGCGACAGGCTCCACTGGGTCCAGCGATTGATATGCTCCCGTCCCTGTCCCTCACAGATGTACTCAGCGAGTTATGTGCATACCTCACTGTAAGTAGTTATACCCGATGCTAGATAGAGACCGGCCCAGGCATTGGACTGTCCTATCAGCACCTTGCTTTTAGCCCTGACAAGGCAGGCGGAGCAGAAGATCCTCGTCGCACAGCTGATGCCGGGAGTTGCTGGCCGGTTCCTGATGGTGGTTGGCGGATGCACCCAGCCATGCACACTTGCAGTAGTTCATGGTCGCGCCGGGACTTGGGGCGGTTGTTGGTACCTGATGTTGCGTTGCCTACTCCGTACTCCGTATTCAGAGCAGGAGGGAGGTGACCGACTCGTTGTGCTCCGATTCCCATCTGGGCAGACCTGCACGTTTATTTGTTATTTTCTTTTCTTTTCCTGCCCTTCCTTCCTGTCCATTTTCTTTGTTTGACATGATCCACCTGCAGTTGATATTCCAACCATTTGTTGGTTTTCTTTTTCCTTTTCCATTTTCCTTTTTTTTAACCTATTGATAGATCTGGAATCCTTGATCGAACCTTGAATAAACTCCACTGACCGACAAACTAGCAGAAAGTGACAGCAGTGGTGGTAGTGCGTGTGCGCAGGAGAGCGGCAAGTAGGCGATTAGTGGGTAGTAGCTTGAATACTATGGAGGTTAGCTGTCGCAGTGAAGGGACCGAGCAGGAGGGAAGAGGGGGGACACACGGGGGCTGCCGGGGCTGGTTGGGTCTTTTGGCAGCCGTTTCGCTTCCCCCCCTTCCCAGTGTCTACGCAACCATCCGTCTGCATGGTCGGTCTAGTTCGAAAAAAAAAATTAAGACAGAAGAAAATCCTAAAATCATCTAAAGACAAGCAAAAATAAAAATAAAAATCAAGAAAGTTGGGAATCTTAAAAAAAAAAAAATAAGGAAGCCCAAACTTAACTTTGTCCCCATTCCTCTACACAAAGAGACACCTGTCAAAGCATTCCTCCTTTTCCAGTGTGTCTCTTCCCTTCCTCTTGGCCCCCTCACCTGTCTCTCCTCTGCTAACCGATACTCCTTTTTCTTGTCAATGCGTAGATCAACCCTCCAGATCGTCTCCTCTCCTCAACATCTGCCTTTCTGCAATTCGTCCCTCCTTTCCCCTCTCTTGCGTCCGCACCGACGCCCGAGACCCCCAGCCTTCCCCCCGTTCGCGTTCGCGACAGCGTCGCATTTCTAGACTTATGCGTTCGAGCTGCCACGGCCTCCACCACCCGCCCGTCTGCTCCAACACCCCTGATTGCTGAGAACTCCCCTGCTCTTGAGGCCCCTGGGAGCTTCTGCCCATCTAGGAATTGCATTTACTTCATGCTGTGACGACCCCGACGAATTGTGACGATTGATGAGTACAACCCTGCGACCTCTCAGCGACCATTCGACGAGATGCCGTTCTCCTCCTCCTCTTCCTCCTCTTCCCCGCCCGAAGCGTCCACCACCCCGCTCGCAGACTACTTTTGGATAGCCGGTGTCGATGGAACAGAGGTCTTGGAAACGTATCGCAAATTAGGGGACGAATACCGTGCCAACCATGCTACCTCACCGGGCCCCGCCGTTACAGATACCATCGAGGAGGATGCGGACGCGGAGGAGGCCCACGATCTGCTGCTGGACAGTCTCTCCCGACCGATCTCCATGGCCGGAACCCGCAGCTCCTTCCAGCGATTTTCTATGCGTTCAGGGGAATCCGATGCGAACGAGAATGGCTCCCACAGCAACCGCAGCAGTATGACCATCAAGGGTGCCCCCTCTCCCCGGGGGTCCTCCTTTCTGGAAGACTTCGACTTCGACAAAGCGTTGTTCAAGTTTGCCTCCGAAAGGGAGTCATTCTTGTCCGATCTCAGCTCCAGCGCCGGTGCAATTACGCCTTCTTCACGTCCCAGGTCTAGACTCCGCACGCAGAAGATCGTCTCCGAGGAGAGCCCACAGCCCGCGGGCCTCCTCCGGTCGAGCATCGGTAGCGTGCGACGACACATGGCGTTCCGCGATATGAACAGTATGAAGAGGCAACCCTCGATTGCTCGTCAAGGTGAGTGGACCCGATCGGGTAAGGAGGGGTATGGAGGATAGAAATGAAGTCCAAAGCTAATGACGGACCATAACAGCATCAATTCGGACCTCGCGACGTCTGAGCAATTACAACTCCGTGATACCTGTCCCACAGCCGCTGGAGATCTCCCCCACCATGCACCCCCTGAAGCGGAGGTTCGAGCCCGTCCTCCTCGATCGCTATCCAACCAAAGGCATGTCCGACGAACTCAAATTGCGAGGAAATTTCCCGGACTATGTGCCCATGTTTGCCTTTCCCAATGACATCAATATCGTCTCGTCAGACCAGAGACCGCGATCTACGTGGCATGGATTCGTCATGACTACTGATAACGGCTCGCGCTTGCACGCCATCTGTGTCATCATCTGGATTCCACTGAACCAGAAAGCTGCCGAAGAACTGGAGAAGCGTTGTGAGGAATGGCGAAAGGACAATATGACTGATGAAGAGCGGGAGCTGGCCGCGAGTCTGGGTGAGAGGCTGGCAAGCGAGCGAGCCAAACTCTCGAGGCTTCTCGCCCAGCTCCCAACAGTCCCGTCAGGATCGGAGTCGCGAGAGCAGCTGGAAGACGAGATCAGTGCGGTAGAAGAGAAGATCGGGTTGATGACCGATCTCCTGCGCCCGGTCCGCCACGGTGCAGCATCGAAAATCGAAGGTTTGACGGATGGAGATACCGGATTCTGGATTCCCCGCGCCTACGGTATCCTTGGACGAGAAGAGAATATGACCAGCTTCTGGAAGGAATGGCTCAAGGCCATTGTGGTTCCCATGACCGATGGCAGCATCCAGCGAATTCCCCCCAGTTCCCCACGGATGGGCATCTGGCAACCGTTGGAGCGATATGTGATGAACCTGTGTACTGAGGCGTTCAGTCCTAACTCGTCCAAGACGCAGGTGGAGCTCTCAGTGCGCGAGTTGCGTCTTTTCGCTCGCAAGGAGGCTGCCAATGAACTTCCAGGCTCTCGCAACACCGATCTCTACGCGCTGTTCCGGGCCCTGTCGCTACAGAACATCATGATCCTATTCGAATACGCTTTGACCGAATCGCGCATCATCCTCTTGTCATCACACACATCGATGCTTTACCTGGCGACCAGGGCCCTTGTCGACCTGTTGTTCCCGGTCCAGTGGACTGGAGTGCTTATCCCCATTCTCCCGGCACGACTTATCCAAGCTCTGGAAGCCCCGTGTCCTTATATCGTCGGCATCGAGCGTCGGTACGAAAAGGTCGAGCTCCCGTCGGATGACTTTGTGTTGGTCGACCTGGATGCCGATCTCATTGAGAGCACGGTTCAACCAACTCCACTCCCCCGTCATCAGCGCCGGAAGCTGCTTTCTCTACTTCAGCTGGCGGCCCCTCATCATAGTCGGTGTGGAGTGCCCACCGGACCCCCGGCGTATGCTGTGGAAACCTACCCCTTCGATTCTTTCATGTCGGAGAACTCTTCTATCTTTTCGTCCAAGGCCCAATCGACCCAGTTGGCGAAGTATGTCAGTCTGAACTCGAGCGCTTTTGGCCAGACATCCGTACCTCCGAATTCCTACCAGCCTCTGATCTTCAACGCCTACCTCCATGCTCGTTATGAGCAGGCTGTCTCCCGGGGTTATTCGTCCAGGGGCCCCGACCGACCGGGAACTGGGTCGACCTTCAAAACCGGGTCTCCACCCTCGCCCCGAGACATCTCGCCCACCTCCGGTCATTTCCCGTCGGGTCCCGGCTCCCGGAACGATTCCGGCACCGCCTTGCAAGCGTCGCTGCGCGAGAAGCGTTCCGGCCATTTTGACGCAGCGTCTCGGCGTAGTTCGTCCTTCGGAATGGATCCGCGAGGCGGTGTTCCGCGTCGGCCGAGTGCTCCTTTCCTGGGCCATGCACCCAACCTATCCGTCACTACGCTGAACACCGACTATAACCCCGGGTCGACCTATGCACCTTCGGTGTATGCACAGTCCACGGTGGCTGCCTCCACGATCGTGCCTCAGACTTCTGCGCAGCCCATTCACAATTCGGAGGGGACCTGCTGGGTGGAGGGACATTGCTTGCAGGTCCAGCCGTGGGATGACAAGGCCACCTGTGCAATCTGTGATGACCAGGCCGAAGAAAATATGTACAAATGTACTGCCTGTAAGACCGTGGTGCACAACCGGTGTGCGCTGCAGATCTGCCTCGTGTGTCCGGCGGCCTTCCACCCGGAGCAAGTTCGTGCCGCATTTGTTCGCTGCTTTGCCAGCTTGTTTTACACGTACAAGAAGTTCCTCCAGCCCGCTACCGGGGACAAGAAGAAAGCTGGGTTGACTTATAACTTCAACATGGAAGCTTTCATGAAGAGCCTGCCCGGGGAACACGCCGAATACATTGCGGTCCTGCAACAGACGCAAGGTAAGACCGCAAATTCATCTAAGACTGCAGTTGCTGACATGGCTAGGTTTCAACGAGTTTATCAGTGAGCGGGAGAGGGCAAACCCGAAGTCCCGCGACCCTCGGATGGCCCTCTTTGACGAGATCATCCTCTCCAAACGCAATCGGGGCCGCTCCTCCATTTTCTCCAGTCGTAGTATGACCGACTTCCTTTCCGACACGTCGAATCACCTCTGGAGGACCGCGAGTGCCACTTCTTTCGCCGGGGGCAGTAGAAGCCAGAACAGCATTTCCGGGGATTACAGCCGGGTCGTCTCACGAGGTTAGTGCACCGTGCTCTTCCATATCTTCTAGGCTAACTGAAACAACTCCAGCACCGGCAAAGCTTGACAACAGCCTGATGAAAGAACCCCGCATGATCCACGGAGCGCCTCGGGTGTCGAAGACGGCAAATACTGCTCGCCGGAAGCCGCTTCCCAAACTCATGAACGGCCTCGCCATATCGCCGCCGTAAGATGCGCCATCACATTGGTGGAGTGCACATTCCGAACGATCACCATTGGATATGGCACGGCCCGTGTGACCCGTCCGCCACGTATCTCATGCTGTATCTGTTGGCCATCGGTATTGCATGCGGGTAGGGACATCATGTGGATACGTGCTGGCTACCATTACCGACCGTCACTTGCGGCCCGTGACCATGTCTGAAACACTCGTCGCACCGTGCCTCAGATATCGACGAAACCCCTGGCTTGCAGAACGACCCTGCAACCACACTTCAACCACACTTCTTGCATAGTGGAACTAGACGGCTGGCCGCCGGCCATGAATCGAAGCCACAGAGCTACCGCTCCACCTGAACATTCCGCTCGTGTCGGAGGCCGGCTCGCCCTTAGGTAGAGAACCTGCCACCGATGTCACGACGTACCTCATATGGGACCAGGCTAATGATTTCTTGGCATGTCCGCCCTGGTCCTGGAGTACATACATCATCCCATGCATCCCTGTACACATAACTACACATACCTATCACATACATACATGCTGCACCCCCTCCTGCACATGAAGGAGCATCCACCGATGCTGGACAGGTCTACCGTTCTACCTGGTGTCATTTATTCCATCTTCTCTTCTTTTTCTCTCAGCCCTTTGCTTTCCGAGTTCCAATACCCCTGTCGATTGGTTGGTATTTCCTTTTAATCTACTTGCATACCGTTCTGGACGATTGGTGGATTCTCCCGTCATGTTACATAAGGTATCTCCTGGACCCAGCGAATTGAAGATGCTGCCACTGGTGCACCGATTATGCGCGTAAAAGCTGGGGGGTTGCCCTGGCTGTAAGGCTGATTGTCGGGGCCACGGTGGCCTGCCCGGAGGATCCGGGACCATGGTCGCCATGAGCCAGCCGGAGGGCGGAGACGGTGGGCAGTCCGCAGGGCGATGTAACGTCCATTGGCCTACGTTGCGGTCGGTGGATAGGTCCGAACCAACAGCAACGGGCGTCGATAACGCTATAGGGGTTTTTTCCTCGTATCATGGGAGCTTGCAGGACAATGGCAGGGGAAAGGATCAGCCTGATAGACGGGTTTGGCCAATGAACGAGATTAAGGGTGATGATCGTGGGGATTCGTGGGGATACCTAGGTGGCATGGATGATCTTCTGGCCTCAGAATCAGATCGTCCACGATGTAGGCTATCCCGCACCGTACGTGCAAGCTGGCCTGTCGCTGCGAAAGTCAATCTGGCCCCTCTCGCACGGTCACACCGACCCTGGGAGGGGGATTCCCGTCTGTCAGTGTCGTAAATGGGATCATCGGCGGCAGAACTGAGGCTGGGGAAGGCCAGGCGACTCCCGCCCGTGATTGGCGGAGAAATGGCCTCCGCTCCCCGGGAGGCGGAGTTGGGATTCCGGGGAAATTCAGCCATGGTTGCAGCCCACCATCTGCCTCCATCCCACTGCTGCTCTCCTTATCGGCTTATCCTTCTCGCCTAGCCCCGAGCAGATGTCGTTCCTTTTCTCGAGGCCCTCTTGTTGTCCTCTAGTCCCCTCTTCCACGCTGTCTTGATCTCTGCTGGTTGGCGTTAGGCCCCCTCCCCTAAACTTCTGCTCCCCAAGTCTCCGGCCTGCCGGCTATTAAACACTAGCCCCGACGCCGTCTCGAGGTACCTACCCCGACTTGCCCTCCTCCTCACTGTCTCTGTTTTGTCCGGTGTACTCGGTTCTCCTGCAGATATCACCTTTCCGAGTTGGGTTGGACCATCAATGCCACTCCAACTATATCGTCTGTAACTTGCTGCGCCAATTTGTTCCTGTCCTGTCTGCTGTCGCGAGCCCGCTCTCGGCAGGAAGTATACCCTCGGCATCTAGATCCAGATCAAGTATGCGAACGTGCAGTCTCCTGCCTATGCAATGAGATGATGCAGACTGCCCTCCATCAGCCCATGGGGATGACACTTTTAGCTGATGCCGCTACCTCGTCGCTCACAGCTCTCAAAGCCTCCACCCCGGCTTTTTCTTCGACTTCCCAGATCGTGCCTCCGGAACCTGCCCGGACCGTCGTCGCCGTCTACACGCCGGGCCAGGAGGCCATCGTGCAAGTGGTTGCGGACATTCTTGGCAAGCCATGGACCACGGAAACATCGCTGTCGACGCTTGGCCGGGGCAGCACTGCCGTCGTGGTGGGGTTTCTGGCGACGGAAGAGTCCGTCCGGGATCTTGAAGTGGATGACCTGACGGCTTGTATCTTGGTCAATACGCATTGTGTCGATGATGGGTCATTCCCGGATGATGCGCTCACCGATCGCTGTCATTACGAGTTTCTCTACTCCCTCCGCAGTCCTTTCTTTCGTCGCGACTTGACGCGGTTCTTGTCGCTGATTCTGGGCCAGACTCGGCCGCATGAGGATCTCAAGACCAAGAATCGGACTAACTTTATCTCCACTACTTTTCCGGACGTTCATGCCGCCTTGCCTAATCTCGACATCCTGTCTGTGGGGTCGGATGCGGTGGAAATTCGCGTGGACTTGCTGGTCGATCCGGAGCCGCCCCAGGGGGCGTCGGCGGCTGTCCCCAGTCTACGGTACGTTGGGCAGCAGTTGATGTTGCTAAGACAGCATACGGAGATGCCGATTATCTTTACGACGCGGTGCACCAAGGAGAATGGTAAGTTTCCGATGGATGACCCGCTGCTCTTCTACAAGTATCTCCGGCGGGCCATCCAGTGGGGGGTGGAGTACATTGACGTCGAGCTGTGGCTGCCCGAGGACATCCGGCGACGGCTGTCGGAGGTCAAAGGGAATAGCATCATCATGTCGGCGTTTCACGATTTCTCCGGGACGTGGAAGTGGACGTCCCCCGAGGCGCCTCGGATCTTTGCGGAAAGCGCCAAATACGCCGACATTGTCAAGATGATTGCCATGGTCAATACGATCGAGGCCAACTACGAGCTGGAGTACTTTCGGTCGACGATCAAAGGGACCCACGGATCCTACCCGCTCCTCTCGGCCGTGAACATGGGACAAATGGGACAGCTGTCTCGAGCTCTTAATACGGTGTTTTCGCCCATCACGCATCCCTTGCTGCCGATGATTGCGGCGCCCGGGCAGCTGACGGCGGCCGAGATCAACGAGGCGCTGCACATCATGGGTCAGCTCCCCAAGCGGGACCTGTACGCGATCGGGTCCTTCCGATCGACGCCGCAGTCGATGTTCATGGAGAAATGCTTCAACGAGCTCAGCCTGCCGCACACGCTGACCTCGATTGACCGCGGGCCCACGGGGTCCATTGAGCGGGTGATCACTCAACCGACCTTTGGCGGCGCGTCCGTCCACCCCCCGATCACCAGTGGGACGACGTCAATTCCCACGGTCAGCGAGGCGGCCCAGGCGATTGGACTGATTGATACGATTGTCGCAGGGCGCGGGTCTCCGCAGCCGCAGTTGATCGGGGAGAATGCAGTGTGGAAGGGGATCCGGGCGACCCTGACGCGGGACTATGTGCCGTCGGCGTACCGGGGCCGGGCGGCCATCATTCTGGCGGGGAGCGAGAGCGAAGCGTCGGCGACGATCTTTGCGCTGCGCAGTCTGGGAGTGGGTGCGATCCACACGGTCGGATTCCGGGCGCGCGGGCCGCTGGCGGAAGGGCTGGAGCCCTTCACGTCGATCCAGTCGGTGAAGATGGTGGAGCAGCCGTTCGTGATGGTGTCGGCGCTGCCGCCCGAGAAGTCGCTGCTGGTGCAGCCGTTGCTGCGACACTACCGGACGAGTGGGCGCACGTCGCCGCCGTCGACTCGCGGGAAGGTATACCTGGACCTGACACGCGGGGAGCGTACCGGAGATCCGGTCGGGGTGGCCGAGCGAGCGGGCTGGACGGCATATGGGATCGAGGATGTGGATGCATGGACGACGGTGGAGACGCTGCGACTGCTGGTGGGACAGAACGTACCGTTTGATTTTGTGCGGATGGCGTCGGGGCGGGTGTTTTAAGCTGTATAGATATGAATGATGACTGGTCTTGCTTGTTGTATCTTGCGTAGGTTGTATGACTGCGTCCGATGGTGTGATCATAAGTATTTCTGCAGCGGGGTTGCAGCAATTAAAAGCAATCAAAAGCAATTAAATTTGCAGGGTCGGTAGTGCTCGGCTGAGGAATGGCGCTTCGCTAGCTGCTGACGGCACTGACATAGATTACGATCGCCGGGACTTGAAGCCACACCAGGGGGGGTGTTGCATTGTTAGATATCATGAATACTCCAGGAAACCAGCGGACACGGATCCGTGCTGGAAGCGGGAAAATCCCGAGGCGGTTGGATGCTGGATTTAACCGACGATCCGATGGATGGCAAAAGGTTTCCAGAGTTTCCACTGGCCAGTCTGCAGTGCCTGAACTCTCTGCCCGTGCTGGAAGGCTTGCCAGTTGCCCGTCAGCAAGTCAAGCACCCCCGCATTACTGCGTCTAACCCCATCCGTTTAGTTCACCGGCTTCTCCACGTTTGTTTAAATCCGGGGTTCGTCGCTTTTCTCCTCTGTTTTCCTCTCTTCTTTTTCCGTCGCTGCTCCTCCGATCCCGCTCTCGCTGTTTCTCCCTCCCCGCTGCATCCCCGCTGCATCCTATGTACAGGCAATGCCATGTCCCGCCCCCAGGTCAGCATCGACCGGCTTACCCCCCGTCGCGTCCATGCCGAGCCCCGCGAGTCGATGAACTGCAAGTCGTGTCGGAAACGCAAGGTATCTGCCGTGGTCGGGTGCTACGGATCGTTGAGCTGACGGTTGAATCAGATCAAATGTAATCGTCTCCGGCCGAGCTGTGAGGCCTGCAAGGTCTTTCAGTGTCCTTGTATCTATGGTCTGCCTCTCCACACACACACTGGCCCTGATCCCTACTCATGCTCGTAGACGCCGTGCCCAAGAAGCGGGGGCCCAAAACCGATGTTCTCGAAGCCTTGTTGAAGCGTGTCGACGGACTGGAGAAACGTCTCCAGGAGGATTCCCCGATTTCGCCCACCTCGGCCACTTCGCCGATTAAATCGCTAGATCAGCATCTGCTGCCGTCGACGGCAACGTCGTTCCAGTTGCCTCCGCCGTCGCATGGCTTTGCGCCGCCGCCGCCGCCACCGCCGCCGCAGCCGAGGCTGCCGGATTCCATGCTGGATACGTACTTTGCTCGTCTGCATGCGAAGCCGTATTGGATTCTGGATGAGACGGCTACTCGGCAGCGACATCAGCATGGGCAATTACCGGCTCATTTGTCCATGGCTATCTATGCGTTTACATTGAGGTGGGTTGTTTGTCCGGGGGAGAGGGCTGGGCTGACGGGTACGCAGATATACTACGCCGAATCCGCCCCAGGGGAGCCTTGAGTATGCTCGTCAGGCGCGACGGCTCGTCGATATTGATAATCCGTCTATTGAAGGGACTCAGTCGCTGTTGTTGCTGTGTCATACGTTTTTTGCGTATGGCTGTGGGAAGACTGCCTACATGGTTCTAGGTATGTGATTGATGCCACGGGCCGGATACGTACTGACTGGTTAGCCAACGCGGTGTCCATGACTTTGGCGCTGGATTTGTATCGAGAGGCACCGGCCGCGCTACCCGTGGCGGAACGCGAGATGCGACGGCGACTGTTCTGGACGGTCTATGTGATGGATCGGTTTCTGACCTGTGGCTCGAAACGGCCCTGTCTCATCGCCGACCACTCGATTGTGCTGCGTCTTCCGGGTGCCGGCTCCGAGGCGGGCGAATGCTTCAACCCGGTCGGTCCGAATATCCACTACTCGCCGGATCGTCGGAAAGGTCCTGGAGGGTCTGCTCTGCTAGTCGATATTACGCGGATTCTGGGGGTTACCCATCGGTATTTAGCAGCCGGAGGCGTCAAAGGGGATTCGCACTTCCCCTGGCACGCCCTCTCCAACTTGTCTAAGATTCGTCAGGAACTCGACCTCTGGGCGGCCGGTACACAGGATTTGTTTGCGTCGATTGAGACGCTGTTCGGTCATCCGGAGAGCACACTGCTGCTGCTGAGCAAGCTGATCTATCATCTGGTGCACTGCCTGCTCTACCGGCCGTTTCTGCCGATCGATCTGGTGGAGCTGCGCGGGACGGGGCAGCATCAGTCGTGGCAGATCGAGGCGACAACGCTGTGCTTCTCGCACGCCAACGCGATTGCTGAGCTGGTGGAACTGGCGCGACATGCGCCGCGGATCGAGTGGCCAGCCTTGGTGGCATACTGTGTCTGCACAGCCGGTACGGTCCATGTACACGGCGTGCATTACCACGGGCGTGAGGGAGAGGTGTTTGCGTCGAGTGCAGACTTTTTGGCGCGGGAGATGCACCAGCTGTCATGGCTGCGACAGTACTGGGCGGGGGTGCAGCATCAACGGGAGATGCTGCAGAGTATTTCCGCGTGTCATGCCGAGCTGGTACGGACTATGGCAGTCCGGCCAGTACGGTTTGCACCGGTGTTCCACCTGGAGGATTTCCTGGACCGGTATCCGGGGCTGGCCGTGGAGGGAGGACATGTCCGATTAGTGGACGTGGACCAGCCGTAAGTTCCCTCTGTGCTGTGTTGCTTGTCGGCATCGCTTTGCTAACCTGTGTAGGTTGCCGCTGGACCGGCCTGATTTCTCGGGGCAACTAATGTACCCGCCTGCATCCTCGCTCCCATCGCAAGGACGATCATCCATCAGCTTTCAGCCATCGCAGCCATCGCCCCCATGGCCACAGCCGGAGTTGAATCTCCCAGAAAGCAGCCTCGGGTTCTCCCCGGGGGTGGCTTCACCCGCGGCATTCTTATCCGACACATATACGGCTCCCACGCCGCCCGCCCAACCCCAATACGCGACATTCCCGTTTGAAGCAACCCCGGGGGGGGCCGCTCTCACACCAGATGCCCCATCGCAAAGCTCAGGGGGCGTAGGGACAGCGACAGGGACCGGGGATGGCGAAAAGGATCCGTTCCTAAGTTTATTAGAGCAATTGGCCGAGAATGAACACTCGCAGGGCGGCCCCAGCGAGCTGGACTTTTTCCTAGGCGAGGGATTAGATCCGATCCCGGGGGAAATCGCGGATGGGATACTGGAGAATGACTGACTACTGATGCTGATACTGACGATACCCTGTATATTATTCTACATCCTACATAGCACATGCATGCATGCATGGATACATGATCAATGCACGATACGAATCACATGACCTGACATCATACCCTAATCTGATACCATCTTCATACCCTAATACTTAGTATGAATACAATGAAGGAAGAGAATGGATCACCGCATAGAGACATACCTCCTCCCCAAACCGCACCTTCAAGGTTCTCCAATTTACCCCTTCACCGGGAATTCTTTCATCTCTACCTCGCGGGGGACGCTATCGTGGGGGTATTCAAGCAGCAAGGTATTAGCTCTATCCCGATCACGCAGCGTTTCTGCTGTTAATTTGGTATATATATACTTGATTGTAATAGATGATATGAAATAAGAAGAAATGAGGAGAGAGAATTATGGATGGATTTGTGGGGAGGTCGGTGGTGCATGCGGCGCGGGTGATATCTCCGACTGTTACCGACCCCTCATACTAATGATACATTTGATGAGGATGGGGGATGAGAACTGGCAACTGAGAATACAGACGATACAAGACGCCGACGAAGTTGCAGAGGAAGGTACTTTGATTTGGTACATTTCCTTAGGAGAAAAAATCTGCTATTCATGATGATTATGGTGATCGGTTTGATGATCTGAGTGATTATTATGAGAGTGATGATGAGGAGGATGAGGAGGAGGGGGAAGAAGAAGAAGAAGAAGAAGAAGAAGAGTTATCAACAACAGCATACCTCAACCTTACCTCATTCGTCGCGTTCATGGCGAAGGAAAGGATGTTTTGTTCTTCTTCTTCTCATTCTACTCCTGCTCATGATGAGAACTCTGATGATGACTCTGACAAGGGTTGTGGGGGTGACCCCTGTCCAGGCTGTACCTGGATTCAGGATCTCGCGAGGGGATGTCTTTCGCTGCTTGCTGCTGCTACTTTTCATCCTCTTCTTTCGACCACTCCGCCTCCGACTTCTACTCACCCTACGACTGAACCAACTACCTTTCCGGCTGATTCCACAAGAGCACCGACATCTACACCCAACACCACCGATAATTCTTCAATTCCACGCGCTCACCAGTCACAATCTCAACCGCAGCCATCTGGATCATCATCTTCGGTGAAGACCTCTGGTCAACTCATCGGCATCACAAACATAATCAGAATCACAACCACAACCACAACCACATCCTAAAATCCAAACCCAACCCCAAACCCAACTCAAAAACCAGATTAAAGAACGACATCCACCTAATAGAAGGCATGGCCCTCGACGAATTCGAATCCGGATCTGGATCCGTATCTGCCTCATCAGGATCTCGCTCGGGATCTCAATCACAACTCCCCTTGCAAGGTACTTCATCTACTGTTAACAGTGGTGACGAGGCTGGATCAGAGTGGACAGCCTGGATGGCTACATTCATTACTTCCACCCATACGGGCCACCTATCAAACTATACGAAATGTATCGCGGCAGACGCAGCAGACTTTATGTATAATGTATATCATGTATCAGTTGGTCTAATGGAACTAGCTGTAAATAGAATCGATCTAGATCTTAAGGTATGTATGGTATCATGAGAACTTCACTCCCTTGCTGGGATCCCATTGTCCTCCGCCAAATCGGATTCCCATTTCTGGAGACCAGATCCCTGGTGTCATGGCCGGTCGGGAATTCGCTCGTGTCGGTTGTGGTGCTGCCATGGGCTCTGGTCGGGGTGGGATCGGCTCGGCTGGGACTGGGACTGGGGCGGGGGCGGGCACCGGCGCGGTGTATGGTTGTTGGCGGAGTGGTTGGGAAATGTTCAATGTTGCCATGGCGGCTGCGCTGGAAATATCGCCCTCCAGCTGACTGGCTTCCATCCGTCGCTTATGGACAAACGCTTTGCTGTCGTCGCGGAATCGGCCCACGATTTTCGCCAGGTCGTTGTAGAATTTTCGCCCCACTTCAATGTTGGAGAGGATCTCCTTGTACTTGAGGTATCCGTTCTCCAGGTCTTGTAGGGCCCGCTCGCGCTCCTTGGTCGAGGCATCGCCCGTGTGTGCTCGGGTGAAGGCCCGGTTGGCTTCCCGGACCCGCGCCGCAATCGCGTCCTGGTCCTGTTGCTCCCGCGTCACCATCTCCAGGTCCGAGTCATACAGGTGTAGCTGCTCTTCGAAGAGATCCTCGAATTGACTAGCCTGGATCACTTGCATGGGAAACTCGCGCTCCAGCCGCGCCGTCTCCTTGATGAGGGCTTGGCTGATATCATCGGTGCGCGCCTTGTCCTTCAACGCCTGCGCCTGCCGTTTCCGCCGGCTCTCTAAACGGCTCACCTCGCTCATGCATCCCCGGAGTCGACTGACCTCGCGCTCGACCTCTGGAGGCAGAGCGGCCCATCGGCTGCTGGGCACGTACATCTCTAGATCGCGGTTGGTGCCGGTCAGCACCCGGAAGACTGCCTCCGAGTCTTTCAGCTTTTGCTCGACCAGATTGTCGCTGCTCTGGGCAGATGTGAAATATCCCTCGATCTCGCGAGACGTCGTGTACAGCTTGGGCGCCGCCTCCTCGGAAGACGCACGAGACCATCGGTCGGTTCCATACTTACGACGAGACGCATCGTCCTCGGCTTTTTCAGCAGCCAAGAGCTCTACGCCCTCGCGGTACACAGCCTTGTCGTTGGACTTGACCGTGGCCGTGTCCTCCAGAGACTTGCGGAGTCGATTCAAACCGTCCTGTTGACGCATTTCTTCGGCATGAGACACTAATGTCGGTGGTAACCCAAGTGGCTTCTCGAGGGCCTGCAGAGAACCTGGAAGATTCAACGATGACAACAGACTGACTAGTTAGTCTTACTCTGACGTTGGGGGGGGGGGGGGGGGCGGTCCGCAACTTACTCCCGAAGCTTGTCCGTCATCGTCTCCAGCTCGCCGATGATCGTCTCATTGATCAGTCGGTCCCGACGGTCCGAGTAAATGCTAGCCGCAATGTGCACGGCGTACGGCACGAGCTTGGAGAACAGCGGCTGTCCCAGAGGCCCGTTCTCGCCCAGCATGGAAATGGCATCGGTCACCTGGGACGGGGCCTTGGCTGCCACCATGCTGGCCCGGTCGATGAGCTTGAGCTCCGACTTGGGCGGCACCGGGTTGAGGTAGATAATATCGTTGTCTTTCTCCGCGCGTTTCAGGTCCTCCGTCACCCGAGTCTTCAGTCCCTGAAGATCCCCCAGCACGGTGCGGTTGATCCAGCGCGACTCTTTCAGCGCTTCATTGACGCACGCCTCGCTGTCCCTCAGACGAGCGACCTCCTCGCCATACTTGCGTTTCTCCAAGCAATCGAGGGACTGTCGGTACTGCGCGGCCGCAGCAAAGTGATGATGCTTAGCCGTCATGTGGTGAATCCACTCCGGACTGATAGCATTCGACTTGACCGCGTAATCTCCCGCATCGGCATAGAAATCCGAGACCTGGGCCGCCAACCGAGCAATCGAGGCGTCTTTCAGTCCATCCTTGACCGCCTTCTGCCAGAAGCATTCCTGCGCCTGCGCCAGTAGCAGCTGCTCCAAGCTCTGCAGCGTCATGTCGTCCATGTCTTCGGGAGGCGATGTTCGCAAATCGGGAAGGATATCCGACCGCAGGTGTTTCAGAACCCCAGCCGCCTGGCAAAAGTAATTGCACGCCTGCTTGAGTCCATCCGACGTCGTGCGGTTCACAGAGAATGCCAGCTGCGAGTACAGCGCCGCGAGGTTGAAAATCACATTCGCGAGCTCGAACCGGAGGTTATTCTGCGAAACTAAACCGATCAGCCGATCCCTTATATCCTACACACGTCCACCTACTCGGTCGAGAAGTATTGAATCCAAACGCAGGATACCACGGAAATTCCACGCCAACCTGCACGCGTTAACCCTGTCCATCACTGTCATCATACACTCACATCCACCGGAAACTTCCCCCCGAGCCATTTCAGCTGCGCCGCATACGTGACCAGCCGGCTGATCCCGCTAACATGAGGCTCCTGGACATTGATTGCTTCGGTTCGCAGTCGGTCGATGATCAAGAGATCCTCCGCGAACATATCCGGACGTTGGTCATATTTAGAGGAGATGTACTGTGTGATGGCATTCGACAGGGAGATGGAGTGCGAGCGCCGAAACGGAATCTGAAGGATATTACTGCGACAGTTAGCAAGCCATCATAAAAGCAACAGTAGAGCACGTACGACGCCATCGTGTAGTTGAGCGTAGCATCGGCCAGATCGTCGGAAGTTTTGTTGACGGAAAAGCCCAACCCCACCCGGCAACGCATGACGTTGTGGATGCCTCAGGCAGTACCACAATCAACACATACACTACTCGTAGTCACGTCCGTTTACAACCATCTCACACAACATATCCTTATGCACATAGTATTCTTATTCGAGACTAACTCACGCACTATGTACTATCCCATGAGCTATCATGTACTCCCAATCTCCGCCAAGTCAACTATGTCCAGGCACTATTCCAGCTCATCAATGCGCATCTTGATGTATTCGAACATACTCAAGAGAATCATGTTGTTCACTCCAGTGCGGATCAGAATGATCGACAGGCCCTTGTACATGCTGGATTTGGCCACCGCGGTCGCCGCCTCGCCGACTTCCTTGGTCTTGCCCAATAGCACGCTCTGCGCGCGGGTCTTGCGAGTATCGAGGGGGTAAGTCTGTTCTGTTAGTTTCGTTTCGTTCAAATGTATCGGGGTACGACTTACGCAGAACCAGGGAACCGTGCTGCAGATTGCACCGGCGATCATAGGCGCTCCGAAAGGTGACTTGTCCGGTCCGAGTTCCTTCGCAGCCACTTGCTTGACGGTCTCGTACACGGTAAAGTACAAGCCCGATCCGAGGGTGTCGCGCATGGCGTGAAGGTGGAAGCCCGTGTACAAGCCGCGGAAGCCGTATCGCTGCACGATCTGCTTGATCGCTTCGGCGGTGTTCAAGCGAGGCTTGTTGCGCAGTGAAGGGTCATTGACAGCATTGGGAGACGCCTGGGCGCGGTTGGACACCAGCACCGAGGTCTGAACCACATTCTTGGCCAGCTCGAAAGGACCTATTCCATCAGTACTGAACTGCTGATCCAGCGGCTGACTTACAAGCGAGCGGCGAGGTGACCAAGCCAGCAAAGAGACCGGCGGCGGTAAAGGTGGCCAGAGTCGACACGGTGGGACTGCTGCCGGGCTGGTTGTAGACTGCCAGCGGCGATTCGCCCGTCATTTTTTCGACGAAATTGGAGATCCAGTGTTTGGCCACGCTGTAAGTCGAAAAGTTGACCACCCGGACCGCTGTGACGCTGGCTAGAGGGGGCAAGGCTCCAGCAACATAACCGCGGGGTCCTTCAGTACGCCACAAATAGCGAACGCACTGAGCCACATTGCGGAAATTATGGCTGCCACCGTCAGTTCTAATCCAACAGAATCTAGACATCTAGATACTTACGTCTGCATGCGAGTCTTGACATTCTCCAGAGGAGTCTAGACCAGTCAGTGTCACCTCTCCGACCCGACGCGTAACACTCACCACAGCAAGGGTGGCGCAAATAGTCGAAGTCGCCGAGGCCACCTGGGTTTTGTAGTTCTTGAGGAGCTTATTACGCGTTGCTTCGTCCATGTTCCAGGATCGTCCGGCCGACGTGGCTAAGGGAGAAGGTTGTGAAGGCGGAGGGGAAAAGGGTGCATGTTCAGAGTGTTTGTCAAGAGTCATTCCGGGAGGTATCCCATCTGTGGCAGATGAAAGCGCTCCTGATTATTCGTCGCTTAGTCGTCGTCGCCGCCAGCGACCAGTGATGTTCAGACCGTGAGAAGCAGGCTGGGAACCCTATGGAACGCAAAGCGGTCTCTCAGCGTGCGAGCAGACCGTTCAGCGTCCCACAATTGTCCATGAAGCAGGCCTCAGCAAGCAGGGTGGATTTCTTTTGTGCGCGGAACCGAGCAAGTGTGAAATTGTGATTTTTTTGCTGGGTTGATTTTGCCGGCTCAAGCAATGGACGAAGCGACAGCACCCGGCCTGCGGTAGATACCAAGCAGGCGTGCAAACCGACCCGACAGTGATGGTATCCAGCCAAGCGTGCTTGTGCAGAACCTCTCTTCCACACCCAGAGACTATATCGAGACAAGAACAACGTCGTCCGGCTACCTATACCGACCACGAGCGTCAGCCATGCACCTGTGCATCCACCAATATTCTTGTCCCTAAATGCTTTGGTCGAAAGCAACAGCGTACCTCAGACGAGCTCGACCGTCGGGAGTGGAAGAAAGGCCAATGGAACAGGGACAATGGACCGTGCGGGCGAAGAGTGTGAACTGCAGAGGGCAAAGGGCCAGAAAGAGCCGGAGACCATCACGACGGGCGGCCGACTTAGTTTCGGTCTTTTGGGAGAAGTGACTTTAGTGGTGAACGGTCCAGCAGCTACTCGGATCTGACTAAGGAGGGCTGCCAAAGAATCGGGCAGAGCATGTGGACCGGGGGCTCTTGAACCGGTTTAGTGGCTACAGGCAGTGACGTCGTCGTGAGGCATCCAGTGCGACGACGGAGGATGGACGTGTCCGTCCGCTGCGAGGGCACCGGCCCTATCACGGCAGTAACATACCCATCCCCTCAAGCGACATGGTACTCCGTACATTCCACCCATTGCGCAACCTGAAGGGACAGGTGTGGATGGCTGCTGCCAGAGTCAGTGTACTTCGAACCTCGAACTTGGGCTAGGCCCGGAAAGGGAGGCGTGGCAAGACGATGCGTCGGACCAACCCAGTCCGGCGGTGGTAGTACCCGCTCTCTACCCCGCCCCGACCCTCGCCGGCCACTCGCCGCCCATGCTTGTCCAGCTGGCCATTATCATTGGTTCCTCCAGCGGACGGGATGCAGCTGAACTGGCCATCCAGCCAGGTACCTCGCCTATCCACCTCCAATCACAATAGGCAGCTCTCGACGATACACAGTAAGTATACATGGTGGGAGGGCAGACTGTTAACAATACGGGAGGGGTTTCACATGCAAGCGGGCTGTGATCTTCACTGATTACTACGGAGTACGTATTGCTCGACGGAGTACGATCGGGGAGAACCAACCCCGACCAACTAAGAACGACGGCGAGCAATTAACCTTGTCGCATCTCTGGACAGATAAGGGCGATTGTGGATAACCATGGTCTCCGCCAGTGCCACACCCATCCGAGAATGGTGTCGTAATGAAGCCAGAACCTGAAATGACCGGGTTTCCAGTCAATCAGTCCTCGAGCGATTTAATCCCCCAATGTCATTGGCCGAGCGAAATAAACCTCGTCCTGGTGATGCGCACCGCGTGGAATGGGCAAATCATCAATCCCATTGTTGGTTAGAGCTCATTGTTGATCCACGGGGGCGTCCCCAGGCGGATGTGCATGGAGCAGGATTCGGCCATCTCAACCTCTTCTCATCTCCGCAAATGGCAGTAGCTACCGTAGCATTGTACCCAGTCATCAGCAGACTGTCAACGCGGTGCGAATGATGTATGGATGTCCACGACGGGCGTTATATACTTTGATGTTGTGCGATGAAAGCCACCACACAAAATACGCATCAGATAACGTACCCCGCTTGTGCGAGACGACAAGCTGCCAGGACCAGGTATCGGCCATTTCTCAGCGCATCCCCTGCCTTGACATCCTCGGGAGGGAATATGTTGGTGCCTTTGGACTCGGCCCGGGCGGCTTCACGTGAGATGGATCGTATTGAGCGTTGAGCGCGGTCGACATTCTTCTACTCAAGTCTAAATGAAATTACAGCTACAATCAAGACCTTGGCTGGACTTTTTCTGTGCCCCTAGGAAAACGGATGCAGTGTTATGCGGAACAAACAACGGTGGATACTGGGATATACCCTCGGGACCTCGGTCGGCACGGTTCCCCGCAAGTGGCCATCTCCGCATCAGCCACGCTTATCCTCCGCAATCCACATGCAATTCAGGGGCTATTTCAACTGTGCTTTACATACTACTTGACGACTGACGAAGAATTCTGCAATATTGCAACATCGATACAACCTAACTTAACGAATACTAACGATCTTCATCATGGGCAAGAAACCAGCAGGTCCCGCCTACGTCCTGGGCGTGGGGATGACCAAGTTCATCAAGCCCCGGGGCAAGGTGGATTATCACGAACTTGGATTCGAAGCTGGTGTCAAGGCCATGCTGGATGCTCACATTAACTACGACGACGTCGAACAAGGTGTCGCCTGTTATGTCTACGGGGACAGCACCTGCGGTCAACGCGTGTTCTACCAGTTTGGTCTGACTCAGATTCCCATCTACAATGTCAACAACAACTGTTCCACCGGCTCCACGGGTCTGGCCATGGCCCGGACGATGGTCTCTCATGGCGCTGCGGATTGTGTTCTGGTTGTCGGATTCGAGAAGATGAGCCCAGGGAGTCTTCAGTCGGTCTATAATGATCGCGCCAACCCAACGGGCTTGTTCGGTTCGATGATGGCAGAGACCAGAGGCGTCACCAACGCTCCTGGCGCAGCACAGATGTTCGGGAACGCTGGTCGGGAATACATGGAGAAGTATGTCCGACCCTGCGTCGCTGTCAGATGTATTAACGATAGCAGATACGGTGCCAAAGCGGAAGACTTTGCTGAAATCGCCCGGATCAACCATGAACACTCGAAGCGCAACCCCTACTCCCAGTTCCAAGACGAGTATACGCTCGAGCAGATTCTCAAGGCGCCCAAGATCCATGAGCCCCTCACCAAGCTGCAGTGTTGCCCGACCTCGGATGGAGCGGCAGCAGCAGTCATCGTCTCCCAGGCATTCCTCGATGCACGTCCACATCTTAAAGACCAAGCCGTCCTTATCGCAGGCCAGCAGCTCTCGACGGACAACAGCACGCTTTACAACCGTAGCTCCATCGACTTGATGGGGTTTGGAATGTCCCGCGGGGCATGCCGGGCCGCGACGGCGGAGGCGGGCGTCAACGTGAAGGACATCAAGGTGTGCGAGCTGCACGATTGCTTTTCCGCCAACGAGATGATCACCATCGATGCGCTCGAGCTGTCGGAGCCTGGCAAGGCACACGAGATGGTCCAGAAGGGCGACATCACCTACGGAGGCAAGATGGTTATCAATCCGTCTGGCGGGCTCATCTCCAAGGGGCACCCGTTGGGTGCCACGGGTCTCGCGCAATGCGCCGAGCTGGTGTGGCATCTGCGCGGCTGGGCCAACAATCGGTTGATTGCTGGCACGGATGCGGCGTTGCAGCATAACCTGGGCTTAGGTGGTGCCGTGGTGGTGACAGTGTACAAGCGGGCGGATGGCAAGGTTGCAACGCCAGTGCCGTCGGACGTCGTTGCTAAGATTACTGGTCTGGGCTATAACCCGGCTGTGGAGGCCAAGGGGTTCACGGCCGAGCAGGCCAAGTCGGTGCAGAGCAGAAACCACAGCGACAAGTGGGCCTTGGGAGACACGCAGGAGAGGGTTCTGGCGCGTTTCTAGTGCGATGGTTGCATTTGACATGATGATAGTTAATGACAGTTCCGTCTCTTCCAGAGCTTTTCCATTATGTCCTCTCGTGTGCAGGTAGTACACTTGCTGCAGCGTAGGCCTCGTGCACAGGTCTGGTGTAGCCGCGGCAGAGCATCGCGATAAAGTCGATGGCTGGTAGTTATTAACTGGGTGGGTCCGCTTACCTCAGCGGGACTCCACCGGCGGCATAAATAATAAAATTTCGCGTGTTCGGGATTCCTCCTTTCTCTTCTTCATTCCAGGTCTCCAACATACCCTTGTGGATGGATGCTTTTCGCACCGTTCTATCCCACAAATTTTAGCTTTGGGACCTAGAGCGATACTCGCCTGCTCGTTCTAATCCCATCGCCTGCCAGAGTCCGAGGTAGTTGGGTTCGCTTTGAGCATACACCAGTCAATTGTCTAGGCTTGTCCTTGTAGACTGTCCACTGTCCACCGATTGTGCAGAAGAAGATGATCTTCGCCAGTCTTGCTCAACTTCTACTATGAAACTAACCACAGGGATCTGTAACGTATCGGCACATTCGAAGCCTTGTCTGTCAATCCCATGATTCGTCGAGGTCAAAATCGTGCCCATAGTGATTTGCGGACTTTTCAAATGGTCCATTAGCTTCTCCCTCGTGTTGCGTCTGCTTCTATTGTATGGAGTGGTACGTGTCAAAGTAGGGAGGTACATTCATTCTTTTACACCATGCTGAGTGAAGCCTTGCAGGGGAATGTATTCGTAGATGTAGTCTATCTGTGTCTTGGTCTGATTATCATGAAACGAATATGTTAAGAGGGATGTTACAGCAGCCGCTGTCAGGCATGCACTAGACAGCGATCCTCGCAAACAATGCCGCGCGGATCAAGGGTCGGAATGTATTCCCTGGTCGATCAGGGCCACAGGACAGGAGCCTGCCCATGAGCTTGTTTGCTCAATCCCTTGCTTTGTCAAGCTTTCAAGGTGGCAAGGCCTAATCCTTGAATATGGCCACGCGGATCACCATTCTTGTCTGCGTCGCGAGCGACACGCGTTGGTATGCCACATGAGCAGCTAACTAGCTAGCTAGAGTATCTATATAAATCCCTTATCTCATCCCACAGCACCCCAGACAAGCTAGTTCATCGAATCTGGTCGTTGTCCCATCTTCTTCCTTCTCTCTCTGTAATTGCATATTATATTCTTGGCTATAGATCATCTATACCGCCGTCCACTCCTTATACATCTTCACTTCTTCATCACCTTCATCCCACCACCACAGACACAAACACAGATACAGAATCAAAAATGCCCCGCCTCACCCTCTCCTTCCTCCTCATCTGCCTCGTCCTCGCCATCATGGCCACCGCCATGCCCATCAAACGAGCTTCCCCAGATAGTGCCACGGAAATGGACTCAACTTTGGCAGAGGAAATTGCTGCGAAGTCTCTTCAGGTAGCCCCCCCTATACCTATCCCTATCCCTATCTCTTTCCCCTCAACATCGTATGGTATCTAATATTATATGTGATTAGTCCGCCGCAAAAATGATGGACGAAATGGCCGGGAAGGCTGTTGAATCGAGCAAGGAGGATGATTCCACCTCCACACCCTCCACTTCCACGCCTTCTACATCTACCCCGCAAACCAAGCCCCAAACCGAAACCGAAACAGAAACAGAAAACAAGCAACAACCCAAGACCGATGCAGACACCTCTGCAGAGGAGAAAAAAGAATCAACCCCCACGACCCCCACCGCAACCGAATCCTCCGCCGCTAGCTCCCCCAAACCTCAGGCGTCCACGCACATCGTGAATGATAACCCGTTTGCCAATTTGCCTATTGTCGGGGGGTTGTTGAGTGGGGGTGGGGACTCGTCGTTGGGGGCGGGGCTTTTGGGTTAGTTTGATTCTGTCGAGTGATTGATTGATTGGGAGGTGAGTGGGAAGGGGGATGATGGATGGGATGGGATTATGTTATGGTGTTATGTGGGATGAAAATTTAGCTTTGATTGATGTTTTGATTAGATTGTTGGTTGATTGGTGAGATGGAGTTGACTGTGTCAATTCCAGTTTATCTACGTTGGACGGAAGTTAGATGATTAGGTGGTAGTTAGATATATCGAATACGAATCACATTTACATTCATATCCATCCCGTATAATACCAACCCCCGAAGCTGAGATCTCTATTCGCCCCCAAGACCCCGGAATCAAAAGAGCTGGAATCTTCAACCCGCACTGGAATGGTGGAGCTTTGCTCTCCGGTTCATCTGTCAAATCGCAATCACCATCTTGGGTATATATATATATTCCACCAATAACACCGGGTAATGGATAACCCGAGAACCTTTCCAGTAGGTCCCCGTGAGCTGTGGAATTGATTGATCTGTTCGAGGATTAATGTTTGACTGCGTGGTCTTGCGAGTTGGTGTTGTGGTCTCGTGAGTGGTTCGATAGATCATATAGTATGACCGAACGCCTCGAGTCTCCCAGCCGGACCTACATAAGTATACTAGCATGTAGGTAGCGATGCAAGGACATGTCGGGACAGCCAAGCATCCCACTGCAACATTGTATCCGCGAGATATTGGTAGCGAGAGTTGGTCGATCCCTTTGTTTGATATACGGCTCGGAGCACAATGGTATCAGAATATCTGTGGTCTGCATGATGTTCCTGTTCGGATGACTCGTGGTGTCGGAGAGATGTATGCTCATCTGGGTGTCCTTTGTGGCATGGACAGATTCTTTCTGTCTTTTTTTCACTCCTCCAAGGAATAACACTCTGCACATAAGGTGATCCCGCCAGGACACTGGTGTCATCCATACGGGTCGGAAAGATGGAGATAGGGCGCGGCCACCACCGGTCCAAGGTCATGGATCTGCCGAGCGGTGGCAGCTCACCCAGACCGTGCCCCAATTCATTGTGATACGGAGCCATCAAGGTCTGGCTGACATTTTTCCAGCTGCGTCCCCATGCTCCGCAGGCATTTAGCGAGTGGGATTCCTTCCATTGAGCCTGAGACATCCCCGTGAGTTGTGCCGCTCGTGGGAGTTTCGTGAAGGTCTACTAAATAGATCAAAGCCAATTGTCGGCTTGTATGGTTTGTACCTCATCCCGGATCGTAGAACATCGACCGGTGCATTCCATAGCGATAGCCATAATGATCCTCACCCGTATACAATCCCGGATTATATCTTCCTTCTTCACTATGACAACATCGGTAGTGGTTCGTCAGTTCTTATTCCGCTTCACCTGCCACAGCATGTTGCAAAGTGCAGCAAGATTATTGCATGTTTAGCACCGCAACACACCATCACTAAGCAGCACGATGAGACATGGGACATGAATAGCGAGCGACAATTCGTTCGACCCTGAAGTAGATCAAGTCCAAGGCGGGTCCAATGCCCTGGGCTGATATGCCAAGATTATGTCGTTTGAATGTGCCTTCGTATGCATTCCCACGGAGGGAATGTGAAGGGTATAATCAGACGGTGGGAGAAGAAAGTCTGAAGCCACTCAAGGAATGAACGGCAGTCTCCATATGATCAAATATCAGGCAATAGTATCACACCATATCGGACGACGTATATAAGACAAGAGATGGTTGTGCCGATCACTGGAACTGGGAGATGATCATAGACCAGTCATACGGTTCGGGCGAGGTGGCCTCTTGTACACGGTCCGTGGATGAGCACGACTTCTGCAAGGTTCGGCCAGCGAGTGGATAAATAAGCATTTCGCGTGTTGTTCGCTCGTTTGCTAGTTGGTAACAGTCCACGTAGCGCCAAACCGAATGACTTGAAGAATCTGTAGAAGGCTAGGATTGGAAGCTCATCGGTAAGCGGTGGACTGGGTGTTTGGTCCGAAGGTTATGTGGTCCCGAAGTCGAGACCGATTATAATCGGTGCGATAAGTGGTGACGTGGAGGATTGGGAGATATGGTGAGACTGCTCCCTAGAAACGAAACGGGATGCTTCTGATTCTCGTATTCGTGGAGTGCCACCCTTTGCCGGTCAAGATTCTCTTGACAAACTTTCTTCAGACTTCTTGTCCACGACAGCGGAGGCTTTGCTCGTTTGTGCTTATGACCCTTCACTCCAGCCATAGCCATGATTATCTACTCATTTGTTTGGTAGTTCTCTAGTGGAAAATCGCATATCGGCGGGTAGAGGATATCATATAATCCTTCCGATAGCAGAATATCCGACCAATGTTCCGGTGGGACTTGCCACAGTCTGGATAGAAAAAAGCATTGCGGCAGGCCACATGGGTCGGTTGGTTTCCTGCGTGCGTGTTAAGTATCCTGCAGCATACTCTCATCAAGGCGACAACCTATGATGGCTTGCCCGATCAGCGGGACAGCTTCGAAGGCTGAATCCGACATCCGCATCCTACAATCTCGGTTAGTCCGGAGGTAATCAAGGCAGGCTCTGCTCCCATACCTGCGTCTGCCGGTTCAGTGTTCCTTGATAACTGCAACATAAGGATGCGCATTGACCGTATCGAATCCGTCGATCTTCATCAATAAGGAGTAGAGGTGATATATGCAAGTCCATCTAAGAGACAGTTGCTTCAGGGAAACCTGACTGGGTAGGAATCCTTTGGAGAATATGTTTTGTTGTGTTCAAGTTAGGCATCGTCATTTAGAGCTGAAGATGAAGCTACTATCCGCATATGCAGACGAAGGTAGGGTGTCTAGACTCGGACATCGAAGAGCTCAGTCTCGCCGGTAACAGTGTCAGCTGGCAGTTCCTCTATAGCACCGCCGAGTCAATTGCAATCGTGTCCTTGAATTCCTGGTTCATCATGAGCAGGTCTTCTTGGACGAGATGGACCAGGTCATCATCCATCCACTCTCGAGTAGATCTGGACAGGGTACTGCGCCGACTAATGCGGGACTATTGACACCGATGGCTGAATGCCGTGCAGCCCCAGGCACAGGAATGAACAGGATAGCATGGATATGGGTGAAGCGCAAATTGAAACCCACGACAGGACGCACAACTGATTTGACAGTCTGATCCATGACATGGTAGCAGAGATGGTAACAGGCACGTCCATGCTTGGTGATTGTTTGGTAGATACCGAAGAAAGAGTTCGAGATCATAGGCCTTCCCATCAGGACTTCCTCACCACTTGGGAGATCGACCTGTGCTGAGGACACGCAAGGCAACTTGTATAGAATCTGCAAGTGAGAACAGCGTGGTACTTGAAAGGTCGTCGGAACCAAGAGTGATCTTGACGGTTACGACAGTCCCGGATAACCTTCCTTACCCTCTGTCCTTCCCGTATCCCGTCAACGCTGCCGTCGCAGCCAGCAGTCGTCTTAGTTGCTGTGAGCGTGCGGTAGGAGCAGTGACGAGGCGTGAACAATGTACAACAGTAAGGAGATACGCCGAGATACGGGCAAGTCAAATATAGGATTGCTGAATGAGGACCAGGTGGATGTGGTATGCAGATAACGTATCCGATAATACGAGCGATGCGCGAGATGATGTTATCTTAAGACATGTTATCTAGCTCGGTGGTGATGTACAATCGATGTCAACCATCCTGAGAGAATCTAGGAGACAATTAATCGTTCTTCAGCCAATATACCCTAGCGGTAGTGGAGTAAGTACCAGGATATGAGCCAGATCAGCTTGATCTCGACAGGACAGTGCTGGGGCGGCGTCTTTGATCGTATAGATGTATCAGGTTGTAGGCCGCCAAATTGCAGGACATTGCTGATTGTATGGGATCTTGATGGTAGCGACAGTGACTTTTGAGCGGAGACTGAAGTGCTCACCTGAATAGGGCTATGATTGCTTCGCTCTATGTTGATTATAATGATTGGGATTCGATGGGCACAGGCCAACACGCAGGGGAACCCGGTCGATTTCCGTACACTTTGCAAGCAGGCGTTCGTGAGATCAGCAGACTAGAGACAGCTACAGGACGAGCAATGGGCATAAGAGAAGACAAGTGAGCAGACAGCACTCATGCCGTCTGGGATACTCTAGCTCATCCGAATGTCCTACCTTCTCTACCGAGTACGAGCAGCCGTATAGCATCTGTGCTATGCAATCTGCCACTAGGTGCACTTCACTGCATCGATAACGTGGAAGACGTGTATGGCCATGCAGATCCATCTCCTGCAGTCCGACTTAGCCCGGAAGCATATCAAGGGCCTTATCATACCTCTGTTTCGTGGCCCGGTATACGCGCAAACAGCTATACTCCGGAGACTTCTGGAACATACCCTCCGAAGCCTCTTTTTCAACTGGGTGGTCTGCCACGCTCTGCGCCTTTGTCGACAGAGATTTAGTTGCTGAGGTGGTGTGCCGAGTGGCAAGCAGCCCGTCAGCATTTCGACACTGAAGGTGGTTGACCGACAATGCAGATAGAGTACGGTGGTCAGAAGGTTTGCTACAGGCAGAACTTTCAACTCAATACCGGAAGGCGGATAGGACAAGACGATCATGAGTCGAGGGTCCTCAGTAATAACCATGGGATACCTCATGTGGGAGGAGCCAAGGAATAGGAGGGAACCTCAAGGAATGGCTGGCCATCACTGCAATGAACCTGCCAAAGTGATGTCGTGTGATCAAGACAGCAGATGACATAGACATGCCGATTCAAAAACTCCTCCCTGACCAACATTCATGATGGCGAGACATTAGTATGTCGACATCGCCAGTACGTCTATATTGATTGTCAGAGCAGGATCTGGTTTCCGATGCTTTGTAGGCATGTATGAGGCATGGTGCTCAGTTGGTTCATACCAGGTTGTATCTCCGCTCTGCCCTCACGAGTCCCTTGACGTTGAGCTGTTTGATGGTATTCCTTGTACAATACGAGACTGTCGCGGACTGGCCAGTCGATGCAGATGACCACGAGCAGGTCCGTAGCTGTAAACAGTGATGATTGATTCCATTTTACTTCCAAAATGGGACCTCTGATCACGTATGAGGCCAACCAAGGAACTGGGGTGAGTGTCAAACCGGGTTGGTGGGAGTACGGAGGAACAGGCGTACGCGCAGCATGGCTTCGGGACATAAGTATAGAAACTCTCTTGGGTGAACATAATCATAGGCCACATCATTGGTACCCGGAGGACATATCGGTAACCGCTGGGTTCAGGATTGTCTGCTCGCGGGACTGTTTGCTGGAACGGTAGGGACCTTTCATTACCTTTCTCTCCAACAGGCAGTGCGCCGTCTCTATATGAAGGGTGCTCTGCTCGTGTTAAGAAGATAACAGTCGACTCGGCAGGCTCGGGACTGTCCTCTGAGTCATCACCATCTTCCCTGGAGGAAGCGGATCATGTATGGACATTGGATCGTGAGATGCATCATGTATAGGGTGCCCACGAGACAGTAGATCGTTGAAGTCGAGACCAGACACACTGTACCAGGTGCGATACCCATTGCAGTCCGCAGATGCAAGAGTATATGTGTGGAGCGGCATGGAGCGGCCGCGTAGATAAGTAGGTAGGGATCAAGAATTGCAACTTCGTGCGCGTGTCATCGCCTCGAATCCATGCAGCCTTCTATCTTGTAAGGCAATGAGCGCACATGTCTCATGTTGTTCCCCATTTTTATTTTTGCAGGGAGCCAGAGACTGAACCTCCATGCCGTCTGCGATACGCGAGACGACTCGGTCCTGCTATCATTGCACTCGCTTTCTCTGTGCCCACCGTAATTTTGGACATCTATGCTCTAAACGAAGAAATTAAGCTCTGGCAGAGGCAGAGGATCACTCGAAATGAAGCTGAGTAAAAAGCAATAAGGCAGCGACAAAGGTAAACAGGTTGGAGACGTACGAGCCAGCAATTTACCTAGAAGATAATCCAGGAGGCGCACCGGCGTCCGTTGGATGTTGAGTACGCTCGACGATGGATCCACGGTGTTGAACAGCCCAATGTGCAACGGATGAGTTGAGCTGGAACCCCGGAGTGCAAACATACTTCAAATCATCCGAATCAATATAGTATGGTCTAGGTAGAGTTAATGTTAGTTTATCCGAACTTCCAGAGAAGAAAACCGTGGTTTGGCTAGGTACCTTGGGCTTTCTGAGGTAACTCCTTGATAATGGAGCCAGCAAACCCCAGCAACATCTACTTCGACACAATGGTAGAAAATCTCTGATCACTGGAGCACATCAAAAGTAAACCCTGAGGATTCAAGATGAACCTAGGATAACCCGAAGCGTGTATCCGAGCTCTGGTCTAGTGGTCTTTGGTGAATCCGCAGTAAGCAATGAGCTCGTCTGCTCTTACACACTTAGCCCCTTAGATACTGCGGCAGGTGGACTCGACGGTCGGGATGTAATTGTTCGCTGTAGGCCTTGGGAAGACGATCAGCAATCTTGTTTTTTTAATGATTGTTATTTGGAGGCATGGTGAGGCGCGGCTATCTTCTTCGGGGCCATGGATTGGACGGCAGTTCTGCCGTTCCAACTCTGCAAAGACTGGTGGGATCCTTGATGTGAAAAGACGTGCCCAATATACTACCGTCGGTGTCTTCTCCCCACTGGGTAGGCGGCAATCGTTATTGCATTTGTTGCGGGAGGAAACTCCGTCAAGACTGACTGATCGCCTTGCATCCCGGGCAACAGATGATGCGGATGTCTGGGCGAGTGTTCAGCGAGGAGTGTCAGTCTGATGGCGCCTTTGTGGGGACTCCATGAGCTACAATAGGGTTGATGTATTGGTGAAAGACGACAACATGTGACTCCGTAGCCTACGGCCATGTAATGAATGATCAGATGTACATGGAACTAGTGTTGGGCTCGGAGTATACTGTACCAACTTGGTACAACATCCCAGCGGGCAAATCCACACTGGGAATCGGGGTATATAACGTTGAGTAGGTGCAGCAATGAGTCTGAGTGTTTGGAATATGGTCTCTGAACGACGCCAACCCCGTGTTGCAAAGCTACCAGGCCGCGCTCACTCTGATGCACAGCTTGTTAGCCATGGTGCTCCCCGGGCATATCGTTATTTGTGTGTCTGTGATGGCAACTGAAGGAGAAACAGGTTGTAGAGGGATCGCCTCAATGCAGAACAACGAGTGATCGCGATGGATCTCTGGTATATGGGACGCGTCCGCCCCGTCCACACTGCACGCTGGGCGTCAGTGGACATTAGGCAGTTTTGCTGTGACCCGATGGCTATTCTTTCATGCAGGGGTGTTGGTTAATGTCTGACTTCATGAGAACTTAGGACGGCCATGACTCACTGACGTCAGATGCCTGCGCACAGCATGGTACTGGTCTAATATATATGCCATGGCTCCCGAAGGGACGAGGCTGATTTAAACCCGCCATCACACGCTGTTGTAGCTCCGAGGTAGCGCACCATGTGCCGCTATCAGTTTGCACTCGACTTGTTATCGCAAGGCTGTGGTTCAACAAATGAGCCGGAAGTATGTTATAATGTGAAAGTCGGAGGAGAACCAAGTATGCTCTGAGCCTTATAGGGAGGCGGGAAACGGGAAATGGAAATGGAATGGGGACCGAAGAAGACGGCTATATAACGAACAGTACAAGGCTACTATATATAGAGAGCTCATCGGGGTTGGAAGAAAGCCGAATTGCGATGAAAGGATGAAGAAATATATAAAGCCCGAAGCTAAGCCAGGATAGTAACGAGGTAGCATGGATGGACAGGGGTATCATATTCAAAGTCTAGACCACATTGAGTCATAGGGCACAGAGTGAGGCCGCCAATGAGATCTCCTCGCATCATTCGATATGCGCAGCGTTGGTTTCACAAAGTCTTCAGGTAGGTTTCCAGGGTTGCAATCACGATGCCCGTCAACGTCAATCCTCGCTATCCGGTGGGGTGCCAACTAGATGCATATACTTTCTGCCTGGGCTAAAGCTTTGCTCTTAGGCGTGCCCAGATGGGATGCTGTTTGCTTCTGCAGCCGTCTTGATTTTTAGCTTTCTGGGCACTTCCCGATGCACACCTACCTGGACGCAAGTATCTTTGGGCATGCTGACCACTTGCGTAGCTATACTTTCAGTTCGAAAGTAAGCAGATATTACTATGAGCTCTTATTCTGATTCGCTCGCTGTTGTCCCTCGTAGAGGCCAGTGTAATATCCAGCATAGTACCAGGCCATCATGAGGCTTTTCAGTCCTTCATCTTGGACTAAAATCAGGTTAGCTTTTCTTCGAGCCAATCCAACGACAATACATACCTTGTGATAGGGCGGGGTGAGGCATAGGAGCTGCTCCTACGGATCCAGGCCCAGCCGTTTGCTCCGTTTCATGGCCACTCCGTCCAGATGGCCGGTCTGGCCCTCCCGCAGTCTGAAAATGGTCAGTGTTGTGCCGTCCACCAAGAAAGCAGAGTGATATACCTGCGACGTAGCAACCTGTGGCACTTGCGGAATTTCGGCTGGAGCGGTGGTATTGGCAGCAGTGTCAACGACCGGCACGTCGACGTCAGCATCCATGTGGTCGGCCGACGCGTCCAACGGCTGCTCATCTTGCACCGCTTGAGCTTTCTCGGCAGCCTCTGCCTCTCTCAGGACATCTTCGACATTCTCGCCTTTGGCTTGGATGCTGTGGTAGAGCTGTTGTTGTTCTATCAGCGAGCGGATCACGTGCACGGGGCGTAGACCATACTTTGTATTCCTCAACAGCCTCATCCCAGCTCTGGACAAGGGCAGAGTCATCCCAGATCTCCTCCTGAGTGAGGGGTTTATTGGCATTTGATTTCCCCATGACGGCAGCGTGCGTAGAAGCAAACGGCGTGTGAGATGGTTGGGTGCGGAGAAGAGCTTCGAGAGCGCGGCGAGGCCCTCGGCCGGGCTCGATCTCACCGCTTGGCGGAGGAAAAAATGCGAGCAGAAAAAAAGTTTCCCGCACCTTTTGCGACCCTCCGATTAGAGTCCTCCAGGAACCGCCTGCGATTTTTCCCGACTTACAGCAGGATGGCCCCAGACAAGAAGGACAAGAAGCGCAAGGGTATGTACTGTCCTACCCAGAAGTTATTTTGCATCCAATCCTTTGGTGTGTCCACTGACGCTTCGCAGCTGCGGCCGCCGCTGCCGCCGATTCGCCCGCGAAGAAGACCAAGAAGGTCGAGGCCAAGCCCGCCGAATCCCCCAAGGACACCCCCAAGTCTATCCTCAAGAAGGCCAAGCAGAATGAGTCGGCCGCAAAGTACGATACCACTTCGAAGGCGAAGGCCAATGGCCAACCCGCCCGCCAGGTCAAGCCTCGCAAGCGTGCTGCCGATTTCCTGAGCGACAACGAGGATAGTGAGTCCGAGGCCGCCGTTGCCGAACCCAAGGACGCGAAGAAGCCCACCACCAAGAAGTCGAAGAAGGAGGACGGAACTGCTGCTCCCGCGACGAAAGCCAAGCAAGCCAAACCCGAACCCAAGGCCACCAAGGCAAAGAAGGCCGAGCCCGTCGCCGAAGAGTCTGAAGAGGAGGACGAGTCTGTCGCCTCGGATGCTAGTCAGAGTGAGGATGGAGAGGATGACCGCACGGCCGCCCTCATCAAGGGCTTTGAGAGCAGCGGTGACGAGGACGAGTCTGGCGACGAAGGCTTCAACCCCGACCAGCCGGTTCCTAAGATTCCCGACTCGAAGAAGGCCAAGCGCAAGATCTTGAAGAAGCAGAAGGAGAACGCCGGTCAGGCTGAGGAGCCTGGAACGGTCTACGTTGGGTGAGTAGATTCAACCGCGAGCTTGTGATTGCAGATCTAACATGTTGTGCTACAGACGCATTCCCCACGGTTTCTACGAACACCAGATGCGCGCCTACTTCAGCCAGTTCGGCGACATCACCCGCCTGCGTCTCTCTCGTAACCGTATCACCGGTCGCTCCAAGCACTACGCTTTCATCGAGTTCGAGTCGGTCTCGGTGGCCAAGATTGTCGCCGCCACCATGGACAACTACCTCATGTACGGCCACATCCTGAAGTGCAAATACGTCTCCCCCGAGCAACTGCACCCCGAGATCTGGAAGGGCGCCAACAGACGGTTCAAGCGCACCCCGTGGAACCGCATCGAGAAGAAGCGTCTGGACAAGGGCAAGACGAGAGAGCAATGGACGGAGCGCATCGACCGAGAGCAGAAGAAACGTCTCGCGAAGGCCGAGAAGCTCAAGGCTGTTCTGGGATACGACTTCGATCTGCCCCAGCTGAAGAGCGTGGATGAGGTCCCTGTCCAGGAGGCCAAGGCCATCGAGGCATCCGAGCCCGCCGCCGAAGAGCCCGTCAAGGCCATTGAAGCCCCCGCTGCCGAGGAGCCCAAGGTCGAGAAGCCCGCCGAAGATACCCCTAAGAAGAACAAGAAGACTAAGAAGGCCGCCCAGTCTCCTGCTGCGCAAGAGACCCCCAAGTCGGCAGAGAAGCCCGCCGCGAAGAAGACCGCGGAGGTAGCTGCTTCTCCTGCCGGTCAGAAGGCCAAAAAGGTGCAGAAGAAGACCAAGGCCAAGTCCAAGGCTTAGAGGGGGGGTTTCAATTCTTTCGTAATTCTTATGGCATTAAACCGTCTTACCCGGAGTTCAATCGATTGTACATGAAAAAGGGACATTATCTGGCTTCAACAAGCTGTGCTTGATACATGAGTTGTCTATCTGAAGTAGGCTGTAGATCTATCTTTCGTAGCTTAATTGCACTAGTCTCTCCTACCAACCATCCCACCCTCACCCAAATACCAAACCCTCATACCTCTTGCCTCAGGCACCAACACCAACCCAACCCAACCCAGGCACAAAGATCACATGAACCACACCCAAACGAGCCTAGCCCCCCACCACTCCCCACTGACTAATCGCCTATAAAAAAAACCCACCAACCCAATCCCCCAAAATTCCCTCTCTCTTTCCTCCCCAACTCCTCGCTCAAAGAATCGCATTCAAAGCTCACACACAGAGAATACCTCGTATTCTCTTTCCATCTCTTAATGCCTGCTTTGGGAGAAAGTCCCCGGACACCCTGACTGTTTTTAAATGTCCCTCGCGGGACCCAGTCAGGCAATGCGGAAACGCGCCGCCATAGAAGCAATTCGATAGCGGCTTATTGCCCGATTCCTTCCTCCGGTTGCTGATGCTGTATCCGACGCTGGTCTGCGCTTCGTGTGGACTGGTGGATTGAATGGTGGTATGGTGTTCTGCTGGAGGGGGGGTTGTTGATTTGGGTTGCCTTTCGTCGTGTTTGGATAGTCATGCGATTGCCCTCGTGCTGCTCTGGTCTCTTTTCTCCTCTCGTTTGAGAGGAGGGGGGCTGGGTGGGGGTAACTCAATGGGGCTCATTCTTGAGGCGAGGAGTTCATATTTCTTTTTTTCACTTTGAGTCTGTAGCTTATGGAAAGCGGTGTTGGGAGCTGATGTTTGTTGGCTCGCTCGCAGATGCTCTGTCGAAGGAGCCGGACTCTACCATTTTTTTTTATTGTTTTTGTTTTCAGTTATCTGTTCGCGTGATGATATACCAATCATAGAGTCAAGCCCTGAAACTCCGCCTACCATGGTTAGGAGTTGTTGACGATAAACGATTGTTTTCATATCTGATGAACATTACGGATACTTTTCGTATTGCATTATAGCTTTAATAATATGAACCTTTCGAGGGGAAAGAAGAGCCATCTTATTTTATATCCAACTCCACGTAGCTAAACATGCATGCATAACTCATTGCGCCTTCTTTTCAGCCTCCGCAGCAGGAACAGGGCCCGTCACTCCGCCTCTCTGCAGCAACACCGCCGTAACCACCTCCGCCATGGTCGTAATTGCCGTCGCACACACGTTACTCCAAATCTGGATGCTCACCGACCCGAGCGGTGCGCGGGGAAACGACAGAACCCACGCCACGTAGTATGGAAGCCAACCCTCCGGCAGCATGAAGACGGGCGTTTTCGAGTACCAGAACTGCAGGAAGAGCTTGAGACCGGATGTACCGAGCCAACGGGCGATTTTAACGGCCCAATCGAAGGAGGATTTCTGCGAAACGAGTTGCTTGTCTGTTGAAGTGAGCCGCTTGTTAGCTTTCGATCCAAGGGTGTAAATTGTAACTGTAGTTTTCAATAAAGCAATGTAGTGACTGGTTCCGACATACTGATTGATTCATATTCCTCCATCGTCTTGTCGTGTCGTCGTCGAAGCTTTGCCCATTTCGCAAACTCATCCTGGGAGCTGGTGTTGTTCATGTCCCGCTTTAGCTGGACGACCTCGCGCTTCAGTCGGTTTTGTTCTCTGGCTTTCTTCGCCGTGGGCGTCGGGACTTTCAGGTAGAGGAGCCATAGCTAGGATTTACTTGTTAGCTTCTTTCAACTCTGGTGTTTGTGACCAAGAATGACAGGTAGCTCGGGATGTGACAGCTGGAAGGTAAAAGCAGGGAAGCTGTGCCAGTTGCTCGACAAACATACCAAGTTATCAATGGTGCTGGCACCAATGGTGTTCACCAAATAAATGGCGACATGAATGAAGAAGACCGTCCACAGAAGCGACAACATGGTGGGCTAGAGATCGGTGCAATGTAGAGGGAGAGTGTGAGGAATAGGTCGAAATTCAACTAAGAGTAGGTTCCCGGTGAGGTGTAAAGACCACGAAGTTCGACCGACTTGCGCGGAGATAGTGCGTATGCCCCCAGACAAACAAATGTCAAGGGATAAGCCGGTGAGATTGAATACTGAGAAGCCGAGAAGAGAGGCAAGTCTGAACGAGAGAATCTGGCGATGGGTGAGAAAGCAAATGACGTTGTCACGTTGTTTCCCGCCCGGCGGCCGCGGCACTTCTGGCCCCGAGCTTCTTCATTGTTCAACCACGGCCGACTTCAACCCCATTAACGCCATGCTGCAAGGCGGGTGATTCTCAATGCCTACTCCTCCAGACAATCATACCGCATATCATGACCTCTCCCGAATATTCTCAGCCAGACACCAGGACAACCGCGTGCTAGAGATCGAGATACTCCCCCCCGGTCTCGGTCCGCTGCTACAAGATGGAAATTCGATCGGAATTACGAAGAAGCACCTGGTTCAGGCTTTCGTGATTGCCAGGAGAATATTTTTCGGTGCTTCTAACAAGGTCTCCGTCTTTCACAACGCCTGTGGCTACGAAGACGAGTGCGAGACCCCGCAGAATGAACCCCCAGTCCAGAAACAAAGGGAGGACCTGCTGAATGCCACCGAGATCATTCTCCTCTTCGACTGCGAGCACATCACAGCATGCAATTGGCGCAAAAAGCGTCTAACTGCTTTGATCCAGCGCCATGACCCGGCGGATGCTGACCACACCCATCGAGAGATGCTCGCTCGTGAATTAGACACAGAACTTTCCCTGATGACCACGTATCTGTGCTCTCCACTGCATCGCCATACGAAATCCCCGACGCTATGGAACCACCGCCTATGGGTATTAACGCAGATGTTAGGGCTTCGAAAAGCGGGGCTGGGAGGATCTTTCTCCCAACGAGAGGACAACGGAGGGCTGGCGTGGATTCATGAGATGATTAAAAAGGAGCTATCGCTTGTCCTTCGATCTGGGGAGCTGCATCCGAGGAATTATTATGCTTTTAATTATGCGCGACAACTCCTTGACATTTTCTTGAAGATTTGCGGAGGCACGGAAGACACTGCTGCCCTTGCTGGCTCGGTCATACATCTAGTCTTAGACTGGTGTCTCGCTCATCCAAGTGATATTTCCGGCTGGATGTTTACTCTCTACCTCCTCGACACCGTCCATGATGAACAAATCCACACAGACGGTATCGATCGGGTGCTGCGTTTCGCAGTGGACGTTGGCTGGGAAGGCGAGAGTCTCTGGACATTTATGGATTTGGCAACCCAAAGCCCAAGAGCAGGAGCGTTGACGAAAGACCTGCAATCCCGGCCTCCTTGGGATAGGTTCGCAGCACCGCTCTTGTCAGATGATAGACCGGAGAAAGGGTGGAAGGCCTGGTTGGGAAGAGCAAGAACCGTTTGGCTTGCGGGTCATATGGCGGATAACTGGGCGGATGGCTAGCCGAACCAGCAAGTCGTATGGGATGAGGCGGAAACCAGATGTCATGCTGATATCCGGTCCGCAGAGTTTCGGTTAGAAGACTATATATTGTACATGAACAGAACGTGGAAAATCTGCTGCACCTCATGCGCCGTCTTTATGCAAGATTTGAACGCTATCGGATCATATAAACGCCTTGCTAAATACCATGTGTCTCGTCACATGCGCCAACAGCGCACACCCAGTTGACAAGGCCTTCGCCACGGGTCGCAGTCAGGCCATATCGCAGGCCGTAATTATACCCAACATCAACGATATCCATTCTTGACAGCCGAGGAACTGTCTCCAAAATGGAATGTATACGGGGATTGGTGGAAATGCTATTCGAAAATCGGATGCGAGAATGGTATATATAGACAAGCATCGTGCGACGTCCGGTCTGGCTTGTACAACGTAGGTAAAGACGGGGTATCCTTATTTCTTCTTTGCCCCTGCAAGTGCGTCGGCTTCTTTCTTTTGATCGGCTAAACAAAAAAGGGATTGTAGTTAGTAAGATATCGAACAAAAGACAATGCAAACATCACATCAAGGCCTCACATACCCAATGCTTGCTTCGCTCTCATCCTGTCAGCGTCGTTTTCCTTTTTGGCCAGTAAACCACCCTTACCCAGCTGGGTAGTTTTTTTCTATGCAAACCGAGCCGGTTAATAGCCGGGAAAACATTAACATATGGATCCGGTGAGGAATCCTAACTTCTTGTTCCTTTTTCTTTTGGTTTTTCTCGCGGGATTTGTCTCTCTGGTTACCCCGGGCCATTTTGATTTGCTCGGGTGCGTCAAGTCACCGGTTCAGGCTTTTTTTCGTCGTATATAGAGTCCCTCTGAAGTAGTACAAGGAAGGGGGGGAAGCGGGAACTGGAAGAGAACTGAAGGATTATTTTTTTTGCCTCTGCGGGATTTTGAAGAACTGCATGGAAGGGTTTCCCGTCTCAGCAGGCCGCCGAGCCGCCGCCCCGGAATTCCTTCTTCAGGTGCTTCCCACCTGACCTCACTCCGAACATTGCTGCCCTTCGCCTCCCTCGTCGGAGCCACAGTAGCCCAAGTTTGTATATGAGCCCAGATTCTGCACATGATAATCTGTCGCATTCATGAAATGTCCTCACATGTATTGCTTTCAATCGCCCAGTCCTTCGGCCTCCAAGAGTACATCCACGACATCTCGTTCGGGTTCACACCAACCCCTCAATACCCGGACTGACGCCAGGGTCTCCGTGTGAAAAGCGCCTAATAGCACTTCCATCTTGTTTGTAGCCTGCGCTATCAGCTGTATTGCCTCAGCGACTTCCCCTTGGTGGAACCGAGCCAAAGCAGTGAATTTTAGGGTATAGGCATGATCTGAACCGAACGTGCGGACGCTGTCGTTGATGATTTCGTCGTCCAATTTTCTAATCTTATCACCGTGGCCACTCATTCTCCAATAGATACCGCACAGCTCACTCCTCCAGTCGAGTGTTTCATAGTGAGTCGGTCCATGTGCTTTTGAAGTCTGTTCAATAATCTGCAAGCACAGGTCCTCTGCGTTTTGCCACTCCTCAAGACTGGTGTAGATACTCAACAAACTCTCTTTGCAAGCTAGAGTAGTCCGGTTATCTGGACCCAACTTCTCCTCACACACCTGGAGCGTTTGAGTACACAACTCTTTCCCATCTTGTAGCTTGCCCAGCTCTTCGTAGATTGAGGCAAGATTGCGAGCAATGCCTAGAGCCCAGGGGTGATCTGGACCGTAGTTTTCTTTGTGCCAGTTCCAATCTCTGAATCTGAACTCCGCGGCTTTTTCCAAATCACCTCGTTCATAGTAGAGTGTCCCTAAACTGCCAATGGTACCCACCGTCATTTCATGTTCTTCCCCATAGACGGACCTGGCTGTTTCGAGCACTTCCAATAGCAGATCTTCCGCCTCCTGAAAGCGACATTGCTTCCTCCAAGTGTCCGCCAAAGACTGCATACTTCCTAGAGTCAGGAGATCTTTCTCCCCGTGGACCTTCTTCCTGGTAGTAACGAGGAATGAATCGAGTTCCTCAGCCTCCACCAGTCTGTCCTGATCCGAATATGTCGAGGCGAGACCGGCAATGCTCTCCAGGGTCTCTGGATGTTCTATACCAAATTCCTTTTTATTCTCCTCCACAATAAGGAGGTCAAGTTTCTCCGCCTCGTCTGTACGGCCCTGGGACCACAGGTAGAAGGCTATTCCTTCTTGGAGGTATAGCCTCCTTCTCAACAGCTTCCCATGTAATTCTGGTATGAAATTGAGCACCGACATAGCATGAGGCAGATAGGCAGCGCAGGTAGCCCAGTTTTCCCACACGGCATTTGGATAGATTTCAGCGAGGATGTCCATGGCTTGGATGGCTTTTTCTTCGAATTCATGCTCGATTATCAGCCATTTCCGCACAGTCAATTGCACGAGCCGGTGAATGGAGAAGTCTTGACTGTTTCCGTTTGCTATTATCAGCGAAAATGCTTTAAGCGTACCTAGCGCCTTCGTCAAGTCAAGCTTCTGGGTAATCTTTTGTTGCATCAGACTTGTTGGAATGTGATGTTGGTCAAGGAAAGCAATCAGGGAAAGCGCATCGATGGCGTACGGCTCATGCTTTCTGATATGATCTAAAGAAACGATCAGAGTGGTTGCAAGAGCATTTGGGGTTCCGCTGTCTCTTCCTAGCGTCTCGAAGGGCTCGCACAGTAAATTCATTCTGGTCTCATCACTGTCATTATGAAGCTGAATGTACTCGTTCACGGTGAGCACATTTTCTTGCATGAAAGAAGCGGCTTGCATGATCGCCAACGGTAGGTAATCGAGCAGCCTGGCAAGATCGTCCATATCTGATTCTGTAGGATAATCTCTGCTCAAAACGGATTTTATCAAGCATTTCGACTCTTCCTTGGTCATAGTTTCCACCTCGACCATGTTTTGTGCAATAGTCCTGGCGAATCTGACACCAGCAGCTCGGTTACGAGTTGTGATGAGAATCGATCCATAGGGGCTTTCTGGAAGGTACTGAAGGATTGATGAATCTTCTTCGAGCTGGGCAGCCGTTTTCGAAACACCGTGACCGTGACGCGTTTCTGACGTAAAGAGAGAGGCTTGGTCGGCATTATCAATGATCAATAACCAGCGTTTACATTGCTTTTCCAGCCACTGTTTAACGAGCATCAAGTTGTTATTATTCTTATCGTCTGAGTTCTCGATGTCGCATTCCCTGATGATATCATGGTAACCTTCTTGGAATCGACTGATACTGTTTGCGTGGATCCAGAATATTGATGCATCAGGATGAGCTTCATGTACTTGATGTGCGAGCTCAATGGCTATCTGGGTTTTACTGTTCTCATTAGTTCAAGCCTTTCTCAATGAAGAATTAGAACCTACCCGACACCGCCGAGACCATATAAGGCTACCCGAGAATGAGTTTTGCCCAGCGGCATGATATGCTCCGCTAGCTGGCTTAGAGTATGCTCACGGCCGACAAATCCGGGGTTACGTGCGTAAGGCATCATGACTATCCGGCAAATTACTGTTAGCGGTTGCATCCATTCTCAGTCTATAGCACTTACAGAAGGATGGATTTGCTTCATCAGCTAAGAGCATGGAGTCTGATTCACTGAAGCTACTCATCATTGCACGTGCCTCCGTCGCGGAGCTTGCAAGTTCGACAATCAAGGATGAAACATATCGATAGTCGTCATCTTCCTCGCGGGAAAACCTGCAGATAGCGTCATGATCGCCATTCAGTGCGATTGCTTTCTCACGCGAGTCTGGCAAACCAAGGACGGCAGAATGCTTTTCGACAATCTAGATTATTTGACCAGTGAGTCTCTTTCAGGACCGTTACCTAATCAGTCATGTGGCTGACTTACTATGCCAATGCCTTTGAATGGTAGGGTCTCATAAAAGCTCAAATACTGATAATTCTCAAGGAGCTTGTCAAAGTTTGCGGAGAGTTCCTGAGCATAAAGGCTTCCTCGCGCAAGAGCTTTCAAGAGCGTGTTACTTGCTGTTCCTAGCACAGTCCTCACGAGCTTGGCAGCCACGCCTCCCACACGTGCCAGTTGAGTTCCTCGATGAGGTGTGCCGAAAAACGCAATGCCGAATGTTGAAGTGCATATCGAGCCATAAGTTGCGCTGAGTTTGGCTTGAACAAGCGCCTGGCATCGTAGACCATAAGACAGAGCTCGAACGTAGCCTCTGACATAAGAAGCCTCATACCTCTTTGACAACGATTCCTCCCAGGCTATGAGCAATAAACAACAGCGGTCGGAATTCGCAGTTCTACACGCAAAATAAGTCTCTTCTACCAGATCAAGCGGTTCGGTCGCTGTTGAGTACCTCTCTCTCCAGTCTTAACCTATCAAGGAGAATGTGTGCCTGATCTCGCACACCAGCTGCAGAAGACTGGATCACGACTTTGGAATTGTAACTGAAGAGGAAGATCCTCGCTCGTGGTAATTGCTTGGGGAGGAAATCCCTAAGCCAAAGCTTGCCATTTGACTCCCAAGTCTTCTCAGCATGGTTCTTTTTGCTTTTAGGATTAAGGCCATGCACCGCGACAATGCTAGGATATGTTAGCAAGCAGGCATGATGCACTTACAGCAACTTACTCAATGTTCGGATCTGATCCAAGAGACAATATACGCAAATAATATTCGCACTGTGCGCTGTTATTATTCTATTCAGTGGGTACAGGTAGGCCCCGTACCATTGTGAATGCAATCTCACGATACTAGCTGAATTCAATGAGCTACCAAATCGTGATGGTGAATAGCAGTATATTGCCCTTCACAAGAGTGATTTATCTCTCCAGGCCGTGGGTTTCCCCTCATTAAAGCCGGTACAACCGCCCCTAACTAGTTCATGCACCCTGCTGCGCCGCAAAGACTCAGCTCGATAAGGGGACACCATGGGCGGCTGTGTTGCTTGCATGATTGGGCAAAGACATGTAGCGTCCAACATCCCTGTAGACTTGCTGCTTAGTGCCTCCGAGAGGCACTTGACCCAGGCTGTAGCTCATTCCGAAGCACCGCCTTGTGTGATCCGGAAGCAGATCGATGAGTACTTGCAAAGGCTTCAAGCAGGAGTGCTGAGGGGTTTATAGGAGGTGAATGGCATATCCTCGTATGGCAGGTGCGTGGGTGCCTATAGTATTCGCTACATACCGAGTGTACCAATACCACCACGTTACTAATGTTACTCACAATTATGGGGGAGCCAGTACCACTTGGGACTAGTTCTGTGTATTTGGTAACAAATAATACAGCAGATCTGTAAAGAATACGGATAGACGGAGTGGGTTGCCATCCACTTAAGACACCAAGCCAGCAAGAATACAGAGCGCTTAGCTCCTCCAGTCAGGGATTACTCATGGCTTCTTATACTCAATGAGGATAGTCAATCTTGGAACTTAGACTCCGGACAGGAAGGGAAGACCCAGCAGATGTCGAGTGGTTTCAGCACCCCACCACTCTCTTCCGTCCACTGCTCATCAGCCCAGTGACTATCTGCCACCAAGTCACACCTATTTTCAGACGGTAAGTGCTCACACTCAGGAAGCATAGGGAGAAGCAAGCGCCGGTCTGCAACCCGTCCCAGCGCCACCGCTCTTTTTCAACAAAATTGAAACCCAGTGTAAGCGCTGGGTAAGGGATCCATCGGAAACACAGGACGACAAGAATAGCGATCAAGCCAGCAAAGGGGTAAAGCTGCCCAAATGGGCAATGAATGTCTCCAAGACCCGAAATGAATGGCTATTGTTCGTTCAAAGGAGTCTTGAAGTGTTTCAGGCTCAGGCTCGCGCCTATTGTGTCTATTCTTGTCTTTGTTGGGCGAGTTACTGTCCGTCCGACAGGCGATAATATCTGCTGGCTTTCCCTATCCTCATGTTGATTCTTCCGTCTCCCGTTCTTTCTTTAATTCTCGAGTTGACCTCGTGGTTCTTTCTTTCTTTGCGAAGGCCGTATCAAATAGCACCGTGCTGCTGGTCAGTCCCTACTTCTCTCTTTTCGAGTTATTCTTTTGTTCAAAGTACAAAGGTGCATCACCACCAAGACGGACATTACCTTAAAACTTCATAAGGTACATATACACAATTTGCATACTAGACACATAAAGTTCGAGTTTCCTGCGGCTGAAGCGCAGACCCAACTGCAACCAAACCATGATGGCCTCGTTGAAAGAATCCCTGGCTGGCCCGGGATATGTGATTCTTAATGCCATTCGTGTGATAAACATCATTGTGTTTCTGGACATTATTGCTGCTAGTGTGGTCATGCTGGTCAAGATCTCCCTTTTAACAAACTTTTTCTTTTTTGAGGCTGTCTCTCATGTCGCAAATGCGGGAGTCAGCAGTGAGTAGCCTTTGCTCTCTTACACGATATTGAATGGCTAACTTGTAGACCCAATAGTATTCCTCATTATTTCCGAGCTTCCTGTTTTCCGTGGCTACTTTGATCGGAACTGGCCATTATTGGGGCAAGACTCAGGATTCATCACGTTGGCGATAGCAATGCTAATTCTAGGCGTTGGGGTCTTGGGAGACCTGAACACAAAAGCCACAAGCCAGGAGGCTCTTGGAATGGCATTCTGGCGGATTGTGCTCTCTGCCGGCATCCTAGCTATGATCATGAGTGTGGTCAATGCAATCTCGGTAAGTCGGCCTCGGATCTAGTGGATGCGGCACTAACCATATGGACTATACAGAGCTTTATTTTTGCGGATAGCGATCTGGGTGTCAGTGCACGACATGTGCGGGTCTATGGAGCAGTGGCACCCCAGAAAGTGATGACGCGAAGTGGCAGTCAACGCTCCTTTCAGCTCGGCATGAAGAGGGAAGAGACTCTGCCGACATACAGCCCACAAAGCTCGGTCAGAAGGCAGATGTCGATGCGGCAGAATATCCGATTCCCTCTGAAGATTTCTTCGCCAGTCAACCCGATCAATCTGAATGATGCGGCGTCATCGAAATACTCGAGGAACTCCGCAGGGTTGACGATTCCCGACCTCGCCCATCACCCGGCAATGCAGTCCAATCAGATCTGACAGGACGAGCCGGGCTACTGGACTTTTGCCATGACCGACTTGGGGGATCTTGATGCAGGGCGATCATTTGCGTTGGCGTTGGCAGTATGGGAATTAGCGAGCATGGGCAATTTGGCATGTTTAATATTTTTCGGGATTCATGCTTTTCTTTCGCAATTCTATTATTGTAATAGTTTCACTTTCACAGCAATTACGGTAGTATGCTTGAAGCTCTGAGCTATCTCAAATGAAAACACCTGTTATGTGATCTGGAAACCTCGGAGTATTTATTATGTTTTACTTTTCGATGGTTCCCCTGATTCGCGGGCCTGGCCACTAGTATGTCTGTCCCTTGGCGCCGGCGATAAGATAAAAGCCCGCTTGAGGCCAACTTCCGCTTCTTGTACCGTCCGGAATACCATCACCGCACAACTACTCTCGGGCGATGCGACATCGCCAGTATACTTCGCTCCGGAAAGATGGGTGAACTCGGGATTTCGTTCTCTACGTACGTGCAGAACACCCTCCCCACCCCACTAGCCAAATACTAACCTCCCCCTCCTCCAACAGCATCAAATCGGTCTTCATCTTCTTCGCGCCCATCATCATCCCCCGGGCAATCAACTACTACCGCAGCCTTCGAGTCGCCTTAGCCACACGTCCATCCCCTCGAGCTCTCCCACAAGATGCCAGCCGCGCCCTAAACGTCCTCTTCTGCGCCATCACCCTCTTCTTCTGCCTCAGCCTCCCCTTCAACCCGCACGCGCCCTCCCAAAGCATCTTCACCCTCACCCACTCGCGCATCACCACCTCCACCGACATCATCTTCTCCCGGCTCGCCCGTCTTCGCCCCAATGAAACCCTCACCCCCACCGACATCCTCCTCAAATCCAAATTCACCTCTGTCGGCGCCCGCAAACTCTACCTCCGCTTCGGCCCCGACCCCCTCACCCAATGCGCCTTCTGCTCCCTCGATAACCTCCACACCTTCGCCCTCTACCACCTCCCCTTCCACCTCTTCCTCCCACACCTCTTCCACCTCGCCATCATCGGCCTCACCACCGCCGCCCCCTTCGCCGGCCCCGATGCATCCAAATGGCGTAAACCCTTCACCATCGCCGCTATCGCCCTCGCCCTCCTCGACATCTACATCGTCCTCACCTACGATCCCATGCAATATGCCTCCGCGGCCGTGCGCGCCGGCGTCGCCATCCCCTCCAGCTCATATTACCAGCTCGGATTACTCCGTCCTCTCGTTTTCGCGGTCTTTGATGGCGTCTGCGCCCTACTCATCTATCTCTCCGCGACGCGTCGATTCTTCTTCGCCCCGCCCTCGCAGGCTGAACAGGTTGATCAGCTCGTTTTGGCGTCCTTGAATGCGCTCTCTGGCACGACGTCAAAGTTACATGCTGTGAGTGTGGCGCGGAATGCGGTCGTTCGGGATAAGGTTCTTAAGGATCGGGATGACGCGTATTGGCGGACGGTGGTGGCGATGAATGTGGATAATCCGGCGTTGAAGGAGATGTTTGTTAAGGGTGGAGGGGGTGAGGGGGGTGGGTCGCCGGCTCCGGGTTCGATTTGGGAGGAGGAGGAAGTTGTTCGGGCTATGTCGAGGGCGATGGCTGGACAGGGGGGTGTGGATTTGGCGAGGTTGGGGGTTGAGGCGTCGGAGTATGTTAATGGGGTTACGGCGGGGTTGGAGGGGAATTAGATGATTGATTGATAGATAGAGTGGTTTGATTTGGTGGGTTTGGTGCATGGGTTGTATATTGTATGTATGTTTGGTAGCTTGTATCTGTTTATTTGACTAGAATCTGTCAAGTATATGGGATGGAGAGTCCCTTTTGCTATGTCAAATTCTATCTTCATAAGATGTACAACTCAATACTGACCAGTATACGCATAGGTAGCCCAGACTACGACAGTACCTAGATAGTATCTACGCAGAATCAGGCCCTCCAGTCCGGACTCCCCGTAAGTAAGTAGAGCCAAAGCACCCACCCAAACCCCAACCAAGAACCAGCAGTTCTGTACCTGCGGTGTATCTAGGCAGCCCGGAACCCAAAATAGCTAGACTCATCTGCGGGGATCGCCGACGCCGGGATCTCACCTCATTAGCCACTACCCAGTACTAGTATGGAGATCGGGGTAGTAGTAATTCCAGTCTTCTAGATGGTTTTGCTGGACGCCTGGATCCAAACACGGAGGGCTCTAGGCAACAACGCTTTTCACCGTTGCACTGCCACGATTACTCCAATCCCCATATTGGAGGTGCCACAATGCATGGACCCGTTATGACATATGTCAGTGTCATTGGGCGGGTGGAAGGCTTCCTTGACTACGGAGTACCGACTCCGTACGGAGTACTCAGTAGCTACAGTTAGCTGCTTCAGGCATGCCATACTAGGTAAGTAAGCTTCAAGTGGATGGAAATTGGCTAGTCCGATTAGTTCTGTCCATCTGTGAGATTTTAGATCGGTTTGGAGCCAGTAAAGTTGACCGACTTACCAGGGTGTCGCGATTTTCTGTGCCAATTTGTCTGGTCCGGGTATTTTGTGCATTGCTATTTAATCCCCGGATCGGAAGCAACTCCTGCACCGTCGCTCTTCTTTATCCTGTTTCTTCTGTTGCAGCTGGTTGCCAGCTCATGGGATCAAGACTAATTATCCCGCTCCTACTATAATACCATTGGAGATGGTTGCCTCTTCCTCGCGTGTCCGCAGGGAGCAGCCTGTGTCGTCCCGGACAACACCATCATGGTTCCAGAGGAAGATCACACCGGGACTACTCTCCCTCTCCCGGCTCGCATCCTCGCACCCGATACATACGGTGGCCGTCGTGGCCTTGCTCATGAGCTCCATATACACCAGCCTCCTGGAAGACAGTATCTTCGATGGAGGCAACCCCGGCCGGAAGGCAGAGTGGTCATCGCTCACTGCGAGTAATAGACGCCTCTACACGAGCTCAGAATCCGATTGGAACTGGCAGCTGGATGATTCCGATGCCCCAATTCCCACTGAGGTCGACCATACCGTGCTCCTGACTTTGGTATTCCCTGAGATGACCGAAAGAACATTCGCGGAATCAATGACGCCAATGCTTCAATTGCCTGGCAACCTGTCCATCACGCAGTTGCCCCCCACAGCCAAATCATTCAACACATACAACAAGGAGCATGTCCTTGCTTTCTCCCTTCCTTACAGCCAGGCATCTGACTTCTTGGCGATGGCTCAGGAGGTCCCGTATAGCAATCCAGGTCAGGAGTTAGACCACGGAGAGCAGCGAATGTGGATAATGAAGGCCGCACGAGTACAAATGCAGAGCAGCCTAACGAATTGGGCAGACGATGCCTGGGTCGAGTTTGTGGACCTGCTCAAAAACTCCCAAACCCCTGATATTGCCATTGTGCTGCTTGGATATGTCTTCATGCACATGACGTTCGCCTCGTTGTTCCTTTCCATGTATCGCATGGGCTCGAAGTTCTGGTTGGCCACAAGTGTGCTATTCTCATCTACATTCGCCTTTGTCCTTGGTCTGTTCGTCACTGTCGAGCTTGGAGTCCCTATTAATATGGTACTCCTTTCCGAAGGCTTGCCATTCTTAGTGGTTATAGTCGGCTTCGAAAGGTATGTTGGCCTCACGCGGGCCATCTTGACACATGCCACGGACCGTCGCAGCTCAACACATGATGAGGCCTCTTCTGCAATTCAGTCCGCCATCGAGTCTGTTATCAGCGACAAGGGATTCGATATCGTCAAAGAATACGTGATAGAAATCGGAATCCTTGCAGTAGGAGCATTGTCCGGGGTACAGGGAGGGCTAGAGCAATTTTGCTTCTTGGCTGCATGGACTCTTTTCTTTGACAGCATACTTCTCTTCTCGTTCTACACCGCAATCGTTTGCATCAAGTTCGAAATAAATCGGATCAAGGGACACACCGACATGCGCAGGGCGCTAGAAGAGGACGGAATTAATTCCCAAGTGGCCGAGAATGTGGCCATGAGCCACAGCAAAAGCCAGCCAGGGAAGATTTTTGGCAAGAGTGCGCAAGTCCCTAGGTTCAAAGTCCTTATGGTCGGCGGATTTTTCCTAGTGAATATTGCGAGCATGTGCATGGTTCCCTTCCGCAATACACACTCGGTTACGGACATATCAGATTGGACTCGCGGCCTGGGTGGTGGTGTGGTGATGTCTCCGCCGGTCGACCCCTTCAAGGTAGCCTCCAACGGACTTGAGGTGATCCTGGACAGGGCCAAGTCAAGCGGTCAGGATACAGTTGTTACAGTACTGACCCCTATCAAGTACGAACTGGAATTCCCATCTGTCCACTATGGCCTTGCCGGCATGGAAGCGTCCCATGATGAGGACATATTCCTTGACCTGGGTGGATACGGTGTCGGTGGCCGCGTCATCGGTGGTTTGCTCAAGAGCTTGGATGACCCCGTCTTTTGCAAGTGGGTAATTGCAGCCCTGGTGCTCAGTGTTGCCCTCAATAGCCATCTTTTTAGCGCAGCTAGACAGGGTGTTAAGACGACGACTACAACGGGCCAGCCTACTACGCCCGAAAAGCCGGACATCTCACAAAGGGTTGAACCTTCACCATGCGAGTGCCAACGAGCTGTTGTTCCATCCCCAGTCGCAAATGGGTTCTTAGCTGGTGATGAATCGACTAAGGCCAAGCGCACCCAGGAAGAAATAGTGCAGATTCTCTTAGAGAAGCGCGCCCATGAGCTGACTGATGAGGAAGTTGTCGAACTCTCTATGTGCGGAAAAATCCCCGGTCATGCGCTGGAGAGGACCTTGAAAGATTTCACTCGTGCCGTAAAGATTCGTCGCACCATCATATCTCGCAACAAGGCTACAGCAGATATCACAAGTGCTCTTGAACAAAGTAAACTCCCATATGAGAACTATGATTGGTCTCGGGTCTTTGGTGCGTGCTGCGAGAACGTTGTGGGCTATATGCCAGTTCCGGTGGGCTTCGCGGGTCCTATTATCATTGATGGAAAGAGCTATTTCATCCCCATGGCGACTACCGAAGGAGTCCTTGTCGCTAGCGCGAGCAGAGGAAGCAAGGCTATCAACGCTGGTGGCGGTGCCGTGACGATGTTAACAGCTGATGGAATGACCCGGGGTCCTTGTGTTAGCTTTTTAACCCTACAGCGCGCGGGGGCTGCTAAGATCTGGCTTGACTCGGAACAAGGCCAAATCACGATGAAAAAGGCCTTCAACTCGACGACCCGTTTCGGACGACTCCAATCGATGACCACTGCTATCGCCGGCACGAACCTTTATATCCGCTTCAAGACCACTACTGGAGATGCCATGGGCATGAACATGATCTCCAAGGGTGTTGAATACGCGCTAGAAGTCATGAAAACTGCTGGGTTTGAGGACATGAAGATCATAACCCTGAGCGCCAACTTTTGTGCCGACAAAAAGCCTGCAGCGATCAACTGGGTTGAAGGGCGAGGAAAGAGCGTCGTTGCTGAAGCCATCATCCCCGGTGATGTAGTCAAGAGCGTACTGAAAACTGACGTCGAATCCATGGTCGAGCTCAATGTTGCGAAAAACATGATCGGGTCGGCTATGGCAGGATCTATCGGAGGATTCAACGCGCATGCTGCCAACATGGTCGCGGCCATCTTTATCGCGACAGGGCAGGATCCGGCGCAGGTTGTAGAGAGTTCGAACTGCATCACCATTATGAAGAAGTGAGTATCCCCCCTCAACACATATGGATGGCTCTAACCATTCACCGGTAGTCTTCACGGCTCGCTCCAGATTTCAGTATCCATGCCCTCGATTGAGGTCGGCACGCTGGGAGGTGGTACTATTCTGGAGCCTCAAAGTGCCATGCTTGACACACTCGGGATCCGAGGACCACATCCCACCGAGCCGGGTGCCAATGCCCAGCAGCTCGCCCGCATTATCGCCGCCGCTACTTTAGCAGCGGAGCTGTCGCTCTGCGCCGCGTTGGCCGCGGGTCATCTTGTTAAGGCACACATGCAGCATAACCGTGCCACTCCAGCGAAGTGAAGTTTAAACGCTGTACATACTGCATATATAGTAGGTGGGAGAGCGCCATGGGTAGATAGAGGGCTGCCCAGTTAGCATACGTGACCATGCATAGAGATCGCATCAGATGCAATGATTATCAGCTTATCAAGAATGCAAGCTACTCTGCTTCTCCGCATTTTCAGACTAGCGCGGTGAGAAAGGTTCGCCCAGCTCAGGCCATCAATCCTTTGTTCCGTGATTGGATTCCGGTGATCAGACGACGAGCGATCCCTTTGTGCGTTGCAAATAAGAGAATGCGGGATAGCCTTTGGGAGGAGCAGGTGAGAGGATGGCCGACGGCGATTGGGTCCAGCCGTTCCCTGCTTTCATTCCCTGCAACCTTAGTACCGTACTCCGTACTGGTAGGGGAAAGTGACGGTCAGAAGCATGGGCGGTGAGCCGCGTTCCCAACTGCCGTGACTTGGGAGTGACCAGTGGGCTCCCTGGGATTATCGAGGAGCCAACAGCGAAGCCATGGGACGGTAGATGTCCCCAGGAAGTCCCCCCAGCCAGAACCACCGCGTACGTAACAACGAGTGGGCCGAAAAGCCTTGAAACCGACGTGATACAATCGATACGTTCCCCTCATCGGTAATTTGTATATATTTTTTTTAGATCGCCCGCTTTTCTCTCTCCTCCTCTTCTGCTTCTTCGCCTTGCCTTTCCTCTCCCTCCTCTCCGTGCCATCGACCCGGGAATTGGCCATCTTGATCGGCAACCCAGTGGACAGTTTGTTTGGGTGCGATCGAGAAGTCCGAAATCCCTTCACCCGCCCAGGCCCGTGCCGGCAGAGACACAGCTGGGTTTCGAACCAAATTAATCCAAGCCCGCCCACCAGGGAATCAACCTTCCCCAAGCCTACCGATTAATCAATCCCAGGTACCCGCCGTGGAACCGCGGGCGGTGCTCTCTGCCCCCCCGAGTCTGTCTCAGGTCTCAACAAGTCAACATAAGCTGCTGCTGCTACTCACTCCCGCTCACTGGGCGGGAACCACTTTCGCCCGCTCTCGCTAGACCACTACAGACCACTCACTACGTACCTCTCCGTCCCCGTCCGTCACTCCGTCGCTCTCGCTCCCTCCCTCTCTTTCTTCCGGCCAGCTTGAGCTCTCTTCAACTTTTCCCCTTCCCCCCTCCCTTGGTCGGTTCTCTCCCCGCCATTGGTCACGCTCCCTTTCCGCAGAACAGTCGCTACTGCTGCTAGGGTCTGTGATCCCGGTTCCTTCGCTTTTCCTTTTCTTGCCATGGCCAGAGACGCGGCCTCGCCGGCCTCGCAGTCGGTCCCGGAGCTCAATGCCCGCATTTCCACCTCCAGCGGCCACCACCGCCCTGCCGTCAAAGAAACCACGTTCCGGGAATGGATGCTGGCCAACCAGATCGGTATGAACCAATCATCCTGTCTCCGAATCTAATCCATTCGTCTGTCCACCACAAGGGAACCTTGAGTGCTAACCAGGGCGTTCGCATAGGAATTTCGCTGACCATTCTTTCCATGCTACTGGCTGTCCACCACCTTTACCCTTCGCTGAATCCGTACACCGCCCCGTTTTTCCAACTTTCATACTATCAGCCCGCCTCCGGAGATTATGTGCAAGGATGGGATGACATCTACTTTATCGCCAGCTCCGCAATTGCCTTCATAGCCATTCGCGCGATTGTCATCGACTGGATGCTCCAGCCATTGGCGCAACGATACGGATTGAAAAGAAAAACATCTCTTCGCCTGGCCGAACAAGGCTGGCCCTGTTTGTATTATGGGTTCTCCTGGGGACTTGGCATGGTGCGTACTCTACATTACTAGCTCCGGCTTGATTGCGCTTGTGTGTAGCCGTATGTGCCCGGCGTGCTAACCATGGAACGCAGTACATTTGGTCCAACTCGTCCTACTGGGGCGACTTCAGCGCCATTTGGGATCAATGGCCCGCACGTAATGTTTCGGGTTTGATGAAATGGTACCTCCTGGTGCAATTAGCGTTTTGGGTGCAGCAGCTCCTGGTCATCAACATCGAGGCGCGCAGAAAGGACCACTATCAGATGCTGACCCACCATGTCATCACCATCTCCCTCTTTGGATCGGCTTACATCTATGGCTTCTACAACGTTTCCAACGTGGTCCTGGCGCTCATGGATATTGTAGACCTGTTGCTACCGGTGGGTGATGCCCTTCTTTCCATTGGGCTGACGCGAGCTAACTTGAAGCCCAGGCGGCCAAAATTCTCAAATATCTGAAGTTCGAGCTGAGCTGCAATATCGCCTTCGGTGTATTCATGGCTACATGGCTGGTAACGCGCCATATCTACTACCCACTACTATGCTGGTCCATTTACAAGGACGTGCCAGCAAGGATGGCATACGGCTGCTACTCCGGCGCCACTGCGGAAATGACTTCCGCCGACGCATATCCCGACCGGTGGAGATACCTCCTTTCTCCCTTCCAAAACCTCAACGGCCCAATCTGCATGAACCGCACCGTCAAATGGATCTTTCTTTCCTGTCTTTTGGCGCTTCAGACCCTGTCTCTCATCTGGTTCACTATGGTCATTCGGGTAGCGGTCGGAGTGATCCGCACTGGTAATGCCGAAGAGCCTCGCAGCGATGACGAAGACGAAGAAGAGGAGAACGGGGCGGGCAAGGATGGTCCCAATGGTACCTCTGTTGTGACCGACGGCTCCGGTGCCGAGTGGCGCCGAGCCAATGCGCCTTCGAATGTGCGGCCCCGTGGACGCGGACGAGTCCGTCTTGGCGACCAGAGTGACCATAAGGCATTGCTGGGTCGGATCGGATGCGACAAGCCCACCTAGACGGTTGATTGTCATTGTCTTTGCGTTTCTCTTATTCTAATGATATCATGGATGTGGATATGGACATGCTGAAAATGTTGATATCGAATGAATATCAAGACATTGCCAGCAAAAGAAACGAAACGAAAGAGATACAGTTCGTGTGGGAAAAGTTCTAACCATTCATACTATGTTTCAGTTTTCAGCAGGTTCTCATCTTGTCTTTGCGTTTGATACCATTGAACTCGATTGGTAGTGGTTCTATTTGTTTTGCATTGCAATTTTTCCTTTTCCATCCCCCCGCTGGTCTGTTGATACGGAAGTGCACGATGATCCATTCTTCTAATGCGTGATGCTACTGTCGTTGCTGTTGTTCAGAGTTATATTAGATGACGTTGCTGGTCGATCCATGCCGATGCCCGCCTATCGAGGGTTGCTGTTCTTGTGTGGTTTAGGGCCGTAATACAATACCCACTGGTTGATGAATCGTTGTATGATAGCCTCGGCAAGAGATAGATGCTTACGAATTGAGCTAGACATCCTTACGCGTCCTGCCTAAAATACCCAATCCTTGTACTTCGATGAGTGATGGTACTAAATATTACACTAACATGTACTACTTCGTCTCTAGGAGTAATCCATTCCGACAGGAAGGCGCGGCGACAAGCACTCGCTCCACCTACGTGGTTTTATTCTTCATTCCTCCTTTATTGTAATCTCTACCTATCCAGCTCTATCTCAGTCTAGATCAAATGCCAAGGAAATTTCTCCCCAATGAACAATCATGCACCCTTGCTGAGGAGTGTACTCATCTCATAGGACGCCCAAACACCGTCCATCCATCCATCCCATCCATTGATCCGTCTTGTCTCATTCATTGTAAACAGCACGCATGCAACCCCACGAAGCCAACGCCCGAGTGGGCGTGAATGCAGATATTGATAAAAAAGAAATGCCATGTATGGACAACTCCAAGTCACATGAAAACAGGTACGTTCATATCTCTCACGTCATGGGTCGTAACAGAGGATAGGTTGAAATTGAGGATGTCTTCGCGCATATGGGCTTCATTCCAGAAGTAGTCCGGGGAGTCCTGATCGCGGAGACGCTTTTGTTGGCGGGCGGCGAGAGCGTCAGAGTCGATGTGGTCTGATCCGAGGGCACACTCTTGTTGGGTGACCATAAAGTCGATGAGAACTTGGCGGAGACGGTCCCAAATGGTGCCGTGGCGTTTCCATTCGAGGCGCTTGGAGATGCGCACCATGCGTGACACGATCCAGCATCGAGCGCCGGTGTCTCCGGGGTCGTTTGGTGGGTAGCCGCCGTTGTTGAGGAAGAGCCAGAGCACCGAAGTAATACTGGGATTGGTGAAAGGGTTGAGTTTCTTGATTTCTATGCTTAGCCAGTCCAAGTAGCCGTCGAGGCAGGTTGAGTTTAGGTAACAGTCGTAGAGTGCCATAGCGAGGAAGAAGAGGCAGGCCATGCAGGTGTATTCGTCGATGAAGCGGATATCCCGGATTCCGTGGTCATAGTCGGGAAGCATGGTGAGAATCGTATACAGTGGCGTGCCAGGGCTGAAGTGTTTGGCTCGCTGAGGGGTAGTTTTTGGTTTTAGGGTGTAAGGGGCATCCAGTGCCAGGCGTTCTAGTTCGCGGAGACGACGAAAGAATCGTAAAAAGTCTTCGCAGGCGCGGAAGAGCTCACAAAGGCTTTCGGGATCTTCTGCAGTTGTCGAATCGTGGGGGACTGCGAGGTGTAAATTCGAGTCCACAAAGTCGAGAGAGGGAGTATCTAACACAGCGCCAGTCCAGGGTAAAGAGGTGCTGACGATCGCCTTTGAAGCGCAACTGAAATCCACCCTGGGCATGGTTAACCGACATCGTTGGTAAAAGTGGCCAAAGCAGATTACCAATACAGCACTTTCTCTAGGAAGGGACTAGAAAGCCGCATGCCTTGCATTCCTCCCCGGCTTCGAATCATCGAAGCCAAACCTCTGAAATGCATCCGCTCTATGGATGCATCCTTGGACCATTTCTCCAGGGTGTCAGTCATTTCCATAATAAAAAAGACGCAGCGAGCCACAGTACCTCGATGACAGCCATTGTGGCTACAGCGTAGATGGTTCCGTCATACTGCCCAGTAGAGTCCGCTTGGATGCGCTCATTCATTAACCGCAGCGCTCGCATCTTATGGGTCAGACTTTGGACGGATTCGGTTTTGCCTTCGACACCCGCACGGTGCTTCGAAGCAATAGCGAGCATGGCCTGGAATGGCAGGCCATCATGCAGTGCAAATTGCCGGAATATCTCCATCATGGGGTTATTTGCAATTGAGTCGGCGAACTTATACATCATAGACGGGTATGTCACCACAACTATGGTACATGTAAGCTGCAGTCAGGAAACCAGTCGATGTGCAGTTTAGAACGCAAGCAGCGTCTCAGTCTCGGGGTAGCACGTGGGATGCAGTACAACGTACAATGTTGGATCAATTCATGGTCTGTGTGACTAACAGGGATTGGATAACAGCTAAAAGGGTCGCGAAGCGGTCCTTCCCCGGGAGTGGATCGAGGATCCGAAGCGTTAGGTCTAGGTTTGTGGGCAGCAGGTGAAGAAGATGCCTCCTCGCGTTTGACTTTATGTAATTTAGGGATGAGCAATCGTGATGGACCCTTTGGCTTTTCTGGACTGGATCGGTCCTCCTCGCTACTCGGGGAGCCCTTTTCGGACTTGGTAGCAGGCTCATCTTGGATTTCTTCTACCGGAGAGCACACGAATGGATGGCTGTCCGGTAGAGAGCGAGTGGTCCAACCGCCGACAGGCACACGCGCGGTCCCTAGTCGAGCGATGCTGTCCAGGCGCCGCTGATGCATATACTGGCGCATAGCATGCCGGCGAACCTGGCGCCGGGACTCATTATCGGTGACTAGGACAAACTCGAAGTTCCTGGAACCGGATTGCTGAGTCGGTCTAGAAGACCGGTCTTTGGAGGACGCCGAGCGGTCCCCCGCATGATTATTGGAAATGGGACGAGCATGCGGAGGAGCTGGGGGACTATCAGCGTTCACATTTTGGAACTTGATATCTGCTTCCGCGCCGGTTCCGGGGTTGGGGCTACCCTCCTCCCCCATTATCTCATGATTCGACCTGGACCGGCAAACAAGTAGTACCGGTCAGGCACGGGGATTGGAACCTGGGGGGGAAAAGACCGGGGTGGGGAACAGGATCTCTGCAGCTCTGACAGTGGAGAAGACCGGGGGCCGATAAGTTCGATAGGGCAAAACCGTCATCACACGCTGGGATGACTACTTAGACTAGGCCCGTGTCCGCGAGGGATGGCGCATAGCTGAGGATGTCGTTGGACTGTTCCAAAGTTCGAAACTCCAATGTTCGCCGTCAGCCCGATTTCCCCTTTGGGCCACGCCGCCCCACAGCCGCGCCCCACGTGATGATCGCTCGGCTGACTCAGCGGCCTCCCTCGTCGCTTTTTCTTCTTTCTCTCCTCTCTCGCGGCAAGAAAGTTGGATAACCCAGGTCTTCGTGGCTAGCATGATCCGAAAGGCATGGCTACGGGATCTTGCTGCCATCTATTTCAGCCCGCTAGCGCTCTCCGGGGGATGGTGGCCAGGCTCTCGAGAAACAAGCATTGGTACTCCACCTTCCGGATCCTCCCTCCCCATGGGGTAAGCCTAGCAGTTGCGACCCTTGATTTGATAGTCGGCACACGTAATTCACGATCATGCCCTAGTAGCCTCCTATTGACGATGCAGCGTCACTAGTGTCTCCATCGTGGTGGGCCGATGGCCGATGCAGCTTTATCAAGCTTTTGTCATCTAATCTAAGGTTCCGAACCCAACCGCATCCACAACCAAGTGCGCCTGAGGGGCATCAGAATGACATAGGGGTGCTCGGATTCCCGGGTTTAGTTGAGTCCGATCAGACTGAGGAGCGACCTAGTATGCTCATAGAAGTATACCTACAGAATATGGCCAAAGGATGAGGAACAGATGCGTGACCCTCCAGACTAACATTCAATCCCGATCTGGCAACACAACAATAGTCGCATTTCTCTGCTTTTGTCTCTCGGTTGCAAGGCGGGGCATGGTTCGTCAGAAACGGAGTTTGCCGGGTTTATTGGGGATATGACGGTCATCGTCCACTCAACCGCCGTTTTCTCGATACTTCGCCAGGGCCGCCATGATTCCTTCACTCATCTCCTCCTGCTGACCCGTTTCCTGTAATTGACGGTCTTCCTCTGCTAAAGGCGTTTCTGTGTCAATGCTTTCAGATGTTCCCAACCGGGTTGCTCCAGTCATATTTTGACCCTCAACAGCCTCGGTTGTTCGGGTTTCAGTAAGTCTTCCAGGAGCAGTTGTTTTCTTCGCCGGCTCCACCCTAAAGCCTTCTCTTACTGTACTGGTCCACTGCCTGACTTTTTTCTCACCCCACCCGGGCACTGCACCAATCTGCTCTGGCCGGGCATTAATTGCATTCTGCAAGCTCCCAAACGTGGATATCAGGCTTGCTGCATCCGACTTATTGATGCTCCGGGGTGTCGTGACAAACTCGACAAGAGATTCCTTGTACGACTGGGCTTGTTGCGTGCGAATAGCCGTTGGTTGAGAGTTCTCGGATGATTTGAATAACTCAAGATAGTGTGCAGCTTCGGGTGCGGACCAGCAAAGGATCAGCGTCATGTTGTTGACTATTGACGTCTTGGAGAGCTCTTTCAGGCTGTCTTCATGGTTGGGAATATCCACGATAACCAAGATGATCCGGAGCAAATATTTCCCTGCTAGAAGACGGATCCGCGAGTAGATGTACTCGGGATGTAAGCGGTGGTACTTGAGTGAAAGAAACAAAGCACAGGTCGTGTTTCCGACCACATAGTCCGCCGGAATATCAGCGTATTCCCAGGGCAGTAGCTTGATGTGGTTCAATATTGGATTGCCCTTTTGTCTTGTTGAGACGAGTATGGCCGACGGGCCAGACCTGCTCGGAAGTGCCTGCGGTTTGGGCTGTTGTACTTTGGACGGTGGCTGCGGTGTCGAGACACCGGATGCGCGGGGAGTAGAATCCAAACTGTTCTGTTCGTCCATTTTGTCCTCCATTGGTGCGGAATAAGCAGAGATTTTACTGCACCACACGCCTCCCAAAATGTAAGCTGGCAGGACACTTGATGTTGTCATTCCGGTTTACACCAAGTCTTGGCGGAAAGCTGTCTTGGCGGGTTCCGATCCGTAATTACACTCACCACGTGACCCTGGCTTCACGAGACGATCAGGAAGTTGGACAATGGCAGAGAGAATAGCATAGGGAGCGCGTAGCATAGAGTTTATCACTCTTAGATTCACCATATAAAGGAATATAGAAGAGATGCACAATACGTATTGCTATGTTGCGTGTAAGGTCAGTTGCACCGTGGATGATGATAAACTACTGCTCTCAAAGAGCAAAATTGACATGCACATATGCTCAATCACGAAGGAATGTACTATGTAGTCTCCCAGAATAGAATGGCAAGTAAAGCCGTGAAAGTTGTACAACATACCATGATCTAGAGCAGATGGAGATGGAGACCGGTGGAGACTCTATCGCGCCTCACCGCCCAGAGACCCGCTTTCGCCTTCAAAACTCAAAACGGCACCGGGATTTTTCTGCCGCCGATTTTGCTACAGAAAAAGTTACTCCAGACACCAATCATGGCTGAGAGAAACGAGTCCAAGGGGAGCTCCCCTGAGGCCAGCGATGCCAGTAATAACGCTATCGTTGAGGCCGTTATGGGATCTCAGGACAAGAAGCAGGAAACCCCGGCCGCCAACCAGCCAAGAAGAGAGCTTTTCATCCGATCACTTCCCGCCTCTGCGACGACCGAGAGCCTGACAGAACATTTTTCACAATCCTACGTTATCAAGCACGCCATTGTTGTTACTGACCCGGAGACCAAACTGTCCAAGGGCTACGGTTTCGTTACATTCGCCGATGTCGAAGACGCCAAAGCTGCGCTGGAAGAATTTAATGGATCCGTCTTCGAGGGCAAGAAGATCAAGGTGGAATATGCGCAACCACGTCAGCGTGTGGTTGATGAGAACCTCAGAAGGAGTAAGCCGTCTGCCGAAGCTCTCGAGCTCAAGAAGCAGAGAGAAGAACAGAGGGCATCCACTCAGCCACCCAAGCTGATTGTGCGAAACTTGCCGTGGAGTATCAAGGACCCCGAGGATCTGGCACTTCTCTTCCGCAGCTTCGGAAAGGTTAAATTCGCGACCCTTCCGAAGAGGGGAGACAAATTGGCCGGATTTGGTTTCGTCGTTCTGCGAGGAAAGAAGAATGCGGAGAAGGCAATGCAGGCAGTGAACGGAAAGGAGGTTGACGGAAGAACACTGGCTGTGGATTGGGCTGTGGAGAAGACTGTTTGGGAGGATCTACAAAAGGGACAGGAAGAACAAGAGCCGAAGGAAGAGGAGGGATCAGAAGATGTCGATATGGCCGATGGAGACGAGGAGGCAGAAGAAGCTGGCTCTGATGAAGACCTATCTGATGAGGAGGAGGATGTCGAGGGTGACAGTGACAGCGACGAGGATGAAGATGTCGACGAAGAGGAAGATGAGGAGGAGGAATCAAAGGAGGACGAAAGGAACGCTTCAACCGTTTTCATCCGGAACCTTCCCTTCACCTGCGATGACGATATGCTCTACGAACACTTCACCCAATTTGGCCCACTCCGCTATGCGCGAATCGTTGTCGACCACGAAACCGAGCGTCCCCGCGGTACTGGTTTTGTTTGCTTTTGGAAGTCAGACGATGCAGCATCCTGTGTCCGCGACTCCCCCAAACAGCAGGACACCATCGCTGCAGACAAGGATAAGGCGAAGAAAGCTTCTACCGCCTTCAAGCATTCCGTCCTACAGAACGAAGCCTCCGACCCCAGCGGACGCTACACGCTGGACGGCCGTGTGCTGCAAGTCGCCCGCGCAGTGAGCAAATCTCGTGCCACGCAGCTGGAAGAGGAGGGAGTGTCTCGCCGACTCGTCCGTGATACCGACAAACGCCGTCTCTACCTTCTCAATGAGGGTACCATTCCCCAAAACTCGCCCCTGTATAAGAAGCTTTCTCCGTCGGAAATAAAGATGAGAGAAGACAGCTTCAAGCAACGACAGAGTTTCATCAAGAAGAACCCAGCTCTTCATCTCAGTTTAACGCGTTTGTCCATCCGCAATATCCCCCGTCATGTCACCACAAAAGATCTGAAGCAACTCGCTCGCCAAGCGATCGTCGGGTTTGCAGAGGATGTCAAGAAAGGCCTACGTCAACCCCTCTCGAAGGAGGAGTTGGACCGGGCGTCCGACATCATGAAGGAGGCGGAGAAGTTGCGGAAGAAGAAGGGTGTTGGTGTTGTGAGACAAGCTAAGATCGTTTTCGAAACCCGAGATGGCCACAAGGTCGGCGAGGAAAGCGCTGCTGGAAGAAGCAGAGGCTATGGTTTCATCGAGTACTATACCCACCGCCATGCCTTGATGGGCTTGAGATGGCTTAACTGCCATGCTGTCGATGTACCTGCGACTGGCTCGGAGGAAGTCAAGGACAAGAAGAAGCGACTGGTCGTCGAATTCGCCATTGAGAATGCTCAAGTTGTCAAGCGTCGGAGTGAACAGCACGCTAAAGCACGCACTTTCAAGAAAGGAGACCAGCAAAGGGAAGGCAAGTCCGATAAGGATGGTGAATCGAAGGACAAGGGACCTTCCAAGGGAGGTTTCAAGGGTCAGAAGAGAAAGAGATCCGACAGCAACGACAAAGACGCAGGAGGAGAGGATGATGAGGAACAGAATAAGCTTGCTAAGCGGAATCGGATCATCGCGAAGAAGAGGATGCAGCGGAGAAATCGGAAGGGTAAGGCTTAAGCCGGGCACATATACAAAAGTCAATGCGGGTTATATACGGAGTACATAGCTAATGATTACTTTGCACAAGCCACCTGTAATTCTGTAACTTTGCATTGTTGGACGCATTTGACACCAACCATTCCGGATTGAGAATACTGGACGCTCGCAATAAAATAAGTCCACGGGTATAATTCTTGTCTTAGAAATAGGCTGCATTATAGCATTGCTGCCGTTGGCATTCCGTTCTTTCAGTAGTTCGTAGCATCCTGCACCTTTCCCACGATATTGTACCGCTTGCTGAAGAAAGTGAACCATTCATCCAGGACGGTCTTCTCCTTGTCCTCCAGATCATACCAGTCGGGTCTGCAATCCTCGGGTTTGAGCGACGAAGAGGCGAGAGCGCGGGAGGGGTCCTTTCCGGCGAAGACTACCAAACCATGTCAGTACACTTGATCAAAGGGCTGTAACAGGATAGTCTCATTTGAGGATCAATAGCTCACCGTGGTACTGGCCACTGGTACTGTATGCCGAGTTCCGAGTCACATCGAAGACAATTCCCTTTATCGCTACCAAAGTAGGGCGGTTAGGGTCAGTGCCTAAGGTCGTAGTCAGTCACATACAATTCCGTGCCTATCTGGGAGCATCTATCGGGTACGCGATGCGAATAACTCACCATCACACTTGGACAGTTCCTCCACGGTGATAGGATCATATTTCGGGGGGTCGAGCTGGACAGGGATCTTAGGGGAGAAGCGCTTCGGCTCAGGCTCGTGCTCGACCATTGTGACGATTGCTGGTAGAAATTAAATAAGCTTGAGGTCTGGGATAGTTTCGTGTAAGATTGATCCTTGTCGAGCGTGACAGGCTGTTGTTTGACAGTAGAAAAGTCGAGGTTCGTTTCCGGTCAGACAGCCGCGGGGCAGGCGGGGGAAGCTCGGAGCGGCGTAACCGTGGGTCGAAATGGCAGCTACCATCCTCGGCTCGGTGATGTGATCGTTAGTTCCAGCCTCCAGGTTGTCTCCTCCCCTAAGAGGTTTCATATACCATCGTTCTCATTGGCTCTTATTTCGTATCCACTGCTTCTGAACTTCAAGATAGACTCACTCTAGTTTTAGCCCCTCCTTGAGATAAGTCGTTTAGAAGACTAACGCGAAGTCTAAATATGTTCAACACGATCACTTTTGTTTGGTTCAATAACGGACATGCCCTCCGGGTCTGCGAAAGTCTACCTGCACCGTGGACAAGGGGTCCCGTGCTTGGTAGTCTGACGTCAAGGACGACCAACCGCATCTAGGATATAAGAACAACTCACTTTATCCAGCCTTGTTCTGTTGCAAACTGTCACACAACTTGACTGTGGTGGAACTCGAAATCCTTTAAATATATTTACCTCGATATCAGCAGCACCAGCGTTGGATCTTGTCTGAAGAGTAGGAAAGATGTCCACGAGTCAGAGTAATCGACCAGAAACCATTCAGACTCCATCCCATACGCAGACCTCTCAAATCAATGATAATGAGAGCCGCAGATCGAGCTCCGTGAGCTCCGATCTATCACATCACCTTTACTACGAAGACAACGAATGCTTTTTCCCTCCGAGCTGGTTAGGAAAGAAGCCACCTGCTCAACATGGAGTAGGATTGAACTCATCCGTCAAGGATATGCACACTGGGATCCAAACGTGATAGGCAAGGGATGGAAGGCATCGTCGTGGTTATTGACTGCGCCTGCTTGTCGAGGGCTCAAACATGAATTGAGGAATCGACCTTGGCCTTTGGGGATGCTACAACCGAGTTTCCATGCTTGTTACGATAATGAGACATCATGGATGAATGCTATGATACTAATGTGAGGATCAGATATATTTTTGTTCGCTGAATGAATTGTTTGCTTTTTGACGTTGGAACGTTTTGGGTACAGAATCGCTGTGGGAGAAGGCTGGCGATGAGCCAGATCTCGCTGGACATTGCTTGGAATGCAAAGGAGAACAGAACGACAGGATGCACGATCTGGTTGTCCCTGTCAGCCTAGAACTAGCTGCATGTGGTGCTGGTCTGGGTCTGTCTCTGCTCCCTAGCTGCTGCATGGTTCGCTAGTCACAATCGACTTTAAGGTCTTACTTGAATAACCTAAATTACTAGTCTGATCTCCCTTGCATGTCCTTTCCAACAAGTGATACTCAATACATAAGGAGCATACGGAGTGGCCGATGTCAACTGACATCGATTACTCATGTGACGCCCGGCTGAACATACCAAGCAATTCCCGAAGAAGTTAGCGCGCGCCATCCCCAGCCGAGGTTGTTGGACGTCCGCCGTAGTGCCCCTCCTTCTTGGGTACCTTGCTCCCCGTGGCATTTGATTATCGTGCGTGCCGTCGGCTGGTCTTACTATGCTGCCAGTCACTGCCTGCAGTCGACAATAAATGCGAAACACTGATGAATGCTTATGCAGTCAACCTGCATAACTACTTGAGTGCCTCTGCACTTTAGTCTTCTATGTGACTATTTTCATAGTTTTGGCCGTTAAAATCTCAAGATAGTAGGTACTCATATACGTTCTAGAAGCTGTCAACTAGACTAGAGACGGATGATCCTGATTCTATGGAAACATAAAGAAAGGCATTGTGTGGTTACTATTCTAGGTTAATTGTTCTCCTGCTGATCAGCTGTCTTCAAGCAAGCCCAACATGCAATGGTGAGGTCACAATATCACCCTAACGAGGATATTTCTATCATAGGCTTCCAGTATTACGGAAATTTCATCGTCTTCGGCTGATATTAAGAGAAAGCTACTCATGATAGGTTATCTGTGAGCTGCCTATAAAGATCATCAGACTCCGACCCAATGCTTCGGAGCAGTTAGTGAGGAGGGCTTGCGACTCTAAACGTAAATTCTAGACGTCCCCCCCCCCGTAAAATAGCCATGGATATTTCCAATACTACAGGTTACAGGCAAACGCCGTCTCCCAGAAATGGCACTTGACGGTATAGAACATGTTCCTACATATGACATGTCTCTGTAGACGATCTATCTCTTCTAAGATATATCGTTCCGAGGTTACTCCATTCCGCAAATACTTTGTTTCCCGCTGGGTTGCACAGAACTCATACATCAAGCGGATTCGCTTCTATCGTTTTCAGATGTTGGGGTTGGTTTGTGTAACATCACTTTCTCAGAATGGATTATGTGAGCCGGGCGATCTATGTCCAATCGTTTACTGCAGCGTAAACCGAAGTCTCAAAGAGTTTATGTACTCGTGCACCAAAAAAAGAGATTATGATATATAGTGTATGATATCTCTATCAATATGTATCCTACTCCATCTTGGTAGTACGGAGTAGAGTGAAACAGATCTCGCATTGATAATTGAGCACGATCCAGTAGTGGAAGAAAGGGCAGTCGAGCGGACAAGGTTGCTAAGACCACAGTGTCTGATGCTAATGCCACGCATAACTGTATCTGCCCGCCATTGTGGGGAGACCAAATGGGGTCGCCGGGCCTGCAAACAGAGTCCCTGCGCTATGATTTGCCTCCTTGATTCCCTTGCACGAGTTCCAACTAGACCATAATTGAACTAAAACCCCATTGTGTCGAATCATGCTCCATGACGAGGGATAATTCTACGGTGATATCGGCACTTGCCTAGCTCAGCTAGCCTGCCATATTTCTTCGCAGTCTCCCTTCGCCCGCCTTCACTCTTCCAGAATTTACTTCCTTATTTTTTTTTCCCTTTCCTTCTTACGCTCTTCCCCATGCCCCGTGAGCGTGTGGCCTCTTTCATCTTGAGCGTTGTTGGGGATCGGTGACATCCCGTCACAGTATGGCTTTTACAACGGCTACCCACAATGGGGATCATTCCCCCACAATCAGTCGTCACGGACTGGAAGCAGTTCAGCCGAAAGAACGTCCCACAGATATCCCCGAGAAGGATGCTGTCGTCGGTGATGATGAGGAAATCTTCGGCGATGGTGTGAAGAAGCTTGCCTTCGACCATACGCACCGCAAGCTGAAGCCCAGACATATCCAGCTCATCGGTATTGGGGGTACAATCGGCACAGTGTTGTACGTCCAGATCGGCAAAGCGCTGATGGAGGGTGGTCCTGGTAGTCTATTCCTGGCATTCGTTATCTGGTCAGTCCTCTGCGCCTGTTGATTTGTCTGTCTTATCTATCCTGGTCCCTCAGCATGCTCCAAACAAACCCCATGATTGTCTCGAAAGGCCTCTATGGACAAGGTTCTGGAATCGAAAGCAAAACGAACAGTAAAATGCTTTCGATCAAGGACTCAATGGCTTAATGATATCGGCAATTCACAGACAGCCTCTGCACTCTATGTAAATCGGGCAGTATGAGTATCGTATCATTATGGACGATATTCTGTGCCCTAGAGACAGCAGACCCCCGGGGTTTCCCCCCCTTTTCCTCCACACTTTGCATGTTGCTGCTAGAGTTATGGAATCTTATACTTCTCTGATCATAGGTCCGTTGTCATTCTATGTATAACCGTGTGTACGAAATCCCTATTCCTGCAATCAGTGATGTGCTCCTTTACCTCTTATCCTTCTTCATGCCACGAACACGAAGAACATCGTTCGTTGCACCCCACCTATGCTCTTTTCATGTCCAAAGCACCTAATCCTCAATGGACTTCGAAACTTATTGCAACCGCATAGGCACTCATCTGGACCCTTTGGTGTAGCATCTCACTAAATTACGATATATATAGGCCTGGCTGAAATGGTCACATATCTGCCCATCTCATCGCCCTTTATCCGTTTCGCAAGTCGATATGTTGACGAGGCATTTGGAGTTGCTGCCGGCTACAACTTCTTCATCTTCGAAGCCGCTCTGGTGCCATTTGAGGTGACGGCTTGTAACCTGATCATCAACTACTGGAGCGATGCAGTCCCAGTTGCTGGGATAATCGTCATCGTACTTGTGCTTTTCTCGTGCGTTGTGATAGTATTCGGACATGTTGAGAACTGTACACGCTGACAAATTCTTAGTCTTCTCAACATCTTCGCGGTGAAATGGTACGGCGAGGCCGAGTTCTGGCTTTCCATGAGCAAGGTCTTGCTTAGTGTGGGCCTGATCTTCTTCACCTTCATCGCAATGCTAGGTGGCAATCCTCTGGGGGATCGATTCGGCTTCCGCTATTGGAACAATCCTGGAGCATTCGCCGAGTACTACAAGACTGGAGACCTTGGGCGATGGCTTGGGTTTCTTGCCTGTCTCATACAGGCTAGTTTCACGATCGCCGGCCCTGATTATATATCGATGGCAGCCGGTGAAGCCGTGAACCCCCGCGGAGTCCTGCCTCGGGCCTACAATGGCATCTTCTATCGGATCACAGCATTCTTCGTCCTCGGAGTGCTATGTGTCGGTATCCTGGTTCCCTACAACGACCCCGTCATGGCTGCCGCATTCGAACAAGACTTACCTGGTGCCGCTGCATCACCGTATGTGGTCGCAATGGACCGACTGCAAATCCCAGTCTTGCCACACATCGTCAACGCCGTCGTCCTCCTTGCTGCGTTTAGTGCCGGAAACAGCTATGTCTACTGCGCCAGCAGGAGTCTGTATGGACTCGCTCTGGATGGCAAGGCTCCGCGCATCCTGACCACCTGTACTAAAGCGGGAGTACCAGTCTACTGTGTCTTCATTGTGCTCCTCATCGCGCTGCTATCGTTCCTACAGGTTTCGAACGGGTCAGCAGTCGTGCTAAACTGGTTTGTCAATCTAGTAAGTCTGCTCTACGCCTGACTACGCACTCCCGTCTATAATCTTACAATAATCCAGGTCACTGCATCACAACTGATCAACTTCTCCGTCATAACTTTCACCTACACCCGGTTCCGAAAAGCATTAATGGCCCAAGGCGTTCCCGCCAATCGCTCCCATACCAGAGTCTAGGCCAGCCCTACGTGGCCTACATTGCCCTGGTATCGACCTTCGTGATGACCTTCGTGGGCGGATACACCGTCTTTTTACCTGGCAACTGGGACCTGCCGACATTCTTCTTCTCATACACCATGATCGGGGTGTTCCCGATTCTTTATATCGGATGGAAACTCTGGCACCGCACAAAGTTCCTGAGCCCGGAAGAGATTGATATTTCGACTGGAGTTGATGAAATCGAACAGTATACGAGAGATTATGTTGAAGTACCCTCCAGGTATGTTCGTTATGCCAGGTGTATTGGGATGGGGGATGCTAACATGCGCAGTAACGTGTTCACGAGATTCAACGACTGGCTTTTTGGCTAGCCTGACATTCATACAGCATGAATCATATAGAAAGACATGGGTGGATAGAACCTTTTTGTTCGATTTTGCATTGAGTTATTGGTTATATGAAGAAACGAGTACCGACAATGATAATACGGTACCATGAACCAGCAAAATAGATAAATATATTCTACACTTTATCATACATACACTCCCTCCTCCCTCTCTCTCCAAACCCAACCATCCATCACATAAACCCCCCTCCTCATCTCCCCACAGAATAATACCCCTAAATCCCCTCAATTATCCCCCTTCCCCTCCCCCTCCCCCTTACTCTTCAACGCATCCAACCTCATCTTATTCCTCTTCCCCAACACCCGCAACGTATTCCGCCGCTCAATCTCCGTCATCTGCTCCCAATTCGAAATCCGCGATAACGTCCCATCCTGATTCACCACCACGGGGCCCAAGTGATCCAATTTCACGGTTGATCCGTCCCCGCTCACGTCTAGTTTTGTGGCTGACTCGGCGGAGGGGAGGGCGAGGTATTCGCTTTTTTGGCTTTCGGTTTGGGGTTGTTCTTGGGTTTGGTCTTGGGGTTGGGTTTGGTTGGTGGAGGGTTGTTGTTGTTGTTGTTGGTGGTGGTGGTCTTGGGAGGTGCTCATTGTGGAGTAGGTGTTGGAGTAGTGGTTGTAGAGGTTTATGGCTGAGCAGTGGGGGTGGGTTGGGAGGTTGGGTTGGAGGTGGTGGAGGCGTGGTGTTGTGGTGGTTGTGAAGCGTGCGGTTGTGGTTGCGGTTGCGGTTGTGAGGAGCGGGTTGAGGAGGAGGATGTTGATGAGTGAGGCGCGGGTGAGGGTCGTGGACATGTACATTATATGTCTGGCTGTAAGGAAAGGTTGGCTTTGGGGTTGTTGGTTCGGGTGGTGTGGGTTTAAATGGATTTTGGTGGGTGAGTGGGAGGAATGATGTGGTTTGATTGATGATTTTCTCGAGATGTGGAGTTGGAGGCGGGCGGAGGTGAGGAGAGGATTCTAGAACTTTGGGTGAGGTTACGTGGTGAGCTGTTAATCTTTATACTACGGAGTAGTGATTTTTTGATTCGTGAATATTATTCATTTGGCCTGATATACTTTATCTTCTTCTCTTTCCACTACCTTTATTTGTTGAGTTGGTTTTCTTTGGTATCGGTTTGGTTCGATATAGATACAAGGTCGAATGTGTCTGTCCCGTTCAGTGCCGTAGATCAGCGGAACCACCAATTGACCTGCGATCAGATAAGTATGCGCATGTATGCCCAATATCAGTGAACTTACTGAAGCCGTCACGCCTGTCCCTACTCCCTTAATACTATGCCACCATCCCCGGGGAATGAACATCCCATCCCCCGCCTCGAGACACGCTTCGTACCCCTCCAGCCCTGGCACAGCAGTCGCATCATCCCAAACAGCCTGCTCTAGGGGCGCCCTTTCCTGACCCTGCATCATTTCCTCTCCGCGAATGGCAGCAGCCTCGCGACCCCCGCTTCTCCCCAGCCGTCGTCTCACGGCCCCAAATATCTTCTGCCCATCCTCAGGTGACAACAACCGCACTACCTTCTGTCCCGCAAGCTGAACGAAGAGATTGGGATTGGGATCCCGATGGAGAGGTGTATATGTTGGTGGATATCCAATCCAAACGTTCGTGTCGTACACGTCACCTTTACCCGCCCGCGCTACCAATTCCGGCGTCGGAAAATCATCGCGAAGCACCTGGGGAAGATCTAGAAGTTGGCACTGTGCTAGATACAGACGTGTAGACTGTGTCTCGAGCGTTTCCGCCGTGCGAATCCAATCGAGGAACAGGCTCAGCGGCGCGTGAAATTGTCGGAACGTGAGCCCGTCAGCTCCTGTCTTGCCAGTATCGTCTGAGGATGATTGTGTGAGTTCCAGCGGGACAAAAGCGCCAGCCCCGTGCTGACCGAGGTAGGCCGTGTTCAGTCGACATACATTGGGGTCGGTCGGAGCGGGTTCGAACCAACGTTCAAAGGCTGGGAATTCGCAAAAGGAACGACGAGGGAGGATGATAGGGCGCTCCGGAGCAAAGTAAGTCGTGCGGAAATGATTTATGTCGGCATTGTCCAGAGTCTCCAGTGCGCGGTATTGGCGAGGTGTCGTCGAGAATTCTCCTTGCGACGTGAAGCAGCGTCGCTGTCGTGGTTGGCTGGGAGAGAGAAATTGGAGGGCGACAGACGGCAGACGGTGCCAAACCCGGTTATTGTAGCGCATGCATTGCTGGAGCTTCATTCAGAAGACCATAAGTTGAGTCAACCAAGGGAGAGGGAGGGTGGTAATGCTCCGTATCCAGCGCCGAGTTGACCGCGACATGTGCAGGTGAACGGGCAGATCGGGGAATTTCCGCCCCGGGTCGCATTGGCCAGTTGCTCGTGGACCAGGCAGGAAAGCAACATTCGCGACAGTAAGGCAAAAAAACATAGATTCTTCCTCCCTTTCGTATTACTCCCTTTATCATTAATTTGTTATCTTTCCTAATGTTATCCCATGACAAATGTAACTGTAATCCTCGCAGCGAAATTACTTCACCGCAGGAAACTGGTCCGATAAGTACTTCCAAGTCAGCCGCTGATAAACCATGGACGGAACTCAATGGCCTTTCCTCGTCCTCCCAGTCGCAAATCAAACGGCAACATACCTGTCAGTTGACCAGTACCATAGCTGACCGCCATCAAGGTCGAGATCGAGACCCTCGATTTACATTACCTTATAAGAATTCCCCAGACTTGATCTCGCTTGGCGATCCCTTCCCGGTCCGGCCATCTGGGGAAACGGAAACCCCGCGCGCCCTCGAGCAAACGAAAGGAATCCCTCCGCACCGGTCGCTGCTTTCTCCCACGCCAACAACCAATCGTCCCGGCCTGATTTCCATCCAAAATGTCCTCAGAGTCGCCGCAGCTTGATATGGCACCACCCCAGCCGGATTCTGGGGAGCCAAATGCCGCCCTGGATGCCGATACGGGGAAGAGGAAAGCGGAACCGGCCAACGGAACTCATACTCGCTCCAAGCGGAATCGCTACATCTCCATCGCTTGGTATGATCCTGCCCTTGAATCCACCGGCTCGACCCTGGTGTCCTTGGAGTCTGATTAGCTGATTTCTGCTGGGTTTTCTTTTAGTAATGAATGCAAAAGACGGAAGATCAAGTGTAATGGCCAAGTGCCCTGCCAGCGCTGTGGACACCTTAACCTCGAATGTTAGTCTGCTGCAGGTCCTCGCTTCTCTGACACCCGCGACGGACGCGGCTCACCGTGTCCATAGGTCGATATGCCCCAAACTGCTGCAACAATAACTTCAAGGATTCCGAGTACGTGATAGATATATTTGGTCCCTCCCCAGTAATGCTGTACGCTTGATAGCTTACCAGTCTTCCCACACCAGGGAATTTCGGTCAATGAAAGACCAGATCAAAACGCTACAGGATCAGGTCAACAGTCTTTTTACGAATCTGAAAGATCTTCGGTCGCAACGGTCGTCCCTTGACTCCCCAAATTTCGATGCCTTTTCTCGCGATGGCTCGCAATCGGTGTTCACGCCTATGCATGCCCCCTTGGCCAAACCACGCATAAGACACCCTCGGTTCCAAGGTCCTACTAGCTCTGCCTTCAACTTTGATGTTGCAAGATCTAGTCTTCAAAATATGGGTATCGCTCCGGCAGATGAAGTGGTAACGGACGATTTGACCACCGCACATGCCACCCCGGCCGACTCCCCTCCCCATGTGGGCCCCGTGTTCCCTTCGATACATCCCTCCAAGGATCCGATATGGTCCATCAAGCGAGATGAAGCTCTACGCCTGTGTCGCGTTTATGAAGAGGAGATCGGTATCATGTATCCCCTTGTAGAAATAGACCAAATCGCTCAGCAAGTGAACTTGCTATACACATTCATGGAGTCTGCGATGCGGACTGGGTTTGCGCAACGGGGCCTGCCTGGTATGGATGGCCTTACTGATGACAATACGCTGCTTTTGAAAATGATACTTGCTACAACACTGGTCGTGGAGGGGGGCGGGCAAAGCGAGCTCGGGCAGCGGTTGTATCTGAGCGTGAAGCCGACTGCTGAATCCAAACTCTGGGAAACACTCGACATCAAGACCATCCAGCTCTATGGCATGATTGTAGGTATCCAACCCGTGACATGGGCTTTGCGCTGACACATTTCAACAGGCGACGTACCATTTTCATATGGATGACGATGCGATGGCGTATCGCATCATCGGCCTGGCCGCGCGGATGTGTCTTGAAATGGGCCTTCATCGGCGTGATGCGCTAAACAAGATGTTCCCCGACGAGGAACAATGGCCTGCAGTGGTGAAAACTTTCTGGACAATCTACAGTCTGGACCGGCGTTGGAGCTTTGGAACTGGGCTACCTTTCATCATCCAGGATGAAGACATAGACCCTAACCTTCCTGAGCCGGTACGCCATGTTGTCACATATGAGCTTGATCGGGCAAGCCACTAACCGCGTGTCTAGGATGCGTCGTTGTTATATCTGAAGTGCATGATATCATACAATCGCATCAGTTCGAAAATCTGGTATTCGGGACTTGGCTCTGAGGGTGCAACAGACATACGCCGGGATGAAATCGGCTATCTGGACTACCAAATCCTGCAATGGTACAAGCAAGTCCCGGATGGGCTGAAATTCTATCCCGTCGAGTCTCCAAAGCATGGCGATTCGGCCAATCGGGGCCTGCGGCGATTAAGGGTTCTCCTATACTTACGCATGAACCAGCTCCGAATCCTCATCTATCGCCCCGTTCTCCACTCCGCAGCGAGCATTGCCGAAGATAAGGGCCATGCTCAGACGGTAGTGGATGTTGCGAAAGATACGATCCGCGTGCTCACCCGACTCAATCAGACCTCTGACATCTACCGCAGCCAACAGATTACCTTCAACTACTTCCTTGTTGCCGCGCTGGCAGTTCTCTTCCTTGCGGTATGTCATGCGCCGACGGAATTCAACCGACAAGTGCGGGACGAGTTCTACATGGCCCTCCAGTTGATCAGCGGGTTCAGCACCAAGTCCTACGTCTCGAAGCGACTCTGGAAGGCCATCAAGGGACTTCGCAAGATTGGAGAACGACTGGGAGTGCTGATACGGCCCTTTGGGTCCGACTCCAGTGACCCCCATTCCACTGCGGCGGTCGCCATGGCCGGGTTAGCTGGTCACCAAATTGAAGACTTGTCCGTGTATGGGCCGATGAATGGGGTCACGGAACTCGGAAACAGTCCACTGAATGGGTTGCAGATGAGCCATGAGCTCACGAACCTGTTTGAGGCGGTGGGCGGGATAGGGAACTTCATTGCTCCTGGGACGTCCGATGGAATCAATGGGTTTGTAGGCCATGATGGGGAAATCCAGAATACCGGGGAGGGGCTGTCCGGCGTGATTGGGGATGAGGGGGAATGGTCACGGGTCATCAGGGATCTATTCTAAGGTGGTTGTGTGTAGTCGATAGATAGCAGTAGGCATATCAGATGGGTCTTCTCTGTGCACGCGGATGGGCATGTGCGGTCGAGGCCCAGCACGTGACAAAGCGGGAGGCGTGAAGAGAACAGCCGCCGGGTGACTTTCGGTCGCCAACCTCCCTCAAAGCTAATCCCAGAACATGTTCCAGTGGTGAATTATTGTTGGTGTGGCCACCCACCCCTCTTGATCCGAAGGCCTCTCTGTCTTCCTGTTGTCTGTCTGTCTTTTGGGCTCCAAGTTGCCCGCCTCGCGCTATCTCGCAGCGTCTCCCTCGCTCCCTCTCGTGTTAAGCAGCTTTCCGACCGCCCCACGAACCTAATTTCGGAAGCCCCTCGACAACCTCCGTCGATCGATCCAGCAAGAGAGGCTCGAGGATTTGTGATTCATTTTTACCCACACGCTGTCCCAACTGGTCAGATCCATCAGTATCAGGTGTCCTGTGACGATCGATGATCTTCTGAAGAATTGTTCGCTGGTGGTGAAGCGTCCCTCTTCCGTGACAATCGCGTCAACGCATCCTCATCGCACAACAATCTGCCCGCCCGCACATTGACATGACTGCGACATTTATCAACCAGACACCGTCATTCCATTAGCCCTACAGCGGACGCCATCTGCCGTCCATCTACTCCATCCCGAATCCTGCCCTTCCTGCCACGAGGAGGGCCCCCCGGCTTCAAACTTGTACCAGGACCATTGCATCTGGTGCAGGTTTATCGGCGCTCCATCTCGGACGAGATATCCCGCAGTCGTTTCCCCGCGTAGCTCGGCAACGTGTCGAGAGAGACAGGTTCGGCGTTGGCCGACGGCCTCGACAGGCTGGATCTGAGTCAACTGTCTGAATCGACGCCCTCGTCATCCGCGTCCGACTCATTCGATATGTCGTCGTCGGAGGGGGCACCGGAGTCATGGATCTCCTCGTTCTGCTCTTTGATGGGCCATGAGTTCTTTGCGGAAGTGTCGGAGGACTTTATCGAGGACGACTTCAACCTCACGGGTCTGCAGTCGCAGGTTCCTATGTACAAGGAAGCGCTTGAAATGATCCTGGACGTGGAGCCTGAAGAGGATGAGGATGATGAAGAGGAGGAAGAGGAGGAAGAGGATGAAGATGAGATCCTGGGAGATGAGAAACCGCCGGGATATCGGAGGCCAGGGGAGCGGAGGCATACGCGAGTCGCAAGTGATCTGAGTGTTATTGAGAGCTCCGCTGAATTGCTGTACGGCCTGATTCATCAGAGATATATCACTTCGCGACCGGGCATCCAACAGATGCTTGAGAAGTACGAGATGCAACATTTCGGAGTCTGTCCTCGAGTCTACTGCAACGGATGCAAGGTTCTGCCCGTGGGGCGCTCCGACACGCCCGGCCAGGAGACGGTGAAGCTGTTCTGCCCTAGTTGCCAGGATCTGTACACCCCGCCCAACAGTCGGTTCCACTCGGTCGACGGAGCCTTTTTCGGCACTACCTTCGGATGCCTGTTCTTCATGACCTTTCCAGATCTTGACATCGGACCCCGCCTGGACAGCTCCTTCTCCGCCTTGTCGCCAACCCGCTCTTCCTCTTTGACCTCATCTTCGATCAACAACCAGGTGGCGCCGGATGTGCCCCCTCCCAACCAGCCCACCGAGATCAACGGCGTGCGCACAATCAACTTCAGCCCGGGTCTCGGGCCGGGCCGGATCTACGAGTCCCGTATCTATGGCTTCCGGGTGTCCGAGCGGTCGCGGTCAGGTCCGCGCATGAAGTGGCTGCGGATGAAGCCTCTCGACATTCGGGAGCTGGACGAGCTGGCACGATACGAACTGCTGCACGGCTCGGCCGACAATGATGGCGATTTGGAAATGGGCAGTGCGTCGGGCAGCGCGCAGAGTGCTGCCATTGCGAAGAGGAAAAAGGCGCCGATGCGGAGGCGGCGATACAACCCGGACCAGATGAGCATCAACGGGGCGGAGGCCGGATAACGATCGTATAACTTGTGATTTTCCTCGTTGGGATAGTTGTGAGGAATGCTGTCTGTCACCTCTCTTAATCCATTCTGTTCCTTTCAATGCTGTTCGTCGTTCCATTGCCTGTCTGTGCTCATCTAGTAAATTTTGAATCCTCCCCATCTTCCTCCCGCACCTTCTACATCATGACTGGTGGCCATCACTGTCCCTCCCGCGACCTATACACTTTCGACCTACTGACATGTGTTTGAGTTCTGTTCGTTTCAGCTCATTCTGTTGATCTGCATCGAGGCGTCGTTGAGTCGAGTTTTTCGTCTTTGGCGTACAGATTCACGTTCGAATACAGTACAGAGGAGAATCATGGATATATGAATGTATGTTGTGCATCGTATTCGATTGTATAAAGCTATACCCAGCACCAACCGTCCTGATAAATGTGCAGATGCAACTACCCCGTATACTCCCTCAATAGCAAACACAGCCTACACCATCACCTCGAACCCACCCATCTATCACCCACTATCTCCACCCATCCTTCCAGATACGAAGTAAATAAATAAGATCATACGACTTCCCCATCCAGCTAGCTACATACATACCTACACCAAATACCCAATACGCCTGCAGCTGCCGTATTGAAAGATATGGACCCATCCTGCATCCTCTATTCATGTGATGATCTGACATCTAGAACCTTAACTACTATCGAAGACTAAGACTAAGGAATGGGTTGCCTCGTGTCGGACATTTTTTCTTCCCCACTGGAGGATAAATCCCGATGCGAATCCTGATGCTCCCCCTCCACCTCCAAATGGATTTTAGTGATGATAATCATAATATTACTCCTATTATTATAGTGATAATAATAATAATGATAATAATATAGTGATGTGATTACAGTAGAAGCGGGTAGTATTCTCACGTGGATACTATATACTATATATCATATACTGAGTAGTACTAGTACTCGTAATCTAGATTAATATGCCCATGACATGATTAAATATACTCTCATTCTATCAAGCGAACGGACAAATGAGAGGATCTGCCGAGATCCGGTGCAATTAAATGAGACATTTGATTATACCAGTTATGTAGTATCAAATTAAATGAGTAATTGACTGGTTAAATAACCAATTACCTAGGTAGGAAGGTAGGAAGAAGGTAAGTAGGAAGGTAAGGAGGGAGGAGGTATACCTCCCAATCGAGTAAATGGTTCCTTCCTACTCCGTAGACCAGCTCTTAATAGGATGTCTCCTAACTGGATGTTGGTTAGTTTACTCGTTAGTACTTGGCAAGTAATGTTGCAATCTGGAAAATATTAATGCCTAAATTATTTTCCTACTCTTTAGTCTCTAGTACCTAGGCTGGTTGGTTGGTTGGTGGTGGTGGTTGGTGGTTGTTTATCTCGTATCGACCTGCCTCGTGGAAGAGGGGTTAAGCGCAGGATTGGTTTATTGAGGACTATTATAGTGGAATGGAGTCAATATGATTGTGGTTTCAGTTGGTGAGGAGGGGCATGGCACGAGGCAGGCTACTTCGGTCTTGGGGTATACGGAGGACGGAGTAGTACTATGCTAGTGAGGTCCGATGGTCCGAATTCTACTCCGTAAGGACGATCAGTTTAATGATGAGATGATGGATTGCACACGTGGTTTTGAATTAAGCACCAGGATTAGACACCTACCATCATACGGAGTACAAAGGATTAATGATAACAACTAGTGTGCATTAGCATGCCCGGATTAGGCAGACATTCACTCGGCGGGTCTAGAATGGCACCATCCGGCCGGCCGTAATCTTCAGACCCTGGCGAGGAAATTAAAGTGATGATGCGGATGGCGGACTCGACTGCGGGCACGGAGTCGGGATCGGAGGGAATGAAAGGATGACATTTGTGACATGGATGCGCAACATAATCAATCTCTGGATTGATAGTTAATCCCATAGTGGCCTGGAGTTGTCATCGTCCCTCGTTTCTCGTGGCGTTCCGAATGAGAACTTAGAAATACTATGTAGGAATCAGGCGTCCCAAGAGGGGAGGAGGAATCGGCCATGTGCCTGGAAGGTGAGTCATGGGGCCTGGGGCTGGTCTGCCACGCGCCAATCATCGAGCCGGACGGAGATTGGCAGGAAGCACGCCGTAAATTACTGGATTCCTGTACGGGGACCGGGGTCGGATTTCACCGATTTTCACCGTCCGACAGTCCGTGTCTGCGGCCATTCCCCTTCAAGGGCTGTCCTCGTTGAGCCGCCTGGTGTCACCCATGCCTGACGAATCCGCGCCCAATGCTGGGGGTCCCGCATCCAGCCTATACGAGCCCCCGACCGAGTCAGGACCGTCGACGACGCTTCGGAATCCCTGGCGTCCGAGCCGCCGGCTCCCCGTGCTACTCAGCCCGGTTTCTGGGGTCGCTGCAACGTTAAGGCTTTCAAATCAATCAATCCGAGCCTCCTTGGACGAGACGCAGAGTTGGTGCCTCTGGTCCTTTACACCCCTTGGCTGGTGCCAGCAAACAACATCCCTCCCTCCTTGGAGTGTTGTACAGGGCGGGAAGTCAAGAGTGAAGAGTATGTTCAGTGGAAGTGCGCTATTTGAAGACCCAGTAACCTCCACAATCGTAGTCACATCCAACTGCTCCGAGCCTTGTGGCTGCAGCGCTCGTATAGGTCGTCGTTCAGTCTGTCCGTTGACGTATGCCACGCGGTCGGGCAGATGGCCCCGGGATCAACTAGGGCAAACTGCCATCTCGCGCGGCTGCAACAGTGCCACTAGCAGTCGGCAATGTCGCATTTTTGTCACCGGGAGTGGTGGACGAACAAAGGAAGCTGCATTCGATCTGCTTCCGGGCGATTACCAATGTCCGGTGCCAGCAACCATCAGAGGCGACTGGCAGGAGTCACACATCAGGTGGATGCATGACGCTAGGGTTCAACCGACAATGGAGATCTCCAATTGACCGGAGTATCTGAGAGTTCCTATTCCTGACCGGTCGCCACAACGGTCAAGAGGCATAGCATGAAGTGTAGAACTGTGACCAGGAGATCTGCTCTCTTGGAAGGTCAGGGTCCATAGCGATAGACGGGCCGCACAGCAAGGCTTAACGAGCCAGAGAGATATCCACAAAGGTTTTCGACTGAGACATGGAATCCAGAGCGAGTGCACGGGACTGACCTCCTGGCCAGTCATTGGGGCACACTTCCCTGTCGCAGCGCAGTCAAGCACCACGTCATGCCGGGAGCGGTGGAGGCGCAGCACATGTTCGTAACTTTGGTCCCCTCGCACGTCGCAGAGCCCCACTAGATAAGTCCAGTATCTATCTACATAACTAGTACACAGTATCTATGGATCTCCCGCCATTCTTTCATACCTTCCCGCCCGTCGTTCATCGTTCATCGCAGGGGCAGGGTTCTGGCCCTGGCGTTGGGGTTGGCGTTGGCGTTTTACGACTCCAATCACATTTTCCGGATTTCCCCGTCACCTTCCCTACTAGTACGGAGGATACCATCTTCTCCTAAATCCTAAAGCCTATATCCGATCTCCGAACGGATAACTCCGGTTATGCTTTACCCCCAGGAGCCATGAGCTTGTCCAAATCAATTGATACATAATCAAAAAAAGAACAATCCCTGCTAGGGTGAAATGTGAGAACCGGTTGGTGGCTTCTGGAAAATCTAAAGAAGAGCTCAGTTCAGGCAACCTCTTCGGTTGCAAACTAAAGTAGTAGGACCTCACTAACGGGTGGGCGGCGCATCGCCGGGCATTTTTAGATAGATAATCCTTCGTTTAGGTAGGGAGAATAATAGAAAAAATGAGTGGATAACCGCTGATGGGTCCCGACGGTGGATAATGGAAATCCTGGCGGTTAGCCTTGAGGATCTAGATACGGAGTATGGATACCTAGAGCCTAGATACTGGCTGTGTATGTTACTTGGCCGTCGGTTCGTTATGCATGATGATTGAATCAAATATTCTTCGGCCCCCAATGGTGGGTTGGGTCTTGGAGCTATCAAGTTACCGAGGGAAAAACGGGTTATTGGATTTTTGTTAGTTCGCAGATTTGCTTTTTATTCTGAGTGTACGTGAATTCACCTACGGAATACTAGGGAGTGCTGCGGGATCCGGTCACTGTGAATGATTAATTCGTACTACGGAGTCATTTAGGTAGTGTTGGGGCCAAGCCCAAGGGTACACACGAGCCGGCCAATCAGCACCTGCAGCCACCGACGGGAGGCGAAAGCCTCCCCGTCCACGGTCTGGGTTGGCAGTTCCCACTTGGAGTGATGCGCGGGGATTTCGGGAGGGGTGGAGTTGCGGCGGGACTAGACGGCCTGGCCCATTCAGAATGGTATGGTAAATTGGTAATCTATCAAAGACACGCACGGATCGTTCGGTAACAATTGCTTCCCAATAATAATAATAGCCAATTTCCCTCGCATACACCTGTAGCCCCCCCCGGCAACATAAACGCCGCAAAACATGCTTCTATCGGCTGTCCTGAACAAAAATCCTAAAGTAATGCGCTGTTCCCGGAGGATCGTCACGAACACAGCATGTCCGTCCGAAAGAGGAGAGGGAAGAGAAGAAAAGATCCAAAAGCATCAAACCCAGACAAAGGAAAATTAGAAAGCACAAAGCCAACTGAACCGCATGGTTACATACAACCTGGACTCAATAATACATCATCATAGTCGTTAGAGCAAGAGTAAAATAAGAAAAGGTAATGAGGAAACAGAGAGCCCCTCTAGTCTCAAGCAGCATTAAATCAGAACAAAGGGTATGGGCGCGGGGAGCATGGGTCTGACTCCGGTGTAAGAGGACAAGCCAGCAGTTGTTCTGCTGGGGTGGATGGGGAGGAGTGATCATCGCTGTAAACTGAAGACAAGGGTGGCATCTGAAGGATTGTATTAGCTCCGCTAACCCTGGAACTCTTGCATAGACCGGCGTCAGGTAGAGAGAGGGGCATGTACAGGAATATTGGCCTCCGGAAGGTGTTGGGGTGTCGGACACAGATCAATGCCAGCCATGGACGCATAGCTCATGCTGAAAGGGCTGACGATCTCGTCATCGGCGTAGGAGGGATGCTTCTTGGGACCCGAGCCGAGTAGCGGACCGGGCAGAATTGAGGGCAGTGTGGTTCCGTACTCCCCGTATGGGAGGTCATTGTAATTGTTGCTGATGGAGTGGTAGGCAGGTGGTTGTCCGTATGTGTGGTGCCCGTAGCTATCCAAGTGAGGGTAGGAGTATGAGAAAACGGGAGGCGGCGAGGCTGAGAGCTGTCGGGTGCATTGGTGCGAAAACATCGATCCCCGATCTTCGTGTGTGGAGTGACTCTCGTAGGAAGAGCCGCGTTCCGAGGATGTGTGACGGTTTGCATCGGCGCTGGACTTGGTTGTGCGAGCTTGCTTGGTGCGAGACTTGACGGTGTGCACCGCCTTCGGCGACTCCGACTTCTCGTGTGACCGTTCTGGAGATGTGGAAGCCGACGCGGCTCTCTTCTCCAGGTCCTCCAAGCGCCGCTTGAGCTTCTTGCCTATAGCATCCCATTCCGTTAGCTCAGGTTGCGATAATGTGACCAGCCACTAATGACTTACGGTAGTTTCTCTGGGCAATGCGATTTTGTATGCGGCGACGCTCTGCAAGGTCCGAAATCTTGGTCCAATCCTCGTTGGGGTTGGCGTTGGGACTGAACGCGCTGCTGGTGCCATGGCTGGAGCTCCTGGAGCTGGGGGACGAGTGATACGAGTAATTGGAAGACCGATGCATCTTGGGTGGTAGTGGAGTGGAAGATGATCGATGTCCGTCAAAGCACGAGGCAGATGTATGGAAGCAAAGGCGAGTGAAGTTGGAAGAAGATGAGAGGCAGCAGAGGGGATCTGGATTGACTATATAGATACTCAGATCCGAGGAGTCACGAGTCAAGGATGATCAACATCTGAAACCTCAAACGAAAAACACAGGATGCGTTCAGTATTTAAAACTAAGCCATGGGTCGATCAGCTGGAGAACAGCGCTGTAGTTTATGCCTGCTAAGCCCGGGTCCGAATCAAAGCAGCCCGTCAGTGACGGTTGATTGAACCGTTGCGATAGCAGCGTTAGTCCGTGCTCCGAAGAATTATTTTAATTGACAATTTCCTTTTTTGAAGAGGAAATAGGAATTAAAATAAAAAGGGAAAAAGGAAAAAACAGAAAAAAGGAAAATTAAATTCAGGAAGTATTGATTTATTATTTTAGGGAATAATGAAATTCGGGCTGGATCCTGAACCGTAGCGGGCAATGACTGGAGACTTGCAGGGTATGCATGGCTTAACCATGTGTTGGTAGGGAACTTTTCCCGAATGGATTCGCGGATGTGCAGGGCTGCGTCACTAATGCCCGGTGTGGACTACAGCAATCCTAGTCACCAGCGTGAGGCTGTTGGAGCGGACCCCGATGGCCGATATGGCCGAGGGGGGGGGGGGGGGGCGGAGGGTTAAACAGGATGGATGATATCAGGCAGTGCTACGGACTATCTACTAGGCTCGCACCAGCCCCCGGTTGGTCCACTAATCTGGACCATGTGGTTCCATATCGAGGTGCCAGAGATAGATAGATGCTGGGCTGGCTGGCCTGAACGGGCTCGGTCCATGTCCGCAAGGCACACACACAACACTCTGATCTACAATCGGCAGCAGCATGATTCTGGACATGTAGGAATTTCGGACCGCACCTGCTTCTCCCCACCATCCCGCAAGGTTCCCCCCCGAGGTTCTGCTGTCGTATTTTCCCTGTCGAATTATGCAGTGCCGAGAGAAGCTGAGTCTTTCGACCCAGGATTCGAAACGAATGCGACAACGGGGGCTTTTCCGGGCTAAGAAGAGCCGTTCAAGTCCAAGAGCTGCATGGCGATGCACCAGGCCCCCTTGGATGTCGACCTCGCCCGTTGTGTGTGGGGGAAAATAGGCAAACATCGTGGGCTGGCTAGCTTCGCAACTGTGTATAGGCTGGAGACTGTCATACCAATGGACGGCCTAAGTGAGTGGTTTCCAGCCGAGGGGCCCAATAGCATTTGTTCCCTGGGCATGAAACGAGGGAAGTGTGCGTGGCTTGAGAGGATATTGTTGGTGTGCAAGGAGGGGGCTGAAATGGCGGCTTTTACCTAGTGGTATGTTGGCGTATCGATACAGTATCGCCCGTATCGACCGTCTCGCGGGTATCAAGAGTGGGTCGGGTTACACAGTCCAGGCAATTGTGAATGAATGCATGTCCATCTGGAGGGTCAATTGTCTGGGGATCGAATGGGCGCTGGATGTTGGAGAATCCCCGAATCCTGTTGTTCGTTTTCCTGCCCAGAGAGAGGGGGTGTCTCTGGTCGGTTGGAAGCAGCGGTAGGCATCTACGTGGGTATCTCGCCGAACCACCGGCTAAGTCGTATTAGGTAACGGGCCCATGGGCTATCTATACGGCCGTAGTACGACGAGCTATAGAGCATGGCGTAACTGTCCCCCGGGTCTTTGTCTTTGTCTCTGTCTCTGTCTCTGTGGAAGGCCGACGGGTCCGGGTGAACCATGGACGGCGGATTTCCGCCTGGAGGCCATTTAATCTCGTCGTATAGAGTGATTGGTGGCCGATGTCACCATCTCATTTAGCAGCAACTAGCCGACTCATCCTTCAGATCCAAGTGCTTTCATAACCAGAGCCTTCGGTTGTGCAGATTACCGCTGGATACATGGCCCAGTTCCCTCGTCCCCTCAGGCGGCTTCCTCCGCCCACCGTCGGCGAACCAGGAGGCAGCAACGGGATATAGGAGCACATCAAGGTCCGGTTGGTCCTTTCGTATCGCCGGGACAGTTCGGCCTAACAGACCGGCGTATCCTCTGTACGAGGACGGGCAACGGGCCACGACTAATGCACGCAGAGGTTACCCCTTCGGGATCCTTCTGCGACCTGAGCCTTATGCCCACACACATAGCCCGTACAGAGCACACTTCTTCAGCCTTCGAAGATCAGACTCAATCTGATGCCCGGGAGCATGTAGCCTCTCTCTACCTTGCATGACTCTCAGAATAGCCTTCGCAGAGAGTCAGAGGAGCCGGGCTTCCCATCCAATCATGCCCGGGGGCCCCGGTTGCCAAATTTGGGTACCAGAGAGGCAGAGGTAGGTTTGGTTGCCGACCACGGAGCAGGCACCCTCCTCCATCCATCCATCGTACATACAAGGCACGGCTCCGACTGACCACCTGCGTCGTCTATCTGCAGGTCGAGGTCAAGCTGGAGAGAGAAGTGTGCCTCGATTGACACGAGCAGCCCGTCTAGTGCACGGTCTCAACTTCTGCCACGTTGCACCCCTCGATCTTGGCAGCACACTAAGGATAAAGATCTTACCTACTCCGAACGGGTGGTGGCCGGTGGGATGGAAGAGGGGGAAGGGGAGAGGGGGGCCGCCGGCGGCCTTCCACCTTAATTCCCCAAGTCACATTCCTTCCACGCCGGTCAGTCAGCCAGGTAATCTTTCGTTGACAGTCGGCTCCTTGGAATCGATCAAATGTTTCATCTATCTTTGTCAACTATGCCATACCTTGCTGATGCTGGGAACTTGGAAATCCATGGGAGGGCGCAATGAAACATGGCGAGGACATGCAGATCAGTTGATCATTTGATCCTGAACCGATCAAGCACAGCCCGGGTAGCGGACAGTCCGGAGATGGATAGCCTTGTTTCGGAGGCTGCCACCCCAAGGTTCTCTTCCTGTCGGTCCCGCATTCAGCTATTTTGCTTTTGGCTCTAGGCTTATACTTTGGGCTGGGATATTTTTATTTTAAGGTTTCTGGTCTCTGCGTTGCTTTTGTTTTCGGTTACCCTAATCTTCATATGACTCCTCATTATTGATTCGTATTGATAGCCGGACGCCCTATCGCACCTGGTTATGGATGCCGTCATGGATGCATGTTGATAGTATGCACGCCCATTGCCCGAGACTGTGGCATTATCATCTCCGCCCATAAAGGGGGTGGGTACATACAACATTCCACACCCCCTTGGTCAAAGAGGTGGCTATGTTAGCTTGTAGCCCGGGGGGTGGGGGGGTGAAGGAAAGAATCGTAAAGAAAACGCCCCAATCGAACATTGTAAAACTCCTGCCAGATTCGGGTTGTAATCTGAGACCAGGGCTCCCCCCTGGGCCTAGTGTATATGCCATTACAAATTCGATCGGCACCCCCAAGCAAACCCTGTGGATAGCCGGGGAGGGGAACGAGTGGGTGGATCCCTGGATGGATCCCATGGTACACGAGCGGGCCAGTCAGATGGCGCGGCACCGAGAGGCTTTTCAGCCCCAAGGTGTCATTTCGGGCTTAACGAACCACTTGCCGCATTTGGCAATCGACCCTGGAGATGCCGCCCCGGTAGTGCCTACCCATGTTGGTCGGTCTCCTTGAGGCTCAATCACCTGCAGATTTCCGCCTGGTGAATGCTATCTAGGTAATACATACTGGGCCTCAAAATCAGATGTCGACGTCAAGTCTTGCCTGAAACCCCCATTCATGTGTAGGGCTGAGGACAGCAGTGGCCCGTGGCTTATTGGCCAAACGGTGAGTTTGTGTACTTCCCAGCCTGATTCAAGATCAGAGGCATGAAGGCCTTGGTAAATCACATGTATCACCCGGTCGGAATGCCCAGGTTCTAAAGACAGCGATGGGCTTCCCCTCTACTCCGTACCGTGGCTTTTGTCTTGCCTGTGCGAGTCTGCATCTGCATATGTGTCCCCATCTGATACAAGAAATGACGGCTCATGACTCTACCGTTGCTAACTCATGTAACCCCATCTCGTATGGGTGTGCCTGGCTGTCCTGCAGTCTTCCCCAAATAGGTCTCGTGTGCCGAGCTGGTGTGCTAGAGCTGGGCACATCCCATCATCATTGGTCGCGGCCACTGCTCGTATCAATCTGCATGTCGACCACCTGCCTAATGGTGCAGGACACCTGCAACAGGGATTGGAGGAGAGCGTCTTCGGCGGCCAAGTCTTGCCAGATGCTGAATCGAACCTTCTGGTACATGTCTAGAAGCACTACGGCTTGGCAGACGGGACAGTCAGAGGACATTTGCTTACTTGATCGTTTCAACTGGCCGGTTTCTGCGGCACTCGAGATATTAATAATCCTGAGGAATGCTGTGTGTCCACGGGCTTGCAGTAGTCTGGGACCGTTAGCTCCAAATCCCCCATTCTTTGGGCGCAGAACGTCATCCTGCTCAGGGCTTTGAACCTAGGGGCGATGCCGCGTTCCGTTCATTAGATGTAAGTGGATTGACAGCGTCCCCTCATTGAAGTGGACAACGACTTCGTAGGAGGTAGGCTGGCGCTAGTTGTAAATTGGCCAGGCAAATGGTTCGAATGGTATTACGGAGTATGTGAATGGCGCCCGTTCCAAAATCCGTCAAGTCAGGCCGTCTGGACTAGATTCCGCGGATCTCCTTGCTAGGAGGCCGTGACTCATGTCTCTGCGAATCAATCGCCTGCCCTCAGGACAACATGCTTATGCGGACGCCCCGCACGCTGCCGGGAGGGGTGGGTGACGAAAACCCACTTGGCCAAAGTACGGGGACTCCACGTGCGAAGGTCATGGCGTCTGACGGGAAGAGAGGGATGGTGCTATCTTTATCGGATCTGCTAGATTGACAATGCCAGCACGCCTCGTGGAGGGAGGCATCCAAGCGGCGGCGTCGGCACAAAGGCAGACCTGAGGAATCCTCAAGCTTTCAGGAACCTAGTCAGGCTCTCATAGATCTGACGATCATTATAGTCCCATCTTGGTAAAGCTTCAACGGACTCGATGAGATGGCAGTCGGGATGATGGACCTTATTCAGTGTGTGGTTCCCAACGATTTCCCCTCCTTCTGGTTTCTTGAGAGCGCAGCATAATTGTTGGCCCCCTTGTCCCAAGAGACGATGTGTTGCTATTCTAGCGGAGTGAAATGAGGCCAACAGCTCCTGGTCCTCCGCCCCCTCAGCCTAGCAGGAGACTAGTTTCACAATGGAGCACCGGCAGAAATGGCCCCCAATTTCACCTTTGCTGCTCCACCTGTCGATAAATCACCAGGTGCCAGTGCCCACAGACCCTTCGCGCCAACGTAATAAGGTGGGAGATTGTGCTACGGCCCGCCCGCTTGCTATTCGCGACCGATGCCAACTTTCGAGCCGGAAACGAGAATACCGGCGTAGTTCAAGGGAGGGTCGACACCGAGTCTGATTGCATGATAGCGACAGTGGCTGCGCCGATGTGACGGTGAAGTCTAGGCACTCGGACTTGGCTCGTTAGGAGAACATATCCCTGATGCTACCATGTGTCAATGGGTGTGGGACTAGCCGAGCGTGCCAATAACCACTCGTAGATAGATATTGCTCTGGGTCGGCGTGTCATTAGCTCGTCGTTAATCCACCAGCTGCATGGCGTAGATATACTGTTTTTAATATCGGACCGCTGGCTCCTGTCACCATCATGTTCAGCTCGGGAGCTCGTACATACCCGTTAACGATCCCTACCTGGCCCTGGTTTAATGGACTCTCACGACACAGGCGATCACTATCGCAGTATGCTGCAGCTGCAGATGCAAGCGCAATTGCGCGATTCGGAAGTTCTATGCGTGCCCGCAAACCCCGGCAATTCTGAAACAAACACTGGGCCTCCGTCAGTTGGCGTTTCTGGTGACATTTGACGCATTGTGACGACCTCGATGCCTAAAATGGATGGAGCCATTCGATGTTTGACTGGCCGCAGGACTAATGCAGAAACCAGCGCAGCAGAGCCTCAGAGAGGGGGGTGAGGGAGTGAGAGTGTGAGTGTGTGTGCGCACAGCCAGCGCGGGCGTACCCATAGCAGAGCCGTGTTCTAGCTTACCGACTAGTGAAACTTTCGGATAGAAGTTCGATACCAGTCGTCGGGTGGTCGGCCTGTCCGACACGGTGGTAGTACAGGTATTTGACCGTACCATGGATAGGTCTGGAGGTATACACTGTATCGCGTATCTATGAAAAACAACCCGATTATCCTTGGCCCAGCTGCTATTTCCCAATCAGAACTTATTATTGGCCTTCGATGGCACATGCATTAGTCCATCCAGGTCAGTTTTGTCAGTTGGTGGCCGACGGCCGGTGGCTGCCGGACGGTGAACGTAGGTCCGAACTCCGATGGGGTATTCCTACCTGCATGCATTATTCTATTCAGGCAATCAATCTGAATGAAGTGCAGCTGCACGACCGATGCCGACCTATAGATTAAGGAACAAACATTCTATGTATTCTTGGAGTTCAGTCACGCCAACCAATTCCGTCATCAGTGGTGTTGTCATGTTGTGGGGATGTGTTATTCACCCGACCTACTATGCACTATTACTCCGTAGGCAGCCAACACTGCGCGGGTAATTGCCTCGTGGCAAACAAGTGCTTGGGGCGGCTGCGGCTCGTTCAGCTCCGTTTCCATTGCCCACCAGAGCCCAGGATGGGGCAGACCCGTTGCTCTTGGCAGGCCATAGGAACTACCTCCCTGAGTCCGTAGTATAACCTAGAAGCGGATTGGGATGCAGTCTGGTCAATATGCCGCCGAGACCACGATACTCCTCTTTAAGGCTCGATTGGAGTTGTATGTCGTTTCACATTCCACTGGGTCCACACATTGCCACTCCGCCTTGTTGTACTATGTACTTGAAGGGTTGAGATCTCACGATGATCAACATTGTGGGTGGTATGGAGAGTCCCCACCGTGCGTTTGCTTGGACTGTTCTCACTGGCGAGAAGGCCATTGATGGAGCATTGCGGACTGAGTGGCTATCGACGCGCTCCGTCTCGGAATGGAATGGACAGAGGCACTGACGGGACGGATCCTGCCGGCAGAGGAGTACTGTTAGTCACATACTATGTAGATAGTGGGCACGGGACTGCTCGACGATGTTGCCTGTAGCAGTAATTACTATGTAGTACGCTGGATGGAGCCCCGGGACCTGAGAGTTGGTTGGTCAGTTCGAACAGACTCGTGGTTGGGATCTTCCAGAATCCAATGGTACTTACTGCCCGTGTACGGGCACGACTGACTCGAGATCGGGGGCCGGAACCGGGCAGCAAACTGGATGTTGGTGTGTGCGTCTACTCCGCTGACGATGAAACATCTACGGCGTATTACTCACAGATCTGGCTGAGACGGCTGACTTCGGGCAATTGTCGATCATCGCTTATCGATTGCTACATCTCCAAAGTACACAGTATCAGGGCCAGAGTATACATAGGGACACATAGTACTGTATATAGCGTTGCTATTTACGGAGTACAGATGCACATATGCATGCCAGCAAGCCAGCTGTTGTGTACCTCCCAAGGGGCAAGGCGCAGCCAAGGAGGCAGGGCACTTGCCTCGGGCGTCCAGCGAGTAATCTCCAAGGGGACGGGCGGTTGCGTTGGCCATGGATCGTAATCTGCAAACTCCTTGCATACATCATCATCATCCTTATCATTATAAATCTCCATTGCCAGGCGGCTGTGCATGTTGTGCATTCGGCCCCAAATTGGTGACATTGGGTGGTTGGCTCCGTCTTGTTTAGGTCTACCACATCTATCATAACCCTGTTTGTCAAAGATGCCAATCAATACTTTCTCCATCATTTGAGTACGCCAGTCGCCGCTAACCGCAGGAAGTAGGGTAAATACTGCGTCGTTGAAGTGATGCTCGTGTGCGCCAAAAGTTATTACCTCCGAAAAATCGGCGTATAGCAAGAATTAACTGAACATGACCGGTGTTTTCATATCCGTCTATCAACAAGACAATCATGTAACTTTAGCAGTACGGGCGTGGAAATGCCGCTTAAATCCCAACTCCTCCTTCTTGAAATTAAATGACATAGCTAAGGATGAATTAGCAAGCTGCAATGTAGGGGAAAATCCTGAGGCTCTGGACCGACTTACCTCCAAGGGTGGCTCTCATCACCGTACTGGATGCCCTCGATCCAGTTCTTCATTTGGAGAGCAATTTCACCAGCTTCCTCGTTCTCCTTCAGACCGCAGTCAACCAACTTACCCCGGTAGCTGATTGTTCGCACAGGGCTCACAATAGCCGCAGTACCGGCACCGAACACCTCGATCATTCTTCCCTCCTCGGCCGCCTCGGCAACTTCGGACATCTTGAGCTTGCGCTCAGAGATGGTCCAGCCCTTAGGCACCAGTCTTTCCCTGGCCAGCGCAAGCACAGAGTCTCTGGTAACGCCCTCGAGAATAGTTCCATCCAAAGGCGCAGTGACCAATTCCTTCTGTCCGGTCTCCTTGTTCTTCAATGCAACGAAAAGATTCATGGTGCCAACCTCGGTAATATATTCTTCCTCCCCAAATAGCCACAGATTCTGCTGGAAGCCACGGGACGCGGCCTCTAGCTGAGGCAGGACGCAAGGAGCGTAGTTGGCGCCCAACTTCTTGTCTCCAACACCGCCGGGCCAAGCTCGAACGGCATAGTCGGTGGCCTCCAAAGAGATTGCCTTGAAGCCGGTGGGGTAATAAGGCCCGACGGGACTTGCGATCACGAACAGGAGAGCAGAGCCTGGAGGTCCCACACCAAGAGTCTTTTGAGTTCCAATCATCGTGGGCCGTAAATACAACGAGTAACCCCGCTCACTATTTTAATGGAGGTGAGTCACTATTCACAATTGCAAACAGGGGGGAATCCCACTGACCTGGGGATGAATCTGCTGTCCAGCTTCACAAATTCTCCAATAAGCTTGGTGAGGGCCTCGCCGTCAAAGGAGGGCAAAGCAATGCGTGACGAAGACTTGTTCAAGCGCGCCATGTTCTTGTTCGGGCGGAACAACCGGATCTGACCTTCTTTGTCTTTATAGGCCTTCATTCCCTCAAAACACTCGAACGCATAGTGGAAAACACAAGCCGACGGGTCGAGACTGAGGTTCTGATAAGGAACAATACGGGGAGTCTGCCAACCCTCGGTTGCAGTCCATTCGATAGAGAGCATATGATCTAAGGTATAAAGCGCATTAGCAGCCGTACAGCGCCAGGAAAGCGACGCATGCTCATACCGGTGAATGTCTTGCCAAAGACCAGGTCTTGCGGGGCCGTCAATTCTTTGGGAGTATTTGTCTTCGAGACCGTAAGTTTCGAAGGGTCAAGACCAGCTAGTTGGGAGGCGGCAGCTGGTGTGGCACTGAAGCATCTCTTCCATATCTGGGTCGTTGCGGAATTTTGGAAAACACGAGGCGCAACGAGGCTTTGCAGCGCCCTGCGACGAGCGAATTGAAGTGACTTCATGGCTAAGCCGGTGTTGAGTAGCACTTCAAACCGATTAATTGCAGGGTAATGGACAGTCGAACTCTGGCTGTGAAGGATAATGGTAGGAAGCAAACCTGAAGAACGCGATAAAAGGGCCGAGGGCGGCTGTGGAGCTTTAAAGGCGGATAAACACGGTCTATGACTCTTCCCACGGACTGCGGCGACAACTCCGAACCCACCACAAATTAACGTTTGACAAGTCCAATTGGGTCCGGACGATGGACACCACACACAGACCGTTTATATTGGGACTGCCCTCGGCTAGTGAGATCTATCGGATTGGCAATCGTATGGGACTTGGCCCGGTTGCAGCCACACGAGTCAGAGTGAGCTTCCTCGAGTAAATCCACCCCAGTTGTCATTCTGGTCGATCTCCGACCTCGGCCTCCGCGACACAAGTTCCCGGCAGTAAACCCACGATCTAGCCAGGCGGTGAGTCTGGGGGCGGAGCCTCCTTTCCCGATCGAGAAGGGGTTTTGGGCTCGGGGTCGCGGTTGGCGGCAGCGTTGCTGATTGGTGAGCGGCGCCCCTTACACGTGATGTCTTCCGACCGGGCAGATAGCGGCCACTGATACCTGATGTTACTTTCGTGATACACATGGAAAAGACGACTGGAAATGTATGATAACCGTGTCGATGTTTGAGGAGGCTCCGATCCAACTTTGCTTGCCTCGTGTGCTCCGCCATTTCCCTCGGTATATAATATCCATGTAATATCTGTTCTTCCGATCTTTTGTGTCCTGTTTATCAGCCCCGTTTTGCGGAATCACATCGCATACTTCAAGGGATTCGGCGATTATATTGGATGGAACGAACCCATTGCTGTGAATTGCTATCTCAGGTATCTCGTGTTGTTTGAGCTGGGAAAAGGTACAAAAGATGTTTTCGTCGGCTCTCAAATCCCTGAGCTCCAATATATCATCAAACTACCACATTTCTCCACACCCCACCGTGGTCTCTGGTCCTTGGAAAATTCATGACGGGAAAAAGAAGTCCACTGGCACCACGGCGTCCATCTTCATATTTGACAAAAAATTCCTTGAACCAAGATCAAGCGGGCTCGGAAGTCGTTCCGGCTCTTCCACCAAGAAGCTGCAAGAAGATGTCGTTGAACGCCTAAAAAGGGAAGCGAGCAATCTGGCGCGGCTCCGACATCCCTCTGTCCTACAAGTGCTAGAGCCCGTGGAAGAGACGCGAAATGGCGGTCTTATGTTTGCTACCGAACAGATCACTGCATCTCTTGCTGGACTACTTCAGGCAAAGGATGCACAGGATAGCACTTCGAGGGTTGGCTCGAGGTCCAGCCGTTATATGGTAGAGGAACCTGATGGCACACGACGGCGGAGAGACCTCGAGATCGACGAATTGGAAATTCAAAAAGGACTATTGCAAGTTGCCAAAGGCCTCGAATTTCTTCATGAGTCTGCGGGGCTCGTTCATGGCAATTTGAATCCCGAAGCCATCTATATCAATGCCAAATCCGACTGGAAAATTTCCGGCCTTGGATTTGCTGGTCCTTCTAGTTCTGCAGAATCACGCTCGACTCTTCCACCCCTGGCTTTGTCAGAGGTGCTTTACCAGGACCCGCGCCTACCTCAATCCGTCCAGTTAAATCTGGACTATACTTCGCCCGATTTTGTACTCGATTCCAACGTGACACCTGCCGCTGATCTATTTTCACTTGGGCTCATAATAGTAGCTCTCTATAACTCGCCACATGTTTCGCCTCTGCAGACGCATGCGAACGTGAATACCTACAAGAAGCTTTTAAGCTCTCCATCCAGTACCCCTTCGCAGGGCAACAACTTTTTATCCTCCGGCACGATTCCAAAGGATGTTGTTTCTCACGTCTTACCCAGGCTGATAACTAGGAGACCTGCTCAACGTCTGAATGCTCGTGAATTCCAACAATCTCAGTACTTTGACAACATATTGGTCTCGACGATCCGCTTTCTGGAATCTTTACCCGCGAAGAATGCCCACGAGAAGTCGCAGTTCATGCGTGGGCTCCAGCGAGTTCTGCCAGAGTTCCCAGTCTCCGTGTTGGAAAGAAAGGTTCTGGGGGCCTTGTTGGAAGAGCTGAAGGACCGAGAGCTTTTACCACTTATTTTGAGCAATGTCTTCACAATACTGCAGCGCATCCCGAATGCGCGTCGTACGTTCCCGGAGAGGGTGATACCTCAACTCAAAGAGATTTTCCCAACAGGCAAGAGTGTTGTACAGGAGCGTGACGCCAAGAGGGATGCGGGTCTCATGGTCGTCCTGGAAAATATGAATGTTGTGGCAGATAATTGTTCCGGAAAGGAATTCAAAGAAGGTTAGTGAATTGACAAGAAGCCACAATGTGGCGCATCGAATTATTTCTCCCTTTTCATTCGTGTTTCCTAACGTGAACAGACATCTTGCCACTTATTCGACTCGGACTTGATTCACCAACACACTCTTTAGTAGATGGCGCCATCAAATGCTTACCGGTTATCCTCCCGGTTCTTGATTTCAGCACTGTGAAAAACGAAGTCTTTCCGCCAATTGCTTCGACTTTCAGTCGAACAAACAGTCTTGCCATCAAAGTACGATGCTTGGAGGCGTTCGCTGTTCTTTGCGGCGGCACCATGGGGGACAAGGGGGCAATTGAAGATGATCTGTCGGGTGTGAGCCAGACGAGTAAATCACAGTCTATCAAGTCATCCATTTTGGATAAGTATACGATACAAGAAAAGCTTGTCCCCTCAATGAAAGCCATCAAAACGAAGGAACCAGCTGTCATGATGGCTGCCTTGAACGTCTTTCGCCAAATCGGGACGGTTGCGGACACCGAGTTTCTTGCTCTGGAAGTCTTGCCAGTGCTATGGAGCTTCAGCCTCGGGCCTCTTCTTGACCTCCGTCAATTTGGGGAATTCATGACGCTAATCAAAAGCGTTTCGTCCAAAATTGAGCGAGAACAGACGAAAAAGCTTCAAGAGCTGTCATCGGGAGGAGACTCCGGTGGATTCCAAAATGGAACCGGGGGTTCTTCGACGGCATCAATCACAATGGGCCAGTCTAGCATGGACAACACAAGGGATACTTTTGAGCGCCTTGTCCTAGGGCGAGGGGCAGCAACCTCGACTGACCAGGATATTGATCAATGGGGTAGCCTCACCTCAGGCCGTCCGGCGGCGCAGTCTACTGCTCAAAAGACACCATCTACGGGCTTTTCCTGGGCGTCGGGCACCACAAGTCCAGCCGTGAAAGGAAGCATGCTTCCAGCACAAACCAACCTCAGCATGCGCTCAGTCACTCCTGATTATAACTTGAGCACGTTCCCGTCCTTAGAACCTGCTGCGAGGGCGAAGTCTCCCCCAACGCCCACATTCCCTACCCTACAGCCTTCACCTTCTTCGTCCTGGAGTATCCCAAGTCCTCCGGTTAATCAGCAATCGATCCAGAAAACAAATGCCTCCGGACTCTCCCTAGGAGCGCTGGCGAGCATGAAGGCACACGCTCCTGCATCCAGTCAAGGCACTCAGCCTATCCCTAATTATTCTGCATTCTCCATTCCCCCGCCCCCGTCGGGCCACACCGCCATAGGGGCCTTTGGCAGCCCTAGTGGACTGGCTAATACAGGGACTTCGGCATTTGGCGCAAGCACCTCACCAAGTGCATTCGTGAACAATAGTGCATCACAGGGAACCCAGAAACAAGGCCTCGACAAGTACGAGAGCTTGCTCTGAAGGATCTGGGGTAAGGGTATACAATTGATTCAATCTCATTTTTGCATATTATAGCCACTGGACTTGAATACTCTCTGGTTTTTTTATTGCTTTTTCGGTGTAGTCACAGGTTTTGTTGCGTGTACAGGGTCATGCATGATTCCCCCTGGTCTCACAGGCGTAGTTCAGACTGGGCTTCAAAAGTTTTCCATTTGCTTTGTTGTCTTAGCTCGGTGGAGTTGGGGCAAGATTGTCACTTGAGTACTACTACTGTATCATCAGAATACATACTAGCAATACTGGCGAGGGAATAATACTGTGAGCTATCCGGTGGAGCAGAGCGTGGAAATGATAAGTGCAAGCTCCACTTTTGCCAAGCGACCCGATACTAGTAAGTAGTTATCTATCGAGCTCCTTCCCCGACGGTGGCCCGACGTAAGAGTAGTGACGGAGGTTTCGGGGCACCCAGGCTTAGATCCAGGAATGCAACCTCCTCCTCTTCGAAGCGCCTTGAGGCGCTTTCCGTCGGCTCGGTGTTCTGTCCTCCCCCACCGCCCCTCGTTACTATTACCCCTCCACCATCGTCTGCCTCGTTCACTCCATCTCGTCCGGTGGTCTTCTTCATCTTTTGCAAACAACCTGTCTTCAGTTACAACACCTCATCGAGCCACAATGGATGCCAAGGTCAAGCAACACTATCTGGCCGACTCCCCTCCGACGGTGGTGCGCTTGGAAGTCAAGTCTCACTTTGACAACCTCAAAGATCAGAAGCTGCGAAAATACGCGCATTACTTGAGCAGGTGCGCTATTTCGTTATGACTTGCCAGTGCTTCAGCTGGCCCGAGAGCTTCCCGCTAACATACGTCATCTATAGGGCTGCTTTTGAAGGCGTTCGTGTAACCCTCCGCCAAGTTTCGCCGGAGTCGGAGCCTATTTACGACCTCATTATCGAACTTCATCGGGCTTGTGATGGGGATTGGCCTGATCTCGCTCGTAAAACAGGCGTCAGCGATGAGAATCTGCGCTTCTTTTTAGAATATGCAGCTCAGTTTCTTGGAAACTGTGGTAATTACAAGGGCTTTGGCGACTCGAAATTCATTCCTCGCCTGCCTGTCGAAGCATTCCAGGCTTTAGCTTCTAGCACACCTAAGACAAAAGCTGCCTTTGACTTGGCCAACACCTCTGGAGGTGGCATCTACGAAACCGATGTGCAGTCGCGTATGCACCTTGGCTATTCGGAAGGGGACCACATGACGACGTATTACCCCGACTCACCGTCTATCACCAAGGATGAGATCACGGCTATCGGCGATTTGATGGAGCAAAAAGGATTACCATTGGAGAATACGAGGCTCAGGAAGACGGAATCAGGCGACTTTGAGTTGTTGATCGCATCGGGTGTTTCCTCGCCACCTGCGCGCGACAGAGATCTCGGGGACGTTGATACCTTTGACCTGGACGGAAAGCTCCAGGGACAGAAGCTTCGTCTTGTCTTTGGTGACCATCGGGAGGAAATGGCGAAGATTGCTCACAGCGTCAAGCAGGCGGGGCTTCATGCGGCAAATGATAACCAGAAGCGGATGTTAGATGCATACGCGATGTCGTTCGGCTCTGGTTCAATAGAAGCGTTCAAAGAGAGCCAGAGAATCTGGGTCAAGGACCAAAAGCCGGCATTGGAAACGAACTTGGGTTTTGTAGAAACCTATAGAGACCCGCATGGTGTAAGAGGAGAATGGGAAGGTTTTGTTGCTTTGGTAAGCGTGAAGCTGGTTCCTCAACCCCAGAATCTTGAGTTATTAACGATTATTATCACACAGGTCAACTTAGAGCGGACACGCGCTTTCGGTAAGTTGGTGGATAGCGCCGAGGCCATGATCCCCAAGCTTCCATGGGGTCGGGACTTCGAGAAGGACAAATTCCTCAGCCCCGACTTCACGTCCCTAGAGGTTCTGAGCTTCCAGTCTTCTGGCATCCCTGCTGGCATCAATCTGCCCAACTACGATGACATCCGGCAGAACCTTGGATTCAAGAACGTTTCCCTTGGCAACGTTCTTAGCGCAAAAGCTCCTAATGAGCCTGTTCCCTTCATTGCCGAGAAAGATCTGGAAGTCTACCGTAACTGCCGCGATGCCGCTTTCGAGGTTCAGGTAGGCATTCATGAACTGCTCGGTCATGGTACCGGGAAGTTGCTCCAGGAAACGGCTCCTGGAGAATACAACTTCGACATCTCGAGCCCTCCCATAAGCCCGGTTACAAACAAGCCTGTCTCGTCCTGGTACAAGCCCGGACAGACTTGGGGCTCAGTATTTGGAGCCCTTGCTTCTTCCTACGAAGAGTGCCGCGCGGAGTGTGTTGCAATGGTGCTCAGCTGCGACTTCAGCATCTTGAAACTGTTCGGTTTCGGTGACGGCAAGGAGGATCTTGCCAGCGATGCGGGTGACGTTCTCTTTGCTGGATACCTGCAGATGGCTCGCGCTGGTCTCGTCGCCCTGGAGTTCTGGGATCCTAAGACCCAGAAGTGGGGACAGGCTCATATGCAAGCTCGGTACAGTATCTTGCGCACTTTCCTCGATGCTGGTGGCGACTTTGTCAAGCTCTCATACACCAAGGAGGATCTATCTGATCTGGAGATTCACCTAGACCGCTCCAAGATTTTGACTCATGGTCGGCCAGCCGTGGAGAAGTACCTGCAGAAGCTGCATGTCTACAAGAGCACCGCGGATTTTGAAGCGGGCAAAAAGCTCTATGACGATATCACATCTGTCGATGAGTGGTGGGGCACCAATGTCCGCGAGATCGTTCTGAAGAACAAAATCCCTCGGAAGGTATTTGTACAAGGCAACACCATCCTTAATGGGGATGAAGTGACCCTCAAAGAGTACGAGCCCACGCTTGAGGGACTAATTCAGAGCTTTGTCGAGCGTGATGTCTAGACGCAGACCGTCTGTGCAGAGCATCACAATATACTCTCGGGCCTTCTGGGCTCGAGTGTTGTATCTTGGGTGGTAAGATGCCATGCTGCCTGCATTAGTATAATTGGAGCTAGCAGATGTACCACATCAATGTGACCTGCATATATGCCGAGACCCTCTATAGCCTTTAGTAATTGAAATATGGACAGCAGATGAGTAGTAGTATCCGCCATCTGGCTGCAGCGGGTCATGTGACTCAAAGAGTGCAACGATCGCCACCTTGACAGGCAACATCTCTGAACCAGACGGCCCGGGTTACTCAGTGGAAAGCAGACAGATGTCGATCATCGTAGAGTGCTTCATGCAGCATGACAGGATAGATGGCGTGGTTGCTCACCATGCTGGATCATACAGCTCCTACTTGCCTCGAGGTGTCACCGTCGGCCCCGTCTCCGGGAGCGACCAGCCAATCTCCGAAGTCGAGCGCGGTGGACCTGTCGTCCCTTCAGGACGGCTGATTCCAGGCTCTCGGGCAGTCTCTCGTGCCCGCCTAAGCGCTTCCTCCTATCCTCCTCTCCTCTTTCCTGGAACTTCCCCCTCACGGACAACTACTACCCTCTTTGTTTCTGACGCCTTCGCATAGTTCCTTCTCCCATTTCTGACTTGACTTAATATATCCTCCGGGATAGAATTCAGTTGGACTTATCAACTTCCCCCTACCAGTTCCATGAGTGAGCGCTTCTAAAAACACGACGGTGGGCTCCTGATCGACTCGAGCAACCCGGGGTCTGGATTCCCTCCCGGCCAAGGCCCTCTGAGTGGAGTTCACGCAGCTCCCAACAATAACCAGGGACAAGACGGCCTTCTCCAAGCATCGACACATAAATCCCGACACCTTGTCGTGGCCACCGAATTCCTCTGGCTCGCCTCCCACGGCGCGGCCGTACCATTTGACAGACTCCGTAGCGGAGGAAGACGACGACGACTTCTATACCGCGCCGCCACCGCCGCATTCTCCGTACTCGGAGGCTTCCTCTAGTTTCTCTTCGTCGCGCCCTCCACCCTTTTCGTCTCTTATATTCGCTTCTGCGACCGAATATAATCGTGGGAAGGCCACTTTCTCCCCACTTGAATCCGCCTCGGCTCCGACCTCTGTTCCTCTGCCGCCCGACGAGGAGTCTCTCGAGCCGAGCCCTTCTTCATCCTTAGTCGCGGAAACCAAGGCTTCGTTCTCCCGGGACCAGAAATCGGACCCCCCGGGCAAACCTGCAGACGAGGGAGAACCTCCTCCACCGTATACCGAAGGATCCAGTCCCATCGAATCATTCACATACGTGATGGCTGCAGCAGGAGGCGCTTCGAGTATCATTACTCAGGTGCAGCAGACAGGAGGGCCACCGATCAACACATTAGGGGGTACGAAGCCATTAGCCTCCTCTACCCTGAAAGGCTAGTATCAGGACTGACTGCTTTTTTCGAGCTATAGATATTGGCGGGGATGAACACATCACTCTTGATCTCCGGTGAGGATTTTCCATTAAGTCTCAGCTAAAACTGGGTATCGCGTTCTCTAATCGAATTTGCAGAGGAACTCGGTTCACGCTTTCTCGAGACGAGCTGCTGACTTTACCCGAATTCGTCCTGTTATCGCTTTTTCCGAATGGGTTGCTTCCCGATGGTCACATGGGTACCTTCCATGAAGGCGATATTTACCCGGTCGACGTGAGTTACTAGTCGTTCCTTTTCCCAGTCCTCTACCTCGGCTGCCCTTTTATTTCCGGAGCACGTCTCATATCTCCGCTTCTAGTACGACCCGGCTTCTCTACAGTATATGCTAGACTTTTTCCGCTCGGTCGCTCAATCCATCCCGTCATCCTCGCCTTCTGCGTCGACCTCTCCTGACTTGGATGTTGCCCCCGATTCCATGCAAGGAACCGCTAGAGATATGCTCCAGGATCGTGCTGGTATTATTGTTCTGCGCGAGGATCTTGATTTCTACGCGATACCACCCCGTCCTGATATAGACCACACTGAGATGATCGAGGTCAAGCGTGCAGCTGCGAAAGCATTGTTGAAACAAGACGGGATATTTTCGGGATTGAGGAAAAGCGACGAAGCCGGTTCGACAGAACAACATCTCATCGAGATGCTTACTGCAGGGTGAGCCTTCTCTCACTTGTTATCCCGAGAGTGGATTCAATAAATTTCCTGTTAGGCTAACCAATCTTAGCGGGTTTGATCGCGACGACCGGTGGGGCCATCGTGCCCCAGAGCCTAATAAGGCGGTGATATGTAGCCTAGCTCTGGCCAAATTGCGGACCGACATTCGGGGTGACCTATCGAACAACAACGCAGTTGGCTTGGCTCAAAAGCTTCTCTTGTTCTGGAGGAAACCGGCCAGGAGATGCTGGTGGGAGGGCATCGAGCTAGACGACGTGGAGGGTGTTGAAGGCAAGGTGAAAATATGGATCCGTAGAGTATGGACTCTAGAAATGGTAAGTCCTCCTAGTTGGCATGACCTCGTACGGAGTCTAACCGGTCTTTGCAGAGCGTAATTGGGCTTCGATAGCCTGTTCCAGGCGGTTACTCTGAACCAATCCACTTGGTCTCCGCCGCTGTCATTGCATTTTCCTCGTCCCCGTCGATGCATATTAGACTCGCCCTGTTAGGAGCACTTTTGTTTCCTGCGTTGCCTAGTGCACATTTGCGGAGTTCACGATATCCCCTACTATATCCCTAGTCTGCATTTGCAGCCTGACAGACAAGAGGAGTGGCGTATTCAATTATTATTGGGTACTGTGTAATCCTGTTTATAGTTTCCCATTAGCTGGCCGGCCCCCATGCATTGATTTCATGTATCCTCAATTTTCCTTCCTGTACTGAGCTTTGGCCGCTGGCTTACTGCATTGGCCCATATAATCCGATTTTGTCATCCTGCGTAAGCGACTAGAGAATATCACTGCAACCCCAGGTACTCTTTACTCTGTACTCTGTAAAACAAAGCGAGCATTGGGGCCCGGTCACGTGCGGGCGGACTGGAAGGGGCCTAGCGTGCCGGGCTGGAAGTTCTGGCAAAACGCGACGAGCAGAAAAGGCGGAGCTCGACCGCGATCACCGTCAAAGAGGAGCTTTGGCTTCAATTCAGCCTCCTCAATCCATAGGTGCAATTACCCAACCGTGCTTTTTCCCCCGTGACGGCCTGGTTCCAGCGCTTTCCTCCAGTGCAGCAATCCTTCGATATCACCTCTCCAATCAGCATACCTTCTTCTCTGTTGTCTGCCCTCCCTTCGAGCGGATTGCACGCTGCCTGTCTGCCGACCGACTTGCGCAGTGTCTGAAAGGGACATGTCCCTGACCAGCTAAATGGCCAACATGTCCCCTCTCAGAGGTTACATCACATCGTACCCGCCACGAGTGCGCCAGTATGGCAATGCGCTTCTTACCCCAATCATTCCACCCAGCCAGGTTGGCCCAACGCCGCGAACGACGAAGCGAGGAACCGCCGCGATCAATTATGCAGAAGATGGCTTTGACGATGAGGACTTCGAGGACAGTGAAGGACCCCGGCGGCCCACTGGGCTAAGAAGTCTCCGACGGGAGGAGTCAACCTTCGACAAGGTTCCTTTGGCGGAAAAGCTGGGGAAAGAGATACACGCCCCCGTCGAAGTCCAAGGGGTCTTTCGCGATTGGATGATCAAAAGGATGTTGCGACCAGCGTATGTGCCGCTTGTTCTGCTGTTTGATCGTTTTCTGCTTCTTGCGTTTATATATCTGCCATGGTGCTAACTCGAGCCTTTCTCTCTGACCACAGTTGCGCCGATCAGTTGCAGATCCAAGCGCAGCTTCCCCTCACCCTGATCCCTATACGAATTGATCTAGAGGTTCCAGCGCATCAACCTCTAGAGCCTTTCCCTTTACCGCGAGCTGTCCTTGATCCTAGCATCAACCCTACCCTGCCCGCATACAGACGGCCGGAGGCGCTGCCTGCGTACCGAATCAAGGACACCTTCCTTTGGAATCTCCACGAAGCGCTCGCGACGCCTGAAGAATTTGCCGTCGGATTCGTTCGCGATATGGACCTGCCAAACCCGCAAGCCATGACCATGACCATCAGTAACCAAATCCGCCAACAGTTGGAAGAATATGCCGGTGTTGCGCTACATCCGTTATTCCAGAGCGTGCAGCCAAAGCCTCCGGTCCCACAAGCTGGCCTGTCGCGAGATGTGTCTGCGACCCCGGTCTCTACCCACGCCGCAACACCTGATAGCAGAGCTAACCAGGTGACGGTGACCAAAGAGCCTCTTGTCAACGACAGTATTCTGAATCCGGACGACGCGTACCGGTGCCTAATCAACTTGAACATCAACCTACAGAACAAGTTGTATACGGACAAGTTTGAATGGTCTCTGTTGCATCCGCCGGGCATGGCTGAGGAGTTCGCCAGAACTACGTGCGCGGACCTTGGCTTGGGCGGGGAGTGGGTCGGTGCCATTGCGCATGGCATCTACGAGGCTGTTCTAAAGCTGAAGAAGGAAGTCTGTGAAAGTGGGGGGCTCATTAGCGGCATGGGCGGCTACGGTAACGAGATCGATAACCAAGCTGCCAATGGCGCTGAGGCAGGTTGGCGTTACGATCCGGAGGGCCTGGGCGATGAATGGGAACCGAAGGTAGAAACGCTGTCCAAGGAGGAGATCGAAAAACGCGAAGGAGACCGTGAACGTCAGATCCGGCGCCTACGTCGAGAAACGGCCAGATTTTCCTCCACTGCCGGCATAACGCCCGATACCTCCCGCCAAGGCAGCGGATATTTCGATGTCGATAGCGAGACACCCCTGGGGCGAGGTGAAAGGAGCAAACGAAAGAGACGGTTCCGCAGTCTGAGTCCCTTGGGCAGGGGAGGAACCCCTGGTGGACGAGGGACCCCCGACACTGGTTCTGGCGCCGGCTATGGGGGAGGCGGTGGTACTCTCTCCGACTGGTTCGTCATGCCTTTGGGCTCCTCACCAACGTTTTCTGTACTAACCTCCTGCCTTGGTCTGATAGGGAACGTCAAAATTGGCGATGCACCAACTGCATGGTCTGGGGTACCGCTGTTTGGGCGGTACGAGATGGCCCCGCAGGCCAAAGGGTAAGAGCGATACAACACCTCTGTGGAATACTGTTCACTGACTGCTGTTCCCCCCAGACACTCTGTCACAACTGTGGTCTTTTGTACGAACGAGACAAGGTGGCCCCCGAATGGTCGAGGGATCTGCACCGTCATGATATGCCTATCGGTCGGTAGGAGATCGGGCAGAAGAATCCGCGTAGATTTTCCGTCTCTACGTTCTGTACCTATACGGCAGAGGTGAGACTCCACACTGACGCGATACCTCACGGTCAGGACAGAGTCTGATCCGTTTTCCAGGCCGGCTTGCTCGTAGTACACCTACGATCCTGACGTGATGAATCCTCGTCGGAAAGCCCCAACCGCCTTGTTTCCATGCCGGAAAACAGCCAGTGTACTATCTGATTTGATGATATCTCTAATGACTCTCCCTAGTGGGAACAGGCGTTTTCATTTTCTTGACTCTTTGCTTCCCAGTTTTCTTCTAATATGATTCGTTGCGGAGCAATTTCTATTCTATCTACCCTTGCTACGGCGGATCAGTCTCGTTTACACGGTCGGTTGTATGGCTACTTGACCATCGGCGATTCTTTCTATTTCCCGGGCTGTCTGATGTCCACCCCATTTTCTATTCTTTTCTTTTCCAGGATCTTCTTGCCTTGCTTGTACGAAAGAACTGTCCCGGGCGTACTTGAATACAAGGGTGGAATATGAAGCACTGACTACTACGTGCTGTAATCAACATATCCTAGTCGTGGGATAAAAATCTAGCTTCTATTATACCTCCGTTGTGCTTCCTCTTCTTCTACTATGATCAGATCCTGTGATTACCCATATCATCGTTTCAACGTCGCGCAAAGACCCGTGTTCTCGACAATCAGTACACACACACACACAATAGCAGTTCCTCCACCCTCCTCACTCTAGTTGGGGGTCTGTGCAGCGGCGTATCTACCTCCCAGGGTTCGTTCGAAGACGCTATGGCATTGCAGGATTGCGTGACGGCTGGCGGCGACGCCTTTCATCCTTAAACCATGTACTAGAGTTCGTCGACCATGGGTTGACCTGTGATAGCTCAAGTTGGAATGACGTTGACGAGTAGCCGGGCTAGTGTTTCTTAGTAGTTACTGTTGTTCGCTGTTGTTTCTGTTTCTGTTTGTTTATTTCTGTGTGTCTGTTTACTCTATCTATCATGGGTAACGGAACAGTACACTAAGTATGAAGGTGGTGTATAGTTTATATTTCATTATTATATATTTCCCGAAACACACGAGCATAATGAAAAAAGAAAGAGAAATTGAACGAAAATGCAAACCCATTCAGTCTAATAACCATAACAACTGCATCTATGACATACAGACTAACCTACCACGAGGAATTACTATTCTATCTGTCTATTCGTCATTAGTTTCCTCCATGCATATATGTATGCATGTCCACTTTACTCACACTCACCACCCGTCACATTAGTAGTAGGGCCTATATACAGGCTCAACCGAGAAAGATCAATCCGTATCATAGCAGAACAAGCAGGGAATTAATTAGAGCAGGAAAAAGAAAAGAAAAGAAAAGAAAAGAAAAGAAATGCATAAAGATCGTGATTCACTTCTCCCCGCTAAGAGACGAACGTGTTTTCTTCCCAGTGCATGATTCGAATGGTTCCTAAATGATATTAGTATTGATATACTAGGTTCATGAATTTAGAATTCGCAAACAACATATAAGCCTCATCATTTTCTCATTCAGGAATCCCCCTCCCCCAAAACCCCCCCCTCCGCCCTTCCCAAGAAAGGAGAATACGAAAACCAGAAACAAAACAAAACAAAACACAGTAACAAGACAGAAACTTACCGACTCAGCCCGTCTCTTCCTCCCAACTTGACCAACACGCTCTTCCCCCCGTTCACCCCCAGGCTCTATCAGATTCCTCCTCCCCACAACCCCACCACCTACACAAACCACATTCCTCGTGCCCTGTATCTTAATCCCGGTATTGATATTGAGCCTCACAGACGGCACGGATCCACTATTGTCAGTGGGATTGAGGAGGCCCGTGCGATGGAGAGCGACGATAATGGATGTGGCCATGTCTGTTAGTTTAGACTGTCGATGTCGCTGGGCTGATTGTAGTATGGCGGTTGATGAAGATGGCGCTGGTGGTGGTGGTGGTGGTGATGATGATGAGGTTGTTGCTGCTGCTGCTGCTGCCGTTGTTGCTGGCACTGATGGGATGAGGATGCTGTTTGCGTTTCCGAGGACGCTGACGGAAGCGTCGATGTTGATGGTGATGGGATGGGGTGTCATCCATTGGGGTGCATTTACGCCGTCTGATTCTTTTGGGGGGCTGTGATTGGGATGGGGAGGGGAGTAGGGAGGTGGAGGTGTAACGGTGTCAGGATGCTCGGGACCAGTATGTGGCTCGGCGATCTTGTGAATCTCATGGAGCGTGGACTCGGGTGGTGGAAGCATTGCAAGTCAAGGCAGGTCTAGTAAGCGCTAGAAGTGATAGAAACGCTAGGGTATATGTGACGACTGGGTGTGAGCGAGAGAGGAGCGTTGTGGCGAATTGACTATTCTATAGGAGCAGCTTTGAAGAGAATCAAATAGTAGTCGAACAGCGCGTCGGGATGGAATTGACGACTACTGTGAGAACAATAGCATGCAATTGAGGCAAATAAGCGCCATCATAAAGCAGTCTATCAGAGAAGAAAGGGCACATCAATAAACCAACTGTCTCCCAACACTGTCCGCTAATAGGCTAAGACAGCATGGCATTGCGCCAGAATAGCTCAGAAATGCATCAGATCACCGGTTTGGGAGAGCATTGCCCTGCAACAATGCCACCAGCCCCCTGAATCAACATGCTCTAGCTGTGGTATTGTTCTCTTTCATCAATAGGCAGAATAGGGTCACGTGTCGATTGAGAGAGCAAGGGTCCCAGTACTGTGCATTCGCGAGCCCCCAAAGAATGAATAGAGCCATCTGAATAAACAAGGCCGCAATCCCTGACACGCCATAAAATGAGGGTGAGATTCCTGCCATCTAGCAGGAATTGGCACTTGTGCAATGTAACCGTAACCATAAATTGCCCAAAGTAACCCCCTCGGCCGTCCTAGTCCAATGACATCCCTGTCTCCAACCCCAAAAGGCTTAAACAGATGGAAGGCTAAATAATCGATCAAGCCCAGCGGTCCCCATGATGCCAGTTCTCGTGTAGAGAATAGCCCCCGTTTGCATTGGAACCAGCAGACGGGCTTATTGAGATGTCGCCATTCGCAAGAGTAGTAAAGTCCCTCGTCTTAAAAATCCTGAGCGCGGTGTCTGCTTGGTAAATGTTGGTTAGCCCCAGAGCCATACGCCCCCTAGCACGCCATCAAACTTACTTGTAGCGTTGGGTGTAACGTCACTGCGGCCATCGCCGTCAATGTGTCCTATTGTCCGCCCTTGCTGTTCTCTCTGACGTTCCGGGTAATATCTGCCGCCTGGGTGTAGTGGTTGTGGAGTCTAGATACTGATTAGCAGAAACAAAGGCCGGCGCGCAAAGACTTGATTATACCAGCGTTCGTTCCACGCCAGCCGAAGTTTGATATTTTCACGGACTGCTGGTACTGACTTCGCGAAATTCATCGCCCTCGATGTGAACCTCACGGTCACGAATGCGGCGCATCAAGGCAAGAAAGTTACTTTCTCTGAACTTCTGGCTTTGGTCGTGTTTGACGCTATCTAACAACTGTCCCGCAGTCCGAGCAAGCTCGTCTGCATCGTTCACCTGTGCCTGTGGATCATTCTTGTGGGTTTGGGGGATAGTGTCCGATCCAATCTTTACACTCTCTTCAGTGTTTTCAGCAAAAGCTCGCTCAGCTTCTTCCCCAATATCTTCCGCACGAATTTGTGTGGTCTCGGCTTCCTGCAACATCATGTCTGTCCGCGCCTGCTCAAACGCAGCTTCAAATGCAGATTCATCGAATGCTTCTGCCGATGGTTGCTGGCTGGTTGTTGTCTCCTGCACCGGGGAAAATGGCACCCCTTGCATAGGATAGTGAGGTGCAAAGGAAGGTTGAAACCCTTGGACATGCGGTTGGTGCTGCCGAACAGATGGTTGTTGTTGTTGTTGTTGCTGCTGCTTAGCGAACTCATTCTGCCAGCCTTGTTGTGACATGGCCGACATCGGCGCTATAGACGGTCCCGGTATTTGATGGAGTGAATGCGAAGGCCCTGAAATGCGCATTTTCTGGAAGTCTGTCGCCCAGCTGGACGCCTCTGCCGGGCTTGATACCGGAAAATGGGGAGCGGGTGTAACGAAAGGGCCTGCATGTTGTATACCGGGAAGGGGCGCCCCTACTGGATTGGACTCAAAAGCAGCAAATTCGGGATCAAGTACACCTTCATTGGGGTTCTGCGACCGAAAACCCTGTGATTTATGAGTACGAGACAGAAAGTTCTGTGGATCGCAAGGGACTCACCTGAGAAGGTGACTGTCGAGCGACGTATCTATCCTGTTGAAGGGTACGATCAACGGATGCATGCTTCTGAAAATTCTGAAGCGCATTCGAGGGGCCACACAGAGCATCACCCATGATGCCAACGAAATTGAACACGAGCTGGGGAGGATGGGACGGGTTAAGTTGCTTGTTGTGCCGAGGACAGAATCCGCAAGGCGCTTGGTAAATGAGTATCCAATTTCGTGCTATGTATGCAGAATGTATGATACAAACATAGGATGAGGTGCAACAGAAGACAAGACAAGGACGAGAGGAGGCAAAGGCACGAGTACGAGTAGTAACAGGAGGATAGCAGGCCGCGGGGCAGGGCGACCGAGGACTACCGAGGCCCAGTTCACGTGCTCGGGGGGCGTGACTGGAGATGGCTGACTGAGCCGATAAGATAAGATCGGGCTGCGGCTGACTGCGAAACGGACAAGCTGGCGGTGTTTTGCTGCCGTTGCCGCTGCTGCTACTGCTGCTTCTCCTGTTGCGTGTTGATTCGGCCCACCACCGCCGCCTACTTCTCCAGAATCGACCCCTAATACTTCACGACAGGGCCACCCACGTGCTTTTGTCCCTGTTTCCCTTTAGAGTCAATCCTTGTTCTGAGCAGAAAGTTGAGCAAAATGGTGCGTCCACATCTCCCCCATGAGCCAAGGTGGTCCGCTTATGAACATGGCTGACGTGGGGACATCTAGGCGGCTGCTCAAGTAATTACCAATTCTGGACACGATGAGATGATTGTACGTGAATGGAAACTGCACCCTTGACGCCATTATGATAAAGAATCTTGTGCTGCATTTGTCCATCCCCTGAGACTGACGTCGGCGCATAGCACGATGCCGGGCTGGATTACTATGGCCGCAGATTGGCAACATGCTCGTCGGACAAAACGATAAAGATCTTTGAGATTGAAGGAGAGACACATCGGTTGATTGAGACCTTGAAAGGGTGAGCAATATATGTGTGTGGGTATATTACGCGCCATCAATTCTAATTTCGGTACGCTTGAGAATAGACATGAAGGAGCAGTTTGGTGCGTGGCATGGGTATGTCATGATTTCTTGCATTGTCAGCTCAATCTTTTAAGAATCTGTCTCTTACTTTTGTCTTCTCTAGGCGCACCCTAAGTTCGGAACCATTCTCGCCTCCTCGTCGTACGATGGAAAGGTACTCATCTGGCGCGAACAACACCAGAACGCTACGTCACCCGTTGGTGGCGGCGCTTGGACGAAGGTGTTCGACTTCTCTCTCCACACTGCCTCCGTGAACATGGTCTCCTGGGCTCCGCACGAGAGTGGCTGCCTTCTAGCCTGCGCCTCTTCGGACGGACATGTCAGCGTTCTCGAGTTCCGAGACAACAGCTGGACTCACCAGATCTTCCACGCCCACGGTATGGGCGTCAACTCTATCAGCTGGGCACCTGCTGCCACCCCTGGCAGCTTGATCAGCGCCAACCCCGGATCGGGTCAACAGCGGAGATTTGTCACCGGCGGAAGTGATAATCTGCTGAAGATCTGGGACTACAGGTACGCTCCATGAATTGTCGTGCACTGGTATCTTGTCAGAGGGACTATGCTGACCTTATGAACCACTACAGCCCGGAAACCAAGACCTACAACCTCACGCAGACTTTGGAAGGTCACTCCGACTGGGTTCGAGACGTCGCCTGGTCCCCTAGCATTCTTTCTAAGTCCTACATTGCCTCTGCCTCCCAAGATAAAACAGTTCGGATCTGGACCTCCGACGCATCCAACCCTGGCCAGTGGACCAGCCAGCAACTCGAGTTTGATACTGTCCTCTGGCGGGTCAGCTGGAGCCCTAGCGGAAACATTCTTGCCGTCAGCGGCGGCGATAACAAGGTCAGCCTGTGGAAAGAGAACCTCAAGGGGCAATGGGAGAAGGTAAAGGATATTGAGGAGTAGGCTTGAAATTCTCACTTCTTTTACCTTTCTTCTTTCATACTCTGTGCGATAACGGATAAATTTGGTTTCTTCCATGTACTTCATCCGACCCAGACGTTGCTCGTGAAAAATCAAAATGAGCTCAAAAACAGGTAAAAATTAGTCATCGTTTCCAAAAAATAAAGGGGCCCCTATCCGCCGTGTCAATCATGTCTATCCAGCTTCCTATCATGATCCTACCCCCTGGAAGAATCACGCCCTCATAACCACGAATCCAGTAGAACTCAGTCACTAGGTCCGAAGGCGGCCATCCTTCCTGGAAGAGCCAAGCATAGTCGTCTGCTTCAGGCTCTGTAACATCACATGCAGGAGCAGGGGGTATATCAGCAGGGTCTCGCTCATATATCACAAAGCAAATACGACACCAGCCAGGAAAACCACCCTGAGCTATGGAAATTGGCTCACAGAAACCTCGCACCAAACATGGCGCTTCATCGACAGAGCCGGATGATTTCTGAATTCCGCGGAAATATGATCGTTGGGAGTTCAAGGGATTAACCGGTATGATCGTTTCAAATAACGGTGGCCAGTTCAGACGGCTAGGATCTGGTTTGGTTTGAAGAGACTGCGCATTAGGTGATAGATTAGCTCTGCATCAGTTCTCATTGATATTTGACGTTCTTACCATGAACCCAACCTGTGTCCAATGAGTGTCTAGGTCTGCGCATGTCTGACGGTTCTCGAGATCCTTTAGCAACCCTGGATACGGGTGAATACATGCTACATATTTGCAAGTTAATACCCGCCATATTGGCATGCGGTAGTCGAGTAACTGGAGGGCAACCAACAATAATATCCTAGCCAGGGGGAGCTGGCTTCAAGCGGTGCAGCCTCGCCCCATGGTCTGGGCCTGTGATAGAATGGCAAGCTAGAGTAAGAAGCACAAAAGGTCGCTTCGGCGGGATTGAGAAGATGGCGTATCCAGAAATTGCGTATGTGGAGTATCTTTTCTAGGTTGAGCTTGTTCGAATGCACGACAGGTATGCCGGACTCGACGCCATAAGTGTAAACCGCGCCAATGTCATAGTCCGTTCTGAGGCAATGGACAGACATTACAGGATCCAGTGCTAATTCAGTGAGACACTATCGAAAGTCAGCTTCTACACCGTCTTCTAAACAAACTACCGTGATGCCTACCAATTGAATCGCACAGAAAAGATCTGAAGGCCGGCCGGCGTCCTTCAGGCCGTAGCCACTAACCGGCCTGCTCAGGAAACTGGAATTAAATAGAAGGCATCGAATTCTCTCAAAGTTTTTGGATGGTGATTGCTTGTTCGATTCCAAAATCATGTCTCGCATTACCTCTAGCCAGAAAGTCTGCTTCTCTTTCTGGCCATGACAAAAACTGATCGATTTCGAGAGAACAATGGCGCGAATCTGATATCTGATTTTGATCTCCTTTGAGGGATAGTGCTGTGGGACGTCGTAAAGATCCTTGAAGCGCCTTCGCCAGACGGAGGCTTGGGCTGGAAGCGTCTTCGCTGCTAGTGATGAACAGCACTGAGCGAGATTTGCAATGTCAACATCATGTGGGAGCAGATAGGCAATGTACTGAATAATCTGGATGAAGCATTAGTGGTGTGTATGATCGTATGGATATAATGAGAATCGGTACCTCTGTCGGCAATCGAAGGAAAGGATTCGACAGGCAAACGCCTTCAATGGTAGGCCCTTGGGGGCTCATCGTTGTTGGTCTCATGCAAGTTGATCCTCGTGCAGTATGATAATATGATGTCGTCTTGTATGTGTTGATGGTATATGAGAAGAAACTTAGGGAAACTTCGCTCATGCATGTACGGCGAAATGCATGAGAAGTCCGACGCGCGTGGGACCCTAGGATCTCTCAGAGACAGAGGTAAATTCAGAGTCACGAGATATGATCAAAGATAGTGGCTCTACCTTGTGAGTGAGATGTGAGAGGATACTGTTAGATGATCAGCTCAAGACGGTAACATTGTTCGCTCTGCCTATCCTCGCTTGAGCACGGCGATATTGAGTGTTAGTCCAAGGCCATATACACGCTTAAGCTTACCATACGGAGTACTCTGGGTTCATGATCTTCGGATATTTGAATCGGCTGAGTCTACTCTCTGCCAATTCAGATTTGAAGCTTTAGACCTTACTAGTGAACCGAGTATATAGAGAAGTAGTCAGATACTGGAGTATGAATTTCTATAGGCTGGCGAACGTGACCAACCCGGTTTGGTCCACTAACAGCATAGGTTTCGGAAGTCAAGTAAGTTTGCAATATCAGTCTATAATTTCACAGGGAAGATCACACAGGTAATGCATGAAGACGGATTCCCTCATGGAAAATAGCCTTCTAGGCCACATCATGACGGCTACGACGCCGCGTTAGGCTTTCTTGAACTCCCCAGCCATCTGCTAGAAGCTCTTTGACTTCTTCCAAGCGGAGCCCGCTCATCTCGGGATAGATAGCCCAAACGCCGAACCAACCGATCACGCAAACAGCCGCATAGGCCGCAAATGTCCATCCGGGGGATAACCACTCCATCATAGGCAAAAATGTAAGACCGACAACAAAGTTAGATCCCCAATTCGTAGCGGTAGCGAGTGCTGACCCTAAGGAGCGCACATTCAAGGGAAATAGCTCTGATTGCTGCCAGGGCACGTTGCCTAGGCCAAACGCGTAAGATGCCGTGTAGACAGTGAGGCATATGAGAATAGTGACAGGGAGTAAGGAGCCACTAGTTGTGACGTCTTCTGCTCGGACTCTCGACTCGGGCTTTGGCATGTTAATCGAGGCAAACGTTAAAGCACAAGCCAAAAGTGACAGGGCCATGACTGGTATTGAGTAAAGAAGAATGCGGCGCCGACCAATTCTGTCGATAAGAGCAAACGCAAGCAAGGTGAATAAGAAATTGGTCATTGCCACCGATAATGATGTGAGAGTCGGTGATGAGAACGAAAGCATTGAGAATATTGTCGCCGAGAAATACATGAGGCTGTTGAACCCGCATAGTTGTTGTATTCCTTGCAGCATAACCGCTATTATCAAGGCCCTACGGTTTCCACCGACGAGGACTAGACTTCGAGCGCACTGTGTAATATTATCGAGCCAGTGTCGACTGCCTGTGGAAGGGTTGTTCGTTTGACTTAATTGTTCCTCCTCCTGAGCCACTTCTCGTTGGATATCATGCATAACCCTCTTGGCCATGAGATCGCCGTCGGGGTCGCCCCCGTAGACTTTGGAAAGGACACTTGTAGCTTTTTCTCCGAACCCTGCCTGCACCAGCCATCGGGGGGTTTCTGGCAAAGCCAAAACAATGAAAAACTGGAAGGCTGCAGGCAGCATCCCAAGGCCAACAATATAGCGCCAGCCTCCAGATATAGAAGAAAACAGCCAGCCGACAATGTAGGCGACGACTTGTCCGCCTGTGATGAAGAGGCTGAGGATCGTGACGAGTCTTCCTCTAACATGGGATGGTGCCAGCTCAGAAATATATCTGCCAAAGGTTAGATGACGGGTCGGAATTTCTTCCCCTACATAGCACGTCCCCTGGGGACCCTTCAGCGAGGTTTAGACATACAATGGAGTCACCAGGCTTGCTCCGCCAACGGCCAGGCCAACAATGCTTCTCCCAGCAATCATCCCCCATACTGTGCTGGTGACAGCCTGTATCAATGCGCCCAGGGCGAAAAGCACATCTGCAACAAGGATAACCTTTCTGCGACCGAAGTTGTCCGCCAAGATCCCTGCCAGCGGGCTCGCAACGAGAGCGAACAGGCTCGTGCAAGACGTTACTAGACTTTTGTCCAGAGTGCTAAGATTGCGATTGGAAAGGTCGGCTTTGATCGACACTAGAGTCGAGGAAATGACTCCTGTACTTTCAAGCACGAGTGTCAGTAACAGAGAGGACAGGATTCAAGTCTCTATCGGGAAGTCCGTTGTCGGCAGGTAGACGGTCAGGATTGTACATACTCGTAACCAAATAACAGCCCGCTTATCCCCGCAGAAAACGTCAGAGCATATATAAACCAGCCATTTGTCTGGTTTGAGTCGATATTGCCGTCATCATGCTGGGGTTCATGGTCTATCAGAGGCTCCGAAGGGAGCAAAGGAGCATTGGGGTCTGACGGCTCATTCTCATCCCTGTGTTTCATGGCTTAGGGTCCTGTAGCTTTTGTATGGGTATCTATAAGAGCCATCCCAAGCGTACCTACGTCCCAAATTGTTAGTACGGCCGATGATATCGGGTAGCTTAAGTTGCTGGGGAAAGGGGTTCCGGAATCTGGAGAAGTAACCGCTAGTTAGTTAGGCATGGGGTATTTTACATAATCAAGCTGACAGCTCACGAGACCCACTGCCCCCATCTTGAGTGGCGCAGCTATGGATGAACATGTACGGAGTACATAGATACAAGTGTCATCAGTCCGTGAGCGAAGCACAACGGGATGAATACTGCGCTTATACCCTACATTTATATCTCACTTTTGCTGCTCTTGGCTGTACTCCGACGAGATACCAGCCGTGGCAACTTCCTATGGGAATGAACCATCTTGTCAGAAACAAGACTAGAAAGTTGGGATGAGTCTTTATGACTTATAGTTATACTATTGAAACAGCCAGTACGCCTTCTTCGAAACATTCAAGCACTTTAGAGATCTTGTCTCTAGCATTTATTGCAACTCTGGCACCCTATTTCCTATAGCCGTCCACTTCTCATCAAAGTGATAACGCAAGGTTTACCTAGGCTCCCAAAATGGAAGAGTAAAGCTTGTATTGGAGTGTGCATGTCGATGCCAATATATCTTTAACCCCAGCTGGGAGACTGACGAATGGTACTTATCACTCAATGCGTCGAGAAATTCTGGATGCAATTTGTGATTATCAGAAGACATCTCTGTGTAAAAGATAAACATATGGGTGCAGCCGCAGACGACAAATCCGATGTATACTGGAGCACCTCACTAGATATCAAGATAAAGCTCTATTACTATTTTTTATAGAAAAAGTTCGCCTCGTGAAAGGCTATCCTAGGAGATCTATCGGCTACTGTTCATAAACGTGATGTTAGAAGCCCGTGTTCATGATCAAGCGACAAGAGATGAATATTTCCTGTTTCGATATTGATATTTGGTATAACTGCCTCTTGGGGGCTTACCTGAGCTCTTAGACACGTTGATCACTGCACTACAGCTTAGAGTCCAACACAAGGCTTGATACAGGGGGTGAACAACTTCGACTATGGCTACTCAGGACTAGTCACACGGCAGGGTCTCTGCGCTCTCGTAAGTAGATACCAGGACTGCGATAGTCGAGCTAGATTATGACACTAAGTTAGATACCATAGCCGTCGCTAGAAGAGGTCAAAGATGGTGCCAGGACCAAGCAATCCAATCCAGGCACATTATTAAGCCAAAGAATATTAGGGCTGCTTGACATGGCAGACCAGAGCATACGATGCCTTCATCTAGGAAATAATTCTACCTTGCTTTCCTTTTGATTGTGATCACAGTAGCTTTAAACTTGCCGGCTATTGTACCAACGGAAGAATAATACTCTTTGAATACAGTTAAATTATTCGGGTCATAGTTTGTTAAGTCTCGAGCGGGGCAAAAAGGGTACTCACTGCGGTGAATGCTTTTTTTTGTCTCTGGCCTCCAATACACCCAGCTGGCTGATGCCAGGCTATCTTCCACATCTCATCCAACAGGCTGGATATATTTCCTTGTCGGTCATTTTACGCCACTGTCAAGATTGCACGACCTGATTATATCATCCTGCTTGGCTTTACCGCCTCGGTGGAACCGCGTAGTCGGTGAAGTAGTACTCCGTACTAGCATCAACATTGCCAGCTCACGGCCCCATAGGCCCTCGATAGCCACAGACTTACGACTTAATACCCGAATGCAGCGTTGGGAAATTTAGTCGGAGAACTGAGCAGAGTACTAGAGTTAGGTGCGCGATAGTATTGCATACCGGTGTGCCCACAAGTCGGTATCGTATGTTGTATCGATCAAACTTGGATGCTCTGAAAAGTCACCTGCACCATGGGCAATAGTCGCCTACTTTCGAACAAGATCAGAGGTGAGCAAGCGCTAGGTAGGTAGGTAGTAGTAGGGGTGGAATGACCTGACTACTGCACGCGCTCGGTTTCTGGCGGGATCAAACAACTTCCATTGATAGGGCATTGCAAGGATGGTCGATTTGAGTTTCCTAAGATCGCGTCCGGACAGCTGTTCATGGAGCCGTGCAACCCTGGCTAGTTTATCCAATCAAGGGATCGGGCGGCATATCCTGTCCACCCAGTGTGCTAAATGCGGATAAGTTCAGTAGCAAGCTCCAGTGCGCTGCGTACCCCATCCCAGGCCTCCAGTGATGAAGATCCTACGGAGAGTTGGACAGGGTTATGCCTGCATAGGTACACGGGATTGCCCCTCAGTATCACCTGGGCGACTAAGAACGGAGTAGATAATCCCTCAGCAGAACTAGTCTTGGAGGCAAGGGCCGCCGGGTGTTCCTGCTTCTGATCGTTTCACACCCACCAAAGGAAGTGGTGCATCCAGCAAGGGTCTCTCTCTCACCCAAGGAGGGCCGAAATTATAATCTGAAACATAGAGACCGACTAACATTTGGTCGAAAACAATGACGGCTTTTGGCAGCAGGACAGAACAAATAAAAAGCAGCGAGCGTCACAAAAGCACTAACTGTAGAAAAAAGCCTGCAACTAGAGCAGGAAAGCAGAGGGGCCTTTGAATAGTATCGAAATATTATTCACAGCTACTACAGATCGGATCTCACGATTCGATCGGAATCGAAATAATCATGGTACTAGGGGAAGGTCTTGCGTACCCGTACACAGGCCCAGAGCCTGAGTGACAATAACAAAATACAACAAACAAACTAACAAAGCCTTGGCCTGGCCCAACAACAACTTATTAAAAATGGGGACCCAAGGGCTCCAGCCCGGCCATCGGCCGGAAAAATTGCTTTTCGAAGCTCGCGGTCCACGTTCCTCTCCGAGAAATTGGATCTATCATCCCGATCTGCTTTTGTGTCTAACTACGAAATAAGCTTACTACACGCCGTTGACCTGGCAGTTTGACACATGAGACAGAGATACTCCGTACTACAAGTGTCACTAGTCGTCGCTCTGGCATCTCTTCCTCTTCCTTGTGCTTGGCTTATGATCGCGATGACCCCAAAAGTCTATATGCGATACTCCGTACACACCGTACAAAAAAAATTCCCGTAAGCTACCTCTCGGAAAATAGATGCGACCGTACGGAGTAGTGGGTTCGTTATATTTTCCTCCCAGTGTTCTATGTCGTCATTTCTGGGAGGAGCGGAAGGCAAAAGAGGGTCAGCAAGGAGGAAAGAATGGGAAATTTTAAATTAGATCGGAAACTTGGACGGATAAGATGGGTAAAGATGAAAAAGATAGCTGAAAGAGGCAAAGGCTGGAGAAGCCTACCTAGGTAGCATCCCGCTTGTTCCTCTCGGTCCCGTGCCTTGGAACCGGACGGTTTATGAAAGCTCAGGAACCAGATGGTTTCTGCCGATGATGGTTTTCCAGAGATCGCCCGCTTCTTCAAGCTTTAGCCTTCCCTTTGCCCTTCTGGGCACTCAGCAGGCTAAGCTGAGAGCGCAGTAACTAGGGATACGGGGCTCCGTCCTACCCGTCCTGCGTAAGCCATGAATATAATATGAATATTACTTATTATCACGATTGTGACTTCGCCAGCCAGCCGAGAGCTACAGTGCAAAGTGGGGACAGCCATGTTGGCTTAGCCGTGTTACAAAATGGACCCATTGTTTCCATGACTTGTACGGAATCGCGGAGCCTGATCGGTACTAGGCTCGGATGGCACTTGCGGTCTGATTGCATCATGCAAAAACCAAGCTCAGCAAATTCGATTCCAAGTCCGGAGTATCTACCTCGTGTGGATTTGAGCTCTCTACAAGGCATCCACAGAAGGATATGACATAGAATAACTTAACTGGCAAGGAGTAGCACAAGGGTGAAAGACTGAATTGAAGTGGACGAGAAAAGAATATCCTAGCTAACAGGCCCCTTTCCAAAGGGAGGCGATCTGATGGCGAGGAGTAAGAGTGTCCTCAAGGAGTTAATTATTATACGATGTTCTGGACCAACAGGTTCCTAGGGAACTCGGGAAGGGGGAGCTGAAGATCCCTGGTTTGTTTCATTAGGCCAGCGCAGATTCGGGAATCAGATCCCATCCTCGCTACTATCCAGTCTTGAGGTAGGATCGTGCACGCTAGTGGCCCAGCTGCAGCCGCCGAGGTGCAAGGATCACAGCTCGTTATATTATTACGGAATACAACTACCCGATAGTCCCGTCTGTAGGTATTATGTCGACGGAGTACTCCGAGCGTAGTAAACAAGTGGGCAAGGGAAGGAAGGGGATGGAGAGGAGAATAACACTCCTACTAAGATACTACTTTAGTATCTAAGCAAGTGCTTCAGTTCCCCAGTTTATGTGCATGATCGGATTCCATTATGGCAATTAACAACACACACCAGCATGCTCCTGTGGCTAGGAAAACTACCACGTCAGCCGCTGCTCCTACATAATTCCTGCATACATGGATGGAGCACTCCGTACATCAGTAATGACCTACATAAATATCCTCGTGTTCCTCCATCTCTGCATTCAACTGTCGTTTCAGGTTCTGCTGGGGACTATAACACCTGTGATCCTGTGCCCTCAGACCCCAGCCTGTCAGAACGGATCTTCTTAGATCGATCTCTGTTGTTGTTGACCTAGTGATAGCACGCTTAGCATAATCCCTTCGAGATCCGTGTAGGACCCTGGACTTGTGCGCGCTTTGGCTCACATCGGGGTGACTTGCGTAGCAATATTCAAGATCGGGGTTGGAAAATAAATGCATAGCTTTTGTGGTGATATTCTTATCTACCAACCTTTATATTTTATCATCAGTTCTATTTCTATCTTAATTTTTTTTTGTTGTTTTTTAAAGTACTCAGTCCCTCTCCCTCTTCCCGTTTCCTCGACCCTAGCCACGATTTATTGGACTTGCCTTGCGGTGGTGGTGTGCTGGGGGTGGAACTCCTAGCGTGATCCATTCCTCTCCAGTGGTTGAGTTTAGACTAGAACCAGAAGAACATCGCCCGTGGGAAGGGAAGCCAGTGACCGCGTCCCACTGGGGCTTTTGTTGATCGATGACCTTGGTCTGTTATTATTACCACTCTCATTCGCATGTTGCTATCGCTGCTGCTACTGCTTGCTGCTGCCTCTTCACTTCTTCCTTCTGCTGCTCGATTTCTTTCCTCCCCGGTTGATTTGGGACGGTCAGCTTCTGCGACTTGCACGGGCCAAACTTTGGTCGCTGAGACTGCCTCTAGTCCCCCATTCCTTGATCACATTCCTTTTCGATTGCTCCCCCATTCCTTTAGCTTCCTCCTAGCTGGCTCCGACACCCTTTCCCCTCATCCACCCTAAGATCGCATCGATTCCACGCTCGGATTTACTGTACAAACAATTAATTCGGCCACAGCGATCTCTCTCTTTTCCCCACCTCAGGCTAGATTGTGTTCTTGTTCCACCTTCTTTCTTAGATGGTGTTTATCTAGATGTGTCGGGCCAGCTGATCCTCCTCGTGCAAGATAATGCAGATGGGTCGTCAATTACATGTAATATCGATGTGGCTAAACTGAGGTTCATGGTGCTTGACACTGTTCTCGGCGCCCTCTGAGAATGGAGCATGTATCAACAGTGAGTTAATCGTCTTCTCTAATCTTCTCGCTTTCTGGTCGCATTCTTTTGGTTATCCGGTTTCCTGCTGCTGAAGGCTGTTTTTCCCTAACCTGGCCCGCGAGAAGCAAAGCGCTTGCCTCACGCGTTGTGTCATGATGCATGCAAAACTGTGACACTGACTGGCTTCCTATCAGCTCTGTGCAATTAGCACCGTCGGTATTGCACCAACTGGCTTCGCCTTCGGTCGCGTAGATCGAAGCTCCTCCAGGCCAGGCCGATTCCGGAAAAAGACCCTCCCGCTGCATGATCAATGCGCGACTGCGACAGATAATCCCGTATCTCCGTCGAATACAAACACAGTCCCCGCCGGTCCTTATACAGCAGCGACTGCACAGTCTCCTTTGGCCGCGCATTTCTTTCGAGAATGTGAAGATGGTGCGCCTGATTCGGGCCAACGGGGAGAGGCAAAGTCGCGCAGGAAGTCGTCGTTCGCAGGTGTACGATTTCGTCGTCGTGGACAAACGTTGACTGGGCCGCCCAAACCAGTCTTGGAGAACATATCAATCGCCTCACATATACGGCGACCTTCATCATCCTGGGTGCGACGCCTGTCCTTCCAGCCAGAAAAGCGCGCTTCATGCCAAACCCCCGTTTCCCCTTCATCCAACGGACCAAATAGTCCAGCCAGCCCTCCCGCATCTATTCAACGCAGACCCAACAAGCTAGTCAAGCGGCCTCCTTCCCATCATGCCCATTCTCCCTCCCTTTCCGGAAATGCGCCATTTTCTCCGTTAACGCCAGCCGCCTTTCGCAGACCTGCTACTAGTCATCAGCGGTCTGAGACTTTGGGGCACAAGGCAAGCCACAGTCTTAATTTCGAGCCTAGTCTGATCTTGAACCCTCCACCGAACCACTCCGATCTTGCTTCTCTAAGTGATGATCATGTCTGGCGTCCGTATATAGATGTCAGCCCGGAGGCTTTATCGGAAAGACTAGCTCGTAGGTTTTCAACCGCGACAAGACCAAAAGATCCAGGGCTGCGACGAATTGTACCGAATTCGGATACTGCCCCGGCACTCCTTCTGGCGACATCTATCAGAGGCAAGCTCCCGACAGTGGAAGCTGGTCTGGATGGATCTTCTCCTTCCTCCCCGGTTCAGTTCCGAAATCCGTTTGGACCTAGTGGTTTCCCCCCGCAACAACAACAACAAGAGTTGTCATTACCACCGGAAGAAAGCGATCGTCCGGCTTCGCCTTCTATTGATGACGCTGACCCTAAGCGGCCCCCAACGGGCACAGGCTCCGCAGATGCTGGAAAACTCAGGAATGGCTCGATGGTCTTTTCAAAGAGGCGGGCAATCTCGACCCCTCTCCCTGCGCCGGCAACGGAAGGAACACTCTTGGTTCCATCCCAGGCACATGGAAGACGAAACATTACTGACCCGGATATCTTTCGTCGTCCAGCCGTCTCACAAGCAGGAGTTCCTTCGCCAATGATGTCTGACTTGATGGGATCGCGACGCAGAGCCCATCCTCTGCTTTGCCAAGACTACAAAATAGACATGGCTCACCTCCGTGAATTTGGGTCGCGTCCTTTATCTTTAGATACACTACCACTGGCTAGATTCCAGGGCGCATTCCGTCAGCGCCCTAAACGCCATTCGATTGCTGCGTCCGACCCGGCTTCCACCGTTATAGGATCCGACGATACTCACATCTTCACGTCCGGTGATGAGGATGAGACTGATTTCTTGAGTGATACTGCCTTCGATTCCATCCGTACACATATCACTACCAGCAGTAACTCGGGCCCCTATGCTCCTCGAATCCAGACGATCTTTGACAAAGATTTCCCCGTCAAGATGTCGGAAAGGACGTCATCTAATATCCCTGTCCTCGAAACGTGTGGGTCTCTCACTTCGCATTCACTGGAGAAATGCCATTGCGGCTCCGATAGAGATGCGACTTCTATTCCTACACCCGCTCCTATCGCCAGCAAGGCATCGGATATGCACGAGGGTGACAGCAACATTTCTTTTCCGTCTGACCTGACAGATGACGAAGATTCTCGCAGTCTGCTAGCCGCATTGCCTGGTGAGACAACGGGTCCATTCACAGAATCACAATCCTCAACACTGTCGTTGAGGGGCAAAGCTGGTGGTCATAATAGAAGCGAGGTATTTGCCTCCAACCGGCAGGTAACAGCCCCCGAGCTGAGACAGTCATACAAGTGCGATTCTCACAGTCTCAACAATGAGGCACTTGATTTATGTCCAAAAATGAACATCTTCGACTGGTCGGAACAGCCGAGAAGCGATCGCGAAGCAACAGGCCCCGATGGGCGACCGCGGACTGTTCATGGGAAGCATACACCCGATGTGCGTGGCAGCAGAGCCCCAGGGCGAAAAGCCCCGAGTACCTTGCATCTCCGTAGTCAAAGCGTGCCCGTGACCAGAGACACTCCGCCTATTAATGAACAACGTCAGACCTCGGGCAAGTTCGGTACATGGGGCCTAGGAAGCAAGGGAGTCAGTGAGGACTGGGATAGTGACTTTGATTTTGAGGACGCGGATGAGAGTCCAACCAGCGAGACCGTGAAGCCGAACAAAGCCCTGCCCCGTCGGGGCATGATAGTTCCCCCAGCTATCCTGGAACGCCAAGCAAGTCTTCATGGGCAGTTCGGTCAGGTCCAGGAACTAACCTTGCTGGTTGAAGAACTTAAGCGCCTTCGACATCAAGGGAGCTTTTTGAACCTCGTCCGCGGGCCGTCAAGCGACCTTTGGAAAGAAGCAGAAGGCATAGTGAACCTAGCCACTCTTGACGATGATGGCCATGATAACTCACCTCCTGGATCTCCTTCGTCTCTGACCTTCAGTTTTGACGAATCAGAAGGCGACTCCTCCAATGCTAATGACGCTTGGAAACGGGTCAGTGGAGGATCTTGGGGAGTATCGCTTTCGGAGCACTCGAATTCCCGCCCTACTACTTCTCCTAGCCCGGAGGTCGCAGCCAAACCAAACTCTGTGCTGGATTTGATCTATCAACAACGGAACTCGGGCGACTCCACCTTCACGGAGTCGCACCCTCCACGCTCCAAGAAACTTCCTTTCGATACCCAGTCTCTTCGTGACTTGGTCGTCCGAGCCGGCGTCGTCACTCGTGCTTTGAAAGAAGTAATTCGCAAAGCCGATGGTGTCACAGCCGAGCCTAGAGAGACAACGCATCTCTCAGACCCAGCATTCAGTCGAATTTTCGATCAACCCTCCCATGATAACCCAAGTCTCGAGACTTAAAGTAAATGAGCCACGCCATTTTCCTTACTTTTGATGATGTCGCCCTTCACGCCTTTTTAATTCTCCGACTGTACCTTTTCAAGAAGCCTCACGATTTCCTGAGCATATGAGATGACGCGAAAGAGAACATCTAACCTGGCCATTTTCCCTCTCTTTTTCTGTTTCCGCTAATTCCCTCTTCTACCCTCCTCGTGAAGGAAGGGATATTCGAGGAGACTTCATTTTTCGAATGATCACTACATTGTACAACTGAATTGTTGGGTATCTCCCATTCAGGGTTTGTGTTGAGTACTTGGGCGGTTCTTGTGCGAGTATTACTTGTATTTGGGGTTTTTCTTTTTCTTTATCTTTCACTTCTCTCTCTACCCTTTTCAAAGAAACCTTTTTAGTTTTTCTTTTCCATTTTTTCTTTCCATTTTCATCTTCCATTCTCTGTACGTGATATTTTCGGAAGTGGATTGCGAAGGTCCCGTACAGTCTTCCTTTGTTCTTCTTTCCTACGCCTGCGTTTTTCCCTCCTTTTGATTCTCTTTTTACAGGTGTATGGATATACGAGTCTGGATCATGTCGAACCTGTCTGGGAAAGCAAAAGCAAGATAGGATAATTTTGTGAAAGTCAAAAGTGCAAGATAACAGAAGATTATCACACCGGTAGAGGAGGCCCAGCAACCAAAAGCAATCTGAGACAAAACTACAAGTTTTCCTTGCTACTACAGATCAGAGGCACCTTCATAAGGCGGAAACCTATCTCGATATATAGACCCCGCACTTGCACTAGCTGTATGAATTTTGATATAGCTATTCTGTAGATGCTTTGCACAAAGGGCGCCTGTGCTCAATCATGAATATAAGCTGGTGGGCTATTGTAGCAATTCTCGGGAATCTTATATGTTCGAAACAAGCATTGTACCGGCTGAGGAATAGGACTACCCCACTACGTTGCTAAACTTATGTCTGTTATAGTACTATCAAGAGCGGATACGGTGTGGCCTACTGGAATGGTATAGGCAGGCAACTCATATCTAATGCCATCGGTGGTCGGATATTCTCGTGCTGCGTGAAGAGAATACTCCCATATCAGGCGAAGAATAGTGCCGAGAAGCCTATCTTAACAATGGTTTCAGCTGGATCGCTCTAAACCCCCTCCCTTGGCGAGAATATAATGCCATGACAGCTTTCTCTACAATACTAGATCTAGTATCACGACAGATGCATACCATTCAAACTCTCAAAACATCATAGACATATACAGCATACCTAGAGTTACAACATGGACGTATATACATCCAAATTCACCTGGATTACCCATTTGGCCGACACTATTAAAACAGATATAGTTCCGACATAGCACCTTATAAAACACTGTCTTCTATAAGTCCTTGGAGAATCCGAAATATACTTGCATGTAATAAGCAAGAATGTCGGAACAAATATTGACTCACTTGAGCATACTCATTAATGTAGTATTGTGCTTCCCGCCGAAACTCCATAGACATCGTCAGCAAAGGAGAGCAGCTTCGATGGTTTCCGTGATGGGTATTCTAGCTAGCCACTGGGGTAGGCGCCCCTTTCTGTGGCATAGCCGTCCCAATAGATTGTATAAGGGCGAAGGTGTGCAGCACCATCTGTATTGTGGAAAAGGATAAATACGTACCGCACGCCTTGTAATTACTACATTATATGGGTTCAATATGATTCCGCGAAAGAAGTCAATCCCTATAGTAGATGCGGTTGCCATCATAAGTCCAACATCCAGGCTACACAGGGAGTATGGATACGGCCAACGTACCTGAGAAGAAAACGAAGCGCAAAACACACAAACTTTTCACAACTTATAGGCTTCATTTACGGCCTGGCATTAGTCCCATGGGAGAGGCTCCTGTAGGTCAACTTGAACTTGTGACTTAGGTCGGCATAAATAAACAGGCGATAACCAATTATACTTTCAGTTTAGATAATGTAGTATGGGGTACTCCGTACTGATTCGGAGCCAGATTATGTGAGCGGGGAAGTATCGAAGTTTTCCGACGCTACTCCGTACTTCCTCCATACTTTATCACATTATGAACTGTTGCTGGCTTGCTTTCGGGTGGGTAGACTGTAGAATAATCAATAAGTGCACCACATCTTACTTAGTGCCAGATACCAGGAATGACGCTTGTCGATATGACTTGAGGGATACTAATAATAAACCCCACTAATCTCCAGGTGGTCGACGTCAGATACAGATAGGCAGCCAGGATCCACCAACAACTTCCTTCCAAAGACCAACCTACTCCGTATTGTCATTCGAGTAAGTTGTCTAGCGGCCCCGTCCACTCATACCCTAGACTCTTACAAGGGAGAATGTCAGATATTAATCCAGCAAGTCAACAGGCTCAGCTCTCATGGCGGGTGGAGTCTGCCCGAGAGGTAATCTCCCAAGGGGCGGAAGTCCTTCCCAATTATTGGTCAGAACCGAGCGGGTTCCTGGCACTAGTCTGGCTAGCAGACCAGCAGAGTCTAAGCGACCCACTGTGCCTGGCTTTTCACTCAGGGGATCGCGGCACCTTACTTTCCAGAATAAGTGACGGGAGTGAAACAAGGATAGCGACCAAATTAAAAAAAAAAAAAAAATAACAGGAAGGCAAACCGCAGAAGGCTCAACAGATCCTGGAGTCATGAATAGAAATGGCCATGAGGTCATTGAGACACACAGCAAGGATCTCTCTAGGAACCCACCGTGTAGCAAGTCAACAGCTACGCAGGTCCGTTGGAGTCCACAATTCATACTAGCCTGTAGTACCCGGTACAGACCACGGTACTCAATACTCGGTACGGAGTACTGTTAGGTAACATATGTTTCGGCTCCCGGCCGACTCAGGGGGCGGCAAAACCAAAGGGCTATCTATCTAGGAGATGGATGTCTGCCGTGTACTCCCTAACACACATATCTTTTATGACCCCAGCTACTCTGTACTCGGATTGACTTTGAGGCCAAATATGGCTCTCTAAGTGTGCAGAGGCTATCTATCTGGTTAAACTGTGTACTACTATCAAACATAGTGGGTATTCGTGAAGAACGAAAAACTTCCGGGGTGCTGTGGTTCTCCGGGGGAATCTTAGTACAACTGTACGACTCCTGCACCTTGCCTTATCTATCTCCTACCTAGTCAGGTCTACGGAGTCGATGACCGTACCATTACTCTGTTGATGGTACGATGATAGTATTCTACTCCGTAGTCCAACCCCATCTGCCACCAAGCTTTGCCTCTCCTCCCCACAACCGGTTAGACAACAAATGAATGGAAATGAAACGGGCCATCTAGACCGCTAGGTAGCTTAGTTCTGGGCGCACTACTGCTGGCTTACGCCCTCTGGGCCTTCGCCCTGCCGGCTCACTTCATTTTCCCTCTTTTCTCTCCCTCTCCCTATCGCGTGCCGTCCGCCTCTTCTTCTGCTACTCCTTTCCTTTCCTTTTTTACCTGTTTCACGTCGTTCTTTTCCCCCCAACCCTCAGTACCTCGGGGGGTTGTACAGTCGTTCATTTCAGGGAGCCTTTCTCACTCCCGTCCACTCCTTGCTCCAAATCCGTCCTCGACGTTCGCTTCATTGTTTGCCAGACCTCCGTTGCTGCTGCCCACCCGTTCGCACTGAGATCTTCTTATTATCGGCCCCTCCTGCTCGATCGCTCCTCATCATCAAAGCCGCTACTACCTGTCTCCTTCATGATTGACGGTTATCGACGCCAAGGGAATACTCACATCAGACAGACTCAAGTGCAGGCCTGGTCCTGAAACTGCCCGCTCGTCGCCGTAATCTAGTCCTCCGGGTAACGGAGTTCTGGATTACCTCTTTCGAGAGCTAGGTCGATCATGCGCCATCACCATCAGCATCAGGCCCTCCATGGCACACATCTGCAAAGTCTCTCAATGCCACGCCGGCCTGGCATTGTGCCTCGTGATCGATTGCCTTTGCTAACGATGGCCGAAACACCAACGCTAGCGAGGAGGGAGCCTTTGCCATCTACCGACTCCTCCTCTAGCTCATCTTCTTCATCCAGCGAGACCAAACCGACAAGCACGCTTACTACCACGACTTTGCCCGTTGTTCTAGGAGCAGTGTACGTGCTACTATGTTTTCTTCCTTGTTGACATTCTTTCACCCTTCACATTACGGATCAATGGCGACATCTCTACTTAACAACTTAGGTCCGTGACTGATAAGTGCTTAGGATTCCCGTTGTGATTGCCATAGCTATTCTACTCTACCTGCACCGCAGAAACGTGAAGAAGCTCCGTAACGAGGACGCGAATGACAAGCACAAATCTCTCGACTTTGGTCTAGATTTGGCGCCCACGGGGGCGAAGCCCATGCAACAGGCTGAGAAACTTGATCGTAACGCGGCTCATAATAAAGGGGTATCGCTGGATATCGGGCCTAGCCCCTATCTTCTTCCGCCTGGATTGCACAATTCCAGGGAATCCCTGAGTTCTCTGTCCAGATCCATCGGTGATGGGGATGATGACAAGTACCGACATGTAGGGTCGTTTCTGGGTGACAATGCATCGCTCAGGTCGCACTCGAGAGGTCCCCAGGATGATGCGTCAAGCTTTACGGGCTCAACCAGACGGGGCGCGCTTGGTGACGATATGAACCAAGGGCTTCTGCGAAATGCCCAAAGAATGTCGCGCTCATCGCCTCCGCTCTACACAATTCCTTCTGCCGATCGCAATGTGCAGAGTCCAGCCAGCTCTGATCACGAACGCGATCATGGGTTTCAGCTGGACCTGCCCAGAAGCCCGAGCCCCGTGCATGTACCGGGAATGACTATCAGCGAGCCGAACCCAATGACAAGCCACGAACCCGAATTCAGTGGAACCCATGTCAATGCTGAGGCTAGTGCTAAGGAGAAGCGCTTATCGCATATGCCTTTTGAAAATGCACAGTACTCAAACCTGACCCATCCCAGCGATAACAGTCAGAATGAGGACGTGGGTCCCAGTCCACTCCCTCAGCATCATGCAATTACCCCGTTACATGATCCTCTTCCACTTCACCTGGACTCAAACACAACTTCCGCGCACACCGCATCGATTCCCACTCCTCGGATCTCGCTTCCTCTGAGTGATGCGCCTAGCGATTATGGTGACGCAAGGAGGTCAACAATCCCATCCTTCAATGTGCAAGAGGTAGCCAGCATCGCGGGCCCTGCAGATAGCCCGGAGAAGTCCACTGTCCCTGCAGTGCTTTCGGAAGAGCCACGAACTCAGAACGCAGGTCTTGATCCTCGTCGTGAGACCCGACGGATGACCCTTGGGCTTCGTCCTCTGCCGCCAGAGGATCCATCTGACAACCCCGAGCAACGTGCCAATCGTATCCGGTCATTCTACAAGGAATACTTTGATGAGAATAAAACAGGTCGGGAAACAGTCTACCAGGACTATGGGCCGGAGGTCTACGCTGAAAATGGTGGCTATGTGTACGATCCTATGATGGGTGATCACTTTAATGCAGTCCCGGCGCCATTTGCTGAACCGGTAACTCGCCGTGCCATGACTCCTCCACCTCGCGCGCCTCCGCGCTTTCAAGGGGCAGCTCGGCATATGGCCACCGGCTCGGACGGAGGCTTCAACGATCGATTCCAAAGCCCCGGCCCCCGTGCATTTTCCTCTGCCTCTGGTCGGTTACCAGGACCACCAAAGCCGCGCAAGGCGGTGCCCCCACCGTCACCACTTCAAATCCTTCCTACTCCGCATATGTTGAAGGACGATTCCTTAATGACGGCCATCGATTATGCTCCCGCCAATCACTTTAAGGATCAGAAGGAGGGCCGGCCAGGGACGCCTTTAGGTGGTCTACAGCCATTTAGCCTGGCGGTGCCAGTCCATTCGCCACTCGTCTCTGCTTTCGACGACCTTTCAGCCCTACCTAGCGCGTGAGTTTAGCGTTGTTTCCAAACGTATATATCGATGTTAACTAGTCTCTAGGCACGCATTGCGAAAGTCAGGCGCTTATGACACTTTGGACTTTGCACCTCCTCCTCGCTTCAAGAATGATACTGCAAGCGATGCAGGCAGTATTCGCAGCAACCACACAGGGATTTCCACAACCCATCTGCACAACATCCGCACTGGTGCGTATCGCGTCAGCCGCTTGCCCCCGGACACTGTGGGTACCAAGGATGATTTGATATCAAACCTCCGTCCTACATGGGATATGCGGCATTAAACATCGACGTTTCTGCTTAGTTCTTTCTTCCCCGCCGTAACGATTTCCCCCTTTGCCACAGTCATCTGGTGCTTACATACCTTATCACGATCTATTCTTGTCTATTATATTCTGTCCCAGCGGTACTTCTTTGAGGAACCGGGCTTGATTTAGCAACTTTCCCGATGTTCAGTGGCGTGATACATACAAGGGGCTTCTGTTCTTCGTATCTGCTTTTACTAGGCGCTGGATATGAATAGTCAATTTCCATAACCTTCAACTTGCAAATATGATATTCTTGGAGGCGGATCGTCGGAGGCCACGGCCGATGATTCCCGATCCCAAATGTATTGGAACTAGCGCCATGTTTATATATCACACTTATCAATTTTGTGCTGTGTAGGCACTGCCTGCGAAGAATCTCAGTACGGCTAGAAGTTCACTGTCATCCAGCGATGATTCGCAGGGTCTTGCTTCATCATAGAATTAGGACGGGCGATCCAGAAGCTGTCCATGGCACAGTATGTCCATATGCGGTTCCACCGTACTCCGTAGATGCTTCGGAATAAAGGTGCTCCACGAAACCGGGAACTTCTGGTCCAAGTTTGTGCATTGGAGTTGGTTACTGCACGACCTGGTGGCTTACGTCAAAGCCATAGGCTAAAGTCCCTTAAGCTACCATGTCGAAACGCAATTTCGGGGCAGCAGGAAGTGACAGCGCCCGCAAGCGGCCGTTGCTTCGTCTCCGTAGCCAATATAGCCATGGACCGAGTCGGAACAAAAACCCTGGTCCTGTTCTGATTCTGAACAAGTGTACGGAGTACCCCGTTTATCATGAAGTGTCGAGCCATCAATTCGCTAGGCATGGCAGTCGTATTCAGCCCGGCGATTAAAAGGTGGAAATCGGAATTTGTGGGAGCCACTGATGAACCTAGCCAGGTATATCTACATATTTTACAGGGACAAGTATGTACATACCTACTTACCCGATGATCTCCAACTGTGTTTATCAACGCTCTGCACAGGGAAATTCCATCGTCAGTCTAGGTTCATCCGGCTGTAGGAGCCTGCAGAATGGTGGATAAAACTTGGGACCGCCGTACCTGATGGTAACCCACGGCCGAGGGGCCTGAAAATTGTGGTTCATGCTGGCTTAGCGGTAACAATGGGCTTTGGCTTCACCAATCCGGGCTTGACATTACTCTAGTTGGGAGATTGGCCCCACTGGAGACGGCACTCAATCTGCAATCAGCAACTCTTCCTGGCCGGCCCGGTGGGCCTCTCAGAGGCCATCAAGTTTTGTTGCCCCCCATGAATCCGGTTCTAACTTTCAACTGTTGCTAAGAATAAGTACTAGTTCAAATCTCGGGCTTGGATGGCATAGTAGTATCCGTCGACTATGGAGACGGGTTATGGAGTATCTACTGCTCTAGCTCCCTCCTCATCGATGCGACGTTCCTCGATAGGAACCCTCAGTCTAGATATCTCACGGATCGATCATCTTGGGGAGGAGGAGATGACGGATGCCGCTGCTTGCTTACCTCGGTGGGTGCCGATCGCAGCCAGACCGTAACACCCCATTCATTGGGTTGTACCATACATGACTGCTCTCGGTACCTCAATTACACTTCGGGTTACCACCTCAGCCAGGTACCTGGTACTAAGAATACCACAGATATAATTCAGGAGCCGGCTTGCACAGGCTTGCTCTGGCCGCAATTCGCCCATCTATTCGTTCACTCACTCGCTCTTTTCCTTTCCGTTCGTTCTCTCGTTGGAGTCCTCTCTCCTCCCCCTCCCCCTAAGAGTATCTGTTCCGATGAGTGTCATTCCTCCTCTTTAGATATCTAACATGAGATCTTCTTCTGCTGTCTCATGGCATCCTGTTTAATTCCGGTGAGTGGACACTCTGTTTCGCCCCCTTCTGATTTTTTCTTATTAAAAATCTGTTTATTTTTCTTTTTCTTTTTTTCCCTTCTCGATTTTGCCCGCGTTGATCTGAGGCGACCGTCCTTCTCCCCTGACCATCGGCTAGGCAGACCATTGTCAGCTTCACCACTCCCCAGGCGCGGTGCTCTTATTCTAGCAGAGCAGTCCTTCTTCTTAACCATTACCGGCTGTGCGGTTGTATATTGCTATTCAACTCTATCCATTCCTTCGCCCCTAAATTTATATTTTCGCTCTTTCAATCGTTTTCCGACCTTCCGGCAAAGGCTTGACGGAGACCTGGATTGCTACGAAATTCGGCCCAAACGTGTACCACCGATAAATTCCCGGCTGCATACGCATTGTTCCCTCGTGAATCACGCAGTAGCGACTGTGCTTGCGGTGGACTCGCGGAGTTCTTGACATCGGCCGATCCTGACTTCCTGATACAACTTTGGGCGCTTATCCACTTGGAATTAATTGCTCCAACACAATCTCACTATGTCATCCTCCGGTATAGTGCTACCCCACCATGTCCCCTATCTCAGAGCGTGTCGCTATCTGTTGCCTTCCATCATAATCCATATACCTGCGATTTACTGAACTTGCCCACAGTGGCGGCTGCAGCGGGAGCAGGCGCGGCGGTAACATCAGCGAGCGCCGCTGACGCTGCTACACCCACCGAAACCCAAGCGGAAACGTCATCTCAAACAACTCCTGAAGCAGCTCCAACGTCCCAGTCGACAACATCTCAGTCAACAACCTCGGAATCTACGACATCTGTACCTACATCGTCTACATCGTCCACATCATCGACGTCCGAGTCAACCTCTTCTACTACAACGATACCCATAGCACCGACGACGACAAGTAGCGCTTCGAGCACTTCTACAAGTACCACCGAGGTGCCCACTACCACTTCCACCACTTCTCGGACGACTGCGACCCCCGATGTGGTCACAACAGTGGTCACGCAGACACCAACCAATGGGGCCACTGGGGTGGAAACCTTGACTATAACCTCGACTGATACAGCCATTCCAACTGGAACTTCTGGGACTGCGGCGAATGGCGTGTCTACCACAATCAGCGGATCATCACCAACGTCATCTTCGGGAGGAGGTGGTGGTGGTGGTAGCTCAGGGCTTTCGGCCGGTGGCACCATAGCCGTTGCCGTGGTTGTGCCAGTCGCCTCGGTAGCTATAATCATACTTGCGGCGTTATACTTTTGGAGGAAATGGAAAGCAAAGAAAGCGGCAGAAGAAGAACGGAGGAAGGAGGTGGAAGAATACGGATTCAACCCGAATAATGACCCTTCCCTACCTCCAATCATGGGCGCCGGAGCCTTCGAGCCGAAAGACGACAATACTTCTTCGGGATACCGAGGCTGGGGGACGACATCCGCTGGCCGCAAAGCATCTACCAACTTATCAAGCAGCGCTGGAGTTGGCCTGGCGATGTCCGAAGCTGGAAGTGCGCCTGGCTATCATCATGCAGCTACCCCAAGTGATGGGACTATCCAGTACTCCGAAGGACAAGGTACTTTGGGGGAAACCGAACCTATCGGGGTTCTGGGTGCTGCTCCGGTAGCTGCGGCGAATAATCGAAACGTCGACATCCATCGTGGCCCATCGAACGCTTCATCGGCATATTCTGCAGCCAACCGATCAGAAGCGTCCGAAGAGAGCCACATGTCTGCCACTCACCCCTCGGGTCCTTTCTATGATGATAACCCGTATTATACTGATATGCAGCCGCAATATGGGGCATATGGTGAAGGCCCCTATGGCGGTGCCCCGCCTGTAATTCGGGATGTCCAGGCGCGGCGCAATACACGAATTGAAAGCCCTGCCGTGTTTCCCAGACAGGGAAACGCTGGTATCGCGCAAAACTTCTGAGGAGTAGCTTGAGAAGCTGGCCCTCTGAACAATATAATGACGCTGCCGTCGCAATATTTGCCATCTTGAATAATTGATATCCGGTTAGTGGTGTTCAGTCATTTCTTCAAATTCCTGCCTGGGCCTTCGCAACCCTAGACATGGAAGGTTCTGTGCCAACATCCCGCTGGATGGATGAACCAGTTCGCGGTCATACTTTTGAGTATCGTTCAACTGCCACATAGCACGAGCCTCCCTTTTTAACTCTCGCTTGTTATTTCTTTTGTGGCCTTCTCAGACCTCAAAACATCTCTTTTCGTTTCTCATTCCCCATCAACCTGTTCCGTTGTTTTTGACTGGTGCCCTCGTTATTCTGGTATATGGATATATCCCTACTGTTTTTCTTTGGCCTTGCGATTGTACATTTATGATTCTAAAGAAGCCCGACTTCCACCTAAGGCAGACCAGGGCTTCTTACGTTTATTGACTTCTACCCACTTGCCTATCCTATCTTGTCTTCATTTGCATGATTGATTTCGTGCTCGGGTCTGGATACACTGTGGATCAAAGCTGCTGCAATACTTGCATCTCACCTGTACATTTGGATGCAATCGCTTTGTGAAATTCTTATGGTGAGAATAGCGTGATTGAATACATATTTTGGAATTTTGTTTCTGCTTTCTCTCATGCCTGGATTCTAGCTCCTAGTAATGGTTCGCTGGCCGTTCATAGACCAAGTACCTCCGGAGAGGTCCCTAGATCTGGAGCGTCCAGTTTGTGTAGATGGGCCTATGACGTTTAGAGTGAGTATTAATCTTCCCAACAAGGCGCCCTCAGGATCGGAGGGCACCTGATCATACGCTATACGGGGTACTCCGCACAGACATGCGTTGATGTAAAAGTGATCGAATGACGGGACCGTTACCTTGTATAAGGCTGGAGACAGAATAAGGTCCAGATCAATAGAGTCCCTGTCCGGAGTAAGTCCCGCTACGAACCGATGCCGCTTAAGAAGCGAGCCCCCCACTACGTACATGGACATGCCTATGCTTGTCGATGCACCCTAACGGTACCAGCGTGCCTCGGCGCCAGGGTGATTGGTTGCTCCGACCACGCTTAGTACACTTTCATGTAACTTGTGGTTGGCTGAATCTTTGAAAGAGGGCAAGGCAAACCGGGAGTGGTGCATTGCAGCGAAAGGTACCGGAGACTGAGACTCTGAGAGACGACTGCCTACACCAAGAGAGCAGGACCACTGAGTACTACTACCAGGAGCCTGGTAGAACTTTGATTAGTCCGATACAGCTTCAGAACACGTTGCCCACGATCCGCGAATGGAAGCGTTGTTGTCTTGGGATACAGGGAACGTGGGCACATTCCGGCCGTTGATTGGTTCGGAGGCAGCTACCCAGAGCTCTCCACTCGCCCTTGGTCGACCTTTTCTACGTAACTTGACGTTGACTCGCCCCGGCACGAGTCCCTTCCGATTTCCCCATTCGCGCTGAGGTTGACAGAACTACCTATTCAGGTATCCGATGAGTGCGCTCCCGTCGCCGCGGCTTTGACTGAGCTTCTTGTCTTCTCTTCCACCCCTCCCATTGTGCCCCGCCGGGGTCAGGTGCCCCGCATTGGTCTGCCCTTCCGGGTGAACACGGCATACCTTTACTGGAGATTAACCTATCTAGAGAGATACCTTAGCATAATCTGTCGTTTCCCTCTCGGTCTGCTTGTACCTGTTCGCCTGCCCGCCCTGCCACCTCTTCCAGAGTACACAGTAAGTACGACAGCGTGAGCTGCTAAGACACCGGGACGGAGTACTACTACCTACTCTGTAGGTACCTGACCAGACGATCGTCACATTGACGAGTATCTGGCCTCCCTCCCTCGCCTGTTGCTCGGCTTCCCATTGCCTCCATACTCTACTCCGTACTTTTTCCTTTCCTTGTTGTCTTTGTTGACGCCCCACCTCAGACTAGTCCAGTCTTCCCTCGTCTCTCCTCTACTCCGCCGGCCGAGCTCAGAGAGGGGCGGACGTCTTCGCACCATATTCCTACCCGCTGGCATCTTCTTCTCTCTCCCTTCTCCTCTGGCATTGCTGTTCGCCTAGTGTGTCTGTTGCTCCCAGTCCGTGACCAGGCCCCTAAGCCTTTGCCTCAACTGGGCACCAGTGCGTCAAGGGACTGGTTAGATCGCTCTCCAACTTTCGCGCAGAGCCTATCAAGATGTGAGTCCATGTCTGCTCTACGACCTCGATTCAACTTGACTTGTCTCCAATGGAATTCTGACCATAGAGTTACAGGAAGTTCGGTAAACAGATACAGCGTAGACAGCTCGATCTCCCTGAATATGCCGCAAGCTTCGTGAATTACAAGGCTTTGAAAAAGGTCGGTTTCTCTTGCTGTCCTCCCCCCTGCCGCTGCCCCCCGCCTTTTTTTTTTTTTTTGTTTCCATATCCTTCGAGTAACACCAGACCTCACCAGAGTTAACATATTAATGACAGCTTATCAAACAACTCAGTGCGACACCGACAATTCCCGCTCAGAGCACCGCGGGTGTGGCCCAAAATGTCCCCGAAGCGCAAGCCGCCCTCCGCGCAAACAAGGAGGTTTTCTTCTTCCGTCTGGTAAGAAGATCTGGCAAGGAGAATATGGATTGGGGCTCATTGGTCATTTCTGTAGGAGCGGGAAATAGAAAAAGTCAATGCCTTCTATCTGCAAAAAGAGGCCGAGGTTTGTGCCCATCTTGGTGCCCATCTTCCTACACGAAAGCTGATGAGAGATAGTTTTCATTACGGCTGAAAACGCTGGTCGATAAGAAGAGGGTTATCCAGTCACGGGCAGTGACCAGTTCAAAAGCACCAGCCAATTTTGTTGCCCTCTTTGAAGGGTTCCAACAATTCGATGGGGATTTGAACAAATTACAGGTGAGCTCATCCGTTGCTTGCAAAGGTGTGCCCGGGGATACTGATTACTGCTTCCCGACATAGCAATTCGTCGAGATTAATGAGACCGCCATGTCGAAAATTCTGAAGAAGGTTCGTCGCAGAAAGAAACGCCGCCATTGGCGCTCTTGATTTCATATGACTGACAAGGCAGTTAGTGGGATAAAACATCAAAGGTCCGAATCACCCATACCTTCCGCATAAGTCCATTCACCCTGTCGGGTCAATATGCGACTCCTTACTTATCTGTGTGCCTCCTATAGTCTCGCATGAAAGAACTGTACCTTCACCGCGCTGTAGAAGTACAACCATGTTTCAACCGAGACGTCTTGCGTGACCTGTCCGATCGGGCAACAACAGCCAGGTTAGAGCTTGAAGCTTGGGCAGAAGGCGAAAACATCCATTTTGACACGGCCCGCCCAATGGACCGGGCGATGGCTGTTCAAGCCTTTGGGACGGATGAGGAAGACCTGGACCTACAGATTCTACAGTCTGCTACTACAGGGAATCTGCAGACATTGCGCGAATGGACCGCTAAGCTGCAGTCGTCTCCTGATGCCCAGGTCCGCGCCACCCGCACTTTCCTAGCCGCCATCAATGAGTTCTCCGACGACGTCCTAGCAGTTCTGCTTGAAAGTGGCTTGGTTGACATCTACGCAGAAGATGACATCAATGAGCGCAATTGTCTTCATGAAGCGGCAATCTCGGGCCGCGAGTTTGTTTTCAAAGCCGGCCTGGCAGCAGGGGTCGATATATCTCGCACTGATGTTTACGGCAGGATACCCCTACATTACGCCTGTATGCATGGCCGGGTGGAAATGGTACGCGAGCTACTAACCGCAGGATCCCATACCGTCGACGTGATGGATCATGATAACTTTACCCCTTTGATCCATAGCATAGTCAAAGACCAATTAGCATGTGCCGAGCAGCTTCTTCACAACAACGCTCGTATTGATCCCGCTTCCGAGTCTGATCACATTCCGCTGAATTTGGCCTGTCAGCATGGATCGCTATCGATAGTCCAGATGCTTCTAGAGCGGCGTGCACGATTGCTCCCCGATGCGGAAGGCCTCTATCCCCAGCACATGGTGGCGCGAGCCTCTCAGTCGCCGCAGTTACTTTTGCTTCTCAAGCAATACGGAGCTGACATGAACCAGAGGGACAAGCTGTATCAATGGACGCCACTTTTTCATGCAGCTAGCGAAGGCTGTGTTGGCTGCTTGCGCACTCTACTGGAGCTCGGTGTTGACGCCAGTGCTGTTGATGAAAAGGGTCTTTCGGCGATGTATTATGCGGCTTGGGAAGGACATTTGGAATGCATGCTTTTACTTTGGTCTAGCCGTGCTGACTCACGACCTTCGCGAAAGCCATTCGACATTCTGAACGGTTCGAGACTACCAGAATCAGGCCATGCTGTTGACTTGCAAATCGGCGATGCAACAGAGTCCGGTGACATCGAGACCGTCGATGGTATCCCCGATCTATCTCTTCCACCGCCGATCATACCGTTGAGGCGATACGGTCACAACTTCTTGGATAAGAAAGTCTTTGTCCAGATATTGTTCGACACTGGCGTGTCTGGGTCGATTTTATTCGATCAAGCAGGTCGGCATCCTGCGGCTCGTTTGACAATCTCTTCAAAGCTTTCTGACCTGATCCCCCGCACGATAATGCTTCCGATACAGGAGGATTCACGCATGATATCATTCCATGTCGATAATTTAGAGTCATTCGCCGTTGATTTCGAGATCTTTCCCACGTTTGGCTCTAAGGTGATCGCTAAAACAGTTGCCTTGCCAACTGTTTTCAGGGCAGAGAATTCCAGCACGGGCGCCTGTACATTGCCGTTGTTTGACCCTAGATTACGCTCGATCGGTCAGCTTCAGTTTGGGTTTCAAGTTATCAAGCCGTACCATGGGGATCCTCTGGAGATCACCCACTTCGCCACCTACTGGAAGGCAACCAGTGTTATTGATCCCGAACACAACGGCTTCGTCACTGGGTCAAGCCTGTCGGGAGACCATGTTCAGCTTTTTGTGCAGCTTACCAGAGATCGCGTTCCGGTTCTCTGCCCGCAGTTTACAATTGAGCATCATAATGTCGAAATACCCATATGCCAGCTTTCTTACGCCCAGTTCCAGGCAATGGGCGCTGAGAGGGGCATAAATCATTCAGAGATGTTGCAATTCCTGCAGACACGTGCTGTGGATGACTTGGCACAAGCCCATCGCCTGCTGGCCTCGTCGTTTCTTTCGTTGCGGGAAGTGTTCCACCATCTACCACTTAGTGTCAGCATCAATTTATCGATCCTCTACCCCTCCGCTGCCGAGGAGCGAGCGTTGAACATGACTTCCTTAGCGGATGTCAATACCTTCGCTGATGCTATTCTTACCGAAGTATTTGACCATGCTCGTATTGCGCGTGACCAGGACCCTGATTTCATGCGTTCTGTGGTCTTTACCTCCTACAATCCCAATATATGCATTGCTCTGAACTGGAAGCAACCGAACTGTGAGTTTACACATTGGCCTGCCAAATTTCTTTGAGATAGAATTCGCTAACACTTGGCCCCCTATTTGTAGACCCCATCCTTCTTTGTAATGACCTTGGTCAAATTCGTGACTTGGCCCGTGATGTCAAATCACTTCCAGACGTTGACAGCAGTGGGCGGGCTTCTATGTCTATCAAGGAGTCGGCGCGGATAGCGCAGAGCAATAATCTCATGGGTTTAATCTGTCGTTCCAGTCTCTTGGTATGTTGTTCCGATTGTCCTTCGCGCCAAAACTACGGCAGAACTGGTTTATAGAATAGATCACTGACAATCCCGGACAATGTAGAATGTTGTCCCGGCGCTTGTTGAGACAATCAAGGAGCTTGGCCTCGTGCTGGTTGCAGATACTTCCGATGACGCCGAGCAATCCGACCAAACAGACCCCATGCAAGTCGCAAGCCCAATGGGCGTGGCTGAATGGGCACATATGATGCCAGACGGTGTGAATGGTGTCATGAAAGCCAATGGCATCTTGAAATTCAACGATATGATTGACATGTGATACGTCCCAAGTCTCCCCCGCATACATTCCATATTTCCTTCTTTTCTCTATTTTTTCGTCAATATGTATCTCGGGTGTCAATGAATCCCGAACTATTGTAATCATTTCAGTCCCACTACTCATGTTTCACGGTGAGGTCTTTTCTTTACTACCTGGGGTCCGGTTTGTTTCTTTCCTTCTGCATGCCTGGATGGACTTGATGTGTCATTGTTTTATTGCCCTTGGCTCAATATTGCTACATGCCGTGGTTTTGGATATGTTAGACTTTGGTCTTTTGATGTCTCATTCTATCTTTCTTTGAACATTTGTCCGCCTCGTTCTTATTTGGCGACATTTTTGACAGAAATACCCGGTTCAAAATCCCTGAGTGGAGAAGGACACTGTGTATGTGTCCTGCAAAATTATATGTAACAGCTAGTGTACAGCGCTCTATAAATATAATATCTTGACTCAATGACGCTACGCAAGGAGTCGTTCCCTGCATAAATTGTCTAATCCTCCGTAGTCGGTCGGATCATCACCAGAACCTACATGCCCTTAGGTCTACCTTTGACGATATCCCATCCCCAGTGCCTTAGGACCTTCACAACGTTCGGAGTAATGGCTGCTGTCAAAGGCACACGGATGAAGATGAGACTTTTGTGAACGGCATAGGCAAGGGCAAGTTGTGTCCATAGACCTAGATCGGAGTAAAAACAGCAGTTAGTCACAGAGAGCACTTCCGCATACCATAATAACCTGTGAATCCGAACAACTTACTGGCTTCTCCAGCATTAGCCTGCTCCTGAGCTGCCTCCGTCGACTTCCCCTCAGCCTGACCATCTGAGCCCTCCGATCCGGGATTGGCATCCTCTGAAGCAGGCCACACTTTACTGATTACCCCCTTGACCGACTCGGAGATAACATGCTCATAGTGGCCAATTCGTTCCACCCCAGCCAAGCGAACGACTGCAAAGCAAATCGGAAAGTCTACCGCCGACAGGATCAAGTACACCCAGAGTGCGGACCAGCCGTACTCCTTGGAGAGTGTGCGTAGCCGCTGTGAAAGTGACCCCGGTTGCTGCTCCGACTGCGCCGAGTTGTCCGCCCGCGAAGATTTGAAAAATCGTCGGAACATGCCAGGTTGTTGATATTGACCGCTCTTAAACTTCCCTTGCAAGCGAGGAGCGCGACTCTGGAACATCAACGTCCGCCTTGTTGCAAATCCAAAAGGTATCCTCTGCAGCGGGAAATTGTTCCTCGTCATTGATGCTGATGACCCATTTTGAACTAGTTTGGACGCTTGAGAAAACCAGCGCGATAGGTTAAAAGGCCGTAAGCTCATTTTGATTCGTAAGAGAGTCGGTTATATGCGTGTGAAGGAACGTAATTGGTGAGTCTCTGGACTCTGGATTTGCTTTCTCTTTTTTCGGGATAACTTTCAACGACCGAAGACCAGATCGGAAGGAAACGGACAGGCGGAATCGCAAAGGGTTTCCTCTCAGTAATCACGGACAGGGGAGGGCGAAAAAGCCGAAGAAGCCGAGACAATAATGCAGTCTGAATGCGAGTAAGGATAAATGACGTTGCGGCAGCAGATCGTAGGATCATTCCCGTTTTTTTTTTATACACCCCCGGCGGCCATCGGCGTGCCGGTCAGTCCGATTCCCGACTGGGATCGGACCAGGGCGAATGCACGAAACGCATACTCCGTACATGAGCGTGTGGTAGCTCGTCATAGCCTTGGGGCCTGGATCGAGTCGGATCTTGGATCGCCGCCTAAGCACTACTGGCACTCCATGTGTCTGATCGATTGGATACGTCCTCCGCACGGCGCTGGGCGTATCTGTACAGTAATCCGTCCAAGACCCGGAGGTATTGATGCCTCGCTGTGTTCCCCAGGCACCAACAGCACCCACCGCCTTCGAGGCTCTCCGGTCCATCCAGGACGGCGTCTCCGCATGTCTCCCAAAAATCTCAGCGGCAGAAAAAGGAAGACCCTCTCTCTTCCCATCGCCTTCCTTCCCAGACCCGCGGTCAATCCCACCCGCCATGTCCCCTCGTCTCCCCGGGAAGCTGGCCCAGCTTCCTCTTACTCCGATCTGGGCCCCTCAATGCATTGTCCGCAGCCATGTCCCCGTCCGCACCTTCGGTATCCGGTCGTTGAACCCCCCCAAGAACTCGCGCTTCAACGTCAGCCATGATCTGCCCGTGCTGAAGTCGACTCCCACCGCCGCCCTCGAACGCAAGGCAAACACTCTCCCTCTCCGAACCGGCGCCATCACCTTCAAGAAGGGCATGACCGCCGTTTATGACCCTGAGACCGGGAAGCGCGTGGCTTGCACTGTTCTCCAGCTGGACCGGGTCGAGGTCGTTTCGCACAAGACCCGCCAGAAGCACGGATACTACGCCGTCCAACTGGGAGCTGGCTGGAGGCGCCCTGGCAACCTTACCAAGTCCCTGCTGGGTCATTTCACCGCCAATGGTATCTCGCCGAAGCGTCACGTTTACGAATTCCGGGTCAAGGATGAGAGCGGTCTCTTGCCTGTCGGGCAGGCGGTCAATGCCGATTGGTTCCAGGAAGGCCAGTATATCGATGCTCGGTCTAACACAAAGGGTAAGGGCTTCGCGGGTGTAATGAAGAGACATGGCTTCGGTGGTCAGGATCGCAGTCACGGTGTCAGTTTGACGCACCGTTCGCTCGGTTCGGCCGGTCCCAGTCAAGGTGGTGGTTCCCGTGTTTACCCCGGAAAGAAGATGGCGGGAAACATGGGTAATGAGCAAAATACGGTCCAGAATCTGAAGATTCTCAAGGTGGATCTGGAGAATGGACTCGTTGTGGTCAATGGTAGGTTCCCATGAGTTCCCTGACCGGAGTCGACGATATTGATGCTAACGGTTGTTTTTCCCGCGCTCTAGGCTCCGTCAGTGGACCCAAAGGCTGCGTCGTCAGGATACAGGATGCTATCAAGAAGCCATGGCCGGAAGCCGTTCCCTCGTCTGAGGCATCTTCATAGCGACCTGACCGTACGGGCCTTTTTGTTCTTCTTATGTCCCCTCCCTCCGTGAATGTACTATTACACTGTATTGTTTTTAAGAGCGGCGTCTGTATGCGATACATAAATGATATCCCTTTCCCCAAAGTGTCGATTGTCTATAGAATATTCCACTTCGTTGGCACTCTCAGAAGACGCACCCGCTCGAATACGAGGAACAGGAGTGCTAGAAGAGATGGGGAGGGACGAAAAGTAGGAGAGTGAGAGACGCTTTCCGAAGCCCGAACGCCTTAGCCCAATGCACATGAATGAAGTATTTACATGTACAGATCTCCAAACACCATGTAACAAGCAAGTATACAGCACGGACAAACGGGGGCCCGGTAGTCGAAATCGATCAGCTGCTTTGACTAAATGGGTCGCTATCATTGTCAAGTAACTGGACAATCGTTCCATCCTCAGTTTCCAAGCTCCAGATTTCCGTGCGGAACTAGACACAACAATTGTTAGCTCGGAGTGATGGTCTAAAAAAGTCTAAAAAAAAAAAAAAAAAAAAAAAAAAAAAAAAAAAAACTAAGATAGCGCGGGGTGTGCACGAACAAAGCTGGTCCGGTCCGGTCTGATACTGCGGAACCTCATTTTACCCTGAGCCTTAGTTCCCTTGACCCAGAACGAGATGTCGATACGTCCATGGAGCTGATTCATCTCACCACTGATCCACGGAATCTTCTGAGCGAAGTAGATCTCATCACCCAAGATCTCCCGAGCCTGCGGGGAAGTCCGAAGCGCATACAGCGTGCTGTTAACCACGCTGGAGGAGGATTTCTGGTAGTTGAATATACCCAGCATGGCCGCCCCCACGACAACAGCGAAGATAGGCAATGTTCGCATCCATTTCCGCTCATTACCGACCGAAGGTAATTCTCGGTCGGCGCGTCGCTCCATCAGAGGGCCCGAGTTCGACTGTGGCGCGGGGATCAGATTGCGCCGGGGAGGGAGCATGCTGCGACGATTAATGGATAGGCGCGGGACGCCAATGCGCCGCTCTGCAACTCGTAGGAGCATCTCTGATGGATATATAAGTCCGGCAAGCCTCCAATTGGTCTGGCTGCTTGCACTGTGTGGCGGAAGGCTTTGGATATCAACTGTCCGATTTGGCAGTAGGCGAAGTTGTCAAATCCCTCGGAAGTCCCGAAACTTGGGTACTACCGCGCGGAGCTTGGCAAACGAGACAAACCCACCCAAGCTAGACGTACCTTGGGCATGACCGATGTCAACTATGAACTCTCTAACATGTCGGAATAATTCCCTTCGGTTTCAGCAGGTTCAAGCTGGCAGATATCACCTGCTATTTTCATCCTCGGTGCAGACATAATAGCTGCAGCTATGGCATCGGCAAGACTTCGCAAGGCATTCCGCTACCCTGATGATTCGGGTGATGACGAGCATGGTCGCGAGGAGCTGGACGAAGAAGGTCTACATTGTCGGCCCTGGCAAGATGTCAAGTAGATGATGTTGCTGACGACCTGACAGAGCAGGAACGCGTAATAGACCGGTTGAAGGTGCTCAACGAGAAGCGGAACTCAGAATACAGTGTACTAATAGAATCTCTCCTACATCATGAGCACATTGCTGACTATCCAACGATATATCCATCTAGATCGTCTTTGCCGCCGCCCCTCTGTTTGCTGGCTATGCTTTCGTCGCTTCAATCCTATCAGGCTCTTCGGGCCCATATGAACGGTTTTTGTCCCTCCTCAGCATTCTATCGTTACTAGCCACGGCCTATACGATGAGGTTTCTCCCGCTTCAACGCCCAGATCCCAAAGGCAAGAGACCCATGACGAGGTCGACTATTACCGTCACTTTTCAACGGTATACTTTGCCTCTTAATGCGTCTATCTGCGTGCTCCTAGCCCTGATCTACGCTTCACAATCCACAATGGGATTACGGCTGGGCATCGAACCCATTACATACCTAGTTCCGGGAGGTATGTGATGTCGTAGGACCTTGAACACTTCGTCATGTTTCACAAGTACTTACATTAAATAGCAATGTTTACGACTGTCCTAGTCGCACGCAAAGTCATGCTTTCCGTTGACCTCAAGGCTCTTGAGAATCTCCGTTACGAGTACAAAGGAGCATAGAATCAGCAATGGTTCTACAAAATTTGTGATTGAGTAGGGCTTGTTCTCGTACCACAGATCCTCTAGGATATAATAAATATCCATCGCGCTTTCGACCAATTAATTCCCTCCGGAGTATGCTAGTGAGTCTTCAACTCAAAATATGAAGGTGCTACAAAACGAACATTTGATCCCGAGTGTTTCCGCTGACACCTATTCCAAGTAACACCTGCTCGCTATCCGCAATAAGAAACACTCGATATGCATACAGATGCAACAACCTTAACCACCAATGCCTTATTATTCTCACTCAGGGTCTGGGAGGATTAGGAAAGAGCCATCGAGCCTTTCCAGGGCCGGATCCACCGGTATATCTCCATAGTCAGCGGCATATCCCGTTACGGGAGGGGCCTCCTCAAGCTGAATGCTATGCTCAACCAGTGACTGGTTGCGCTTCTCCTCAGCTTCCTTTTGGTGCTTCTTCAACCGGACAATCTCATCATCGCCAGCCTTCTTTATCCATCGAAGATTGGATTGTCGGAAATCCACCAAGCTCTCCACGCTGCGAGGGTCTGCGATCTTTCTTGTATCATGGCCCAATAATGTGCATGGTGGCTGAAACGGATTCATTGAGGGATCGCGCCGACATGCGGCGCAACTGCATATTTTGCGGCATTTCGGACACTTCCACTCATACATCTCCGTGGTTGCCTGGGGCTTTATGTTAAAAGCTCTGAACAAGCTTCCGTAGCAGTAGTTCGTCCGGCAATAAGAACAAGATGCGAGCTTCCACTTTGGCTCGAAATACCTGCAGATATGGCAACTCCCAGTCTGTTGGTATGAGTCCTTTCGACGAGGCTTTCTTCGCTTGCGGGCAGAGCCCACTCGCTCCAAATCACTTTCTAGTTCCTCCAGGCGTTCTGATTGAACTGTCGGCTTACTTATGTCGACCCACGGCCGCCTCTTGAGTTCTAACTGACAAACCTCTGCAAGCGTTCTCTTCGCCAGCCGGCTTCTCTGCGCAGGAAGACTCTCATAAGTGACATCAGCATGAGGCCTGGAGTCGAGTATCTGCTGCCTCCATGTTTCATATTTGTCTTCAAGGTCATACCAATGGAATTGTTCGACCCATTTAAGCTTCGATATGCAAGCGCAGCTCCTACCCATGGCATAGCACTCCATGCAAACATCATAGGTATCCTCTTCATCCGTGACCGACGGGCCAACACAAGATGGGCAGGTTAAAAATCTGTTGAAGATGTTGCCCCGGCAGTATGAACATGTGATGTTGCTGTCAAAGGGAACATATTCGACATCCTCCTCAGGAAGCTTGTCGGAAAAGCTTTCGGACAAAATTATCTCGGTGAATAGAGCAAAGAGATGTTCAAAGTCCTTCTGTATCAGCTGGATCGTCGGATGATTACTATCGTCTGCGCCTGCCTTGCTAAGAAGGGTCGAGTAATGCTCTAACGAGTAGAACACTATGGCCTTGTTCTTATATTGCTCATCCCGGCAGACCATCCTCGCATCCGGCAGGGCCACTTCGAGCGCCTTCTCTAGGGTTTCCGTGGTTGTTCGATTCCAGGCCACTTTTATTGTCCTTGTTCCTCGGTTCCATACTTGGTGTGCTGCCAAAGGAGGTACGAGGATAAAGTCGCCTGGTCTTTGTTCAACAACGTAAGTCTTGAAGGGTGCTGCCTTCCAGGCATTGATCTGAGCAAAATGATCCTCGATATCGATATCATGCCCAAGCATAGACATCCAGTATTCGGAAACGGCTTTCCGGTCTTTGCTCTCGGTCATAAACCAAACAGAGGATCCTGGTTTCGTCTCTTTACCGTATTCGGCGGAACCATCCGTTGCCTCCACCATTATATTCTGGCCCAAACTAGCACACATCTCTTGGTGGGCTGGAGTGTAAGTACCTTCGTGACCAATGTAACACATTAGGTTCTCAGCACGCATGCCAGGTGGAAGGCAGCTCATAAGGTCGCCTGGTCTGGCAATCAGGCTATCTGGACCTGAGTTCTTGTCGTGTCTGCCGTGGGCTGAAGTTGTTGCCCCCGGGCCTTCGAAGGCTTGCGCGGATGTATTCAAATAAAATAGTCCAGGTGGTATTATTTTTTTCAACTGTTCGTACCATTCCGGAGGGCAGTCAATGTCTTTCAAATAGATTCTTTGGCGATCGGGATCTTTGTAGTTATACTCATTCCACTGATTGGTAAGGAGCGGCATGTTTTTCAAGTAATGCCCAATAGTAAGAGGCAGATCGGTTTTTGTAGTTAGATTCCGAGCAATTTCCGCTGCGATATAGAGGCCCCGATTAGACAGGAAAGGTAGCTGGCATGGGATAGGAGCGAGCACTCACTCTTCGCTGAGTAGTGGTTCCTTAGCCACTTCTCTGAGAAGATCGAGCCATCCAGCCAGCGATCGAAGCCTTCGACAACTAAGGGCTTTCCACCCCGGACCACATGGAGCAGAACAAGCTTTTCAAATATTTCCAGTCCATTTTCATCGATCGCGTCGCAATGAATTCTAGCAGCATACTCGAAATTCGGGGTTGCCTCAACAAGTGATTTAAGGTCCAAGTCCGGAGAAAGTGGCTCAAAAGCCGCGCGGGGTCGCTGCGCAGGCATCAAGACGGTTGTTCAATGGAAACTCATGCGAGTCAGGTAGTTGAAGATATTGAGGGCGAACTTGGCCTGCTAAGCATCATTAGATACGGCTGACAATTCACTCTCCGCAGTGGAGCAGCATTGTAGATAGAAAGCTTCAGGATGAATCCAAATGCTAGGCACCCATCACACCACGGAGGTCATGTTCGATATGGAACTCCCAAGATATTTGACACCATAAACTTACACCACGAAAGTCCAATGAAATAGTGTAGAAGATTCCAACATCACCGTGCTCCTAGAAGCAGCCCAACAGGATGTAGTTCATTTCTTGTCCGTACACATATCGTGCGGACAGAGCAAAGAGTAACACGCAGGTCAGAGCATATGTACTGAAAAAGAATAGTTGTACAAGGAGCAATTATCGGAGCCCCGATGTTGAAAACAAGCAGAGCACGTACGGAGTACACGCAGTTGATTGCCTCAATTCACTGGCTGCAGCTGCATTTGCGATTGTGGCATGTGGGTCCCGTCTGTCTGGGCCAGGAACGCATAGAACAAGCAAGGCACTATGCTGCAAAGGGCTCAAGTCACCTCCGGGCTCCGATCCGTAATTCAAATTTCAAGCTTCATAAACCTTTTCCCCACCTTCTCAGCTGGCGAGATCAGCAAGAAATCATACGCCTAGTCTAGGAATAGCTAAGTGGTAGTGCTTCTTCTCATTCCTGCTTCACTTTCTCTTCATCTTCAGGCGAATTGTCCCAAGGAGCATTTAGTCCTTGCGGTTTATTGCGAACTTCGTCAGCCAGCTCGCTGGGCTGGATTCGCTCGCTTGTCCCAGAGAATGACTAGTTCTGATATTATTGCTCAAGTACGAAGCTAATTATCACGCGTTATCACCTCGGTATCTTGAACTTTTCCGTTATGAGCTCTTGGGCGACTCGCTTGCATGCGGGCCGGCATGTACAATTTTGCCGTTATCCTGCGGAAAGAGACGCTTATATAAATCAGTTCACTTCGACAAAGAGATTCTGCACTTATCCCTCTCTTTTGGTGTCCAGGAGATATGGTCATACAGCAGCAAACAGATGTCCGCCAGCCTGCCGAAAGACGATCATAAAAAGCCGCAACCCCCAATCCCCTCGCTCAGCCTTTCTACTAAGCCGCCTACATAGTACAACAACCCAGACCTCAGTGGATTGCTATATACCGCCAAAGACGGGTCTTATTGCTTCTCTTCCCAGGTCATGGATACCATACGCTGAGCTACTGCGCCTCGACAAGCCGACAGGTACATATTACCTTTTCTTCCCATGCGCGTATTCCACTCTTCTTGCGGCATCTATGGTACCTTCTGTGCCAGTTTTGCAGGTAGTTGGAACGATGGGGCTTTTCTTCAGCGGCGCTTTGATTATGCGCGGCGCCGGATGTGCAATCAACGATTTATGGGACAGAAACCTAGACCCTCATGTCGAACGCACGAAATTTCGCCCAATCGCAAGGGGGGCGATCTCGCCTGGCAAAGCAGTGCTTTTCACGGGCTCTCAATTACTGGCAGGACTGGGTATCCTCCTTCAATTTCCGTATCAATGTCTTTGGTACGGTATACCTAGCCTTATTCTGGTGACCACTTACCCTCTTGCTAAGCGAATCACCTACTATCCTCAAGCTGTACTGGGCCTTACTTTTTCATGGGGTGCAATTATGGGCTTCCCCGCATTAGGTGTCGATCTTCTCAATAATGGGGCCGCATTGGAAGCAGCTGCCGCACTTTATTCCAGTTGCGTGGCCTGGACAATTTTGTACGATATGATATACGCTCATATGGACATTAAAGATGACGTCGCGGCTGGCATTAAGTCTATCGCTCTTCGTCATGAAAACAATACGAAAGCCGTTCTCTCTGCTCTGGCGGCTGTCCAGGTGTCGCTACTTGCTGCTGCAGGTGTAGCAGCGGGGAGCGGCCCTATCTTCTTTGTCGGCGGCTGTGGTAGTGCGGCTATTTCTCTCGGTCTCATGATCTGGAAGGTTCAGCTGAAAGATGTACGAAACTGTTGGTGGTGGTTCAAAAACGGCTGTTTGTTCACCGGCGGAGGTATCACACTGGGGATGCTCTTTGATTACGTCGCGCAAGTTAGTGGCTTCTACGAGGCGACTGAAACACCCAATCCTCTGGAGCGCTCATAGAAGAGAACATCAATCCTTTTCCCTCTTTTGCGGGCCCTGAAGCCCTGCTCAACTTGTTTCGTTAGCCATGCCCCTTGTTAACACCTATGTACTGCTCCACAATACCGACTATGTCATTCCAGTCCAACATGGCTCCATTTCCAGTGTCACCGCAAGCGAGAGACTTCTCTATCGGGTGAAGGACAGACACCCAGCCTTCATTATTATCGGCATTCACGCCCCATTCATCTTTCAGTATAGCCAGTTGCTTTGTGGTGATTGGATGGTTCCACATCGCTGTATTCATTGCGGGGGCGACAAACACAAGGGGCTTTTTGTCCTTGAAACTCGCGTCCACCGTTCCTGTTGTATCCCACGCTCTTAGAACGGAAAGGAGGAGGTTATCGGCGATACCCATCGTCATTTTCGCCATAGTATTGGCAGATAAGGGTGCAACAAGTAACACATGTGCCCACTTTCTGAGCTCTATATGTAGGATTGGCTCGCCACGAGTCCAGGAATTTTCCCACTCATCCTCATCCCGATAGATAGCATCCACGCCAGGGATCTGTCGCAGATCTTCGAGAACCGGCTGTTCCAAGCTCTGCCCCGTTAGAAACTTCTCCGCCGATTTTGTGACAATAATGCGGATGGAGACGTTAGAATGGCGGCCAAGAGCTTGAGCAATATTGGGAAGTTTTATCGTGGCAACTGACCCGCTGGCCGCGAGGAGAACATGAATTTTATTATCTTCCAGGTGCTGTTGGGCACAGAATGGGGCATCAGAAGATTCCATATGGTTTTCTCAAAAAATAAATAAATAAGTAAATAAACAAAAATAAGAACAAGAAAATCCTGCGGAGTCGGGGGGCTCTGCCGATAATTGCAGCTGAAGGCGACCAGGCGTGGGGTTGCGAGGTTCACTTTGTACAGACTACGGAGGAGTAACACCACCGCGTGGGGCTGTTTCGAAGGGTACCCCGCTTTAGCCCATCCAGCATCCACTGCTTTGTTCTATGCTTTCTGTAGCCTGCCCAGCTTCCACGGGCGGCCGGCTTGTCGCACACACCTATACCGCTATAAGGGAGTCCAAGTATGCGTACGGAGTATATGGGCCCAATGAAACAGCGGATAGTCGAGTATTGTACCCCATGGTATCACTTCACTTATATTTTCCCAAGCGTCACTGTACACATACATACACCTTGAGGTTGATAAATATGTACTGGATAGGAGTCAGGTGCCATCATCTTGAGCATCACTTTGTACTGCAACCTGTCTAGTTCGAGTCTGTACCTGAAGAATATTTGCATGAAATCCTTCTCGGTTGACTTGAGCACTCTGCACCATTCCGTAGATGCTGATGGTATCAACACACAAAGTAGCGTATTTGCCTCATAAAATGAGATCACAAGCCATCATCCTTTACACGTTCACAAATAGCATGATAGGAAAACCCTCGCTGCTTTCCTAAAGAATTACCAGTAGAGCAGTAGTAGCACTATAATTTGGATGGCTTTTGGGGGTCTATAAGCGCAAAATTGTGAGGTTGCAAGACGAAGAAGTACTGTGTACTCTCTACAGTGCCAATTGTACCACGTCCTACTAGTTAGTACATGACATGACAAGTGATGTCACATGACCTGGCACTTATTAATACCAGTAGCCCCAATGGTTGCTTAGTGAGCATGTCCAAGCTCTCCGCAGGGCAACTACTCGATCCGTACGGAGTAGTGCAATACATAGACAAGCAGCAGCTTGATCCAACCGGAATTATCCTACGTCTCTATGTTATCTCCTACTAATACTATTACCATGTTTTCCAGGACCCTAGCATCGTCGGTGAGTACTACCTAGCCCTTTCCGCTATCACTTGTCTCGCCTTCGTGCCACACCTCCATTATTCGCAAGCTGATGGCAAATTTCCTCAGGCGTTTCGGCCGCTTTTCCGACAGCCTCAAGTTTTGCAGCCTAGATTCATAGGCCTTCAGCTACCATCTATCTTTCATGCCCGAAACCTATCCTCGGAGACGCGAACGGCAATTGACAAGGCTATCGCATCTGCCCCTGTCGTTCTTTTCATGAAAGGCACCCCGGAAACGCCGCAGTGCGGGTTTTCACGAGCCAGTATACAGATCTTAGGATTGCAAGGTGTAGATCCGAAGAAATTCGTTGCTTTCAATGTGCTGGAGGATTCGGAACTCCGCCAGGGTATGTCAGGTCCACTGGATGGAGTTGTCCCATGCTCCCATCCACAATCAGCTAATACAAGGTTTTCAGGCATCAAAGAGTATTCCGACTGGCCCACGATCCCCCAATTATATCTGGACAAGGAATTCATCGGCGGCTGCGATATTCTGATGTCTATGCATCAGAATGGAGACCTTGCTAAGCTTCTCGAGGAGAAGGAAGTTCTAGTGGCGGCCGACTAATTCAAAAGCAAGTGTCTGGACACAGCTGATCCGAGATATCTGCTGTACACTTTCAGCCAGTTATCTTTCGGGGAATGTTATTCCTTGGTAAGATGCATTTACGCTCATCACGCCTCAATACGTACATATACTTGTCTGGTAGAGACTTGCAGCAGAATACATAGAAAAGCACGTCTTACCTTTTTCCGGTCCAGTATCCAATAACCGTTATTCAAGCGCCACCCTACCTGGGCCTATCAATATGCATCCAGGCAGGTGGATAGCCGGATTGCTCGGTTTATTTGACTCTCTATCGTTGCAGCATCTAGGCTTTTGCTCACTATCTTTCTTTTGTCTTTCCCCATGTTCTATGAAATAGCACTCCGGCTTCTTCTTACTATACGCCGTTCAGTCTAGACAGAGGCCGATTCCTTAGACTTGACTAGCTCTTCGACAGCACCCTTTTCAAGTTTGGCGCGCTGTCTTTCTTCGTAGGCTTCCCTGCTTTTCAATATCCTGTCAACAATCTCACCAGCATTCACATGCTGGTATGGGTGGCTAGAAGTCTCCTTGAATATGCCCATCCTCTTGGGTGCCATATAGGGATCGTAGGTGAGGGGTATAAAAGTAGTCGGACCGTGATAAACTGCATCTGGGGTACCTAAAGGCATGGCTTCCAAATATGGCTTGCTGGGAGAGAAGGGGGCCGAGAATATCACGGCATGAATATACTGTAAGGCGATTAGCAAATCGACACTCATCTTTCATCGGCTAGGGCATTATATAGCATACGCGACACTGAAGAACGCATAGTCCGCGTTCAAAGATGTTCATGATCGGGTAGTTGAGACCCTTCCAGTGGTTTATCACGTCGTCGTCATGGATACCAGCAACAACATAAGCAGGGCCGTAGTCTTCTCCGTGCTCTTTAACTCTCTGTGTTTTCTGGTCTTGGTCGTACCAGCCCCGCCGGTGACCTTCCGATTCTTCCTGAGCCAAAACTTGTCGAAGAAATTCGATGTGCCCGGATGAGAAGAGGTCGAATCCACCATCAACGTAGACAATCCGCTGTCCTGGTCTCGGTAGCTGCCCATTAACAATAGTCTCAAATGCACCTGGTTCTTCCACCGTATCTTCGAGTTTTGCTGAGCTTGATCCGCTCCAGATCCAAACCTGTGGGCCGGGCTGCAGACCTGTTTCATCGGTGGCATAATCACGAATCCTTTGCATGAGACTCTCAGCCGAGTGCTTGCGTTCTTCTAGACTTCCAGATCCTTCCTTCCCGATAAGCGTGTCTTTCACACTCTTAACAAAATGATTCTTTGTACACAGTAGCATTCGTCCCACAAGGTCTGTTGTGGATATACCGGGTGTCCTATTGACCACGCGGAAGCGCCCTGCAGCCTTAACAAATCGGTAACAATCTTCCCCATTGCTGTCAGAAGTGATGTCATCTCCATGGACAACATACTTGCAGCCGTAGTGTGACACCCAAGGAAGAAACGTCACATATGGGGCAAATGGGACGCAGCGAGTCACCCAGCGACATGCTTCTACCGCAGCTACTCTAAGTCCGAGTCAGCAGGAAAATTTGGCCGCAATTACTATAATGAAACCAACCGTTCCTCCAACGTCATTACCGTCGGTCCCTTATTCTCGAGGATTGCTTCATCAGAATGTACGCCGACATAAAGCTCATTTCCCAATCTACGGGCTTGGAGCATGGCACCCGCATGGCCTACACAATTTAGCTTTGAAAGTACATTCTCCGAGATATGGGGGGAGGTTCCTTCTCACCGTGATGGCTGAAGTCGAAGCATCCATCCACCCAAATGCGATCTTCCGAAATGGGTAAATCTTCTTGAGGATCCACAGGCCACTCCCCTGGTGCGGGTATCACGTCTTCAGCTGTGGCACTCATTCTCATAGAGTGATCCCGTAGGATAGTATACGATCACTGAAAATAGATCTTGTGCCTTATTGTCCTATGATTGAACTCTGATAGGCTATTATTTGTGGGAGAGAGACCGTAAAACAAGGAATCGCCCTACCCAACGAGACTAGACAAATTGGAGAGGGGCAATGTGGCATGCGGAGAAAAAGGCGGGATGACATCGTAAGATTTGAAACGGGGGGCGGTACTCTGTCAACGGTACCCGCTTTACGTACTCCATCCGTACCTTAATGCCTATCTAGGGACTTGATTCGTACCCTGCTTGTGATATGTTTCGACTGTCTGGAGTCCTTGGTTAGACATCGTCGCACTGTAAAAGTTCTGGAGAAAAATTATGCCAACAAATAAGCTTTCGGTCGCAGTAAATGATCATTGATAATGCTTGGTCGTCTGTTTCTTGCTGAATTATTCTACATTCCCAAGGATACGGCATTTCGTGATGGAGCTAAATAGGCCCCGTCACTGTTAGCATTCTGTGTGTCTTATGTTCATGAGATGCACTGATCAGAAAGAGAAGCCTCACATACATCTTCCCACATTAAGGCTAAGGTGTTGATGGTAAAAAGATATACACAGTATATCATCTGCATGCCTCACTATATCATACGATCATATCACCGTAAAAAACACCGCAAGCAGATGCAGAAAAAAAGTCTATAACTTTTATGGTACATGTCTCATCAGTTACGCATGCTTCAACGATGAAAACAGGAACCGCCACTGATAAGCAAAGACAAAAGAAGCTGAATCCAGAGCATCAGAAGGAATCACGGGTAGAGGGTAGTCGAGAATATCGCGCAGAGGGAATTCCATAGGGCAGAACGCTTCATGGAAGACAAGTAGATGAGAAGTTTCGAAGTGGGGGTTAGAAAGAGAGACGCCAATCAATGCAACCGCTGAAATAGCACAAAATATATGATGTGCGCCGATACTCCGTAGATAAAAGGACACTCCAAGTCAGGACTGAAGCCTATTGCTGTCAATATCACGTTGTTCGCTGAAGACTCGTCGGCTCATTTCAAGGACCGCTTCGAACCCTTCTCGGCCCTTCTTTGCGTTCTGGCTGAACCTCTCCACACTGGCCTCTTCCACCTTGTTCTTTATTTTTTGCCACCCGCCACACAGGGCGGTGATCTTCGCCTCTTGGTTAAAGTCCGTGGTTGATGGGGGGTTGGATAAAGACGGCTGATAGACAACTGTTTCCCTGACGTTGAGGACGTTGGACCACGTAAGGTTGGTTGAGCACATCGTAACTTTCTTGGAGCTCGGGTCAACATATGACACTTCGTAAACATGAGACGTAGGACTTCCTCCGAATAGCGACAGCACCCATTGTGGCACTGATTGATTACAGGTGATAAGACGCTCCGTGCGCAGCTATAAATTCGAGATATCAGTCAATGTAGCAAGGCAGAGATAAGCGTAAGTAGATCAAAGGTACGTACGATGCCAGTTTCCGCGTCGACAACCCGAGACAAGGTGTCTACTGCCACAACATGTGTCGATTTGTCGTTCCACGGACAGTACTTGCGCCAGTTTGCCGCAGAGACTTCCTCCCATGAATAGTCGAAAGTGCACGTCGAGGAGAAAACTCTCATTTTCGTCGGCTGCGCAATGGATTTTCTTAGAGATAAGAAAATGTCAAGGTTATCTTCAGAAAGCACCTCAGGAACGAGAGATCCGCCGTTCGAAGGAAGAGAAGAGAGAGATCACAGCGCGAGTTCCGAGAACTATATGGCGCGGCGGCAGGTATGTTCTTATAGGATCGGTGACTACGGAGAGCTCAAGATGCGGCGAATAATCAACTACTACAAGATGAGTAATGAGAACCTCCCATGAGTGGTGGTAAAGGCAGGTGCAATAAATGAGAGTGGCGATTGCCGGTCCCCGTGCAATGACGATAGAACGCAAAGTGGTAGAAAACTAAAACCAGAAATTTTTAGCCTCCGATTTTGCGTCTTCTTTTAGAATGGACAAGAAGGTGGCGCCAAGGGTCGGAGTTTACCGGCATTATCCAAGAACCTCACTCCGCCTAAGGCGAAAGATCACCTTGAACCCCACACAAAGGACTACATATGTACACCAGATGTCAGTGTAGAGCAGTCCTAAGTGCGGTTTTTTTGTACGTATGATCAGATTATCATGACAATATCATTGGCAACTCGAGATCTACATCTTGTCTCCATGGAATTAAAGCACATAGTTCAGCATGTTCCATATCTCCAGCCCGTACTCCGTAGAGTACATAGTACATTATCCATATGCCCATATAGGAACTGATGTTAGACGATCTCTTTCATAATCGACAAATGGCGACTCCCCGCCAAATTTAAAGTTACATAGAACTGCTGAGTACTTGATAGGCAATGAGAAGTGAAGAGAAGGCGCATGCTACCCAAACGAACGTCTTGTAAATCCATGAGAAACGAAGAGAATTAATTGCAGTTACCTGGGCACATCACCTATGCATAGTTCGTTACAGAGTACGGACTACTTACAAATACTTGGCTATTTTATGGTCATCTGTTACAGTAGTACGGCAGCCTGCCTGACCTTGTATCAATTGGTTGTCAATTTGTGCCAAAATCCCGCGATCTAACAGCTTATCTGTCGGTTAACGGGTAATAAGTAGCGCAGCAGCAACATTTTCAGACGTTTTCTTTTCCTCCCCACCCCCAATCCCTTGGTTTTGTTTCCGTCGGCGCAGCTTTTGAGATTCCTAATCACGGAACATGGTCGAACTTCGGAAGCGCAAAGCACCAGCACAACCCCTTGTGACAGAGAGGAAGAGCAAAAAGATACAGGCACCCGCAGCATCTAAGAGATCGGTGCAGAAAGACAATGGGAATTCTCAGACCTCTGATGATACCCCAAAAGTTGGCGACAAACTAAACCTGGATCAATTCGGTGGTGACGTCGAGACCAACGATGGCCAGAAAACCACCCTAAAGGATCTCGTCTATGCCAGTAAGGCTGGTGTCGTGCTATTCACGTACCCTCGAGCTTCAACCCCAGGCTGTACGTGGAATTCCCCTACTTATAAGTGGCATCTTTCCTGGATGTATATTTCAGGATGTTCCGCTACGGGCGTGTGCACACATACCCATGTTTTTGCATCTTGTCTTGTTCTTCTTACCCTTGAACATATCCAACATTGCAATTATCCCTGAGGAACTCACATCTCAAAAAGGTACCAAGCAAGCCTGTTTGTTTCGTGACCACTATAATTCGCTTTCAGAAAGCGGTTTAGCCATTTATGGCCTTTCAACGGACTCGCCCAGAGCAAATACCACGTTCAAGACCAAACAGGGGCTACCATATCCCCTCCTCTGCAACCCCTCGTCTTCATTGATAGCAGCCATTGGACTCAAAAAGTTGCCAAAAGGCACAATCAGAGGAGTCTTTGTTCTTGATAAGCAGGGCAAGGTCTTGGTATTACAGGCTGGGGGCCCTGATGCCACAGTTGATGCTGTACAAAAGCTGGTTGCAGAGTTGAAGGAACAGGGGCCAGATGCTGCGACTGTGCGCGTGAACTCACCAGCCAAAGATCAAGACAAATAGTGATCAAGTCACCGGCCATCAACTTGGTAAATGGGATTGTTCACTTCGGGTCGCTGGCTTCTGCTTGACTAGCCACAGGTTGATCATCAGGTTTCGATCGTCCCGAGTCTTGTCAAATGGCCACAGTCTATATCTAGTTTCGGTACTATGTGCAACTAATCTGATTAATATATCTTGTAAACTTGAATCCAGTTCTCACATCTGGTCTACTGTACTAGCGGGTAAACAAGTGACTTGCCAACACAATGCAACATGACATATAATAGATATACCAGGTAATGGGCACTTCATACGTATGATTTCTTGAATATGCTGCATGAATGCAATAGTTCCCACTTCAATCCCAACTGTTATCTAGTAGGGAGTACGGATGAGTTACGGAACAGGGTTGAATGCATTGTCGGAGGAACAGTTGTTCCGCGTGTAGAGGCTCGACGACTCCGACAGGCTTGGTTCCGCTAAGACCGCGCGGCGAAGGACGTACCCTCGAAGGCCATATCCTTCCCTCTTTAAATCCAAGGTAAAGAAAATAGTCTCTTTAGTAAAGATAAAATGCCTGTCCAATTTGCGATCTGAGGTGCTGATATGTGATCGCGGCAGGAATCACCATGGCTCGTGACATTGTGAAAGCGGCCAAATCGGCGTCGAATGTGATAGCTGTTCATAAGGTAAGAGACGGCCATTGCCTGTGCCGTGGTATTTCAAGATCTGGTGCTCACTATTCTTTAGAAATATACTGTCCAATCTACCGGGGTATGGGAACGCATTCGCCGGCTGCTTGCTGTCGACCCAAATCGCTCAACCGGTGTTCCCTTGAACGCTCAATATCGTCTGCCGACTCCAGGAGCCCTGCCTCCTCTATCATACGATGATCCGGTCACCGTTCCTGCTGGCGATTTGGCTGACAACCCCTACTGGAAACGTGATGTTCGGAGAAACTACCCCAGGCTTAGTGCGGTCAATCAGGCGGATGCCGTTGGCCTTCTTAGTGTAGGCAGTCAAGCCGCTCCCAAAGATAATGTCCTGCAGATTGGCGAAGCGGGAGAAAAGCAGCTGGTTTCCGTCAAGCAACAGGGAGAAGAGCGCGGTCTTGCTGGTCTGTTTGAGAAGGACAAGAATGGAATCAAGGAAGTCCTAGGCGCCAACGGTTTGCCGCCATTGCCATGCAACCTGAACCCTTCGGGCACCAAATACGAGCTCGGCCATGAACATGGCTATCCCGACGTGTATGTGTGACCTACCCTAGTACCCTGATCGGACTGACACTCCAACCAAGCTATCCTTGCCGCACCTTCGTTTAGCTTTCCTACCTGACCGTCGGGTGAAGAGTTGAGAGGTTTGCGATTACATATACTTTTCCCTTAGTAGGGAGTGTCACTCGGTCCTGATCTATCTTGTATTGGTGGATAAATGGATTGTTTACTGCATTGTAGTACTAGGTGGACTTGCAAGTAAATTGTAGATGAATAAGTTGATGTTCTACTTAATAATTCACTGACGATTCTACCATTTAGTTCAGAAGGAAAGAGCGAATGTGATAATCGGCTTTGGAAAAGATGACGCATCACGAAAATATGAGTTTACCTGCAAGATTATCGAGCCACGGTTTCTCCAAGTGCTAGGTGGAGGAAAGCGAGGGTTTAAATGCGGTGACTCTTGCTTATCGGAGCCGACGAGGCTATATCCAGGTAAAATTGTTGGCAGTTCTACTGTTAACAACTTGACCTACAGTTCGGCGACTCCATGTTTACCTGTATTAGTAGGTCTACTACCATGTATGCCGCGTTTATATGAACTCGGGTCCAGCTACCGATTAAATGAATGTAACTATCGGCTGAAAATGGTTTCAATTCAACTCCCCGCAGTCAACATAGAAAGAATAGCAGCCATTAATCTCTAGGCGAACGGATTCGTGCGGGTACCCCACCATGTTAGGAAGAGACTGAGTCCCACTGTTTCGAACAACCTGCTGACTGCACCTACAGCAACGGTGTCGAGGGGTCTCTTTTCTGCGAAAACTTGGCTCACGACCTATCAAACGGTATCAGGGAATTAGGAAAAAATCATCTTGCGGGATATGAATGGGAGGGATCGGGCCAAGACATACACCTGGGGCTGTGCTGGCCATAAAGATTAAGCTCCCAAGATAAGCTGCCCCTTTGTAGCTCAAAGTGCCCGTAGCGTTAATCAAAGCTGCCACTCCGTAAGTTTGCACGGAACTTCCAATTAAGGAGCTACCCCAGGCTGCTACTGCACCAGCAGCCTCTTTGGATTTCAGGAACTCCTCCTTTGAGTTGGCAGCTTGAGCGCGGTGGTATGTATCACCAAATACTGGTGCGAGTATACCCAACGATGCGGTGTGGGTAAAGATAGCCCCCACCGCGATTGAGGAGGGTTTAACTGAAGGCAGATCTGACCCAGTCACATTAGACCCAATTGGCCGGTGGTTCAGGGGGGGCTTGTTTGCGCCTGGATTGCACTCACAGTTTAGAGTCGCCATTTTGGGGTAAGTAATCAAGATTTGGAGGTGGGAGAAACACGAGGTAGTACACAGTTAAAGCTTGAAATTGAGATCAGGACAAATTTCATCCAGGAGAAACACTTTATGGGGTAGGATTCCGGGATAGGCTGGCCTTTTCAATCCCTGGGGTTTGTTAGATCACTTGGAATCTACAGAGTCAATTCGCGGTGAGGTACAAAATGACGTCGTTATGATCAAAAGACACGAAGTGACCTGCAGGGTGAAGAAGCCCTCTCCCATGGTCTTGGTGCAGTGGAGTACCTGTCATGACATCATACTTTAAGTGTTTGGCATTACGTAGTATGTTCCTACTACCCTACCGATTGTAGCCATTCGTACGGAGTACTGTTGCATTTACTGTCTTACACTGTTGCGCGGCACCTATGACTGCGCTAGTTTACGGGGTACAAAATGTACGAAATAAGCTCGTCGTCGATAGTGACGTTGAAGCTTTTCTCTACAGACTACCTCCTGGGGCTTCTTGGTAGATTCCTGTCAGGGTGTACTTTAGCCACTTCCTACCCATATAGCCCGGTAATCCGAGGGTATCGTTGTGGTTACTACTGTAGGGTACCCAGAGTATCAGACTTTCTATTATTCTCATTGGACAGAGTATGGGTTCTTCCGTTCTTGTTCTAATGTTAGACAAGTACTGTGTAGCAAAGGTGAGATGGAAGCCGGGTGGCCAAATAAAGAGTATGCCAAATTACATATCAGCAGCTCCGCCATGGGAGAACCCGCCATGGTAACCACCCCCCCCCCCCCCCCTCTACCTATTATTCCTATTTCCACAACAAGCCATGGCTGTTCAGAAGACTGTGATCAAATCAACAAGGATAGATACGCCAAGAAAAGTGGCCACTACACTGTATCTATGGCTCCAGAGGAGAAAGAGTACAACCAACAGGAACATGTTCGGGTGATAGCTTACATATTAGTATACGCCAGTGCCATCTGATATTTTACATAGCCAGGTCCCACATGCTACTGAACCCTCTGGGATCGCGTGTAGCTTGACCCTAGAGGTTTATGTAAGGATTGGTTGTGGTATGTATAAGCAACCATCACGGGTAGTACCTAGTTATACCTAGCTACATGATTTACTCCATACCTATGGAGTAAGAAGGGCCGAATTTACTTGAATGATCTTTTTTCCTAACAACTCACTCGGCTGCACTCTAGCTTTTAAGATTGGGATCTCCAACTTCTCCTTATTTCCATATGAAAATAAGATTTTGCTCTACTCCGTATATTTCAACATAAGAACATACCCTTTCAATTATCCACAATCCATGAGAAGTTCTATTATATACTTGGTGCTTTATTATACAAAAAGGTGGAGTAACAGGAATACCACAATTAAAATATTGGTGCTATCCGAGTGAGATGTTGATGGGAAAAGTGCTATCCGAGTAGTTTGGCGATCCATGAGATTCTAGACTATCGGATGGGGCAAGCGGGAAGAAAAACAAGCGAAAATACAGCTGACTACTCCATACAATTTTGACAAAGGAACGTACTAGTTCATCAAAGACAGGCGCTCCTCTTACCTGACCTGGTATTCGAAACTTTGCCGGTATCATCTCTTCCCCTTCAAAGTTGTCTTGGATAACACCGTGGTGTAACATACCGATCTTATATCCGATGGAGAATCCTGGGTCGACGCCGGTTGGGTTTGATGTGAATGATTCGATAGACATCAATGAATCATTGGTCCCGGTGAGGGACCCTAAGCCCGCCAGTCAGAGCAGTATCTCTTTTGATGGGCTATTGTCGAGCCCTCTACTCCTGCAGGAAGATCTTAAGGAAGGGTGTGGAGGCCAGCTATGGCCAGCGGGGATGGTCCTGTCTAAGTATCTGCTACGTCAACACCACTCTAAGTTTCTCAATAAAACGATGTCCGTTGCCTTACCGTATAGTCATGCTTGTCATTCCAATTTGCTCTTATCCATCGTCTGCTTGCAAGTGAATGTACGTCTGCTGATTGCCTAGTGATTAGAGTTGAATTGGGAGCCGGCGGCGGTCTCGTTGGACTTGCAGTTGCACGGAGATGCCACCCTGAGCTCCCACGCATATGCATTACAGATCAACCTCCCATGTTGCCGCTGATGGAAACGAATATAAAGCTCAACGGTCTTTCTTCTGCAGTCGAAGCTTCTGTATTGAACTGGGGCGAACCCCTTCCAGACTGCATTCCAAAGCATCCCGCGATTATACTCGCCGCTGACTGTGTCTACTTCGAACCTGCCTTCCCTCTCCTAATCTCAACGTTGAACGACCTCCTTGGACCAGAGTCCGTCTGTTACTTCTGCTTCAAGAGGCGTAGACGAGCAGATCTCCGCTTCATGAAACAAGCAAAGAAAATGTTCGAGGTTGACGAGATTAAGGATGACCCTGATATGGAAATCTACCGGCGAGAGAATATTTTTCTCTACGCAATTCGTTCGAAATCAGACAGGGGATGTGTCTAGAAAAACTAGTTACAGGATATCAAAAGAAGGAGGCATGCCAATTCATGAAGCTGAAGCGCATTTTAGAGTATCTTCCCATTTCGCTCCCAAATCTTCCATACAGACTAAAGCTTCAAGGAATGACCCCCATTCTTCGCGCCTTCTTGAAGTTTGCCACCATAAATGTTTGTCACTTCACCCTGCTTTCCGATTAATTTGACACCCCCTTGCTTCAAATCAGACATAAGCCGCTGGTTTTCGGCTGTTTTCCCGGATTTTTGGTGGGAACGCGAGGCGCTAGCCTTTTGCTTTTTATGTTCTCGTCTCAGCTTGGCTTTCTGTTCGCGGGTCATTTCTTCTTTGGCAATCGCCGTGCCATTTCTCAAAACTTCACCAGCAACTTTACCATCGTCACCAGGCGCATAGATTTCCTGGGGTGCAAGAGTTGCCGTTCCATTGACAGCGCTGCTAGTCGTCGGCTGAGCATCCTCCATGGTAATAGTTGCAACATCTGTAACCACATTTATGCTTGCCTGCGGAGCTTTGGGTTTGTAGTGCCAGTTTGAGAGCGTATCTAGATGGGAATTGATCTCCTTCCATAGATTTGTGACATTAGCATGTTCACGCATCAGCTTCTGATTTTGGGGGTCAACATAGTTCGGATCAGTCGCACGAAGATGGTCTGTCTCGTATAATTCAGCCAAGCTCTGCTGTGCTTTCGTGTCATCCAGTTCGAATCGCGTTCTTCCTGTGCTTTGTCCGTCGGAAACACCAGGGCGACGGCGGATGACTTCGTCGAATTGTTTTGCAAGAATCCGTCGCTTGACGAGCTCTTCAATGTCTCCTGATAATTCTGCGGTAACAACGGAAACGGGCTTCCCAATTCTTTCGAAATCCAAGTCTTCCTCGATGAGGGAGTTCACAGGCCTTTCAACGGCCCTCGCTTCACCAGCGAGCATCCACTCCTTCTTAGCGACATTGGCTGCCTCCAAGCGACGAATCTCATCCGCGATCCGAGCACGCTGCTTTTCGTGACTAGAATGATTGTTTTGGGATTCACGCGCTTCGTCATATCCGTCACTATCCTCGCCAGAGATTTCATCTTCGAACAAATCACGACGAACATCAGCCATGGCACGATCAATATCACCATTAGAAATTATATCAATCGGCTGGGTTTTGGGAAGGGAGCGTGACTTTTTGCGAGTAGCTTTCCGTGCTGGTGGCGCAAAGAAATCTGAATACTTGATGTCGCTGGTATTGACCCAACCTGCCCCTTCAGAAGCAGCGGCATAGGCATCATCTTCATCCAAATCTGAGTCGCCCTGAAGGTCGACATTCCCAAATGTTGGTCCTTCCTCTTCACCATCATCCATGTCCTCATCTTCATCCTCGGTGACGTGAACTGGTAGGTCTTTCTTTGATATAGAGACCGACCCCGTAGCATTGAGAGGATTCGTGTGCCAATCAATCTCTTCATCGTCGCTTTCAGGATCATGGTCAGGTCCACCCCTAGCGTCTTGTCTCTCAAGTAGTTCCGACTGCTTGTTAAAATCATCTATTGAGAAGAAACCATCATTCAAGCCAAAGCGATCCTCCACATATGTTTCCTGATTTTCTTCGTCGGTATCGCTTCCAGAAACCTTGTCAGGCACGTCTTCGATGCTTTCTTCTGCGCCAGACTCATTTGGAGACGGATTTTGATGCCCTTCATACTCTGCATCAAGGTCCTTATCATCGATATTCGATTCAGCGGTGTCAGTCTCCGTCTGATCATCGAAGTCGCTATACTCTACTTCAGAGTTGTCAAGCACTGCATGATAAGTAGAGTTGAGGGGCTGCTTAGCGGCCTCGGAAAACCAAGCAGAATCCCGCTCAATCTCACTACCGGAAAAATCAAGGATCCTCAATGCTTGTTGCCATATTTGATCGGTAGTAAATCCCTCAACATAAAGTTGTTTCAGCTGCAAAGCCTGAGCGGAAGAGTCGTCGTCGATCTCGAACCTTTTGCGCTTTCTATTCCTTCGCTGGCGTGCACATTGGGAACCGCCGACTGATGAAGCCAAGGAGTCCAAGTAGTACTTCACAGAACCTGCGATAGTACTGTTTAGTTCCGCTGTGGGGCGAAGGAATGTCCAGGGGACAGTCAGTTCAGATTTCAGAGAAGGGATCGGTCCATGGGAGGCCTGCATAGCAGAAGCTTCAACCCGACCGGGGCCGTTGTGCTTCATGGCGCATCAAGCATTACTCGGGATTAGAATATATGTATAGAAAAGGCAATGATATGCCAAAACAATGATAACAAGAGACAGAGAGAAAAGGAATATGTAGGCTGGTAGAAAGGTTCAAAAGTTACCAGGCATCCATCTACTGGCGTACAGTCCAGAAAGTGGATGTTAAATAAAAACCTACTATTTCGTAAAGGCGGAGAAGATTTTTTTTTAAGAAAAGCTCGGACCATGGGTCTTTGTTGGCCCGCCCTCATTTACTCCGTACTATGTACTCCATGAGAAATGCTTGTATGCGGGATGCAGCCCACACAGCACATGATTCAGATTCAAACGCTAATAGCGCTTGATTCAGAATGATAAGTGTTGAGACATTATACCTTCTACACCCGGGGCTAAAAGGGATATATTCGTTTTGGCCTACGTGGTGCTTGACAGGGTAGAATGTGTCAACAATTAATATTTAGGGACTATGCACTCATTGTAGATATGGTCTGGAAGTGGTAGGCCATGTAAATTCTGTGTCGACAATCATGATCTCTTTTATCTTCAAGCCAGGGAGCGCGAGGTGCTATTGTCTTCTTACTGCCGTTTTTAGCACCACTACTCTCCACGGCTGTTCTATAGTAAGTACACTCCGTACAACTGTCGTAAAAGAATAAGGGAAAGAAACAAAGGGGGTGGGAATCCACTGTAGTATGGCCCATGTCTCTGTGATACAGATATGTAATAACATTTAATCAATCATGCAAGTCTATATTCTTATATTATGATTGATACGGAGCACAAGCCCCTTGATTGGCATGTTGTCGTGCAGTATACATATCGCAAAACTCACTTAATTCTCACCTTTCTGTCCGTACCTGTAGAATTGATGCAAGTACTCCGTACTCTTTAGCCGAGTATATTCACGGAGTTCAACTCTACCGCGACAGATACGATTGTTTGTTTCAATCTCCCAGCAGGGAAATTGAGGACGAGGATAAAGACGATATAAACCACTATATATGTATCTGAAGCTGTCTATCTTTCTATGAACAGGAATTGTATATTACCCTGCAGATCAAGATATAGCAACACGGCAGCATGATAATATTGTAAGATAACTCAATGAGAACCCATATAACAGAGCAGAGCAATAGCAGCGAGTTCCCGGGCAATGTCCCCAAGGTCGCATAGAATATAACTCATCCAAGAGTTACCTTATCAGCCCCAAACACAACACATCTGATAAGCTTGTTGGAGGATTAAACCCTACCGCTCTTCCACCCCTATATTTATACCTAGGGAGAGTCCAGTAGTCACATGTAGCCCTTTTAGAAGACTTCCGCTACAAGATCAATGCCCAAAGCCATCCCTCCCACTCTTTGCTAATGGAACAAAAGGGCGTCGGTCACCGATTGAGATTAACGGCGATACCACATACGAGTGATTCTTGTGTGTCTCATTTTCTTTTGAAGCTGGAAGATCCCGTACATCAATGCTTCGGAGGTAGGCGGACCTAGAAGGATTTTTTCCCGTCAGCATACGTCACTAAAGAGGTAGTGGGGGATATACTAACACCCAGGGACATAAACATCCACAGGTACTATCCTATCGCACCCGCGAACAACGGAATAACTGTAATGATAATAACCACCACCGTTTGCACAACTTCCCATGCTGACGACCCAACGGGGATCAGGCATCTGGTCATAGACCTGTCTAAGAGCAGGAGCCATTTTATTTGTCAGTGTGCCAGCAACAATCATAACGTCTGACTGCCGCGGAGAAGCTCGGAAGATAATTCCTAAGCGATCCTGATCATATCTTGGGGTCGACAGATGCATCATCTCAACTGCACAACAAGCGAGGCCGAAAGTCATGGGCCACAATGAGCTTTGACGTGCCCAATTGGCAACTTGGTCAAGGGTGGTACTGTAAGTAGATCAGTAATCACGATTGACAGATACTATGCATTTTAGGCTACAAACAGCACATATTGCATTGCACCCTCCTTTTTCTCTTGGCTCGGTAGAGGCACCTCTTTCCGCACCTTGCCAGAAGCAGTGAGCGCTTGACCAGACTGTCCCCGCTGTTCAATAGCTGTTGCCGACTTGACTGAAGAGGTTGAGAGGAACAATGCTGGCTGGCTTCGGAAACGAAATGGGGTGAGATGCGGTCGCACTACCTGACGTTAGCAACTTAGTGGTGGCCACCATTTGAAAACACCTACCATGGAAAGCGCTTGGGATGGCGCCTGGAATGGCGCGAGCGGTGACAGGCAACATGGCTGAATGTCCTCCAATATCAATTTGTGAAAGGAAATGAAATAGTCCCGTGTGCAGTAACTGGAGGAACGGCCAATAGAATGAATAGTCGGTTGTTCAGTCTGTCAATGGGGGCAAGATGACATTGACATTTCGAGTCGGATAGCCAAGGCTCAAATTAGAGCATCATTCTGCACTGGTGGTACTAATGGGCCACTCTTTCCAAATGTTACTGTAATATAACAGATGAATAGGTATGTGCATAAGTGCCTTACGGTCTAAATTGGTATTACACTGTACTAGCACGTGAACCGTCAGCAATCGGCTGGTCATTGCTAGTGTAAGTTAGATTCTGGAGAGCTTAATTGGCTGGACCGCAGAATTTTTTGAAGACACCGGAACCCGATCAGATCCTGAGATCATTGCTGCATTCTGCAGACGCCGGTGCCTCAATTGAATATCAATGGTAATAATATACGGATCCAAACATATGTTGCAAATTCTTCAGGGACAAGGCCGAACTGAGTTTACGAGAAGTCCTAAGGAACTGATTTCCATCGGAAGTTGCTTAGGGGCGTCTGGTAGCGTAGTAACGCCCTATTACTACTATGCAAAGACGGCTAAGAGAACGTATTTTTACCAGTGCGGCAACACTTAAAGAACCCGAATATTGAGATATATTACATATAAGAATGCAATAGACATTGGGATGATAAAATTGATTATATATTTATACGGTCGCCATAGCTGTTTGGTAAATGCGTGGGTTCACTACAGAGTACGAAGATACCCAATTGGAAGACACTGGCCCACTATTTGATTCTTATCTACGGAGAACTACTTAGTCAGTAGGTAGGAACAGTAGTTAACTATGGTATGATTGGCACCGGGTGCTCTATGTAAGGTGGGCTGAAAATTCAATAGATATTTTGAATGACGTGAGCTGTTGCTGCGTATATAAGTTAATGGTTTTTATAGTTAAACTTGTAATTTTTTTTCTATGTACTCCGTACAGCTTGTTGAATGTGGTATGTGCCACACTGTCAAACTGCTGAAAGGTACTCCGTGAGTACCTTACATAACTTAACTACCATCACTGACGTAAGACTAGACGGCTCAGTTCACAACTAACCCATTTTCCAACATGCATAAGGGATGAAGAGACCCTGGGTACTGCAAACAATGATTCTGAAAAATCCCCTCCACTAAGTTGAGGTAGATCTATAAATTCATTCAAGAACTGTCAGACAATATGACCCTGCCCAAGATTGCCTGTATCGGTATCATTGGGAAAGCTGTAAGGCGCCATATCATTTGTCTACTGCTCAATGGCTGATATGGCAATTAGGATAACCCACTCCACGTATCATTGTTTCCGCCTTACTTGGAGTCCACTATCGAGTTCTCTTTCATATTGAATTCCTGCCTTGATATTTTCGAAATTAGGCGCAAGCAAACATCAATTGATCAAGATTTCGGTCTTTTGCAAGCAGTGGACGAGAGACTGGCAGCTTATGGATGGCTTACGACTACGGGAGTCAAGATTTTAGTAGTAGTTGACTTAGTCGGGCAGCCAATAAACTCTGGAGAACCGAGAATTTCCACGAGGACGAACTTAAGAGAAGCAGATCTAAAAGCGGTACGTCATGACAGTCCCCCCTATCTCAAAAATCGTATACTGGTTTAATCGCACTATACGTGAAATTGCATAGTAATGGTACGATCTCACAGGTCTTTCGAGCTCTTCAAACTGCGTACGTACAGTTGCTGCAGAATCCCTTCTATTCTCCGGATGAGCATGTGGCCGCAGGCAAACCAGTTTCGGCGTGCAATTCGCAGATTGCAGACCAGAGATTCATTAGTGAGGTCAAGCGAATTGGGGACTTATGGGCCCCAAGTGTAGCATTCTAAAGAACTACAAGACTTATTCGTCGTGAGAAATGATCTAGCGATCTAGCATCGAAAAGTCTCCATCATTTCATTCATGTCTTTTTATAGTACTCTTATATTTACCCTCATTCAAAGACTTGGATAAAACGAGTCCATACTGTATCGAAGCAAGGTACTGGCTGATGTAGTAGCACCTAAATAGGCGCTTTTACCTCGCAAGGGACTGCTGGTGATCATTAAGGCATCAATTAATGATGCGCTACCTTTTATGACAATGTGTAGTTAATACTAGGAAATTGAGTTGTATTGGGGGCACAAGCAATAACAACGGTAACATGCCACGCTAGTATAACGAGCTCTAGGACTTGTAAAGCATACCAAAGGATTGTTTCAACCATGCAAGGCACCGTTATCGGCCTTCTGTAGTGCAATGAGGATACTCTCAACCTCCAGGGGATCACATACAGACCAAACGCCACCACCTGTAGCCATAACATTACCAACCTCTTTCCCAACCAGATTTCTACCGACTTTCCCAGGTCCTATCCCAATCCATTGTTTTACTCCCTGCTCTTGGTCTAAATATCGAATACTATCCCACCATCTCACCGTTTCGACACATTGCTGCGATAATAAGACCTTGAGTTCCTCCTTGGAATTGAATGGCAGGCCCGAAACGTTAGAGATACAAGGCTTTTGTGCTGGGAAATTAATAACCATGTGTTCAAGGGCCTGTTTCATGTATTTCGCGGCCGGTAGCATTATGGGACTGTGAAACGGGCTTTCACATCTCAATCTCACCGCACGCGGATCATGCCCTCCAAATTGACGAATTTGGATAAGCAAAGACCTTATCCTTGCAATGCTGCCGCTGAGTACGATCTGGTTCCTAGAGTTGATATTTGCAACCATCACTTGTTGGAATGCCTGAAACCCGTCGCTGGAATCGTCCTTCAGACTCGACGGGCCAAGTCCAATGAATTCGTGGATAGTACCAAGCAGTTCACTCAGACGATCAGGTTCACAAACAAGTGCTATCATGCCGTAGTCCTCTCCTGATCTCTTAATAGCATCATGCGTGCATTGAGACATTATCTCCGCTCGACGTCTCACTAGTTTCAATGCATCGCTAAAATCAAAGTAACCTCCAGCAACCAGTGCGGAGAACTCGCCCAAACTATGTCCGAGGGTAACATTTACTCGCGATTTTGTCTTGAAGCCGAACTCTGCTTCCAGTATTCGAAGTATTAGTATCGAAGTTGCCATTATAGCTGGCTGGGAATTTTCGGTTTTATTGAGCTCAGCATTTGGGCCTTCGAAGATAAATTGTGACAATTTGAACCCTAAGATAGAGTCCACCTCGTCTAAGAAGCGTCCGGATGTCTTTGGGAACTTATTGACCCAAGAACTTGCCATTCCCACACGCTGTACCCCATGACCTACAAGGCGAGGGCGTCAGAACAGAGGCAGGCTCGAAATGCAGGGATACGAACCAGGGAAAAATAGGGCAGTGCGCAAGGTTGACTCCGCTGAAGGAACAGTAGCATATCCACTTTGAGAACGGCTTTTCAGCTGCATATGCCAACGAACATGGTGTCGGAGTGCTTTTATGTCAAAGGCGAGTCTCGAGCACGAAAATAAAGCAAGCATTTTCCGGCGGCCTTGTGATGATGAGACGGCTCTCACTGTTACCGTATAACATAGTCTTTATCAGAAATGGACATTATGGTAATCTTACAGGCAATCTCACTCTTCGTTCAACATGGGCAGTAACAACAGCTGCTGAGCTGAGAGACCAGGGAAAGAGATCATATTGTGTCACGTGATGATTAATTGCCGCGGTCATCGGACCGGGCCATCAGTTGCACGGAGTACCGAGTGTTCCGGACCAGCATTGCATATGGGATAACTACTAGGGAACGCAGTTAGTAGTAGAAGTCGTACACACTAGCTCCTCAAGGCTAGGTATTGGAGATTGGCCTGCCAAACTATTTGCTGGAAGCATGCCAATACAATGATGATTTCAAGCATTAGACCCATCTATCTGGACTGCAATGTGAGTTGATTGCAAACTTAAAAGTTATGCTTGATACTAGTCTACTATATAAAAGCCAGCAGTTACCTCCAACATGCCTGGTATGTGGAGAGGATGGAGTACGGAATACTGCGGACAATATCTTGGCCGCTGACCGCCTTCGGACCGACCGCGATTTAAATGGAGAGCTCTGAGTATTATTTACTCGAGGTCTCGCGTGGTAAATAACAAACAAAATCTCATGTTGATCCTTCGTTGCCAGAGAGTGAACTACGATCACATGTTACTTCTTGATTCAGGGTGTGAAAATACACAGGATCCTTTCAATTTTCATCCGATTTGTGTCAGGACCTAGAAAATGTTTGTACCTAAGGCGCTTTCATCAACAGCTTCTCTGCGCAATCCTCGAAGGCGCCAGCGTACAAACTCAGATGAATCTCCAAAGCTACCGAGTGCGAAGAGGCAGCGATCTGTGCTGCGTCAAGAAGATTCAGAATCATCATCCAAATCTCTGACTGAGCATCTTGTCAAGCGCGGATTGCAAGAATGCCCGTCAACGTCGTTGGAAGAGGACCTCGCGATCGCAGAAAGTCTCAACGTCCACCGAAGCATCCCGATAAGGATAGCCAAAAGGCCAGATAAACATGAGGATGGGGGTGATGGAACAGTTGTGCTTGTGAGTGGTCTGAGAACACTATCTGGTTGACGAGATTCCACAATCTGATGTTGGTTTGTACATAGTCGAAAACAGAGTTCTATACTGTGACTCAGCTACCGACTTTGCCGGACCAAGTACTTGGTTTGCAATCAGGCAAGTATAATCACTCAAGATCTCCTATTTACTGACTAGTAACATGGATATACAGGACGTTTTAGGGGTTCATTTGGTACCAGTCATGGATATGCTTTAGCTCTAACAAGTTCACACGCCATCATCTGGCCATATGCGACTACAACTCCATCGTCCTCTCCTTCAGATGTTTTTACTCTGGCAATACCTGAGTCATGCACAGATTCTAGCGATGATATTCCCCTGGGATTGCTTTTATCAGCCGCTGCAGGCGGAGCACCAGGGTTGATGGTAGTTATGCCGCATTCTGGGAAAGTCATATACTGGGAAACTGTATCGAGTGCTGCGTCATTAGGGTTCGCCAGGCAAAAACAATTCGGCCTTCAGGGGTGCATGCACGGTCTGCTCTCTGGAGAGCACGCCACTGAGGTATTGAATAGCGAGCCGTCTGGTGTTGTTGTCATATTTTCCACCGGAAGGATTGCTCATATTACTATCAGAGACCCTCAGGGAAGGCCAGCAGTGACTGCTTCTTTTCTAAGAAATAGCTCAGGTGGCGGTAAAGCTGGGTTGCTAGGGAGCTTGAGAAACGCCTTTGGGGGTGGCTTTTACCGGAAAGATATTGCTGCAGTTCACGCAGGCGAATCCCACCAGCGTGGACAACGAGATGTCATAATTGCTACGTCTATCGGTCTTTTCGAAGTTTGGGACACCCATTGGAATAATGGAAGCATGCTAAAACAGCAATTTGACGTGGAATATCTCTTGCGTGAAGCCCTTGGGCTCCAATCCCAGGATGAAACCGATGATCATCGCCTAAGGGTCTTAGACTTCGCATTGTCGGAGGCCGAAAGCGACGATATTTCACATCTCGACGGTTCCCACTCATGGTTTATTACAGCGGTCGTTGTTTGTGACTCAAGAATTTCTTGGGACATGTTCGTGGTGCAAATGAGGCTTTCCGACGATGTTCGAATAATATCAACTACTGCAATTGATTCGCATGGCCTACCCGCACGGCTGGACTTCTCCCAGGTCAAATTATTCGTGCCAAGGCCCGGACAAATCGCGTTCATTCTGGTTGGGCAGTCGGTTCTTTTACTATCATTGCCCGCGTCTGAACAGCCTGCTGTTTCGCAGGACGCGGTTTCTGGCACCCATCAAGGGCGAATATTCAGGGATGTCATCCCCCTGCGATCTGGAGAAAGCTATGAGATATTAGGGAGCGGATGTGAAAGTGGAATTGGTGAAGAATCCTCAGCTGCATGCCTCCTCATGGTTCGAGATTTTGGTATCATCCGAATAACAGCTGTGCTCAATGAAAGAACAAACGACCATGTTGATGTTGGCCGAATCACTGCAAAGCACAAAATCGAGCAGGCCATTTTCTATGGCACAATGACAAAGAACCCATTGGATTTAACTAGTCCCGATGGCTTAGGCTTCCCAGTCAACGAAACTGAGCAGGCTGCATTGGAAATATGCTGGGAATTGATGCGATCTGCATCAGGATTCATTCCTTCCTCTGGTATTTCCGTGGATCAGAACTTGAAGCTTAGAGCGAAAGCCCTGGATGACCTCGCCCTCTTATTGACACAGCAAAATAAGGCCCTCCGTCGTGAAGTTTGGTGGGAGTTACTCTGGGGCGCGGAGAAGCTTGCAGCCCAAAGAGCTATGTGGAAGTTAGAAGACGAAAGCAGGAAATGCGGCAGCAGAACGTCAACATTGCTGGCTCATATAATTGACTTAATGAGCGAAAAGTTCAAAACAAAGATCGAGAAGCAAAGTGGGGATTGTGATCCAGTGCGCCATTGGTTTCTATATGATACTTACCAGATGGAGCACATTGTGCCGTGGATATTCAACGCGATTAGGCCTCAAAAGGGAAACTCCACGAAACAGGGACGGAGGATGTCTGAACAGCTACTAGAAGCTAGTGAACTCTCTCTGGCTGTTCTAGAGACCGCATTTCGTTACCGGGACGAACATTCCAGCCGGTACGGGATAAGCGACGGCTATTTGGAGGATGGTGTTTTAGCGAGTGACTATAATGGCCTCGCGGAATTTTGGACATCTCAGCGCTATGGCTACGTCGAATTCGGACATCTTCTAGATCTGGAGCTTGATAGTTGCAGGGCTTGGATTCAACAAACAGGAGTCGGCATTGAGCTACCTGATGATCAAACCGTGCAAAGGATCGCCAAAAACAGTGCCAAACAGCTCCATGTTCTAGGGCATATGCATTGTGAACGGGTCCGGTGGCTTTCAGCCCAGGAGGATCAAAAGCTTGTCGACGAAGGACTCACGACTGAGCATGCTCATATCAAACAGCGGAAATGGCAGTTGTTCAAATTGGCAGGGATAGGTCACCTGGAAGATGCCATTAACCTTGCCGAACAGTTTCGAGATATGGGGGCACTTGTGGAACTCATAATTGAACTCCAGGACCAAACCAAAAGTCTTGTGGTGTCTGAAAGTTCACTGGGCAGAGTTGCAAATGTTGACGACGATGCATCCGAGCAGCTCAGTAAAAGGATTTCATTTTACTTTGAGAGATTTGGTGAACCATGGGCAGACGCTTTTTTTTCTCGACAGATCACTATGGGACAATCTGGGATTCTGTTCGCGATGAAGAAATTCCAGCCCTTCGTCACTCGATTCTTGCGGAAGCACCCGGGTTATTTACGGCTGGGCTGGATTAATGATGTGATCGGCGAAAATAACTATGAATACGCCGCCCGATCCTTGGAGAAACTGGCAACTAAACATGAATCAGATATATGGAGTCATCGTGTCGAGTTGTCTCTAGCAAAGCTTGCAAATCTAGCGGCCTGGGAAGAATCTGCTATGCCAGATAGTCTGGTCGTTCGCAGGAATATCAGGCGCTTGGAAGATTTTGCGGAAATAGACGCTGTGCAAGAAGTCATCTTTGCTTATATTGCACCAGTGCTGCACAGTGCGATTGACGAGAAAGCGGAGATTGATATCGCAGTCGAAAATTTCCGCAAACCAACCGCCGGCGATAGACCATCGTTGAATGAGATATTTAACGAGGCACTCGCTAAAATTGTCACTCGACAAGTTCTGGGTTTGGATGAACTGGTCGACCTGCTGACGCTTATAAATCTAGCCCAAATCTCTCAATCCGGCCCAGATGAAATTGTCGGAAAACAATTCTATCTAGCCTTGCGGATTATCCGACTTTCATGCGACCAGCGGGACTCTCATTCTAACGCTGCATTACAGAGATTGGTATGGAGAAGGTGTATGATAGATAGCGATTGGGAGCAAACAGGAGAGATGGCTGAGCAAATTGGAACGAACATGGAATCCCTTCTCTATGGCACTGCGCTCTTCCGTACCCTCTGTTGGTGTCTCAAGGACGGTAGGCACCCTATTGATTGTTGATTCAAGGATTTACTAAAGCTGCTTACAGCGCGTGACGAGGACTCTAACTACCCGAAGCTTTTTGTTCCTAAGACTCCGCACGACGTGTTGTTCAACGAGTCGGAGGCTGATCTTATATCGTCACGTTTCCCCCCCGAGCGGCGGGTCCGAATTTCTCGTGATCTGGCCAGGGAAAATGAGATTTTGCACCAGCAGATGGAAAGGGGAAAGCTTGATTTTTGGTTCAAAAATCTTGTCGACTCGGCTGAAACCATGCCACAGGGGCGCTCTGTGGCTTCTGTTGTTGATGACCAAAACAGGAATGTTGATGATATCCAACAAGACTCACCTACTGAGCGGGCACAGTTGAGTTGGCTCTAAGGTTTTTAACACCATTATTCGGTTATATTCGGTTATACGCTGCTTATTGCCACAACATGCCCGGAAATACTTGGCATGGGGTAAACTACGTTACAGCAAAATAGCTATCGTTTCGCCTTCCACTCTGCCTTTCCATTCTCACCCTTCGATCTACGTTGTTATTTGACCTGTTTTCGAAAGACTTAGCAATGCAATGCTCTTGACAATTGACCTCTAGCTCATTAGGCTGAGGCGCCTGCATTTATTAATCCGCGTGATGGATTCTTTGAGCGCAGCCGACACGAAGCAGACACCGCAAGTACATAGCGCAAGCAAAAAGATCATTCTCCCATTTCCCAATCCAGACACCTGCTGGTCTGGAAATTGATAAAAGCCCATTCATGGTTCCCATCGCCTAGTCCATAAAATATACAATTCTTCGATCCGAGTCCCAGCTTCTTGAAACACACGATCAGGGACGCTTTGTATCACTCACTACCTTCGGTGTTATTACTATTGATACTGTCGACCTTCATTACCATTTCTTCGTTCACAGGAGAGGCATCTAAGGGTCCATGCAGGTTCTCTTCGAAGACGGGCTCTGGTTCAATGGCTTCGAACTTGGTCGCAAAATCCGCTATTCCCTGAGCACTGCTATTCGAGTGGCGTCGTGTATTCGTGAATTTATAGCCATAGTCATGGACTTCGTCGCCAGAGCGGCCCCTGCAGAAAGGTCACTGGGCGTTGATCTTATAGGAGCGAGGCTGCTAGAGTATTGTACTGACCAGTTCCTTTTACCTCCGCCGTCTTTCTTAGTCTTTCGAGGATCAGCATCCACAGGTCCAGACTTGGCGAAAAAGCGGGGAAGGTGTTCTTGGAGAAGGGCTGCTCCTTCTTGTGACCCCGAGTGATCCTGATCGTTGACCTTGTGCGAACGTGTCACTAGAAAAGTTAATCAATAAGGAACGGACTGTAATAAGGGATAACTTTCTCGCATGCAGTGTCAAATCTAATCATTAAGAACCCTGCAAGCTGAGATGCACTTACTTTTATTTCATAAGGCTCTGAGCTCTGCTGCTTTCTTAGCTATGTAGTTAGTAAATCAATACCGACGAGCAGATGATGCTATATAGGTTGCAGACTTGACTTGGGGGAAGAAATACATCAAATTGTCTGGATTGAGCAACACTTTTCTGAGCTTGCGTGAACTATTCCAAAGTCAGTGGTAGAATTGAGATTGAGGATATTTTAACATATCACATACCTATTATACCAGGGAGTACATATAATACTTGGGTACTCGATTTCGTACTACAGCTCGTGGAATGGCTAGTAGGTTTGTGGCAGCAGCAATCTATCGGTTTAAAACGAAGAGAACGGGTGGGGCTTCCTATCAAGGGTGTGAGAGATGCTTACATATATATATATATATACCCATGGATGTCATGTCATATTTAAGTCGTAAAATGGATCATCCTACAAGCATGTGACCTATGTCTATGCATTTCATTGTAGTTGTGTTCATGACATCATAGACTACTTTTTAACGCCATAGAGGTAAATCTGCATTACCTAATTGGCCTGTGAGCACGGAGTACGGACCATGTAAGTTGTAACAGGAACCCCACATTAATGTGGATACTGGGGTACTAGCTCATGCTTGTGGATGGCTGCAGGTTGTCCACAACCTAAGGCATTATAGAATAATAAAAACTAATAATATAAAAGATATAGAATAGATTATATTAATTCTAAATAATATGAACTAATCACAAAATTGAAAATACTAGGTCGTGACCTATAGTCACGACCTACAGTCTCACGCTAGTGATGGCCCGGTTCAGTTTTTTTTAGGGCGGTTCGGTTAGAAAATGTCCAAACCGAACCGCGAAATGCCATCACTATCTCACGCACAGCTCAAGGCATTGCAAAGCGCATTTTCTTACTAAGACAGGCAACAAATCTTTTTAAATTACATGAATAATACCGATCCAACTTATCAAACTTGTTTAAATTATGAATGCTAATCAATAATATCTCCAACTTATGTAACTTATGTAACTTATAGACTCTTATATAGAGATACATTGTGATGAACCAAAAATAGTTCTATAATTAATAAATGAGAAAGTAAAGATATTATATTTATATATTTAAAACTAATAAATCTATAAAAAGAAAATCTATGTATAGATAAAAATAATCTTTTTTATATATTTATAAATAAAATTTTAAAAATTTAATAGATTTCTTCTCTTAAAAATAAATCTTAATATTAAAAAGATATTTTTTTATATTAAGAAAAGATTCTGCGTATATAGAATAATTCTCATTTAATAATTAATAATTTTTTAATGATAATTAGGAATTTTTAGATTAATTACAGATATTCTAAACTATAAAATTATAATATTTAGAAATATTATTATTTTTATCATTAATAAAAAATTCATTTTTTTAATTATTAATTAGATAAATTATATTAGTAGTCTTATATAGATAAAATATTTCATATAATAATTTTAAAATTTTATTAATATATTTTTAGATTTTTTAGAATTATAATTTTTTTAATATTTAATTAAAAAATATTCTTTTTTATCTTTTATTTTATAGCATTAGTTTAAGAACTATATTTTATTCTTATTTAAAAATATATATATATTACTATATATAATATATCTAGATTATAAATAGAATTAATTTAGATATTATTCAATAAATTTATTTTATCTACTAAAAGATTTTATAAGATTTTAATTAATAATTAATAATTTTTTTAAATAAAATACTTAAGATTTAAAATTTATATAATTATATAAATTAATTTTCTTATTCTAAAAGTCTTATTCTAATAATAATCATCTATTTATTTAAATTATTTTTACTAAGTATAAAAGGTTTTTATAGAAAGAAATTTTTAGATTTTAAGATTTTTATTATATAATTAGTGTGATAGAACAGCCCAGATTGAGGCCTTATCTTATCAGCAGCAGCCTGACCAATGTTCTGATCCTATAGTAGTCTAATCAATATAGTCCAGATCCTCAAGATAACATGCTAGAATAATTATAAAAATTATAAAATTATCAGTAATAGTTTAGGATCTCTTCACCTATTATAAAATAATATTTTTTAATATTAAACTACTAATCTTTCAAGAATTAGTCTATCTTATAGATATAAACTACTTTTATTATTACTAGTAAAATCTTATATATTTAATAGCTAGTTTCTTATCTAATTAATAAACTATTTACTTTAATAAGTAGATCCTATTATATTCTAATTCTTTCTTTTTTAATTACTTAAAAAAGATACCACCTCTTAAAGATTATAAGGAAATAAAATCAATCAGTGACTAAACTAACTTAAAATTATTATTAAATATTATTTTTATTATTAAAGAGATTTAATAATTAAAAAATTATATTTATTAGTTAGAACAAGCTAATAATTTATAATAAAAAATAGTCTATTTCTAAAGAGATTATTCTCTTAATAAAATCTTTTTTAAATATTATTAATCCTCCTCCGAATCTAATAAGGAAAAAAAAGAAAATTAAATTTAAAAATATCTCTTATTTTATATTAAACTTTAATTTTTAAAAATATTAAAAATAGATTATTAATCTAGAATATATATTTCAGAAAACTCTTAAAAAATATTCTATTAAAAAATATAAGATTTTTATTATTATTAGCTACATAGATCTAATATATAAATAAAAATAATATTATTTTACTAATAATAAAAATCTAAAAAAAAAAATTATTTAAAAAATTATAGTCCTAATTCAAAAACTAAATTTTTATTTTAATTTAAAATATTATTATTTTTAAATTAAATATTATAATTTAATTTAAATAAACTTACCAGCAATACAGTTAAGATCTAAAAAATTTTTATATTTATTTTAATATTTTAAAATAATATTTTCCCTGTTAAACTAAAAAAAAAAAAATTTTATTATATTTTACTAAATTACTACTAGATTTAAATTATTATATTTAAGAACACGTTCCGCACCTATCTAAAAAAATAAAATAAAATAGTATCTATTACTACTTATTATTATAAGTTATAAAACAATAAAGAAAAATATAAGTAGAATAATAATTAATTTAATAATTATAAACCATATAAATAGATTTTAAATCATTATAATAATAAATCTATTATGGATAATATCTTAAATTATAAAAAAAACTCTATTAGAAAGAATAATAAATAATTATAATATTTTATATATAATAATATTTAATATCTTGTAAACTATTATTTTATTAAAAATAAAAAAATCTAATTTATTAAAATCTACCAGCTTTTATTAAAGTCTGAAAAAAAAGTAAAAAAATTAAAATAAATCTTATAATTTTAACTCTGTTATTTATAGTAGAAATTATTTATTATTTTTATATTTTTATTTATATTTAAAATAGCTTTGAAACTTTTATAAACCTAAATAATTATACTTAAATAAATATTATTAATTATTAATTTATTAAAATTTATAAATTTTAATATATTCTAATTACTGTACCTAAAATTAAAGTAATTAATTAATTTAATATCTTTATTTATAATATATAAAAAATATTTATTATTATTATTAATTCGCGAGGAAACACTGAAACTTTTAAATAATATTATATAAAGATTAATAGAGATTCTTAGCTAGATAATAATCTTATTTTATTATTAATAATTATATTTTAAGATTTATATATTACTTTATTAATATAGAATTACTTATAGTAGTTTAATATATTATTAATATTTTTTTCTATTACTAAATTTATAAAAATAACTTAAAATTTAATAAAAATATATATTATTATTAAACTTTCTAAAGATATCTAGCTACCTAAGAAAGAATCTTATAATTTATTATTAAATTTAGAATTATTATTAATTAAATTTTATTAATTCTACGATATTTTCTTTATAAATTTTTTTTAATAATTATTTTTTATAGCCCTGTAGACTATACTATTAATTTTAAATCTAATAAAATATTTTTATATAATTTTATATATTTTCTTTCAGAAGCTAAACTTAAAATCCTATAAAAATATATTAAAAAAATTTAAAATTAAATTAAATATAATTTTCTAAAAATCTTGTGGAAGTTTCTATTTTTTTTTATATTTAAAAAAAATAATAATTTATATCTCTATATAGATTACAGAAATCTTAATAAAATTTTTATTAAAAATTATTATTTTTTATTTTTTATTTTAGAGATCCTTAATAGGGTTTCAAGTAATAAATATTTCTTAAAAATCAATATTAAGAATACTTACTATTAAATTTATATTAAAGAAAGAAATAAATAAAAAATAATATTTTATACTTAATATAACTATTTTAAATATATAGTTATATTATTTAAATTAATTAATATTTTAATAATTTTTTAAAATTATATATATATTACACTCCGTAGACTTCATAATAATTTTTATATAATATATCTAAATAATATTCTTATCTTTTTATTAAATAAGAAATTCTATATAAAATATATTTATTAAGTACTAGAAAGACTCTAAAAAATTAAACTTTATATAAAATTATTAAAATACTTATTCTACTAATCCTAAGTTAAATCTCTAAGATATATTATTAATACTAATAATATATCTATAGATCTTTATTGAGTAAATAATATTATTTCATAATTATTATTTAAAAATTATTATAATATCAAAGTTTTTTTAAGATTTTATAATTTTTATTAATAATTTATTTAAAATTATTTTTATATTATATTACCCCTTACCTCTTTACTTTATAGAGTAATTAATAGATGAAAATCTAGAAAAATCTAATTAAATCTATATAAATAAATAATTTTTTATTATCTAATTATTATTTTCTAATAAATATTTTTATTAATATATTTTAATTCTATAAAACCCTAATATTTAGAAATTAATATATCTAAAGAAGGTATAAATAGGATTTTATTCTAATCTAATAATAAAAGTATATTTTATCTAATAATCTTTTAATTTTAAAAGTTTTCTAGTATTGAGTTAAATTATAGTATTCTAGATTAAAAATTATTTACTATTATTTATTCCTTTAAATAATAATAATAATAATATCTTGAGAAGATTTTTTAAATAATTAAAATTTTATTTAATTATT